TTTTCCCGTTTTTTTTTAAATAACTTCAACTTCTCAGTTTCTCTGTAGTATTTTGTTGATTTTTCGCAGCATGTGAAAGTTATGAAATCCAAGATGAAAATTAAAAGAGGGCGCCATCGATTGAAAGTGAAGAAGCGTTTGAAAAAGCTCAGCGCGTAAACTTTCATTAAACTGGACGTGATGAGAGTATTCCAACTGCCATTTGAATAGATAAGACTTTTCATCGTCAGAACTGTTAGCTTCTTCTCACAAGGTACTCTTTTTTGCCGCCTTCAGCCCTTCAAAGGAACAAGTTGAGTTTGAAAACTTAACGAGTTCCTCTTTCGAGTAATTTCTTTCTTACGAATGAAACTCGTTTGGCCTGTTAAATTTTATTTATAAGAGAGAACAAGCATTTTTTAGCAAATGTGGTTCTTCAGTTTCTGTTGGCTAAAACTGTGTTCAATGTAATAAACCTAAATGGTCGGTGTACATATCAGTCGCTACGAAATAGATATTTAAATGACTGTTTGTTACAAAATTCTACCTGAGAGCCAATTTCATTATTTTTCATATTTTGCCAGTTATCATTCCAATCGTTTATCTGACCTAAGGTCAGACTACAGGTAATTCAGGCTCAAAGTGAAACAAAGAAAGTTTGCATTTTTCATCTCAGCAACATCATGATGGCTGGATTATGCTGAAAACGCAAGCAGCTGGGTTGAGATGAATACATCAATAATTCATGATTACTGCCTGGCTGCAAGCTGCTCACGTGTGCATACTGATTTGGGAGTCACTCACTCCTTTTGTTGGACTTTTATACCATAAACTGACCTGCTGCAACACAGCGTTTCGGATTTGAATGAACCTTGTCATCTTATGTCCAATCTGAGGCTTACAGAATTTGTGTAAGGTGGTGAAGACATAGACTAATAAACAATGCGTATCAATACTTCTTTTGGCATGAATAAGTGATCGGTGAAAGAGAAATATCTTAATAAAACCGGAACACTGGTCACGAATTTCCGCGCTGTCAACGCAAACAATGTAAGAGTGACTGGTATTTCCTTGATACAGTTTATAATACTGCAATTTCATTTGGACGGAAAACACGATCGATAAGCTTAAGTTCAAGTATGAGTTTCAGTGCTTCCTAGGCTGTTTAAAAGCTATCAATTGAAAGCTTCCGTCATCTTTGAGGAGCAGTAAAAGCTGTAGACATTTATTAGTCATATTTTTGACAAAAGTCCGGAAGTTTTGTGTGGAAAAAGAAATGGTATTAAGGATATGAAAGAGTGTCAAATTTTATTCCCTTTTTAGTGAAGTACTATATAATTAATATCGCTGGTATGAAAAAATTAAAATGTGATTATCATAAGTAGTGATATTGTAGGATAATGTTGATTTTACTGACCGAACTCATCGTTATCACGATCATGGTCAACTTCACTGTGGATCTGAATTAGGTTTGTAATTCTATGCTCAAGATACCTCGCAAAAAATTCTGCTGATCGATTGCAAAATGGTGGCGGAAACTCGTGTAATGATCAACAAGATCTTTGTTGTAAGTTTCCTGTGGGTGCTTTGCGCACTTTGCACAAACAAAACTTCTTGAAAGAAGTGTCTCGATTAAATAACTAAAGCCAGGCTACAATTGTCTTTCCGTTTATTTTTGAAAACAGTTGTTAATTTTTTTGGGTGCGAATAGCGTTAAAAAAGACTTGTTATTCAAATTAGGCGTAGTTTGTGAATGACATCAATCACAAATTTTCTTCCGATGATCTCAGTTACTCAGGTGAGTTATGAAGCTTGCCAGTTTCGATCGCCAAGTTACGCTGCCCCAAAAGTCACAGATTCTCCTGAGATAATAATCTCAACTATTTATGCAAAATGGTGCATTGGAGCTGAAACAAACAGAATGTATAGATGAGGGCAATTAAACGATTTACAGCCGCCTAACAAGGTGACCGCCGAGTCTAGCATAATATTATCCTCCATCTTCACATCTTAAACGATTAGGTGTTGATGGCTAATTGATGTCACCAAATTTGCTTTGATAGCGTAATTAACGTCAAAGATAGATCCATAAAAGTAAAGTGCTCATAACGTATTCGTAAACGTATTTTTTCTGGACAAAATCTTTCCTTTTTTTATCAAGTAAGGATGGATGAGAAAACTGTGATGTAATATATGAAATAGATTCAACAATTCACTATTTATTGAGGACCATGCTCCAATCATTATTTTGTTTAGAAATTGCGAACAGATAGGGCTCAGAATTATATACTAAGTTAAATTACGAGATGCACTTGGTGTCTTATTAATGAAACCTTAGAGGTTGCCTGATTGGTATCCATGATGCACGGTGAGCATCAATCCAGGGATCAAATACCCTCCTCCCATTCTGAGTACTATTCAGTTTTGTGTCACTCGTCAGTGGTGAATTTCCTTGAAGAAAAAGCCAGGTCTTAGACAAGTCAGATTTATGGAATTTAAGTGGCACGTTAGTAAAAGTTTACAGTTTGTAACAACTCGCACTCTGTTTATCAACACCAGTCAAGAGACTAGAAAAAGTTTCAATTCTCCCGCAGTAATTCATTAAAAAATTTCTTGCGTGAGTTGATAAAAAATTCGATTATAAATTCCCTCCACCGCAAAAACCTGTTACTCTTTTTTTTTTTTTTCTGTGAAATATTTGTGGAAAATGTGGGTGACCTACCTCATTTCTTAGCCAACAGTACCTGCAGTAAACACTAAGGAATGTTTACAGTGGGTTGTCCGGTTGGCATAGTAACTCGTTAAGATAGAAAATAGATATTGTTTCCTTTTTATGTTGATACCATCATGATAATGATCACCTATCATAATTAAAAAAAGAAATTACTCTAAAAAATCACACGCATGCACCCTGATCGTCCATTTCCTCCATCCCATCGATAAAGTAATCAAAATTCTTATTTATTACATTTTTGCAATATTTATGTTTTTGAAACATCAAAACAGTGATATCCATTGTATTTAAAGACAGGAAAAGATAATGAAAAAGACTGGTATCTTTGCAGGTAGTATAGGACGATCAGGGATATGACATTTTGAAGACAAGAAAGATTCCAAGAGTGAAAAGCTGTTCATCTTGCTTTAGTGCGAGCAGACAGGTGTATAGTCTCTGATTCAAACGTTGATTTGGTTTCATCTTCGATATAAAGCGACAATACTAAGAGGAGAGTCTAGCAGACAAAATGTCTGCGAATTCAACTCAACTTACACAAAGCCCTACTGAAAGAAATGTGCGCTTGGGTTTTTACATCGCCACTTTTGCTATTGGACTTATCGGAAACCTTCTGGTGCTAATCGTAATCATTGCCAAGCGAGCAAAGAAAACTGTCAACGATTTGTTCATCATGAATTTAGCTGTGTCGGACCTGATGCTTATCTTCTTTCTCCCGCTGCATATCTACAATATGTTTGACACTATTCGTGTCACGGTATTTTTCTGCCATTTTATTCGTCCTCTCATGACAGCATCGTTCTTCGTCAGTGTCTACACCCTCACCTCAATGGCCATCCATCGGTGTCACGTGATCTTACATCCCTTCAAACAGGAAATTCGCCACAGGTCTGCTGTTTTATGGATAATAGTGCTGTGGATCATGTCATTTGCAAATGTTCTTCCATTGATGATTGTCACCACACCTTACCCACCATTCGAATGTCTTGAAAAATGGCCGAGTCTGAGTCACAGGCGAGCATATACAGCTGCACTCTTTGTTCTTCAGTACATCCTTCCACTGGTGATCATCGCAATAGCATATATCAGAATAGGTTTAGATCTGAACCGCTCATGTTCTCGTAGTTTCCGGAATGCCAGGGCTGCCAAAAGCCCGGAGAACCAGGCAAGACGGCGAGAAAACTTTAAAGTAACTAAAACTCTGGCAATAATCGTAATGATATTTGCTGTGTGTATGCTACCCAGTCAAGTGGGATGGATGTTGCTGGATTTTGGTGACAAAGAACAAAAAGCGATTGCCATCAAGGTGGTTTTTAAATTTTCCCTTGTTCTTACAGTGTTTCACAGTTGCCTGAATCCTCTTGTTTATGGAAGCATCACTAAACAGTTTCGTCGTGGCTACATCAGATATCTGTCGTATTTCTGTTGCTGTTTTAGAGGTTCCATCCTAAGAGAGTTTAAGATCATTTCAGAAAGCTCGTCACAAAATCGCCGTGACGACTTCAAACACACGCACAATGGACTTAAAAGAAATGGCGAACTCGAAACGATATGTTCTTTAAAATCTAGAGAAATTCAAGATGAATCATCTTCAAGCAACGAGATATTTGACGTTGTGACCGTAATATAGAGAGGACTTTAAAAATGTCGCACTGTATCGTTTAGAGATAGAATAACCTTCCAGTGTGTTTTGAGATTTAAACAGCTATGACACAAAATACATATCCTTAACTTTGTTGTAAGCCGAGATAAAATGTATAGTCTGCACAATACATCCTATGGAGTACAAGAATATATTTGCCTATCTATTTAGTATTTGCTGTCGGATGTTTTACTCGTGATTAACTTTCTGTTCTCTAAGTTTTCAGTGTCCTTCAACAAGTTCAAGAACGTGCCGGTCAGTAGGGCGGCTATTGGTTTATGATATGAACGCAATTTATATGATGTTGTTAAATGTATTTTGACCACTGAATGGTCAACATCTTGAATTATGTATTGTGTTTTATAGCTGAAACACATGCAACTACGTCAACTTAAGATTAAATGGGCAAAATTGTTTTTTAAAAACAATTAACCATACAACCATTTGTTAACAAAATTACTGGACACCAGGGAAAAAAAGATGGTTGCATTAAGACAATGTTCTTTCTCCCTATTGCGCTATTGTGGGCGTGATCTCTCCACAAAGAGATCTGAAATCTAGAGTAAATTCGTGTACAAGGATGTGGTTGTTCACAAATGAGTACTATTCAGTCTATTCATGGCTGAACTGCGTTATATCACTATCACTTTAAATATACATTTGTTCCACTTTGAAACATGGAAAGTCCATTGTAACTCTTCCTCTCAAACGGTTCATTTCTTGATTTGTCTTGTCGATATCTTGCTCAGACGCCGCAAAACGTATTTGAATTTCACGAGCTTTTTTTATGTTTTCTAATGCTTCTTCAGTTGAACCAAGGGCTCCAAGAGCACATCCCAAACCATAGTAAGCTCTGGCAGTGTCCAAATGATTGTCACCTAAAATATACAAAACAAAATCAGGACTAAGAAAACTTCCAACATAAATTGTGGGAAAACCTCCAGCTGAAAATGTAAGTGGCAGTTTATCAGGATTTGAAAATGGAATGTGGTCATTACAAGGAGTGTCGGCTTATTGGCTAGCATGTTGGTTTGAGTTTGAGCCATGACCAGGTCTTTGTAATATATGCCTGAAGAGTATGATATAACTCTTTCAGAGCTTCTATCACACAGCCTTAGTGTATTACTCAATTCACTAATTAAAAGTATTAAACAGCAAGTTGGATATTCACGTCACATTTCACGTTACTTATTGTGTTTTCTGCGGTTTCAACAACTAGCAGACATTTACCAATACTGAATCCAATCTATAATGACAATGGAAAGGCACAACTTTTAGGAGTAACTAAAACCCTCTGCACTGTCTTGTCACATTTGTTATAACTCTAAAAACTCACTCAGTATTAGAAATGCAAAGTCCTATTGCATATTTCTCGCATCCTGTCGTAAGGAAGGTTGTTTAAAGACCTCTGATTTGAGAATACATACCTAAAAGGTATTTCCTCATTTCAAGGGACTCTCTCTTGAACGCTACTGCACGCTTAAGATCACCAAGACACTGATAAGCATCTCCAAGGTAATGTAATAAGGAGGCTGTGAAGGGGTGTTGCCCCAGTAGCTCTCTGTATCTGACCAGACAGATGTTTGTCCAGATGTTGACAGCAGCTCTCAAATTTCCACTGACAAACATGGCCACTACAAGAATAAAGATGAACAACAAAAAGTTCTTGCCAGGTTATGGAAGATATGGGTGCATTACTTACCACTTAAAAAAGCTGTATTTTAATTTTTTTAAATTAAAATCATTCAACATTGAAGTGCAAAGAGCTCAGTTGTTAATTCTCAACACTTACTAGCTAAATCACAGAAGCCACCAGCAAGAAGCATGCGTTCCACTTTACCAGATCCATCAGAGCGTACCCTCCTCTTCCGTATAGCAATGCCTTGTGCTATGAGTGAGATGCCTTTCTTTTTGTCCCCAGAAATGAAAGTGCAAAGACCCAGCTTGCACTTACAGTGTCCCTCACATTCTGTACCAGAAATCGAAAGTTCACTTTGAAGTTCATGTGCTTGCTGGAGGCTTTCTTTTGCAGATGTGTGGAATGCATCCTTGTAGCCATAGTAACACAGCTGTTTAAATCCAATGGAAACAAGACACTCACTGAGAAGGATTTTGTCATTCAGTTTCACAGCTGCCTGAGAACACTGTGAATACACAGACATAAATTCACCTATGTTTAAGACTTTTGCCAAGAAGTTCACAGCATTGGTAGAGATGGTCAGTCCATCACGCTTTAACTGATCATCCCCTTCTTCAACTGATGCTACAAGCGCATGAATGATGTTAGTCTTGTTGATGTGATATTTGTCAATGGCAACTTTACCATCTGTACCAATAAATTTATCACTCAGATCTTGCAGAAGTGTAAGGTAATGCCTTGAAAAAAGTTTAATGGCTGTGTTATATTCCATGCAGGTCTCTTCCCGTGATGACTTGCAAAATGCTTGTACAAGAGGATGCAAGCTATAGTATAGATGATTGCTGACTTCATCTAGCTGTAAGAGTGAATGTTGCTCAAGATTGTCGAGCATGTACTGGAAATCTAGGAAATCCTCAGTTGGGAACAACACGTCTTTTGCTTCCTCTTTGGTAAATGATCTTGGGAAGGAAGCCAAAAAACCAAGTACTTTCTTCATTTCAGGTTGTAAATTGTTGTAAAATACTTTAAGATGGGAATTTAACTCTTGAATTTTTTGGCTCTTTCCTTTCAGAAAACTGTGAGGACAGTTTTGTAGCTTTCTGTGGAGATCACTAGGGTTAACTGCCTTTTTTTTTAAAAATGATGCTGTTATGTTCAGTAGCAGGGGAATACCACGACAAGCAGTAGCAAATTCCTTTGCACTTTGACGTGAGATGTCGGGCACACAGTTCTTGAGAAAGAGCAATGAGTCTTCATTAGCTAGTGGTCGTAGGGGATAATGTTTGGTGGCAAAAGACCAGAGATCTAATGTCGAGATAGGGATCCTGCTCGTGATAAGTGTGACAAGATTTTTGGCATGGACACCAATATTCTCCAAAAGTTTATAAAAGTTTGACTCATCTTCAGCTTGCAAGTCTTCGGCATTATCCAGAATCAGCACTGTTGGATTTCGCAGGGAAGTTAAATACCTTTTCAGCTGTGAAACTGCATCTTTCTGATCAGCATGAGAACCAACTGCTTCCTTTAGCAAGTATTCCGCTGCACATGCAAGAGATGACACTGATCTGAGGCACATGTATATCACATCTTTTTTTCCTTGACTCAGTATCATGTTTCCGACAGTTTTGGCAAGTGCAGTTTTTCCAAATCCTGGAGGGGCAACAACAGTGACAAGGCAAGTTATGTCATCCTCATCTGTGGTCAACAACCCTGTGATTTCTTCACAAATATCTATCCTTCCAACAAAATTAGGAACCTTTCTGGGAAGGCCAATAGATCTTGGTCTCCATTCATTACCCTCACTGGGCTGTACACCTGCAAATAAAAAAAATTAGAACATTTTTAGTGACCACTACAACTCAGTAATTGCATCATTCAGTGCATTATGAGTAAATATGTGGTAATACCTAGCCACATTCCTCCCTTTTGAATTAAGGCTTTTTCAAGATGAGTATAAACCCCTCCTCCTTGAAAATCTCCAGATATACTCCCTATCAAATATGAAAAACTTGTTAACAAGAAAATATTTGATTAAATCTGCCTCATAAAAATGCCATTTGGTCAAACCATATCACTTTTATCAATTAAGACCAGTGACAAATACATTCATTGACACCTGCACCAACAGAACTGCATTTGAAAATTTCAATGAACTGGCTACCGAGAGAACTTTAGAATATTAATTATGAAAGGTACTTTTTCCCACTGTGAAATATATTTCAAGTGAGCAACCAGCAATTTCTGGGCTAGATTTCCAACAAAACTGGCCCTCTCAAATTTTATTTCAAAGGAAATCCCCTCTGCAATGGGTGAAGGGCATGAACATTTTCTGGAACTAGACATAATTGCCAAAAGAACCCGAATGATTTAGGGCTGTAATTACAGCAAGATCTTCTTTAAACTGAGCAATTTTCAAGCTAGTAAATGGCAGTAAAAATAGAGATAATGCAAATTATAGAAAGAGGCTTCACTGAAAATGTTTATTTATGTAGCAGATAAAGATGATTTAGAAGGCTTCGAAACAAACTTTGTACACTTTTGAAAAAAACAATGGTACTAGTTTAGCAAACAAACTGTCAAGACAAGTTTTTCTTCAAAACATTCAATGATCTCACGGAAAGTATCATACACTTCCATCGATATTATTGTGGAAGAATATCTTTGTTCAGTCAGTAAATGGCTAGGAAAGTAATTGCAAGTAAATTTATTGACAAGTTTTGAACTTGTGGGTATTTGCTCATTTGTTTGTTGCATTGACGCGTGTAAATCTGGCCTTTTTTAACCATAACACTAAAATAAAATGAGACACCTTTATTAGACCCTAGGAGAATTTAGTATGGTTTTTCTTGCAGAATTCCTTCGGGTCTTGTTGTGAAATTTACGGTACAAATAGCTAAATTGAACAGACTTGCAAAGACTTACCGAAAGCGTCTTTGTATTAGGACTGAAAACTTTGCTCACCGTTTTACAACAAAAACATTATTTAAAAGAATTCAGATATTAAAGGAATAAAAGTTCCATCGATTTATTCCATCGAAAACAAGTATCTCAAAGTTTTCACTCTCTGAGTTACTTTTTGTGAAGGAGTACAGTTAATTGGAGACTTCTTTAAGGCCACGTGCTAACTCATTTATCGACACATATGCTATCACAAATTCGTTTTGGAAACAAGTGTTTTCTGGCAACCAAAGTGATTTGAGAGAAAAAAGAGTGTGGACCAACAAGTTATCCATCGGCTTGATTTGCTTAAAAATAATTTGCCTGAAAATACTGCACAGTCGGCAAAGCAAAATATAGTTATAAAAAACGGCAACGAAGGTAAGTACTAAAACATGGAACCACCTAAAACCACCTACGTGACATTTTGACGTCTCGCCTTATTTTAGACATTTATGCCTTGTTTTAGATGGTTTTAGATAGTATCGAGTGGCTGAAGATGTTTTTGAGGTGGTTGTAGGTGGTTTTAGGTTTTTCCATGTTTTAGTACTTACCCGGCAACGAAGCTAGGCATGTCTTCTCGGCGACTCACGAAAGCGTTACAGTGCCCGTGGAGAGAAGGGAAAATCCGGACCGCGCTAAAGGCCACTCTGATTGCAGGATCATGTTCTGAGAAAGAAATAAATGGGATTGTTGTTGTCGACGGCTCCTTTTGAGGAGCCACCTTCCCTCGTACAGCTGTGTGTTTCCACCAAAAATGGTTGGAAATATTTCCAAAACAGATAGAAGAAGGTAACCATTCTTTACGAACATGTGCTTTCAAATAAATAACTGAGTCTGCAGTTGCACGTCAGCTTTTCATTCATGGTTTATCAGCTGGCCGATTTCCAATGTCAAGAGTACGTTTACTGTTACGTTTTGAGCTATTAAGACATGAAGGCGTAAGAGAAAAGTTTGATCAATTAAATAATCAAATATTTAAGCATACTGGTGATAATTGTGATTGCCATATAAACAAATAAGTTACATAGATTTATAAATCAATTTGTTCACCTTCTATTTGTGTCTTTAGTGAAAAATGTACATGAATATTTTATGCTCGTGTAGAATCAAAATATCTTCATACCTGACAGATGGAGATTGATCTCGTTCGCCAAGAAACTACGGCCGGAGCCATGAAGAGCATTCAAAAACGATTCAAAAGCATCAGGACCACTTCGAGAAAGCTCATCCAAGAGGCAAAATGCCTTCCCCTCACTTGTAGTTTGAGCAAGAATGGATTCTTTGCTTGCTTCGTCCAAAATTTCTTTGGTAAACAGTACTTCTGTTATTCTCCTTGGATCAATATTTCGCGAGATGTGAAGCCGAAACTTTCTTAAGACTTTCCTGTGTGATTCCTCCATGTTCTAACATATCAGGAAAAGTTATTTCTGAGTGAAGCAAACGTTTTCGGCCAGTTTATAGGACGACCTATTTACGACCTATTTACGGAACAAGGTCCTTCACGCTTTCCGGGAAATTCCGGAAATTATAGAAGAACGCCTGCGTGGTGAGGCCACCGGAAACTGAACCCAGCTCAGCCCACCATGAACAATAGTAATGGAAAGTCCCGCCTGCCCTTTTGTACGATACAAACCAATCATTACAAAATAAACATTTTCCATGGGAAAACTGGCCCAGTTCTCTTCGAAATGTATACATAGCTGTGTGTTTTACATTTAACTGCCTTTTCAAGGTTTTTCGCTGTCTTTGGAGTGTTTTGATAATACTTTATTCTCTATGAGCCGCAAGCCGAAAGCCGCAACCCGATTCGTTACCGTATAATTTCCTTTGAAGATTAACCATTTATAATTTGCGAATGGAAACAACTGTCGGCTTAGGGTGGTAGTTTTTAGGAGCACTAAGTGTGCTAAGCCAGCTGTGTATTGTGTACTTCCTTATTTAAAAGTCCCTCATTAGTGATTGTAAATGTATTGGATTTCCGCTGAGCTTTACTCTTTCCTGTCACATAGGGACTTACTCCCGGGGCACTTGTTAAAAACAAAAATAAACATCAAAAGTGGAAAACGTTTTTTTTTTACAGCCAAAATTTCAACAGTAAAAAAGACACATCAAAAAATAGTACTCAGGCTACACCACTGTCTCTCCTAAGTCTATAACATTACTAGGCCTGACAAATATGAAGGGTTCGTCCATATTACCTTAAAAGTCCTTAAAAACCACAGTGTAAAGATAACTGCAATGGTAAATGTTAAACATTATCCTCGTTTGAGTGCGGGCCGTGTTTGCTCTCCCGTTATCGATAAGGCCGACTATGAATTGACCTAAGCTCATGTAGCGTGACGGTCAGCAGATGTTTTACAAGTCAATAGACTGCTAATGTACTCCAACGATCAGAACCACGGCAAGACAGGAAACGTAACCGTTTACGCGCATGTGGCAAATTCTGCAGAAGATAATGGCCGGGTCGAAGCTTGTAAAATTAGTGTTTTATTTTTCAGCATTCCCTAAATCCAATATAGACACTTCTAGCGTGAAATAAGGCGCTCTTAAAATTTTAAAACCTAAAGCCACACCGAATACAATTAAAACATAAGTGACTAATAACTTAACGCCTGGTATGGTTATTGTTAAGACAGCCAATCAGAGGACAAGTAGCGAATTCCCCATGACGACTGCTTTAGTTTACGACTTGCGGTTTGTCTTAAGAGCTGACTTATGTCGATTTCTTGTGGATGTCGATACAAAAGACTTTCCTTCATTACAGTAACGGCGAACAGATTTCATCTAGCCACCTTTAAAGTGCATTTTGTCGCTAAAAATGCCACAGTGGGTACAATTGCCTCCGAATTTGCTACCGGAGAAACACACGATGGGAAAGTCAATCTACACTACTGATTATTCTAGCAAGAGACCTGGCTTTCAACTTCATCTTCAAAAGGCTCGCGGATTTCCAAGCAGCAAACATCATCCATCGGTACCAAAGGTTCGCCGTCCTAATATACTCGCTTGATCTCCCAGTTAAGCCGAGTCATGTAGAAGTTAGTTAACATTTAAACTTAATATTTGCACCACATAAATTCGCATGACCTCCTTTCAGGATCCCGGCTTTTCCGCAGTATTAAAGCAAAGTCACCATTATACTATGTTTCTCTGTCGGTCGAATTTCACTGTTTACTAAGCAAAATGATTTTCATCAGTTTAAATAGTAATGAATGATTATAACACGAATCTTATTCCCCTCAGAAACCCGACAGAAAGACGATGCGAGCGCATCAGACCGGCAATTACCTCAATTTTAAAGAAGATTTCGAGAGAGCCTTGTCCACTGTAAGCTCACACCAAATGCGGAATTTTCGATCAGATGTTGACATAAAAACACCCGACGACTCAAGATCGGCAGGTACTTTAATTAATTTTCAGAACTGGATAATGCCGTGTCTACCACTGTCCTTACATTTCATGACGCAAATTTCTTTAATGAGTTGCCAATATGTTGTTACAGAACGCATTTGAATCACGAAAATTCAAGTAGGAAGGTCACAAAGAAGCCAGCGAGAATTTTTTGGTACAATCCATAGTTTTCATGTAAAAGCGCATACTTTAGACAATACAGATATTAGCCGAAAGCTTTTAATCCTTCAGACGCACCAAGTTGTGAAGCCGATGTATCTTACTGTTTATTTGAGAGATCCAAAATGTTTATTCAAACGATAATTTCAAGAGGACAAGGGAAACTATGACCTTAATTACTCTTTTTTGGTCTTAATTCTGAGAGACCAAGGAATTTCACTGAATGAATCCTGAGAGGAAAAAAGTAAACACGTGCAGATTATTTTGAAAATATCTCTTCGCTAGTTGTCGCCCAAAGTAAACTTGAGACACTAAAGGACTTTGACAGCTGGGTTTTTAGCACACGAGAGGTGTTAAAACGGCGAGTAAGAACTGAATCGAGCATGAGCAATGAAAAAACAAATGATTAAATCGGATGAAAGCAAATTACACTTGCCATATATACATATTTATGATTTCGTTAGGCTTGTGTTTTTTACTGTTTTTTCTTAGATTTGTTTTTCTTGCCTAGCCACGCACTCGGAAAGGGCATTGTTACAGAAATTTATTCAGCCAACACTAGAATTAGTGGAGGAGGCATGGCGAGGAGAAGCGACCAGCACAAAACGGAATAGAGGTATTTGAACAATGGATAGAAAGTTGGTTTCACACCTGTGTATGGGTAATATTCATTGAAATGATTTTTTCCATTTTATCGGCAGATCGCCTTTATGGTGTGGCTGGACAGAAAGTTGAGCTACACAGTAGACCTGAAAGACGCGAGGTATGACATTAACAGAGTAAGAACTTATTTGAGTGAGGAATTGCAGCAGACGTTTTCCATCCTTTTTGTTTTGAAGCTATACTTTCGCTAAAATTGATTTTCATTTCTTAATCTAGTTAGTGAGGTCAAAAGAAATGTCTACTTAGCAGTTTCCTGAAGTAGAATTTGCGAACTTAAAGAATAATGGGAAGAACAGATTCTAGCGAAATGATCGCCGGCACAACGTGAAGAAGAGAAATTCTATTCTGGGCACATTACAAGATTATTTGTACAAACGCACTGGGGGAGGTGTACTCTCTTATGTCTTCCAATTAAATGAACTTACATTTGTTTTCCGTTCAGGCGAAAATAAAGCGCCCTGTTCTGCCTGGTGTTAACAATTGGTTACGGTCTTCAACCGAATATGGTAATTTTAATGCTTTTCCTTTGAGAATGTTTTCTTCCATGATTTCCCGATTACCAGTGTTCTCCAGTTGTTTTGGGTTAAATTAGTTTGTTCTTTTCCTCCCAGAAAAAGCAGTTGTCCACAACTTCATAGATACATTAAACAAGGCGTCCTCGAGTGTTGTACAAGTGAAACAGAGTGCACCTAGAGCCGCAGAGAAAACTACGAAACCTCAATTTTCAAAGGAATTGTATTTCCAACAACGGGCAAAAAGTGCTCGCTCCAAAAGAGTATCAGAACGCCCCACACTTCCACCGCGTCCCAAATCTGTTGGATCAGTAAGGTTAGTGACTTTCTCAAGGAAAAGTGTGTGTAAGTGTGTGTCACTGAAGCTGAAAATGACAATTCTTTATTCGCTGAACTTCAGAAAGTGTTGCAAGACGGACCATAGAGAGTTGTAAAGTCAGTATTTTTGGATTTGTTTTGATCGCTATGTCTTTTTTTTACCCGACGAGCTGCTCTGAGTACGATAATGTAGGATCACCACTGCCGGTCTTTCGTGATCTTCAACTCTGTCTGACTGACACAAAAGTGAGAAAATATCGAATGGAAAGTAAAGGATCTGGGAAGAGTGCTAACTCTTACTAGTTTGCCTCCTCCACTCATTCATTCCTGTCAGTCCACGCATGGTATTATTTCAGCGGAGTATGCACTTTTCTTACAACTGATCAAATTTTGACTTACTCATCAGGAATGAAGGCAAAGTTGCTGAGATAACCCAAAATCAAGTCGTGGAACATGCACACCCCCATCACTTTAATCACGGGGAAGGAAAGTGTGAATTTTGTGATTATTTAAGAGTGAAGAGATTATTGGAACACCTTAACAAGTAAGTTGCACGCCTTCTGTTAAGTAGTTTGTAATGTTTTGCAGACAACAAGACGGGAAGCACTTTTCCTGTTTCAAAGCAAAGGTTTAATGCTTTGGGCCATTGGTTATTCCCTATTCCTTCCTGGTTCTCCTTGACTGTGGTTACACTCTGCGCAAATTTTTTGGAAGTATGTGAGGGGAAGAGTAAAGTTATAACCGCTATGATAAGACCAAAACTTTAGCTACAAGACAACAAAAAAGAGTAACGATGAAGAGAATTAAACCAACGTCCAAAATGGGTTGATGTTAGGATAAGAGGTCTCTGTTACGCAATGTCGTTGTCAGTTCATAATATGTACAATTCGCGATGAGAGTTCGTAATTTGTCAAATTAAATGATTTGTTTTAATTTCATGTCTCCAGGTACGGATCCTGTGGTATAGGAGAAGCAACCCTAACACACTTACTAAGGCCACGAGTGGACCCTACATACCACACAAGTTTTGAAGATTACGACTACGTACACGAAAATTCATTTTTCACTAACACGAGCGCAAGAGATCGAGGCTACTTCATAATAGCTCCTGACTGGGTTTCAGAAAGGAAGGGTGTTATGTCTACCCATTACCAATGACCAGCGGTCATTTCTACGTTCCACATGCTCCCTACGGATCGAGATGAAGTTTCTCAACAGTTAAACAGAGACACAGCACTTGATGGTGACCCATGCATCCTTCTTCGCTGATGAGGGACTATTAAAACATACAAAACCGAAAAAAATGTAATGTGTCAATACGCCCGATTGGAACGTCAAAACTATTTACAATTTTATTGTCCCAGTCGCGCGCCTTGAAAAGTTTCTTGCTACTAGTAATATTTGTTATCGTGCAAAGAAAAAAGAGACTTTTTTTAGAGTTAATATATTTTCATCTGTACGATCTCACGACTAAGAACACAGATTTCACTAAACATTTGATTTCGTAAACTATTTAAACGGTAGATGTAATTTTGTTTGATGTAAATATTGATCTAAGAAGACCCGCTCTACGATATTTAATATATTCTGAAAATCCAGTTATCAGTGTCTGTGCAGAAGGGTTTACATTTAACAAAGCGGATCAACAGCCGACGTCCTTCACCTAATTCATCCTAGACTCGTCTTCTTCTTGTTACCTAGCTCACCAGCCGTCATTCCAGGCCTGTGCTCCATGATTGACAGCTTCTCTATTTTCCCTCCTTGATCGAGTAACTGCCGAAGATTCGCCTCGTTTTCTCCTCCGCATCTCTCTCTGTTTCTTTTCTAAACTCTTTTTTACTCTGGTTCTTATTTCTTTGGAATCTATTGGTGACGCAGTCAAGGGTTTCGATTGGTTGCTAGCATCATCATCCGGGCTATTGCCCACCACGTGACTCTTTGTATCACGGTAAGGCCAATATAGTTTGTTTTGATTACTCAGCTCTTTTAAATCCCAGTCCTCGCTCTGTTCTTTTTTTGGGATTTCTTTGCTCGTTTTCGAGTCTTGCTCGTTGGAGAGGTCATGTTCGGGTCCCCGAGTTTCCACTGAGTTATCTTAAAGTAGAAAAAAGGGAAATGAAAGGCATTCAATATATTGTGATAAGTAGGCACGTTTGCCACCAACTGTTGGACATTTTACATGTGATTTATTTTAAGGCACTATTTCGAAGGTAACACATACAAATGCCCTTCCAACCTACTTTCACACCTGTATTGACTATAGATCCCACCAACCTTCCAAGCTTTGCTCAGCTATGTCATCGTTGTCACTTTCGTCTTGTTCATCTGATGTATTTTTCTCTTCATTATCTGCTTTCCTAACACTGCCACCCTCACAAGCGTTGAAGTCAGCTGTAGCCTGTGGTATATAGAGGTTCTGTGTCTGAATATAAAGTATTGGTGTTCCCATTGTAAATGCGAATCGTCAAGGAGGAAACGTATCCCTGTTTATTTATTCTAAATATGACTAAGCTTGAACTTGTTGGAAAACATGCTTGAGAGTTTCCTTAAATTCGTGAAAAGCAGTGTGCAAAGCCTCGTCGCATATCGAACAAATCAATCAGCTTTTCCATCAAATGACATTAGAAAGAAATAATACGTTTCCCAGACATCTTCCTCAGTCTATAGGAGTACTATCTAATACCAGATATAATACGTTTCCCAAACATCTTCCTCAGTCCAATAAGAGTGCTATCTAATACTAGAAATAATACCTTTCCCTAACATCTTCCTCAGTCCAATAAGAGTGCTATCTAATACACTTTAAGTATTACATCCAGCCACCTTAAAAGTAAGAAAAGGTTTTCGTGAGAGCCTGCTCCCCCCCCCTTCCCCTTCACCCCCATCCAGCATTGGGTGGTGTTATGACATACCTCATCAAATGAATCAGACATGTCTCTTGTAAAACCACTGGCTTCCACTTCAACATCCAAGTTATGGAGTCGTCTGTGGGGAGAAAGTTAGAACCTAATGAAATATTGAAAACTTACTATAAATAGCACACAACAGTCTTCCAGAGAAGCTCAGCATTATTCCAAGTGAGTCACTGTTCATTTAACTGTTCTCATAACATTCTAGCTCAACTTTTTTAACTTACTTTATGTCAGCAAACTGAGGATAGAGTTCACTTGAATAAGAAAATCTCCGAAAAAAGAAATCTCTAATGCACTGTACATCTCTGTCAAAATACCTTGAACAAGGAAGAAAAAAAGACTAAATGAAGTTTGTAATGCTTTGTCGTTACTCTATACTATGCAAGTTTCTTTTATTTTTTATCTCTTGATTATTTTTCATCATCCTCCACCTTACATTTTATTATTATTACACAGCACAAAGGTTTTTATAATTAATCACCAGTTGATAAAAGTCAGGAAACATGCAATCCCTGTTAACAAACTCTTGAGTTTGATTTACAATTTATGTACATGTAGCTTTTCATTTGCCTGTCATTTCACCAAAACCAAAATGATGACAAGAGAATACCAGTGGGTACATCATCATAGCCTCATACACTAAAACACAATGATACCTAACTAGCAAATAATTTAGCTTTATCTGAGTGCTTGACTGAGGGTGGTTTCCCAAAGAGACAAATTAATAAAATCAATTATTGGTGACATTCAAGAATAAGAATGATCTGAAGTACTTTCATTTCTAACCCTAATAATTAATAACTTATTAGGTAACGCTAAGATTTTGGTGACCTTTTTTTTTTAACCTAGCCCTTACAACCTTACTTACTAAAGAAACTGTGGTGCTGCATCTGTGGGAGAGTATAACAAGGCAATTTGATATTATCAACTGAGCTGATACTGTAAACTGGCCACAGTTAAGAGTTTTAAGGCTGACATTTTAAGCGTCAGCCCTTTGTCAGAGCAAATGGAGGAATTGTGGGTTTTGTGTGTGTGTATATGCACAAAACTGTGAAATGGCTTACCACTGTGCATTTGGATGGGATATTGACACCATCTGTGGAAAATCAATAACTGTTACTTGGTCTCTGTCATTGATGATTAAGTTGAATTCATTAAAATCACAGTGAATCAGACCAAAGCTTCCAAGTCGTACAATCAACTCCATTAAGTCACTGTATAACTCTGACGGATCAGAAACATCATGAACTTGACACCTGAGGAAGGTAAAGTAATCTGGGATATCATCACAAGATAATACAGTGTATGCTACCCCCTGACATTCAAAACTGCACATCTGAAGCAGCTGTAAACTAAATACAGAGAGTCATCCCCATTAAAATATCATCATTTTGAAATTCCACAAAGTAAGGACACACTCATTTGTAGGTTATTTCACAGGAAGGAATAACCAGAGTTACAAAAAAACTACAGTTAAGGACAGGACTGAACTTGACTCACAGCAAGTTTAAAAACTACAACTCACAGTGGGTGTCCATCAACAAGTTCCATAACTACAGCATGACGATTAAAATCAATTGGTCTTGGAACAGGATATCCATTGTCATGAAGGGCCTAATAATAGAACAAAAATTAACATGATTACAACATTTTCACAGATCAAATTGGTTCCAGATTTGTTTTCACAATAGCTCAGCAAATTATCTGACCTAAATAACTCCAAATGAAAAGTATTGGTTAGTTCTCCAACTGCTCTTTTTTTTGGAAAGGAATAAACAATCTATCAACTCTGTATGAAAAATTAAAAAGATATATTCTCACAGTACCTTCATGTAAGCATATTCTTTGACGGCAGCTAAACGTGACAGATAAAGCCATGAGACATTTTTACGATGTTTCAAGTAGTCCCGCTTCTGCTTGAGCTTGCGAAAAGATGTTCGTCCAAGTCTATTAATGAAGTTAAGTGATAAATGAAAATAAAATATTAAGTAAAATAAAAAGAGTGTTTATTAATTCCCTTTTTATAGGCTATAATAATGTTACATTTGAACCCAACATCATTTTCTGATTGTTACTAAATAGACAGAACTGTAGGGAAGAAGCTGCTGCGAACAGTTATCAACAACACAAAGCCAAAAGTGTATGCGATAAAAAAATGCAACAGTGATTGTGGACAAGAACGGTAGTTCAAAAAGTTCATGGGTAACAAACTCATTGTTTGTCTCCTGTAGTTGTCCTTTCTAACAAGACCATGACATTTCAGCGACTGATCCACATACTGCTGGTGTTTTTCAGCCAACGAGGTTTACTTTATATGTGTCACCCTATGGCCATTATTTTTGGCTTTAATTGACTGGTATTCAACAGCTTTGATTGACCAATTTCTAGGAAATGTTCCTTCAAGGGTCTGCTGAACAACAGCTCTTCTTTGGATGTGTCTCTTGACTATTGGCATACATTCTTCTGTCTGTGCTGATATTGTTGGGGTTAAGTCCAGCGTAGCTTGCCTCTTTCACCATTAAGTTAAACAAGGAGGATCACAATCATTAAACTTTACTTTGTTCCTGAGTAATTAGTGTCCATTGTTGTGGGCTTCTTCTGAAGCAGCCATGGTCTGGGTCTCCAAGAGGCAAATGTCTCTGTCATGCTCCCTGATTCTGTACTACATAGGTTTTTAAGTTTTGCCAATATAAATTTCACCACATTCTGAGGGAATCCACTAAACCGTGCCATCTTGGTTTGCCTCGTCAACAGCATTTATTCAGTCAGCCTGTCCAATACCAGTGAGTCCAAATAGTTTTGCATATCTCAGTCAACCTCATTGCTTAAAAAAAGACTTGCAGAGCGGAACCAAACTATGTATCATCTCCACACAAACCTGTGTAATTTGAGAGCATGCTGGTTCTCTTCTTCATCAGCAATGATAAAAATATCTACAAATAACAGAAGACCAAATGTATATTTATAAGTTGTACAAAAAATGAATCTAACAAACCTATATGTATACTATGTAACCCTAACCCACTAAAAAAATATTTAACTGCCTTACAAAAAATTAACATCTGGGTAAATTTACACATTTCAATCCCCTGTAGATTGAAGACAGCTTGAAGGTGACAAAATTGCACAAAAAACCTGCAATTGCCATTGACTTTGAGTTTTCTGACATGGAGTTGTAAAAGTTACAAAAGTAAGGTAGCAGTTGTTCAACCAAGGTACCCTTTCCTCAATATAGTTATGATCAGCCTTCTTAAGTATTTGGACTGTTTGTAAGTTATGGCATCCCCATTTCCATAGGGTCTGATACCGAAAAATTGCAATTGCACACTTGTTGTCTACAAAACCTATTATGATATAACAGTTCGATCATTTTGGATTAAATGAAGATTCAACAGAACTAATTCCATATTAGGAAGTGAATTCTAATTTTCTTGTCTGACAAAAACTGATTTTTTTCTGACTTATATGCTTCAATTAAGTAGAAGCATTCAAGATTTTAAACAAAAGTGATAAAGGTATACTAAAATGATGAAAACACTGAAGTACTTATAATAACCCCATGATTAAGCTTAGTTCATTGTTCATCTGTGGCTTTTAATTCTGGGTGGCATCTGTAAGAAGGAAGCACTTAATCAAAGAAATACAGTAATATTGAGTGAGGAAAAAGTAGTTTATTTGCTTACCCCTTTTGGCAACTTGAAATTTGGTGTAATATGAAGAAAAGAAGTATCATTAAATACCTGACTCCTTTCCAACACCAATTTGATTGCCAACTGATTGGACACTTCCTCTTGTTGTCAAAGCCTTCAGAGCAAGGTAGTCATATCCACTGAATGTAAGTCTGTAGCCTTCAACTTTGTCAGAAAATAATCAGCACTAGCATTAGTAAGTTAAACAGTAATTCTAACACAAATTAGACCATTACTGATACATACTAATAATAAGTTACTTTCTCAAGACAAAACTTGTTGGAAGACACTTCCTTTTGCCAAATAAGATAATTAATATGAATGGGTGTTAAGCTTAAATATATAAACAGGGCAGTTTTGATTGTTTAGTAAATGTCCAATTTCATGTTTGCTTCTTATCCCTTCAGCACTGAGGAGTATGAAATGAAACAATTACATCTTTACCTTCAATTGACAGAACTGAAACAATCAAATATTAAAAGCAGTTCTCTCCAGAATTCCTATCGATTTGATGCACCATTTACGCAACTTCTATTCGCTCACTTTTTTAATTCAAATATCTCCTACAGACATTTTTATTTCGTCTTACCACGGCCAGACTTTTCATAACAAACCAATTTATGTTTGGTGAGTTCACGTAGAATTTTGTGGGAGCCACCGTGTTTTAGGTCAGCAATTGAAGCTACAAGAGGGGAAGGTACCAATTCATGATTCTTCATACCCATTTCAACCTAAAATAAGAGGAAAGAGAATGTGTTCGTGCATTCTTGCCAAAAAAATACCTTAAACAGAGCAGCATACAGCAGGACCACTGGTTAAAAAAAATACGACAAAGATGTGCCTGCGATAACATATTGTTTATTGACCCATTAAAACAAACTTAAAGACGACTGCAAGAGACCATAGACATCCACAGCTTAGCAAAGTTGAAATGTACACGGATGTCACGATAATACTATTACAGACTAACACTTCACTTTTTGATAAAAATGTTCTCTAGTGATTCCTGTATGATTATAAACCCAAGAATCTTACAGTACCTAAATAAAGGCATGCTAGAATCACTGATTTATTTTAATAACTGGATCGTTTTTTCTAATGTCAACATTTCTTTCTTTGAAATACAAACATTTTGTCAAATAGACTATGTTTAGGATAAACGTGGAAAATTATCTTTCCTTACCGCTGTAAGAACTCTGAATTCCTCAGACGAGAGGTATCGTAGCATAGATACATTCAATTTACCCATCTTTAAAAGCAAAACAATTTGCAGGAATGATCTACATAACATGAAACAGTTGCATCGCCAACCTCATCGACGCACATGTTGATCTGAAAGATGGAACCAACGGCGGTGGTGTTGTAGTATAGTACCAACTTTGAATCCCTATGCGCCCGTTGTGCATCGCGCTGGCCAATATTACGTAATAACTCTACTCCACCCTAGAACTTTAATCAAACCATTCCACCCCAAAGTTTCAGTGCACCCGAGTAACAAAGATTCCAATAGCCTCTGGAGATTGAGATTCAAACTAACAAACCAGAATGATAAGTAGAAAAAGAGAGAGACCTGAAACCACTTTTTGCAAGATGAGGAACGGAGTTCACAGTATATCTGCAGGATATTTCCTTCTATTATTAGTAAAGTGACAGTCTAGTCTAGTCAAAGAAAAAGAAATTAAAGACATGCGCTCGATGATTTCTTTATTTTAACGCAAAAAGAGTTTCTAGGCACGAAGAAATGTAATTTTTTAAGATGCCTTTGAGCAGGTTATCCAAGGCTTGAACTGAAGGTTGCAAAGTCCGAATGTTGCCGGACTTTGAGCAAGAAAATATAAACCAATTTTGACATTTTATTATCTCTTGCTTCGAGATGTAATTTTTTCAGGTTATAAATGTACTGTTTCAGTTAATATATTGGGCGCACGATATGAAGGTGGAGCTAGGATACGAACATTATGAAATAAGGAGTGTTGTGGTTAGGTAGCATCCCTCCGATTAACTCACTGGAAGAGTGTATCTAAGTTCCCTCAACTGACCCACTACAGGCCTAGAGCTATTGAATGAGTTAGGAATTGCATGAATTGAATGTATGTATGTAGTCTTTATTAATTACACAACAATATATACTTGCAAACAAACGTGCAAGGTTTACAAAAATTCATCACTTAAGAGAAAACTAGTTGTAATCTGGATAAAACTAAAAAGACATCTGTTAATAAAAGTTCGCTTAAAACGTTCCGTACGAATACGAGGTAAAATGTAGTTATGACCGCAAGAACGGAGCGACCTTCCCTCTGCATGGGAAGTAGGTCACGTAGACAATGATCGTAGTCTTTCGTGATCTGTTCCCATAACAATTTATCTCTGACACGAAGAATATCTTTAATGGGTGTAAAATTTAATAAATAACTATATTTGTGGGCACGTTTACAGAACTTATCGATTCGGCTAAGGTGTTTACATTCTAATGTGCTTCCCCAAACTTGAATTGCACAAAAAAATAATGACATAACTATGCTATTAAAAAGAACCGTCAATTCCTCCAGCGAATAGCCATTAGGAAGTTTTACTCACTTATTTTCAACCGAGATCTACTAAAATCTATTGTAATGGAGCTTTTAATTTGTTCACGGCGTGCGTGTTTTCGTGAAACGCCATACATGTCTTTTAAAAAGAAGTTATGTTGTAACTAACTAATGAAGTACTATCTCTACAGTTTTTTTGATCTTTATTTTAACTAACTCACTTAGCAGCACACGATAAAATATCGACACCCGGTCCGGCATACCTATATCGAAATGTATCTAGATAAAATTAGAAAATAATATATAGATTAAGTTTTATCTCTCCTTACATGAACAGGAAATTTGATTTATAGAAGAGCCCCTTTTCTTTCTAGCACTTTTCTACTTGAGGTGAAAAAGCTGAACGCTAAATATAATGTTACTTAATTATGTTGTAACTTGATTTGTCCTTAAAAATCCTTTACTACCACTTAGACACACTCTGGCCTAGTCGGCAAAAAATTGTTTCAGCGTTGCTATGAAGACATAGTCAAGCGGTTGACCCTTTCCAGGGTATATCAAAGGTAGCAAAACAAAGATATGGACTTTTTTGTTACAGCAACAACAAAGGCAAGTGAACACTGCTCATTGCATAAATTAAATATTTTATGCGGCCGCTTTATCATTTTCAGGTTGCAGTTTATCATCTAAGCATATCGTGGAATAGGCTAAACATTTCAATGAGGCAATACTCTCTTGATAATTGCCTTTTAACAGAAATGATTTTGTTCACAGTTTGGTTCAGTCATAGAGACAGCGGTACACCTAACAGTCTCCTGGCCAACTGAACAGTGTCTCTGCGACAACTGAGAGGCGTTAGGAGTTACTTTCTTTGAGGGTCTGAATGGGAGTACTTCGATAGCACTAAACACTTATTTTTTTGAATGTATAACATTAAACAGTTAATTTTCAGCCATTTTAACACTAACATTAAAAACTTCGTAATAACATTTTTTTTCCCATAAACAAACAAACCACATCCTAAAAGGGGAAATATCTATGTTGGGCCTATGTTTATTGTATCAAAGAGGTTTTTTTTGGCCATTTTCCAACAATTCGGGATTATTTCAAGACTTCCGAAGAGTGAGCAAGATATCCGAAAGCTGCCGAAGATTTCCGAAAGCTGTCGAAGATGTCTGAAGGCTGCCGAAGATGTCCGAACACTGCCGAAGATGTCCGAACACTGCCGAAAATGTCCACTGAGACTGCCAAAGATGTCCAAGACTTATGATTGACGATATTTGAAGACTACCGCAGATTTGGCTTGTATAACTCATAATAATTCTATTCTTAAAGCGCTTTTACAGCGAGGATTCACCAACTGTGACCACCTAGAGAGAATATATTAGTAACAAATCAGATTACGATATTCAAATCAAACAGCCAATGGGATAGTAGAACATCGAAATAAACAGTAAAATTAAGCAAATTTACGGATTGCCATTCGTTGTATGAATACCTCAGTATGATTGGTTGGCTTTGTGAGATGGTCCCAGTTGGTGTATCTGCACTGTAAACAAAAAAGATAAATACGAAAATTACAAGGAAAATGAGAGTTAACATATATGAGTGTTTAAATTTGACTAGTAATGAATGCAATAACAGAATATTCTCTTACCAATAAGATCGGCTACAGTGCTCACAATGTATAATGGTCGACAAAAATGACAGACATGTCACTCCATCCTGGCCAAAAACATTTGATTATATTCCATACCTGAAAAGTCCCGATTGTCTCAACTGTTTCTAGAGATCAAGGCGGAAATGAGCGCGGGTGGTGCGACTAAATCTGCTGAACGTTATGTCTGTATCATTATCCACATCGCTCTCCGAGTCGGTGTCGAATTCATCCTGTTGCTCGGGGAGGTCTGTCACGTCACTAACTGCGACAACTCCGAGCATGCTTTCGTCAACAGAGGTGATTCTCGGTACTTCGTTTGTAGCTCATGGAATATTTGTATCCAGGTCGACCCGTTCTTCATTGTCTGTCCCTGGATCATCTTAAACATCCTCTTGGAATGTTACTCTAGTACACGATGGCGTACTGGAATATACAGCTGGCGGCAGGGCTCCCGCTTTGTCTTTTGTCGATTCGCTTCTTACCGTCCTTGACAGGTCGATACCTGTCAACCAATTTCTTCATGGCTGCCTCAATGTTGGGGTCAACGTTATCAGCTGGAGGAGGTTTCATGAAATCTACGTCCTGTAACTCCACACTGGATTTAGGCACTGGATAATAAGACTTCTCAAGTGTGAAGTACTTCGCACCCCACTTCGTTGTTCTCTCTAAAGATTCCTTTGAAATTGTTCCAAAGTCTTGAGCGTACTGAAGAGAGGTGAAAGTCTCGTTTTTGAAGTGGGAGACAGCATGAAGGTTCTCCACCTACGTTGTTAACAGCGTACGCAGGTCAATGTCACCAAGATAGTCCTCGTTTACATTCTTAACGTTATCTCGTAGCTGTTCCATACCTCTTTCGAGAAGCACCAATGACTCCTGTGTTTTGCTGAAAACAGTTCCTTCAGGGCCACTTATTGTTGCCGTTTCTTTCATTTTATAGTGCTGCCTAATTTCAGCGACTGTGTTTTTTAATATAAGCATTTACAGATGAAACATTGCACACAGCATCTTGAAAAGATAACTGGACCGCGTCGATCGTATGTGCACCAATTCCAAAACTATCATAGAGACATTCGAGGTTGCGAAGAAAGGACACTTTGCCAGTAGACCCCAAAGCTAGTTTGATTGTTTCAGCAGCTATATCAGAAACAAAAAAATTTTCTATAAGGAAAAGATTGCATGCATTTGTGTAAATGAGCAGCTTTCTTCAGTTCCATCGACGGTTCCTTCATGGCCAGTACCCAACAAGGTCTCGACTGTTGCACTTAAGGGATTAAAGGTCGTAACCTTTTGATCTTTGTTGTCGGTGAAAACAATGTTGCCCTCATAACTATACAGCCTCTTGATTTCCTTACAAGAATCTGAAGAATTCCGCAAGAGTCGCTCAACATTGACAGAATCGAGGTTACAACCATATAACCCTCCAGCTGCGCCATTTGCTGCCAAGTATGCTGATTGCCGCAGAGCATAAAGAGATTCAACACTTGTCACGTCACTGGAATAGTTTATCTGTCTCAGCCTACTACCGATGATAGGCATCCATCCACTCTAACTCCAGCTTCATTATGCTTCTCTGCTCATCATCTGCAAACAAGAAGATATCCTTACTTGCCGCACAGATGGAAGTTGATTTACTTAAAGGTGGGTTAATCTGGACAATTTGTTTATTCTCGACTTGTGCAGCTAAAGATCTCAGATGTGTCGTCAACCGCTTCTGTAGAACTGGACCTGTACCCTCAAGTGACAATCTGAAACGACTAAGCTGCGAAGGCAAATCAGCTCGCGATTTTAGGCGTCCGGGTTTGAAAAGTACTTCGCCTTTCAATTCAATGAAACGGATTGCTGATGAGCCTCTCTCTGCAACGAAGACTACGCCATTGGCAAAGCATAGGTCCCTCGCATCCCAGAGTACTTCCCTCCGAATATTTACATCGACTGGTCGGTGTAAACGCAGTTCTACGAGACTATCGAGAGTCGAAATCGTAGTCTAACGCCAGTACTTTGCCTTGGGGCCCAATTTCAAGTACAATTGGTCTTTTGCAAACACTAATTTGGTTGGACTTCCAGAAGCGACACTCTTCAGGAACTATTGTGTGGATTATCAAACGTATCCCCTTAAGTACATCTAGTACTGAGGGTCTAGTCAGGCGCATTATCAGTTCTAAGGACAAGAGCATTTCAGCTTTGGCTCACTGTTCGCGAGTGATTTTCTTAATTTTCTTGCAGAATTTAAAAGAGCAGATAAAATATGAAAATGCTTTAAAAAAAACTTTGGGGTCTTCTTTCAAACACTAAACAGTATTTATTCAAGAACAGTAAACATTAAAAAAAATGGCCAATTTAACAGTAAACGCTAAAAAATATGGGCAAATAACACTAAACACTAAATCCCATTCAGACCCTCTTCTTTATCTTTATTTTTGACCACAGTGACCCAGATTGCCCGAAATGTTCAAGTGTATTGAAACTTAAGTTGTATTGCCGATCTAACGGTAAGCTCTTGAGCGGCTAATGGTGTAAGGTCAATTGGTTTAAGATTTTGCACAACAGAGGGAGAATATGTCTCCTCCACTGAGTCCGAAGATTTCTCATTATGAAGAGGGAAGAGCTAGATAATACAAATTAAAAGTAAATTCCAAAGTAAAAACTCGAAACCGCCTTTCGGTCACTAGTTCCTTAAAAGAATAGTTACCATGCGTGGAATATGATTCAAACTGAAGCTAAGATAGCCAAGCTTTTTGTCTCAGTAAGAGTTGCTCACTCCTTACTTACCACGAGCAGCGCACTCAATGTGTTGGCTCTAGATTCCTCTACCCGCCTTCACCAAAGTTCAAGACTCCGAAAAAACTTCCTTTAGAGAATTGTAAAATCTGATAGAATTGTGAAAATGTCAATAACAGTTACTTTTAGGACGAATAGTTCCTCGTGCATTCTTTTGCAAACTGTAATCACTATCCTTCACTAGTCCCCATAAAATGTGGACTGATTCAGTGGAAATTGTCAGTGCACGTTGAGCTCTTTATTCGGCCATCTTGGTGAACAGTTTGCATTGTTCACTGGTGATTTAGTTCTTGATCTCAAATACACCAATTTTTTTCGAATTAAATTCAATATTTTTGTCATACTCTTATAAGTTCACATTTTCACAGTTTTTAAGTAATCGTTTACAGCCGTGGTAATGACATATATTCTTTACTCTGAAGGCGACTTTGGGTCTGGAAAACTGGGACGAAAAGTCGCGCAGAGTTTAAATGAAGTTCTCTTCCCCAGTCAGATTGATATCAGAAAAAGAAATGCGTGCCACTGATTCCACCGAACACATTCGCAATTTGAAGACAGTTCAGTTGTATAAATATCCAAAGAAAGACGTTTGAGTTTGTCAGATAATATAACAAACGTGGCTTAAAGAAACATAATTGTCATTGCTAGGTTTGAAACGTTTGATATTGTCACGTAGCCATATCATCATCTCTTACATCATTTGGTGCATCACTCTGATAGTCTTTGACGCCAACAGGCTAAATCATTAATCTAGCAGTCTGCCCAAAACTCTTACATTACAGACAGACTCAAGACACATATAAAACTAACTTGTCAGAGCAATTTACATGGCTCTGTAGTCAACAAAAACTATGAATAGCAGTAACCTTACTCTCTAACGATTATTCATATTGCTCAGGTATAAAGGAGCACTCATTGAAAATAGAGTTTATCACAACGAAGGGATCTGTGCGGTTTCTTCAAAGCTCAATGAAAAGAGCTTTACTGCAATGGGGAACATAATCAAATTTGAGACTAAGTGCTGTCAGATCATAATGAATACAATTTTGTTCTGCGGCAGGTTTCCTCTTTCATTTAATAAAATCTTTTTTTTCTTATACCAACCACTTTCTGTCGCCACTTTATTCAAACTACCCTTGCTGTTGTGACATCTTTCACATGGTAAAAAATAACAATTAAAGCGAAGTACAAATCAATTTTCCTTTAATTAGGACTGCCATAAACATCAACGGCGCAAACTGCATCAACTCACCTAACAAAGATTCTTCATACTTTTAACATAAAATGAATGTTCAAAACGAGAACAAAAGACAATGTTGAGGATTTGCAAACTGCGGAATTGTTTCTTAGTCTCATGAAGCATAAGAGTCCAGCCAAGACGGATATAATTACTCGTTTTTTTCATATCGGCCGAGATATTTTTGTTCTCATTTTCGGTTGACAGATCTTTTTTTCTGTTTCATTTTTGCAACAAATCCTGCCGAAACACGCAAAATCAATTTCGTTAAATTTGTCTTCACGCGGTCAAACTAACAAGACGGCAGAACACTATAAAGTCATATATCATATCCAACCGCACACAGAGGACAGTCACCGACCTTTCACTTCCTTTCATTATTTACAAAAATGATAAATTAAATAAAGCAAAACATTATATTATAACCTACATTGAGCACGTTAAAATTCCCAAATTGAAAAGTTTGCGCATAAAAAATTCATGACTTGAAAGAAAATCTTCCGAGAGCGGCTTTTTTCTCTAAAGGAACCAGATAGCTTTAAAGAATATCCATGTTACTGACGCACATTGGTTGAGGTAAACGCTTTTGTCATCTACCGCTCAACGATTGCTGTTGCTGTAGCAGTCAAGAAGCATCATTATTTATGTAAATTAGTTACTCCCCCACAAAGCAAGTCTATTTGGAAGATTTTGTGTAATGTTTTTATTTCGGTACATCATTCATACCTTTTATACCGATTTCATAGATAGCTTATTGCACGGCGCAATCATATTAAACAGCAAATGTAAGTAAATTGCTTTGAAAAATAGCCCTCGGGCATGAGCGGAGTTGAGTATCCATCACCCCGGCTCCGAAAATAATTTTTTATAATATAATGCACTAACTGCCTTGGCTGATCGTATATCGAGTTGAAGCCAAAATATATGTACTCGTTCTAGGTGACTGCAGTTCTTTCAGACAGCTAAGCCTCTTGTAAAAAAAATAAATATGCTAGGGATACATAAGGAAAGAAACAAACTCCTTCGGAAGACTAATTTTTCTTAGATGTCGATTTAGTTATCTTGTTTTGTCAGTTGGTGGAGCCGATGGTTGAATTCGCCAATATGTAAGACTAATATGAATTTGTTGAGATACACTGAGTAACCATGTCAACTATGAATGGGTTTAAGAGTTGATGCCACGTTCACAAGCTGCCCTTTTTTGCTTTCCTCTTTCTAGCAATATCGTGCTACTGAACGCGTTTTTGAAAGTGCGTCGGAAAAGAGAAGCTAACCAAGTTTTACAAAAGATTTTCTATAAGGTGAATTCACTCATTAGAAAGCTCTCTTTCTACTCAACATTTTATTGAGATTTCTTTACTGCAATAACATTCCATTAAATAAGACGACTTACTCTATATTTCTAATTCAGTGTTTCATCTACTTAACCATTTCGCCAAGTGTTAAAAATTGACTTATCCGTTGGCTAATTGAGTGGAAATGTCGACGCATCATATCAAATGCAATTTGGTATTTTGGTTCTATAATCTCTTTTAAACCTTAAGTCATCTTTTCCAAACTGAACGTTATGAAACATTCTTTGTTTATGGAATTAAAAACATCATTTTTGGTGACTGAGTTATGTTATGGTTTCGTTTCAAAGAAATATTAACGCAGGTTCCTTCTAATGGTTAAAAAACAGCTTGCCCCTCATGCCGATCAGTTCTCGTCTAATTCATGCACAACTGAACGAGAAACTTGTTCATTCACGAGTCTGTTTGTGATATATTTCATTTGAGCTTCTCGTTAAAATGACCCTTGGCAGGTATGTTTCTGTTTTACTGAGAAACAGCAAAGTTTCTTTCCTTAGGCAGCCCGAGTTTTAATTCCCACATTACCTCGGCATTTGTAAGTTTTTACGAAGCCACTTTTGGTTTAGGGTGTTACTTTTCTCAGTTGATCTTGTAATTTAGATAGAGTTTCTTGCCAGCTTTCTGGTGCAGAGCCTTTTTGGCCCTGTGTGACAACAGTTTTTGATCCGAGGTAAGCTGAAAACGCTGACGACTCTAGTGAGGTTGCAGCACACCCGGGAATAGCAGTTGCTCCCAATTTTGATACGCAAGAGACGAGCTTCGGTGAGGTATGGAAAAGAAGCGAGTGGGGTGGTGAGGTGCCACGAAATTCTCGACTCCCAACCAGATTCAGAGAAGGGTACGACCTAACAGATAGTGGACTGTAGAGGTAAGGGGAATCGTAAGAACCCATGATGCTTTCAATGGCGAAGCTTTTCTTGGTAGGACGGATGTATGTTAGGTTTGGGTATCCGCGACAGTCGTCAGTGCGAAAAGGAAAGAAAGACGAAGATGCTGAAAGAGGACTCAGTCCCCGGAAATACGCCGAGGGACAGGAACTGCTTCCATATTTTAAAGGGTTGCTTCTCCTCACCCGCCGTCTGGCTCTTCTACGCCTGAAATCACCGTTGGCAAAGTCTTCAAGGTTGGCCGGGTGAATAGCCCAGTAGTTTCCTTTGCCGTTTTCGCTGCGACCCGCTTTGATAAAACACTCATTTAGAGACAGGTTGTGTCTGATACTGTTCCTCCAACTCTTGTCCTTATTTCGGTAATACGGAAAGTTATCTGAAATGTACTGGTAGATATCTCCCAGTATCATCTTCTTGTTAGGGCAGCTTAATATCGCCATTGCTATCAGCGCAATGTAAGAATGGGTTGGCTTCACGTCTGGATCGTTGCAGTCAGTTTTATGGCTGCCATCTTCTTCAGGCGACTCGCTTCGGTCCATCGTAGCCGAGTCTAAGTCCTCTATAAAGTTTTGGACGCATTCTTCAGAGTTCTGTGCTCCATGATCACTCTCTGAAATAACATGTTCATTCTCTGTGTCTTCGATTTCTTTGTTTTCAGGCAGTAACGCCATTTCACTGTGGCTCTCGGCAGTCGAAAGTTGTCCGAAGTTTGTAAGGTCAACCACCATATCACTTAAAAATTCGCTCATGTCTCCTGTGTGTATTCTCACGAAATTACCACTGCCGTGTATGCTTTCTACGGCCCACTGCAGATTATGAATTATTATACTTTTAGTTAGTCAAACAAATACCGTGCCAAACAATAGCTTCCGATTGGTTTCAGGTCGCTGACATATATTTATCACCACCCTCATGAGTGCTTATATTGACCTCACTGCAAATTGTTCTGTCTCGGCTAAACAAAGCCAAAAACTAACCAGCTAAATTGAGCCGAACGCGACACGAAATCCAAGGAAATTTTCAAAGGAGAGCGTTTTACAAGCCACGAAATTGCTTAGCTCCAATAAAATACCTATACCGATAGATAAAATCAGTTTTTTGGTAATTTTAGGTCTTGATTTCACCGCGTTTCTTTCATGTTATTCTTGACTGTTAAGTTCTTTTGTAGACAAGGTGATTAAGGTAATTGCAAGCACCGCCTCCATTGCCAGGATCGACCACCCGGTCCGCAGTCTAATAGTGACCGCGTTTTACAAGCAGAAAGCTGATTGGCTGAACATTACATTGACACTAAGACACAAGCTTTGGCCAATAAGTAATGCTTTCTATAAAATATAAGTCGCTAGAGACAGATGGCATCTTTTCTTTCCTCGCTAACAGACTAACGACAATAAAGTAATCGTTTTGACCCTGTAACCACCAGTCGATGTGATAAATACCAAAAGTTATCTGTTTTTGCCAAGTTTTCCGTTGACAATCTGCACGAAACAACTTATGGTAGATTTAAAGCAGGTGTAGAGCAAAGGTTGTTGTTATTTTTCGGGTTTATAAATAGGAAGAAAATTTATATATACGACAGATAAAGAGATGATGTTTACCTTTATTCCACCTAACGCGCCGATGGCATGAGCAAGCAATATCCCGCACTAAGCGCGATCGAACTTACACGTCAGAACTCTTCAGATACAGTATTTGTCTTGGAGGTACTTTGAAGAGTTATGTAAAACTGTTCAAGATAAAATTGTAATATCCGACAGAGTACCACCTAATTTAGAAATTTAAGATCTAAATGTTGATGGTCGATAAGTTTCCAAATGCATACAGAGCAAGGCGTCAAAAGCAGTTGTTTTGTCTCACAAATCTACTAAACATGGGATTAATGTTTATATTTCTTTGCTGACAAATGAATGCGGTTTAGTCCATAATTTCATTTCTAGCAGTTCGAAAACGTGTTCCTTGTTTACAATAAAATCATCCTCATCTCTTTTCAATAATTGTCTCCAGCAATGTCTGGTTTATGGGTTCTATTTCGTAGTTTGCGATGTTTGGGAAACTTGTATCGTTTTGATGTTAGATCAACTTCAAACAAATTAAACCTCTCCTTTCGTCCTGAGGCCAAATAGTTTTTATGGTTTGATAAAACCTTTGGCACCCAAAAAATAATGAATTGATTAGCCCCACAATAACTATTGTTAAAATACATTTATATCAGGGTAAAATTGAAGTAAAATCACACACGCAAAAAAATTGTTAGCTTGTATATATACCTTCCGCTTACACGATCACGAAATTTATTCAGAAGAAGACATGGTCGGAAAAACTACATGAAATTAGACACTTCGCAGCCTTGAAAGACATGTATAAGGCGTTTTTTCGAAAACATGGAGGGAAACCACATTCTTTTGATATTTTCAAATTTGCCCGCTGACTTGTCTTGCAAATTAAGAAGGTAAAAAGTCTGTAATTTTGACATGGGAATGTAGATAACTGGATACTCCTCCAACTTTTTCTATTGTTCGACCGATAAAATAGTTGTTGGTGAAAGAATTCACCTGTTAATTGCGTTTTGCCGCTTGCTAAAATTTCAGAAATATTCCTCCTTGATTTATTGATCAGCAAATGACGATTTTTATCAACAGAGATATGTTTGTGTAATTTTTACTCAGGTGGTGCAGTGCGATTGCGGTGTATACATGAAGGGAACTCTCCAGAAGTAGCGCTCAACAAGCCACGATATAACTGTGGAATTTATGTTTGTTTTCCTCCCAGCATGGCATCTAAAAACACAAAGATCAGTTTTGATAAGTCTCCAGCTGGTTTCTACCGCGTTTATGAAAAGAACAGAGCAGTTTGTTGTTACAAAACAAAGAATTTAAAATGTGTGTGGCAAACAACATATTGACTTGACTTGTTTGCGCGTGTAGCCCAAAGTGCATTTTACATGACTTAAATAAATTTCAGGGAATGTTTTCTTGACTATTACCTAATTGAAAGAAAAGTAATGGTACTCTGACTTAGATGAAATAAATCATTTTCGTCCAAGTCCAACCTTTATGTATAGGACACTGTTCAAGGTGTTTTGATTATTTCAAGACACACGCGTTCTGAATAATGTCTAAAGCTTGTTTCTGGACTGAATAGCGACAAGAAAATACTCTTGCTTTTTGTTCATATACGAGTACCCTTATTGTAAAAATTGACATCTGGTTTAGAGCACATTTGCTTGCTTGGCAAATATATTTCACATTAAAACACTTTTTTGTGGTTATGCCAGATAAATCATCTTGGCTTTTTAAGACAATTTAACTTAATTATTTATGGCCATTAGAAAGTGTCGTTCAAATCATTTCTCTCGGATTGCTATTCGGACCAGAGTCAATACAGTCAATGAATAAGTCTCGGTTTGTTTCCATGACTATAAGCAGTGGGAATTATTAAGTTTACCACGATTAGTAATTACGTGTTCCTAACTGCAAGCCGTACGTGAATAAATCCTCACATGGATATATAGAAAGTGATACATGTACACATGATTCTCAACTGGTTTATCGTATTTAGAAATTGAGTGGATTATGGACAGGCAATGATTAATTAGCTCAATTAAGGTGATTAGCAACTTGTTTTATTGTCTTTTTCATTATAGCATCATTGTTTGAAAACCAACCCCACCCCCAAAGGACAGCTGCAAGCGAACTGAGCTTAATTGAATCTCTTTCAATAGAATATCGGTTTTTCTATACGAACAAGAAAACTTCCTTTGTGAGGTGATATTTCTTTTTATCTTCCTTTGTTTGATGTATTTTGCTTCCAGTAAACATTCGTAAGAAAAAGTGAACAAGAGTCATGCACTGAGTCGGACAAAAATGGTAAAAATTTCACCTTTTAGTATCAAGTGAAATACAGCATGAAATACTTTTTACCAGAGATTGATTCACGGAATATGTGCTGTTGAGAAGGTTTGTCTGATATTCGTGAAGAGCATTCTCTTTTCTTATTCTTCTGCTCGCCGGAATCGTTGTTGTCTTTGACTGACATTTTTTGGCGATGAAAAGACTCACAGGAAGCAATATCGTTTTCATGAGGTGACACAAAGCCAATTCAATATCACAGATAAACGATAGAGAACTCATTTGCAATTGAGTTGTATTGTGAAGTTAGTTAAACGGTTTTAATGCTTCCTGGAAACAAATTCGAGCCGACTCTCGGCTGTAGAAAAAAAAAAAAATTATGAAATAGTGAGTCTACTTGGCAGCGAATTAATTACTGACTCACCAGCTACCGGTCGTAAATTAAAGCTCGTTCGACTTATGGACATGGGAGCGTTTTCTTAAGCCGTTTTTGCTTCTTTTTGTGAGCGATTCGGTGATAATGGATATCAATGGATATCTCAAAGCATCATCCTAGTTAAGCTCATCTCGATTTTCTGTTTTTTGTTTCAGTCATAAACGAACCAGTTGGCCTGACTTGTTCTTTTCTGAATCGTTACAATTACTTTTGTCGGATTTTCATGTTATCAAAATTATTGCAGTTGCAAGCGTAACTGACATAGACGATTATCTTGAACCGAGTAGTTGCTGTTACAATCCGAGCGATTGAAATTTTGCAATAACTTTTGAAAATTCAGTTCGTGGATATTTGGTAATCATAATGTTCAGCTACAATGAAAAATGGCAACGTTTTGATGATGTCAATGATCAAGCTCGAATGGGCCAGGATGGGAGTAGGGGGGGAGGTGAGGGCCTGAAGGGTGTTGCCTGCGACATGACAGTAACAATTTTCTTTGATAAGTCTCGACATCACGTACAGTACAAGACATAAAGATTTGAGATTTTCCAGCTATAAAAGAAGAGAATAAATATAAATGAAAAAGTTTGCTTATAGTTTCATCTTTTATCTTACATGATGCTACTAAAATTGAAATTTACTCTAAATTATCTCTGTCCAAAATAAATTGAACTGTTCCACTTATCGGATGATTGAAACCAATATTTGGACGTTATCTTTTTGTTGTCACAGCAACAGTGATATATGTGTCGTCCTGGAGACGGTACTTCGGTTTCACCAAAGATGTTTTCTTCGATCATCTGAGCTTTTCCAATTGCGGATGATTTCTCTATAGTGTGTATGCTCACACGATGCTGTAACAAGCCAGTTTTCATACATTTCATCATAGTTTCATACACTTTAACCATAAAAGCCCTTTTTTCAGACAATTTGTACAAATAAACTGTTCCGTATTCTGGTTGACCATAAATGATAAAGAGAAAGCAAGAAAATTTTAAGACTGACCTTTCTTACTTAAACTCTTTATCTTTGACCAGTTTTAATGGCGCTAATGGTGATCTCACACGCCTAATATGAACACAGGACTTGTTGCAGAGTGATGACGTTTGTAAGTCTCAAGTGACTCTTTTTAAAGAGGTTCAATATTATGTTAAACAGTTTTAAAAACTATTTAACGTAATATTGAAGTTCTAATTAAAACGTTACCTGAATCGAGCATTTTTCCTCTTCACGAATAAATTTGTAATAAGTCCTTTAAGGAAAGATGATAAATTGAATTTCTTGGCTGTATTGGCAAACTGAGACTTTCCTCTTTCGTGAGGGTTTAAGCATTTAGAAGAAACATTATTGTTTTCAACGCTAACCTCTTACAGTTTTAGAATTCGATAAATGTTAGTTTTTTTATGGCATTTTCACGGAATGTAACTCTGCGGCTTGTCATGATCTTCGTTACAACTGGAAAATTACAGGAAATGTAGATTTCATTTGATGGTAATAACTCATTGAATGGGAAGCTTTAAGGGAACGTGCCAAACTAAAACACAAACTAATGCAGCAAGGATTGTGACTAAATATATGCCGACGACACCAAGGCATATCGCAGCATCAAAGGTGTTGAGGACTGCATATCTCTGCAGAACACCTTAACCAACATGAACGCATGGGCCATGCGAAATAACATTCGCTTTAACTCATCAAAATGCAAAGTCCTCTCAGTAACTCGCAAAAAAAGCCCATTTATCTACGGCTACAAACTCAATCATGTACAACTTGAGCGGGTCACAAGTGAGAAGGATGTCGGAGTTATTGTGACTAGCTCCCTTTCATGGGATTCACATGTCCATACCATCATCGCAAAAGCCAACAAGCTACTTGGGCTTCTAAAGCGTTACATGCCCTTTTCTGACCGATGTTTCAGTCAGGCGGTCCCTCTATCTGGCTTTGGTAAAGTCACAACTGTGCTATGCAACGCAAGTGTGGTCCCCAGCCCAATTCAGTCTCAAAAGTCAGCTTGAAAGAGTACAAAGACGTGCAACAAGATGGATTCTAGGCACCAGAATTGGGGAAATGAGCTACCGAGACCGGCTTATCAAGCTGAATTTGCTCCCTCTCGCCTACGACCGCGAACTTAAGGACCTTGTGTTTCTTTACAAATGTCTGAATAACTACACGGATCTAAACATCCTTAACTTTGTTTCTTTTATTTCCCACGGCCGCACCAGACGAAGTAATTCCTTCAATCTCACAACATCTTCGTGTAAAACAAGTACCTTTCAGGCCTCCTATTTCAACCGAACTGTTAAACTCTGGAACTCCGTATGTACCTTATCACCCCCGTCCAAGTTTTCTAACCCGACCGCCTTTCAAACTTTTGTAGCTAAACACATGTTCTCTCTTGTCCGTTCAGTTTTTGATGTTAATAGTCCGTGCACGTGGTCAATTGTTAGGTCGTGTCCCTGTCATTGATTTTTAGTTATCTAGCACTTTTTCACCGTACGTTTTTACATTTTTCATTTTTTTTTTTTTTTTTTTTTTTTTTTTTATTAAGGGTAGTGCCCCGCATGGGACTCCATGTCCCGTTCGCACTGACCCTTTTGGCGTATGTCTATCCATTTTTTGTCTCTTTCCTTGTATATGCATTCATTTTGAGCTTGTAGACGTACCCAATAAAGTTGTTAAATGAAATGAAAATGAAATAAATATCAAAGAAATGTAATTAAGAGTCAGACCATTGCTGGCGTCATAGTCTAGTGTTAAAAAGCTATATATATGAACACTTTGTAATGTAGCCTGGCAACATAACATAATTTGACAATGATGATGGGTGATCATAAATTATAAGTTTCTGTTTCTGATGTTACGTTGACCCCAAGGTCAGCAAAAAAGTGGGCGCGATGGCAAAAACAAATTTTTCAACTCATTCCATAGTTTGAAAATTTTCTCAGTAAAAAGTTGAAAAGGGTAAAACACATCTTGTTTTAGGAAAGATGAGATCATCATAACGTTATTCTGCTGTTTGGGATGCCTGGGGTAACGGTTGACACTTTGCTAAGTTATATACAACATATATACAAATGCAATTAACTGACCGCAGGAGAGAGCGGGCTTGGATTGCCGAATAGACCGCCGCCATGTTGGTTACCCAAAGCTTTGGAAAGTTAAATTGTGAGTAGCTGTGATAAGGTTGTTCAACCAGTTTTATGGCGAAATAGTAGTATGTAAACTTAGAGAGTAGAGGTTACTTCGAAGCATCTGTGTGTACCCCATTTTTTGTATTGAACGATTAGGATGTTGGATGTTAATACGCCTGTATGAGCTCAATTTCTGATCAGACAAGTTATACTGTTGGTACTATGATCGTTTTCTTGGTTATCAGTGCAGGGTGACAGCTAAATGTTTGAATCCAAAATCTTACCTTCGATTCTGAGATCAGCGCCGTCGGTGTTTAACTCTAATTTAAAATTATGGTTATGGTATGGGTATGGTTAATTCTTTATTCTTGAAATGAGAGAATATTTTTGGTAATCTTTAGGCTCCCCTGCAAGATTTGCTGGACTAACACTATCTTTTCAGGTGAGCACGGTTTGTTCTTACTAGTGTCAAGTCGCATATCGAGACCCTCGAAGCCGGCACTTGTAAGCTCAAAGTTCATGTGTTCCAAAATTAAGTTTTGTAGATGTAAATGTAATGCATGCTTTATTCAGTATCTTCAACACTAAGACAGGGCTTGTAAAGAAGAGCTGCTTGTCAAGTGCTTTGTCCTTTGCTATTGTTTTCCCTGCAATAATTAAATTGTTTTCTCAATACTGCAGTTCAAGATCCTCGAAAAGTTCTTCAAGTGTCTTGATCCCCGATTCTTGATCTTCAATGCTTAATACTTGAGCCTCCATTCTTGATCCTCCATTCTCAGTAGTTTCAAGGATTGAGTATCGAGTCAAGACTCAACTTACCTTTGAGCAGTACTGTTTGTACACCAATGTATCATAACATGATTTGAGTCCAGTTTATGTCACTTTTTCTCTAGTAAAATACCATAAGTATATTAAGAATGAAGTAATGTCTGTGGTTAAAGGCATAACAGAATGCCATGCTGTGGCTAATATTTTAAAAGAATTTGCCATTTGTTTTCCTTATGCATTTGCTCTCATTTACGTGAGGTGTATACATGTGCTCTGTACATTTAATTGCTAATTAGTGGCATCCATACTGTTAAAATCACTGGTACAACAGGTATCTGATATTGTGAATGTTAAGTGATACATTTACTTCAATGTATACTCTTACTTAACAAAGTCTTGTCATCGCAGCGAAATGTGAGTTACTTGCCTAAAGCAGGACCAGGTGGAAGGTCATCTTTCAGTGGAGTGGTAGCTACAGTGTTTGGTGCCACTGGATTTCTTGGGAGATATGTCATCAACAGATTAGGTAAAATTAAAAAAAAGGAATGTGACTAACTCTTGCAACTGCATAGTTCACTTTATCTATGTGACAAGGCTGACAATTTGATTGTTGAGGTAGGTATTTTGCAAATATTAACAGTGACTTTTTGAAATTTGTGTATTCCATGAATAATTAGAGAGGTAATTTTCACTTGTCAAACTATATTTTAATGATATGTACTCATCTGTAAGGTCGTCGTGGAAACCAGATCATTGTACCATACCGTGGAGATGAACATGACTACCGAAACCTTAGGATGATGGGGGATCTGGGGCAGATCATGTTTTTTGTAAGTGTTTTTTTTAAGGCCAGAGCTAAGATGAGTGAGTTACAGTTTGGGGCACTAAGAAACTGATGTTTGTATTTTTATAAAGGAGAGGGTGCATTCACTTTCAAAAGAATCCAATGAATACATTGTTCAATGGAGAGCATGTTAAGACTGTCTTCACTGGTGTTCCTTTGTCAGAGACAAAAGTCAATTACAGCTAGTTGCCTCATAAAATATTCTTTCACATACCGTTAACGTCCATGTATAAGCCGCATCTGTAAATAAGCCGCACCCCCGATTTGGAAGCACAGAATTTGGGAAAAATAAAAACATTACAGTTTGAAGTTTCAGTAGAGTTTTATTGCTACAAACAATCAAGGTTTCGAAACACCAACATAGAAGTTGTGGCTATCTTTCACATTTATCAAGTCTAAAGAAAGCAAAATTTCATTTGTTGTACCTTCTTTTTCATTGGAATTTACACCATCTCTTTAAAATGCTCTTTCAATCCGATTTTTCAAGATTATCACTACAAAACATACCATAAAGTTGAAATTCCTTTGGCATTGAAAAAAAAACAAACAAGTGCTTAGTAGCCAAGCTTTAAATGTTGGGAGGAGTCTGGACCTTTCAACTCAGCTGTTTGGGGATACCACTTGTATAAAGATGTTTGGAAACCTGCAATAGGTGAAAAACTTCGTGCAGAACAGGAGCCTGATAATGCAGTCGGCAAATTTGCCATGAAGGTAGTAAAAAACGACGAGAGATTCCTCGTATGTTGGTGTTCAGTTGTTCAAGTAAGCGAAAATTAATCACTTGAAAGAACTCTTGGAGAGCAAGATTCGCTGATAAACACTCAAAGACACAAATGGCTTCAGTTTCTTTTGTTTATTTCTTGGCATCTTAAGAAGTTTTATGAATGTTAGGTTTTTGAGAACTCCAAACACAGATATAAGCCGCACCCTTGATTTTTGGCTTCAATTTTGTGAAAAAAAAGTGCGGCTTGTACATGGACGTTTACAGTAATTTTGCAAGTTGAAATACTTTGAATGGAGACAAAGTTTCATATTTCAAAGACTTTCACAAGGGCATAACAACATAGTCTCCTTATATGGGTATTGCCAGTCTGGACTTTGCCCCATGTGTGCTGAATATGCGATTAAAGTAAATAATCAAATTTCACTGGGAGAAAATATCTTAGCATGTGAGAATTGCATGGAAGATTGACTTACAGTAGCATTTACTTCCATGTGAAATTTTTCCGTGAGGTAGGATCATGTCATTGAGTGTAGGTTGTTCACTGGTAAATGGCTTTCATCCAAGAAAGTCTAGTTAATAGTGACAATTGTATTGGGAAAATACCATTTAAATTTAAGATGTAACTTGTGAAGAACTTTTAAAAGCAGTAAGTAAATATGACTTTCTGATCTTTTCAACTTTCATGAAAAGAGCAATCACAAGGAAAAAACAAGATTATTGATCAAATATTCTTACTGATGCAAATGCTTTGCACAATTTTTAAATTTTTTTTTAATAAAAGAAAAAAACCCTTATTAGTATGTAGAGCGGTATGTTGCTTGCACCAATCAGATTGCTGCATTTAGGTATGTATCTCGCACCAATAAGATTGCAGCATAAATGAAGTCCCGTCCTAGGATGTGACCCATTACATTGGGTAAATGAGCTGACAATTCTTTGTTAATATGTCGTTCTGGTGTTAATTACATCACAACATATTACAGTACCCTAAACCTAAATTTGGTGTGAGTAATATACTGCTTGATACGTTAACAGGGAGTTTTTTTCTTTTAATAACTCAGTGAGGATCAGTTTGAAATATACAGTGAACATGTAAAGGTTGTATTTTCTAGATAAAGAACTGCTGAGTCCTCTCACCTGATAGTAGAATTCATCAAAATTTGAAAAATGATGTCAATATAAGTTGGTGGATGTTTGTTACATGTAGAGTATTATACTTTCAGCTGGTGGGCTTAAAGTACATTAAGAATTTTCTCATGCATGCCCTGGTGCAAATTACTTCAACCATCATTGGAATGTATGTTTAAATTAGATGAGCCAAATCATTATAAAAAGTTTCCACTTGAACCAGTCAACATAATCATATACATGTATCTTCTGTATAGGAAGAGCCTCTGGTAGTTTTCAATTACCAATTGGTTATATTTTTATGAATGATTTTTGACCAGTTCAAATGGTTCCTAAAGTAAAATCAAGGGTGATACCATAAAGCAGGAGAAGTTTTTATTTGAATGTACAATATGTATATGTATAATATGTAGACCAAATTTTAAAATTTCTTTTTTTTTAACAATTGCTGTTGCTGGACTATTCAAAAGTTACAATTTCCCTTTTTTATATTCAAGGATTATCATCTAAAAGATGTTGATTCTGTGGCCAAAGTTTTGAAACATTCCAACTGTGTGATCAACTTGATTGGCAGACAGTTTGAAACAAGGTGGGTTTCTGACTTCAATACAAAAGACATTAGAGTAGAAACGATGTTTAAGGACTTGTGTAATTTACACCAGTTCACAAAGTTATAAATATAACAAATTTTTAGCCATGACCCTACCCCCCAGCTGCACCCCTCCTTCCAAGAGTTGGCATTATTATTATTTTTTTTTTTGGTGCTTAACTGATAACAAATACAGAATATACCTGTTTACCAGTGTATGATAACTGCAGAGGTACAGGAGATGTTTACTGATAGCTTCTCAGAGGAAAGAATCCAAACCTAAGTATAGCTTCAATTGAAAAACATAATTCAACCTCTGTGCTAGAGCCACCTCAAGCGTGGGGTCTAGCTTTGTCCCTATACTTCATTTACTTAAATTTACTTGTACATTCTTACTCATCATATACAATGTGGCATTATTTTTTTATATTTTTTGCCCAGGAACTTTACATTTGAGGATGCCCATTGTGAGGGAGCTAGGGTTATTGCCAAAGCTGCTCGGGAAGCAGGAGTCAAACGTTTAATCCATGTGTCAGCACTTAATGCCAGTGAGGATAGTCCATCAAATTTTCTACAGTCAAAGGTTAATCACAGTCACACATTTTCATTCTTAATCTATGGCAATTATTGCCATAGATTAAGAACAGAAAAAAAGCTGAAAATTGTAGTTTTGTCTAGATACCTGTGATGATTGTTTAGCCTGTGGGCAGCCTGTGGTATGTGGTATTGAAAATATGTGACCTAGCCTCTGTGTTGTGTTCTTTAGAGAGGTTTCCTCTCCTATGAGTAGCATGAAAATGAAATTTACCAGGGAACTGTACTTAACACTTGGAAGAAATTATAAAAAAAATTAGAAATTTTATTAAATAGAAAATTTAAAACCTCTCTTTAGAAAGCCATATGATGAATATTGTTTCTATGGGGTTGAATTTTAGACTGAAGTGACAATTAATTTATTCAGATTTAGCAGATGTGAGTTTTCCTCGTTTGGTTTTGATAGTTGTTTTAACATATGTTTTTGTGGAGCTTTATGGTTTTTTTTCTTTCACATTTAGATAGATTCTTCTCTTAAAAAATGCCATAATACTAAATATGATATTGCCTTAGTTGTTCTGTACTGAAACAACTTTGTGTTTTACTTCATATGTGATAGGCTCGTGGGGAGGCTGCTGTTAGAGAAGAATTTCCTGATGCTACCATTGTGCGACCTGCAAAGTTTTTTGGCCATGAAGATCAGTTTTTGAACTACTATGTGTGTAAGTTCATGTTGAAGATAAGTTACCAATGGTGTGCTTTCAATACACTTTCTAACATATAACCTAATGATAAATTTAATTTAAAATTTGACTTGTTAACTGAGTTATTTTCTCTATCTTCTTTAAGATCTTGGTAATATTCCTTTTGGTATTCCACTTATTGATGGAGGCATGAACACAACTAAAAGGCCTGTTTATGTAAGTGAACTGTAAGCATAACTTTCATGAGCAGAGCAGCATTGCAGTACCTAAAAATTTGTGATGTGAACTATATTTACATGTAGTCATCTCATGGAAGTGGGCTACCACCACCCATCTGCAAGATCATGAGAATTTCCATTTAATCCAGGTATTAGGTACAGTATAGAAGTTTCTTTAAAAGTTTTGAGGCTTTGTGTGCGATGTTTGCAAGAAGAGTAGTGAGGAATGTAAAAATAGATACTTAGGTGTGGCGTCAACAGTGGTTTTGTAGATTTGTGAAGGAATGACTTCAAGACAGTGTATAAAAATAATATTTAGGAAGTTACCCCAATTTCTTTATGATAGTTTCTAAACATTTTGAACATGGTTTATTTGTCTTATGTGGCTTAAAATCATCAAATTTGGAGCAAATTGGGTATCTGGATAGATTGTATAGCTTGATTGTGTGTAGGCATTAAGATAGTATAACTAAATCAATGATTATGTTATACTTGATTTACTCTTTATGTGATTGTTGATAAAAACGTTTTTCATTTTGTTTCCAGGTGGCTGATGTTGCCCAAGCAATAGTAAATGCTGTCAATAATGATGAGAGCATAGGGCAAACATTTGAACTTACAGGGTAAGATCTGTAATACCATTTTATGTTATGAGTTGGGTCAGAATTTGATTCTTACCACACTAATTTCATTTCTGATCTGTACCTGAACAGATACACAAGCCATGGAATTTTACTTTTTCAATATTTATTGTAGGCAATATAAATACAGTTCATAGCAGAACTCGCTTCGAAATGATGGCATGACAAAACTTGGTTGGTTTTTGCTTACATAAATGTATGTGACAGAAGCTAATACCTGTTTCTCTGTTGCCTCCCCACATTTAATTGTTTACTGTGGTAGGGATGTTTGTTTGTTTGTTTCTTAATTTACTTTTTTATTTTTTTTCATAGCCCAGAAGAATATTACTTGCTTGATATTCTGGACTACATCTATCGGTTGATTAGGAAAGAACTTCCTTACTACAACATACCAAGAAATATGTACAAGTAAGCTGTGATTGAACAATCCGTTAGTCTATTATCATTATTCTTATTGCTTTGTTTACCTGACATGGTATGAATTGTGTGATTATTGTTGTGATTTTTTGTTTATTACAAAGTAAACTTTATGGACGCTATTATAGCTTTTATCATCTGAGGCTATTACCCTTTGCTTTCTTTTTTTCTTTGCCTTCTCATCTTATTCTGTTTAAGGAAAAAGTTCTATTGTTTGATTATTGTGTTACCTTCCAGCCTTATAGCCTGGGTCATGGAGCAGTCCATATTCAACCCGCGTCTTACACGAGATATGCTGTTTAGGGTAAGAATGGAGTAATGTAATTTCCTGCCGTTATTCCACTGCGATTGGTCGGTCATGAGGCTCGTGTATTTATTATAACTGAAACCTCACAGCCGAACCACAGCTTGTCAGTGTAATCAATGTCTACCAGTGTTGACTGTAACTAAGATTTATTCAAGCTTTGTAGTTGTTTTTTTTCTGTTTTTCTTTTTTATCAGGAGTTCCTATCAGACCAGGTTACACCAGGTTTACCAGGACTGAAAGATCTGGGAGTTGAACCTCATTCAGTTGAAGATATCGCCATATCGGTTCTTCGGCGCCACAGGGACTGCTATTTCTTTGAGGATTCCATCGATAGTGAGGAACCGTGTCGACCTAGCAGCTCCTACGTAACTCAATAAACATTGTCCGTTCTTTTGAGTGAAGAGAGCTTTAATTGTATATAATGACTTCTACATCAGCACACTCTCCGTGCTCTTTTAAAGATGGTTTTGCTACTTTTTGTGTCCATGGTTAAGACATGGACATGGCTTGGATATTTGAAATTTATTATTTTTCCTCAGTATTAGTTGTTATGGTGACCTAAATATGATGAATAAAGATGGTACTTCCACTAAATAAAGTGTGGTTTGGTTTCTTTTGATCATGTAGTTTTCTATTGATATAACGCAATGAATAACCGAAGGGAGACATAGTTGTAATCTCAGTCGGTCAGTGGGCAGTGACAACCGTGAAAAAGGCGTGGACCTTGTTACGATTCTTTTGAAAATATCTTCCTCCTTTTCTCTTTGTCGGTTTTTCTCGCGAGAAATTCTGGCACTTAAAGAACGCTCTACATTGAGAGGGAGGCGTTACAGGATGACGAGGATTGCCGTAAGAATGAGAGACCGTGTAATACTACCATCACATTTACTTTCAACAATACTGTAATGCTGTTCTCCCACAATGTGATGCGAATAGGAAGGCGAATTTTCGTTACCAATTCATAGCAGTCAAACATCGCTCATGAAAAGTTGTATCTAATACAAATTTGATAATAGCACCGTTAACTGTCATTATTTTGAAGCAATAAGTTCTGTGTATTGTAACGGGAAAAACTGTTTCCTTTTTTCGAGCCATCACAGGTTGGAAGATATCTTTCTCGAAATTGAAACACAGTGGATAGAATCAGTAACCAGGCTGTTGAGGTGTATTGAAAGGCCGGCAATTGACTTAAAGAAACAATGAATTTTACAAAACTAATCGGACCAGACATTCTTCTTTAATTAAACGTTTCATCTTTTCCATTTTCGCGATTTTTAGCCCATAGATGCCATCTAGAGCAAGGAAAAATAAAGATCCTTGTGCCCAGGCCCAATATCCAATGCGAGGAAGGCTGGGTTACTATGAAGAATCGATCATGGCTTCAGTTAGAACTCGACCAAATATTTTGGTGACGGGAACCCCAGGAACTGGTAAAACTGTAACGGCGAGTGAGCTGGCACAAAAGACAGGACTGAACTACATTAATGTGGGCGATTTGGCGAAAGAGAAAGACTTGTATGACGGATGGGATGACCAATATGGGTGCCATGTGCTGCATGAAGACAGGGTAGGTACACAAATGGTTAATAATGTATTATACACAAAGATTGATGAATTATTGTCTACAGGACAACAGGACAGCACTTAGTCATGCATAAACCTTTTTTTGATTTAGCCAGTAGAATTTTAGACCTCTGTGGGAAGGCTACTAATAACTTATATAAAATAAGCACGGCAGTGATAATTTCGAACTGTTTTTCCTTGCGGGCATCCCCTCGCCCCTCTTCACTCTTTAAGATCTTGTTTATTTGCTCAGAACCACCCCCCCCCCCCATTAATGATTTACAAACCTTGACGATAAAAATACTTTCCTCCACCCCCCCCCCCCACTTTCTTGAAAGTAACTTACCATAATTGTCTAGTTTATCCATAGTTAATGGAGGGAGACTGGTTATGAAAGCCGGCGACCTCTACTAACTATGGTTTATCTAATATATTTATAGCTTACCGACAGGCAGACCACTTACCCTCTCCATTCCCAAACTCTATGGCTGAAGTATTAAATCCATTATGGCTCCCTCCATTTAAGGAAATGAACTCCCTTTCCTCACCACCTAATCTCTTCACAGCTTTTTGATTATTATGTTTTTGTTTATTTGTTTATTTACTTCAGGTGATTGATGAATTGGAGGATCAGATGAGTGAAGGCGGTAACATTGTTGATTATCATGGTTGTGACTTTTTTCCAGAGAGGTGGTTTGATATTGTATTTGTGTTACGAACAAACAACACAATACTTTATGAAAGGCTTGAAAAAAGGTAAACTTACTTCTAAACTTTATTAGTGATATCAGATTTAAGCTTCTCTGACTATTATTAATTACTGTGTGCATTAGGCCTAGCATAAACCTATATATCAGGGCAGAATGATTCCATTTAAACAATTGAAGTGTTCTCCCAGTAGATTTCATCCATGTAAGAGTTCAACGTATTTCACGTAATTTATAAAATTCCAGCAGTGTGAAGGATGTTTGCTGATGTAGCTTTGCATAGTATAAAGTATTATTTGTCCTCGTTATACTGTATGGACACAATCTTTGAATGCATTTTTCATTAAACATGCAGTTTAGTAGTGATGAAAACTTGTATACCACTTTTGTCACTCACTATAAGTTGATTCATTGTAAAGTAATTAACAACTGATGTGGAAGCTAAAGCAGAAGTAGAACAAGTGAATTGTTTTATAAGCTAAGGCAGATCTATAATTACATTCACCTAATTGATAGTTAGGTAATGCAAAGTAAAATATGGTATTTTTTCCTTTTTTTTATTATTATTCCTCAGGGGCTACAAAGGGAAAAAGTTAACTGAAAATGTGGAATGTGAAATTTTTCAAACAATACTTGAAGAAGCTAGGGAAAGTTACAGAAACGAAATAGTTCATGAACTGCAAAGTGACTCTCCTGAACAACTAGAAACAAATCTTGAGCAAATAGAAGCTTGGATTCAACAGTGGTCCACCTAGCAGTAATGGATTGTTTTCAACTTAACTTATTTTTTACAATGATAATTTGTGGAAACACTAAGGTTTTAAAACATTGAAGAAGACTGAATTGAATTATGTTATTGTTAAGCATTAAAGATGCCTAAAGGGGTGCAATAAAGAGGTGTTACTTCATCACAAGGCATTACTGGACAGGCTCAACTGTGTTGGATGATAACAAGCAATATCAAGTGCTCATCAATGCTGTAATATAATGGTCTCTTTTGGCACTCTGTGAGGAGCCAAATGTCATGGTCAGCCATCATAATGAAATGTGTTTTGTGTCAATTTTGATTTCAAACGTAGCAGAAGAGATTCTTAATAAAAGAAAATAAATGTGTTGGAATGTGAGTAGTTGTGTTTTTCCATTCAGCCAACACTATGTTATTAGTTAACACCACCTGATATTTTGAAATGTGATCCAGGAGGCCATTACTTCCTGTGTGAACCTATTATTTCTCTACTTCCAGTCCCTTTTTTCCTTTGAAATATTGTTAGATTATGAAATTTGTCATCAGTTCATCAGAGGAGTTTTAGGTGCCCTTCATTTAATACTTTTGGTGAATTTCTAACATTTGAAATTGGACTGTAACCTTGCTTTCTCCACCTCTGACTGTTGACTGACAATCAATTCTTGCAACTCTGTGAAGGGCTTTTGATGGGCTGGTAAACTTGTATGGGAAGTGAAAAAGAATGATAAAAGGGAAAGATATGGGGGTAAACAGAGTGAAAATTACCTAGAAATGACCCTAAGGAGAGTAACTGTTTGAAATGCGTTTTCTTTTTTTTTGGTTATAATTAAGCTTCAAAATTGTAGTAGCTTTGCGAGAGAAGAAAACACACAAGAATCCAGGACCACAACAATTTTATTGGTAAGATGGTGGACTCTCAAAAGCACATGGTTGCAAAGGTCACCGCCACTACATTACAACAATAAAGTAAATAAAATTTATTTCAATATTTTGAACACAATCTAGAAATAGAGGTGCTTTAAATGGGTGTAATTTATTTGGGGCTGTATAGAAGGGGAGAGGGTCTCATAAGCAGAAGTTTGCATTATTCATGGTGTTGAAGATTTCCATTCAAGGGACAGAACCTTGTGTGGCTTGGCGTTACCTTTTTAACCTTGGGCCTAGAGTCTCTTCGGTTTTACTAATGGTTTTCCAGAGATCCGGTCTCGTTAAGTTTTAGGTATCGCTGGCTCAGCTTGACAAGCAATCCAAGATGGCCGTTACTTTTCTCCGACAACGTGTGTTAAGCAATCAACAAATTTGCTGCACCTGGCGGTTTGTTTGCCGTCAACTCTGCGCTGTAGCCGTACAACAACAACATAAAGAAACTCGTCAGACGGGAGTTCCATTGATAGTCCCAAAACATGTGATCGCCAAAGCTTTCATCGTGCATCCTTCGACAACAAGTGTGTTTGAAGCCAGCTCAAAATATCAGTGGCTTACTAAAACCAAGTTGTTCGAGGGACTACCTGCTCCCTTTTCAAACGTAGAAAATTTCCTGGATGATAAAGAATATGAACATCTGAGAGAAAAATTTAAGGAGTCCATCCTACAAAATCATGCTTTCCGCAAAGAAGGAATTAGTGCTAGCCACAGGTTTAGACGAAGAGGAGAGGAAATGACCATGGGGTTTTTGCAAGATTTGCTTAGGTTTGGATGGTCGTTATCTGATCGACATCGTCATTTGGATGATTGTTTTCTTGATTTGAAGCCCAAGATGAGGATCCACTGGGCCAGACATCATAACTTTTACCAGTTGGATCAAGAGCCGGCATTTGTTATTCGAACAAAACAACCATCCCAACTTCTAGAGCCAAGTAAGTGAAACAACTTAACTCTTTGATTGGAACATTGACAGTATAAATCAACTCAGTTGCTGTAGTTCTGATGAGAAATTTCTTATTACACCTTATTAGTGGAGTATGAGGTCTGTGTTTGAAATACTTGTCTAAGTAGGTAATCAATATGAAAAACGGAAAAATCACAATACAACCAAACTCAATTAAGTGTGTTCAAACAGCAAAAACAAGTTTTCTGTTCTCCAAGTGTGGTTTGGTTTTGTTCAATGGTCAAGCAGTGAACATAAGATATTTACAAAGTGCTTTCACATGGTTTGTATCCCAAGAAGTACCACACAGTTTTAACAAGGCTTTTGTGATCTGAGAATACTATGTCACGATATTAATTTTATTGGGCTTAATTTTAATGGCCCAACTATATTTTTATTCAGTTGTGGAGCTGTTGTGTAGTGTATTCTCTTGTTACTTTACACTGTTTCCTATTGTTACATTTCTTAATGGAAACCATGGTTTCAGAAAACTTAAATCTTTTTATGGCCTTCTAAAGGTGGAGATCTTTTCACTGACATTTTCTGCCAAATGGTATAGGCAGGTTGAGTGGCCCATTATAGTGAACTGTAGACCTAATCGTAGGTGAAGGAAAGCACTGGTATCAAGCCCATGACGCCTTTTGGCTATAATCACTATAGGAAAGATAGACTGAGATAACTTTGAAAAGAAGTTGGAGAGCAGAATTCTAAGGCAGTTCTGCCTCTAACCCTGTTTCATAGCAGAATCCTGCAGGACCCCCATTCCCAAACTTTGCTTGCTGTAGACCCTTTTAAGTATGGACCATCCAATAGTAGAGAGAGACAGTCTACCTGATACAGAAGGTGGTGTCAAGAGTTAGTATCATTGGCCGTGTTAGAAGTTTCATCACAAAAGGGGCAGCAACACTTGTTCACAACACTTTAATTCTTCCATTATATGATTACTGTGACATTGCCTGGAGTAACCTTGTACAGCGAAATATAGATCGGCTACGGCACCCACAGAATAGATCTGCATGGACCATCACGCATTGCTCTCACTCATCTGAGGCAATAAAGCAGCTGCACTGGCCGACTCTTTCCAGTAGATGCTCTTACCACATTAGGCTAAATTCATTTTTCTCTGTCTTCACTCATTAGTCCCTAGTTATTTTTCATTATATTTTACTAGATTTTTGAACATTCACAATTATTCCACGAGGCAAAGTATGAGGCTATACCTACCAAACATGAAACAGAATTTTGGGAAAAGGACCTTTCTTTTAAGTGGTGCAAAAATTTTTAACAAACTCCCTGTAAACATTTTTAAGAGTGAAAACCTTCAGATGTTCTGCCACCAAGCAAGACATTTCTTTTTATCATGAATTTGATGTTTTATTATATTTTAGGCTTTAAAAGTGATTTTGCATTGTACTTTTTAGGCTCTTAATGTAGTTCGCAAATTCTATTGTTGTATTTGTATTAGGCTCTTTGAATGTGATAGTTTATGAAAATTATTGATGTAAATTGATTTTCAAAGGTACAGGGTCCCTATGGAGACCAGTCTTGGAGCTGAATAGGCTACCCTGTGTAAATTAAGTTTTAACTACCACTATAGACACAAGTTTACACTAAGGCATACATCATTTAAGAGAGAGTAATCCAACCTTTTTACTCAATAACATTACAACCTTGGAAGCAGCAGTTCACCAGTGATAATCCAAGCTCGGTATGTGTAGGGGTTATGAGGTCTTATTTGATAGTTATCGTTTATCAAGCTAGGCAAATATGATTTCCAGCATTCTGGGTATGGAGTTTCATATTTACTGTAAAAATACACCCATACTTTGCCAAAACTAATCTAACTCGTTTATGTTTTCTTTACCCACAGATGTAGAAAAAACATCCTTGGAAACAATCCCTGGTCCATTTGATAACTACAGCATCAATGTCTTCCGCCATCCCATCTTACATCTACAGAACAAACCAGGCTTTCAGAACAGTGCATTTTACAAATACCCCTACAATCATGCAATGTTTCTGACAAACATAAACAAACTGACATATGATCAGCAGCAAGCTTATGGAATCATGAGCATGTTTGGTTCTCTGGTTGCCCTGGCAATGGATTATGGTGTTCAGATGGGTCAACACTTGCAGAAGCCACTTGTTACTAAGTGTGTTATCACAGATGGAATCCAGTGCACTTTGATGTGCTATCAACTGAACACACTCTCATTTCAGGAAGACTTTGGAATCAAGAATTGTGCATGGGTTTCACACAGCATGAATCTTTTTGAGGTAACAAATGCTAAACACAAACCACTTTTATTTGAGACTTTGGATGTGGACAACAAAGTGTGTGGTTTTAATGATGAATGTTTCAAAACTGTTTTAGCTTTCCTTTGCAAGGAAACTGAGTCATGAACCATTTTAGAACCTTCTAGTTGTTCCTATATTGTCTACAGATATTTTAAAATTTATTTCACCTTCTGGATGAACATCCAATCACATGTCAAGGTGGGCAACACTAGCCACTATAATGTAATTCAAGTTTGTATATTAGTTTTACAATTGTATAACAATAATTATCTTCAAGTACTGTAGTTATTCAATAAGAACTTACTAAAAATTGCTATTTTAAAAGAGCAAAGAACAAACTTTAAATGCAATGCATCTTGAAAACTGTCAGGAGGGCTGTTAAATGGTTAAAACTGTTTTACACTCAGTTGGGGATTTATATGTCAAGTCACTGATTATTTGTCTTCCTGTGTTATATGTTGATTGTAAAATTTAAGGTGTTTTTCATCAAAATTTCTGCTAGATGGAGGTTATTTCAGTCTTTGAATACAAAAAGAGGTTTGAATCACTCTTCTGCCATATACTTTATCCTTAAACCCAATGATAGGTAAATATGCAGCTCTACATAGATCAGATGCAGCAGCTAATGACATGTACCCGTTAATGAGCTTTGCAGCAGAATTTTCAAACCTTTCACTTGGCATACAGTAGATAAATGAATTTAAGGTGGCATTTAAGTAGCATTCAATTTTAATCTAGGGTTGTATTCTTGGATACAACTAATCATTTTGTTGAACCACTGTGTAAACAGATATCACCGTTAATACAAACAGATTTCTCAGAATTCCAATAATCAAAACGAGCCCATCCAATGTGATAAGTGGTATAGCAATCATCAAAGACAGTCTTCGGAACATGTGATTTGATGTACTCACATCTGTTCCGTTTGGATACATCCTTCCACGTAGACTCGTGGGTGAATTCTATAAAGAGAAAGCATTGTGTGAAGTGAGGATATGATTCTGGGAAGCAAACTGATTGTGATGAGTCCTCCAGGCCTCACGAGAGGGACAATCACGATCTATTATACGATTGGAAATCTTCTCTTTTTAATAAATTTAAGAAGAACTTTTTTGACGTTTGCAAATGAGAATGTGTTGGGTGCTATTTTTATTCTTGGTACGAAATAACATAGTTTGTTATTGCCGGCGACTTAAACGGACTGACAGCATGAGCCCTGATCAATAGCATTACCTGTTTAATCGGAACTCAAGTGTAGCATCAAATATGGCCTACTTATTTATTTCGGTAACTTGAAATAAACCAGCCGCCGTGAACTTCTTAAAATCGAGTTTATGAAAGATGGATTAATTATCTTGACCGTAGAACAGCCTTTGGCATTAAGTGAATCTTCCTGTACTTCCATGTTAGCCAAGAACCAATAATATGGACCGGGGTCAGTTTTGGTACGTGCCCGTATGGGGGGGTCGGATATTGAGCCTGCACTTCTCTACCACTAGCCGGCCTTATCTTTAGATATCTTAAGGTTCATACTGCACAATCATTACAGGAATTGAACCATGAGTTGGAATGACGAAAAGAAGTATTAGCAAGTATCAAATTTGCCCCGAACTAGGTCGACAATAAATAAATTCTAAGCCTGCAAATATTTTCGGGAAACATTAATGCATTAAAAAAACCAAATACTTTGTCAGGAAACTTCCAGTTCCGCCATTTTCAATGAAAATCCTAATTTACCACGAAAATGAAATTATGAAGAGGAAAGACGTGTTTTGTGGACACTGCTTGTAATCTAATACCACTGATACGCCACTCTTTCTCCACACAGGTGAGGCAAACTCCGCTAATTTCATTCAAACGTGACAAAAACATAAACAAGTTTTTGGTCAGAAGTTCATTTCAAATCAGTGACCAACCTGGAACTTTAAAAAATTCTCTCGCTCACAATGCAAAACTTGTCCTTTCAGTCACAACGAAGAGGAAAAGTTGAGACTCAAGAGATATGATAAAGATCACTGATCACTTCACGTGCACCTTCGCCAATGTCACCTACTGCATAACTTGCACTTGTTGCAAAAAGTTATACATTGATGAAATAAGAAGACGACTAGGTGGCCGAGAACAACTTTGGCGACGTAGAAAGAAATGACAAGGACGCATCCAAATCAGTGGGTAGACACTTAAGTCTCCTTAACCACTGCATATGGCAGTTTGCGGCTTTTCCCTACATCTAGGTTGTTCGGAAAGCCGCAAAACTCTAAGACAAAAATATATCACTCAAATCGGCACTCTTAATCCCCACGGTATCAACGAGCGCTTTTCATTCAACTGATTTATTCTTGTTTTCTTGTCACCATATTTCCACCAATAACGTAGCTCTATATAAACACACGCACAACCCGCAATTCCTCCAATCGCCCCGACCAAGGACTAACGCTCGAAACGTCAGCTTTTAAACTCTTTACGGTGGCCAATTTACGTCATCAACTCAGTTGACAAAATTGAATTATCCTGTTACACTCTCCCATCCGACGCAGCACTATAGTTTCTTTACAGACTTACCCCCTTTATTGATGAGGAAAACTGAGCCTCGCATCTTTAAATCATGATGTGAGAAGCTTGTTAACAGATCTACGAAACTTCTCACTTCGCACAGAGTAAATTAACGGGTCTAAGGTAGCATTCAAATAGTACACTGTATTTATCCAGACTTGGAGTCTTGGGTATAACCAATAAGTTTGTCGAACCACTGAGTAGAATATCACTGAGGGAAACCAGCAAAGTGCGTACACACCCAACACAATAGCCATTGTCTTGGCTGACTTGCTCTCCCAGAGGAGTTGAGTGGGCCGCATATTATAGTTAGCCGGCGTTGAAGCTATTTTCTTTTCGTGTTTTAAGGCAACGAAGAACATGTAAAAGTATAGTATGAATGTAACCAAAAGTAGCAAGATGCAGTAGGTGTTTTGAACGTAAATGATATTTAAACCGTGGAAAATACCGGTAATTATTGCACCCGAGGTCCAAGTTAGGAAAGAACACACTGTAGCTTTTGTCTTCGTGAACAGGGACTTGTAACGAAATGGAAAAGCAATGGCTATGAAACGCTCCAAGGCGATAAAAAATAAACTTGTTGAGGCAGCAGTGACAATAAACTGAGCCAGTACACGGTGCAGCAACACCAATGTCCTGTCCGCGTGACAGAGTCCCATTCTATCACACAAGTGACGTGCAATATCACCTGGAATCAGCACGGTAACGGTCAGTAAATCAACACAAGCCAAGTTCGCTATCAAGATGTTGGAAACTGTCGAGAAACGAAGCGCAACAAAAATCACTGCTAATACGAGAAGGTTTCCTAACGTCCCAATTATGGAAATCAGTCCATCAAGCGCAATAACAGCTCCACCTGTCGCATCAGTTAAGATGGTCGGTGTTTGACGACTTAAATTTAAAGTGGTGATTTGAGTGGTGTTTTCATACATTCTGCCTCACACTCGATGTGGAGAACTGAAAAAGAGAAAAATGGAAGGCATTTTAAACACGTTATGAACCTCGTAATTCACACAAAGAAATATTAACAATTAGCACCATCAGAAAAAAGCATAAACTTTAAGTGGTCATTCATGGTTTTAAAAATCTTTTTTCATGCATACCATTTAAAATATAGATATTATTCAAGATTTCCTGGCGCTTTATGCGCCCATTGATTTATGATAATTGAAGCCAAACTTTTAATTAACCAATCATAGGAAAATCTACAACCAATAACTGAGCACATGTCTTTCGGATTTGTTGGTGGAGTATCTGGTATTATTCGAAGCGGGCATATATGCATAGTCGTCAAACTATTATAGGAGATGAATGGTTAATTTCTATTTGCTCTTAACTTCGTCTTCAAAGAGAGGTGTAAATATTTGTTGTTAATCTCGATATTGGTCACTTTTTTATTACCGATTTCTTCTGCAGCATGTTATCAAATATTTGACCATCTGTGAATTGGATGACCAGTACATAGGTCATCGTGGCCTTCTTGGTTTTGAACTGACTTCCAATGGAGACCACAGTGGAATACTTAGAGGGCTCTCAAACTTTCAGTGTACAGGTTAGAAATCTAAGTAAGAGGGTGGCCAGCTCATCATAACAGAATATAACTAGAAATCTTCAAAGAACATAGTACATTCACCATTTATAAAACAAATCATTGGATACAAAAACTTAGCCAAAATATCATTAACTGGCTTGCTCTACCGAGTACGCCATATAAAATCCGTGGCTGGTAACTGCTAGAGGGAGACTGGATATGTATAAAAATATATATTTTTAAATAATTCTCTTAAATAATCAGTCGACGCGATGTGACGAAATTCTTAGCGGCTCCGCAGGCTGTGAGTTCAGCCAGCGTTTGAATAGGAGAATTGCTTTCTGTTTTAAAACATTCTTAGCTGGTAGAGCATCTTATACAAATAAAAACGTCATCAACTAATGGATTAACGACAACTGTTTCTTGTAAAAAACGTTTATTCCAATAGTAAGGCCCCAATCGCCTATCACCAGTGTTGCTATACGCAAACCAGAAAATATTGCGGATAAAGAGAGCGCTTTAGTGTTTGATTCTACCTTACTTGCTTTGGCAACTGTGAACAGTTAACCTCTGTCAGCTCCGCTTTTGAACGTTCACTCGACTGAAATTCGTGGTGAAGTAGTTTCTCTGCCCGAAGGTAGTCAAAGAATGTAATAACAACTTGTTTTTTTCCACATACATTAAGTGAAACACCCACTCATTACAAGCTTGAACAATATTGTAAATTTTCACATGGTTGAATGAACTGCGCCTATATATTTGTCTCATTAAGATTCCTAGGCTATCTGTACGTCGACAATTGACACACATGTTACGAAGTTTATTGATTTGAACATATCTCTCACTCATCTCTATTGAAGATGAAAAAGATACATATATTTCAAGAAGATTGCCTTCCGCTCACCCCAAAGTCTTCGTGTGAAGGGCTTGAAAAATTTTTATGAGTGTTTGAAGAATCACTTCTTATTGTGGTAAATGAAACGGCGTAATTAAAGTTAATTCTTATATTGCGCTCATATTTCAATACCTAACGACACTGACTGTCCGTTTTACCTACCAAACCAATCGGAACACAGAGATCAGTTGTCAATGTTCCGTCATCATTCGCTAATGTTTAGGTGCATCTCGCCAGATGAACCTTGTCAAGACGTGGGATTGACCTGACCAAAAGGGTTGAGATTCAATCAATTTTTGTCGTGTAAACAAAATCTCAAGAAGCCTTTTCAGGCTTCTTGAGATCAAAAATCTGGAACCACAACTATCCCGTCGTACTCGAGTTTGAAATAATTTTTCTCACCACTATGTCTCTCATCTTTTGACGTATTTGGTCACCAAAAATACTGACTCGGGTCAGTCTCGAAATAAACCACGCCAAGTGCAGCCTGGGAAAGCAAACCTCCAGGTTATTACTGCAGTGATTCGTCCCGTGCAACTGAACAAATCAACCAGGGTCGTATAAAGAGACAAAATAAACTGAAGTGGACAGGCCGGGTCATCTCTTCCTGCCGCGTAACCTCTGTTGACAAATTCTTAGCGGTGAAACAATTAACGGTGAAAATCTTTACAGTAAAACTCTTTACTTTACTCTCTGAAACTCTTTTCGGCGGCCAATTTACGTTATCAACTCAGCTGATTATACTTTGTTGTCACTCAGGTTTGAATTTCTCTATTTTTCCAAAGTAAAGACCGGTCTGAAAGCTCTCTCGGTCTTGTACTTTCTCTTAAGCAACAATTTTTGTCTCGTCGTGGCTATTTTTTCTTTTTCTTTATCCGCTGACATATTATCAGGTGTTTGGTCGCCAGAAAGGTTGGACCAGGTCATTCTCATAGCAAACAATACGCCAGTAGAGACTGGCTCCTCGGGTTCGTGTATAAAGTACTTATATTATTTGGCACTCTTTATGTTGATTCAAATCGGGCTCGTGATCAGAGGCACATGAGGGCAATTTTAGAGGAAAACCAAGCTGAAAAGGAGCGCAGTAGGTATAATTTATGACCGATTTCCTTTAATTTCGTTAAAAAGGTGACAGATCTCTGAAACCTTTCCTGCAATGTACTTCACTCCGAAACCATTGCTGTAATGTTAATCATACAGTAAATTTCAAAAAATACTTTTGCATATATCTGAATTTAAAGATAGTTTAATTTTGAATTTAAAACTTTCTTAGCTTTATAAAAAATATAATCTTTCTCCAAATAAAACGTAATCATTCAAATATCAAAGTCATAACATTCAGGTGTTGCACCTGTCGGCTATCGTGTCATGTTCCATGCTGTGACAAGGCTCTTCGAAAACTCTGTAAAGTCATTGCATAGTCCTGGCCAGTTGTCAGCTGTAACGAAGCATACAAGCCTTCACCATCTTTCTCATTGTCTTCCGAAAGTTAGCGCTTCGTACGCAGTAGATGTATGGATTTAAAGAGGCATTTAAGTAGTATATTATGTTAATCCAGTTCTGTATGTCGAAGTATCGTGGATCACTTGGAAAAACTACTGAGTAAAATATAAGAGCTGGGATCCATGCAGCACAAAATACACCAAGAATCATTGCCATTGTTCTCGTCGACTTTCGTTCATGTAAGAAGTTTGTATTTCTTTGCACGTTTGAAATCTGCAAGCTGGCAATCTGTCTTTCTTTTTTCAGAGCAAACAGGAAGATATGAATGTACAAAAATATTGTCACCAACATGATGACAGTGCAGTATGCAGGCTGTATATATATAAAGTTTAGTACCATAAAAACAGCTGATATAAATGCCCCTAACAGCCATGTAAGGGAGATAATGACGACAGCACGTCGTTTTGTCATCATAGAAGTGTACTTGAATGGATATTTAATGGATAAAATACGGTCTACAGCGATCGATAATAAACTTGAGACTGCAGCAGGCGCGATAAACTGTGAAAGTCCACGATTTGCCACAACAAACGTTTCTGGGACGTGACAAAAACCTTTCCTGCACATATATTTATAGATACCACCAGGAGAGACGACAAACAGACTTAATAAATCAATTAGGGCCAGGTTTCCAAGAAGTAGGTTAGATGGTGTTGCAAGTCGAATGTTGAAAAAAATCACCAAAAGTACCAGTAGATTACCCAGTGTACCCAAGATAATTAGTAGTCCGTTTATTGTGACGGCTGATAGAACTAAGGCCAGGTTTGGAGGCGTCACCGAAGGGCTCGCACTTGCTGTCATCGTGGTTTTCCTTTGGAAGTTTGTAAACAGAACAATGATTAATAATCACTTTACAATACGATTATTGCTTTGGTCTTTTCGACAAATATGTTATGAATGTCATTACGTTAAAGCAAGAGTATGTGAATGGATAGCCACCAACAGGAACATAGTGATGATGTTCATCTTGGGCGGGCGGCTTTCCTCCATTGCCAAATATCGCTTCCCCCTTCCAGAGAGAGCTAAAAATAATTTTACTGATGTTCATAAAGATGAAGACGATGATGAAGTGAGTACGATAGGTTTTTTTTATGTCATCACTGTACAACTTCCGATTGGGAACAAATGTTAACAACCTTATTTAGCGCTCCTTATTATGTTAAAACGCTGGTAAAATATCAGTCACCCTTGGAGCAATTCAACTGTTGAAGGATCTGGTAAATATTTATAAGTGGTTTTAGCTGTCAAAACATAATTTAGTCAATTTAGTCTCTTTGCTGACTGTTCTCCATACAGAGAAATCGTTGTCCATTTTTCTTCCTGCTGAAAGGCTTTGACAATTTGTACGAGTACTCTACCATAGAATCCTCATACAATATACTCTAAGTATACCGAAAGGAAAGAAATTATATCCCCGACAGTTTTCTTGCTTCCCGTTCATTCTTGAATCTGCTGCGTTTCGAAAATTCCACTCTGTCATAACCATACCTATTGCACATCTTTTAGAGGTTACTACTGTTTAGTGCGACATTTCACCCGGTAATTAAACTACTCGGAAAAAAATAGAATTGAAATCCTAAGGAAATGTTTGTAAATGAACCAAATTATTATCACTTAAAGTTGTACTTTCAACTGTCTCACCCGTGATTTACTTTTTCGTTATTCTTCATTGATAGCTTTGCAAAATTCACTTGAGAAAAATACTTACCACTTTAATAAATTAAAGGAGTTTCTACAGAAGAGTTAAGTTCGAGAACTTACCTGAGCAGGAATAAAACCACGATTAATGATCTTTTGCTCTCAGTTTCTGACAGCAATTGTAGTTCCGCAGTGAACTCAAGAAATAAAACACGCGACTCGAGTTCTAAACAGAAAACACCTAAACAAACCCAGTACAAACCGTTTATCACAATACAACCGTATGACACTGAAAATTTGTTGCCAGATGTGCTTGGCTGACGATCTTTCCCATATGCCGCTGTATACAATCTTTTGCGCAACCGCAGGCACAACAGAGCTTGATAGAGTGGGCATATGACGTTCCAACAACACGACTGGTCGACAGTTTGAACCGAACTGAGCTGTCTTACGGCAATATCGCATATAATTCCGGAAACATCATATCGGGTGGCCTTTGCGAAGCCTGTTCCATCGCTTCAACCGGGTTATATGCAGTCACTAAACTACGCATAAAAATATCCTTCTAATTACATTGGAATGTTTTAATAAGTAATGAAGTTCATGTGTGTGCGTGTAAAGGAAATACACTTGATATATTAGCCTTTTCCAGCGTATCCTTCGACGTTTTATTACCGGTTTAGGATGAAATATTTTCCAGAAGTGATGCTATTCAGAATTGACAATGAAATAAGCTCATGTCAACTCATGCCAGTTTATTTTGGTCTACCACAATTCATGACCTTTATCACGTGAACTATTTTGGTTCACAATTAGCACTGCCAAATGTTTCCCTTGTTGATTTTTAGGAGGTTTGCTATATTGCAATGCTATTTCTTCCTCGCACGATAACGTTTCACCATAAGAGTAGATCATGGCTTGTTGACTTTCAGGAGCCAGTTTAGAATATTTATCTTTGTGTGTGTTCAGTGAAAGCAGTGAGGGATACAAGGTCAAAGCTTATGACTAAGAGGCGTCAAGAAACGAAAGCAACCGCTAACCAAACAAATATGTTACATAACGTAATCGACGCAAAAATAGGTATATTGTCAGTTATTTAAATTGATATCAGACCAACAATACCCGTGAACAATATAATTGCGTGGTTGTGGCCTACCACCTTTTGAAGAATCAACTGCTGTTACTGATTTAAACACCGTGTAATGCATGAGGTATTAAAATGACCACTCGTTTGTGTCAATGAAATCTAACAAAGCAGGCCTTCACGTAATCGTCGGGATAACACACCCGACAAATAAAATAAAACAAAATGACATTTTAAACATAGAATTCGCAAAATTGGTCAGAAAACAGTAATTTTAATAAGGTCTCGGCTATTGCACACGTCTTAGACACGATTTAGACTCTCTCTAACTGTTAGCCAGCAAATTTAGTCTCACTTTACGTCTGTCTTTTGGATTGGCCATCTAGATTTTTATCCTTCACATCTAAGTTGGCTTTGTTTAATTACTGATGAAGGAGAGCAGTTAGAAGCCTGGAGACTACTGGGTTAGTACGCATCAAGCTACCATTAGAGTAAATTTTGAGCTTGTTGGTATCGTCTCAAAGTGCTGACAAATGTGCTGACGAAACACTACGTAACGTGACTGATATTTTGAGTTTGAATACAAAAAAAATCACGAGATGAAATCCAAAAGGTATCATATCTATAATGTTACTCTTAAGTTCATTTTTTTTTAACAAGCAATCCAAAGATCTAGGCTAGGGATGGCAATCATTGAAGACTTAAAATATTCGTTGAAACCAAATTTGTCCCCACAAATTTCCCACTATTAGAAATATGTGATTATGCGGTAGATTCTCTCAGACATCTCGTCTTGTTTTATAGCCACACACTGCAGCTACGCTAAGCAACAACCAATCACAAAACAAACGCTAAACACTTCGAAGAATTCATTCGTTCGATAAAAATTGTTCTAGAAAAACCAAAACCAGCTCAAATTAAATACTAATAGTCTAAAATACAATTACCCATCGAGCAATACATTTCGAATCTTCAAAATTACTACTTCATGTAAAATTGCTTGACTAAATAAAACTAGTTTTTAACAATCTTGTGTATTCTGTACTATAAATAACGCTAACGTCACATTAAATCAAACTAATGGCTCACAACTTAGAAATTACAATGCTAACTAAAATGGGAGTAAAAGCCAACCATTTTCATTACTTTTAAGTCCTCGAAACATGGTAACACACGTGACAGTTGGTAATGTCATGAACAACTTGCACGGTTGTAGTCAGAGAGAGATAAACGTTGTAGTGTGTACATTAGGAACTCGTACATAAAAAGTCATCATTTTCCTCTTTTTAACGGACTTTAAGCCCTTTTTGTTGAGAAAAATCTCTCATCTCCCTCTTGTCATCAATATAATTATCATACGTATCATCTTCAGTATAAGTATAACATAGGAATTATTAAGTGGTGTTGTCAAATTAGTTTCCTTCGAACTTTTGCAGAAGGGGAAGTAAATATAGTACGAACACGAGGAATAGTCATGCAAAGAAACTCTCTTAAAGGATTTTGTGGCAACATAATAACATGCTATAACATAGTAACATGCTATAACATAGTAACATGCTATAACATAGTAACATGCTATAACATAGTAACATGCTATAACATAGTAACATGCTATAACATGGTAGCATTGATTACGGAATCAAGGAGTTAAACTCCTCCAGCCGCGAATTAAATTTTCTAAACTCCGTGTCTCCCCAGGCCTCCCACAGGACCAACTGATAGCGCTCCAAACCGCGTTCTGTAGCATTCACGCTACCTCTTGGAGTCTCCAGCCGACGCAAACAGACCACCTTGTCCATGCCACTGCTGACAATTTCATCCACTTGACCATTTTCGTAACCTAGAAGATTGTCACTCTCGAGTTGAGCGAACACAAGACCCAAAGGAACATCATCATTAAATGAGTTGACGTTCAGTGTTAGCACGTCACCAACTCCTCGTCCAATCCACAACGTGCCATTCACTAACGAAAGTGCTGTCACACGATTAATTGTGCCAGCAAGTATTCGTATCCGAGGTCTCGCTGCCCACGGTTTACTAAGTGGTGACTTGTTGCCTTCATCTTTCTCCTGTCGCCGTTGAGATTTTCTCCTGGTTGAACTCATAAGCGAGGGAGTTCGAGAAGGTGAATTGAAAGGCTGCCTTAACGACGTCATGGAAGCACATGGACGGGATATCGAGCTTTCAGAGCCTAAACTTTTTCGTGCACCTTCGATGAAAGCTTGACGAGTTTCTTCGCGGTCAAGGAGCTCAAAATCTGCACCTTCCCTTTTGTCGACAGCTTCTCTGGTTACTGTTTCGGTCTCTTTTTCATCTTCAACATTGTTGTCTCCTGTCTGTCTCTGGGCTTCAATTGTAATTTCAGGAATAGTTTCAACTGATAATGTCATAGATAATGCATCACTTTTGCCATGATTGGAAGTAGCGTCGCATCTCGATTCTATGACTTCCTCGCCGGAGTTTCGATTATTATCGATTGTCGCTGTTTTTTCGATTAAAGTTGGAACATTTTCGGAAATTACTGAAACAGAATCTTCGTTTGTTTGAAAATCTTCGGTTTGAGCGTGAGACTCCTGCGGGGTACTGCTAGCCTGAGAAAGAACTGTGTTACTTTTCGTTGTATCTGTGCTACAAAAAGAAGAAATTCCACCCTCATCGGAGACGGTTTCCGCTGATAGGGAACGGGAAAATGCCTGAACCTGTTTCGAATCCATATTTCCAGAATCCTCATGACGATCATTTTCTGTTGTATTTCGACCAAAGTCAGAACCAATTCGACGAGGAAGTGAATCCTCTTTACGCAAAGAGTTTGTTTCGTCGCCTTCTTCATTGACACTACGATCCATCGCCTCTTTAAACATCGATTCAGTGAAAGAGGGCTCGCACATATCAGGTGGGTCACTGACTGTTCTGTCACGACGGGAAGAGCGTTCATCATCACCTTTTCTTGAAGTGAAACGGCGGGACTCTACTATGTTTGTGTCTAAAACTTTTCCAACTGGACTGTTAACATCACAGTCAAAAATATTGGTCAGCTGACGACTGCTAACTTCCCATTGTAAAATTTTCGATGACCTCCTGTCCGCGCACCAAACACGTGTTCCGTCCGTTACCATGATCCGGACATGCGTCCTTTGCGTTTGGTACACCGCAATCTCGTCTAGAATGACCAAGGTGTTGGTATCCACTATCACAATCTTGTTGCCGCATCCAACCCACAGTTCTTTATTATTGAATACGAGAACCATACATTTGGTGGGCATACCAGACTGACCAAGGTTAACAACCTACAATAAGTGAACACAGCTATGTATCACTAAAGAGTAACCCACAACCTGTTAGTGCCACCAGAATGGTCTTCGGCTAAGAAGTCAATGAATTTTGACCAAGAATAATCCATTGTCGTTAGACGTGTACATGTTGTGAACTTATGTGTAATACCATGTTCGCAATATAACGTGCAATCGTTAACAACAAACTGTTTCAATCTCTCATTTCTACTGTCACAAAGGGTAAAGTCTTTTTCCTTTAGTATTTCTCGCAACTGAAAAAAACGACAACATATACAACAAACCTGAAAGTTAGACCACTTGTCACTTTCCTTTTTCAACCGTTCATCCTCGCCTTTCGTTTCTAGAGTGACATCAGCATGCGAAAATCTTCGTGCTAATCTAGTTTTAGGAGTGAACACTATCAGGGTGCCATTCGCAAGGGAAGCAAATACACTTTTAACTCTTGTGCCACTCTATCAATGGAAAAAAGACAGAAACCTCAATTAAATGTGAAGTTCAAGATACTCTAATCTTGGAAGTTAAAAAGCTAAATGGAAGTGTTTGATCCAGGCCAAATTCCGTCCAAAGGTATTTTTTCCCATTCACCTTTGAAAGGTACTGGAATTGTTACATTTTAGCGAGGTTACTTCAGTTGCCTTTGTGTCCATTTCTCTATGTAGCTTCGAACGGAACCATTTTAAACACCACTAGTGCATAATGAGGAAGCTCCCTTGGAAGAGAATTTAACACTGGCTGCGACATACAAATGTACGAATACAAAACACAAAACCATGGCAACTATATCATAGTGACAATATTACACAAAAAACACTGTAGCTATACCTCAAGCTCTGCCTTTTCAGGAAGGTCCTCATCTGTAGGAAAATACTCCGTCAACAGCGCAAGAACTGGAGCCTTAGTGGTATACGACCAGAGAATTGAGGGATTACGCCAGGACGTCCGTCCGAACACCTCTATAGTGCACCCCTACAAAAATGGTCCCTGTCAGATTTACACTCTTATAGACATTAAAAATAAACTAAAAGCAACACTAGAACAATTTTTTCTCTCAGTTTCGAAATTAATCATATCCACTCCTGAGTACTCCAAGGAAGAAGTTTTTTCTTTTCAGCTTGTTTGCGATTAATAACAAAATTTATTTACCTCCGTGCCAAGCCAAGTTCGATTTTCAACTCTCGTCATGCAAAGCACTCTATGTCCCTCACAGTTTTGTCCTTGTGTATGGAACACTCCTGTCTCACAGTTGATTATACTGTAGTACCGATCATTTCGTTCACGACTCCAAATCAAAATAAAGTTCGAAGCGATCTCAGTTGAAGAACCCTCCATAGCCACAGGGACCTTGGGATTGCCTGCAAGAGTGCGCAGGTAACATAAGTTGACGGTTACATGAGCAAAGTCGACATCTTTTACGGATGGAAAAGACCCAAATGAACGAGAGAAATAATAAAGACACAAGCAACACGCGCACTTATACTAAATGATCCAATGGTGATAAGCCGTCGAGTCTTACCAGAAGCAACATTTGATAAGGCATAAATTGCTGTAACTTTCTCCAACAAGTTTTCATCAGTGGCTGGTAACAGTCGACACTGACATAAGAAAGCTGGATCTTCCATCTCTTTTAAAATTTCGCTTGCAGGAGGACGCTTCTCTGGCAACTGATGCCAGCATGATCTACAGAATGCAAAGCAACATAAGTTGTGATGCAAGTTACAAGGTAAAGTGGGAATGAGAATTGCGTGTGAATGGGATTTAATTAAGCGTTGACCCACATGATCCACACCGTCTATAATAATTTTACATGCATCACCACACTTAGAAAAAGTACTTAATATCTTCTTGCGGTGGGTAACTCATTCAGTTATAGTTTTTCCCGCCTTCCTTCTCCTGTGAGGTGGCTTCATTATCCCAAAGAAGCCTTGCAATATCAATAAACTGAATTTCCGTGGACAATCTTACAGGGGTATTAAGTGTGTGAAGCAGAGGTATATCATTGACAAATTCTTACCTCATTAGCCGTTCTAATCTTGGTAATTGTGAATCTAATTCAAGCTGAGGTGAAGGCCGCACCCCTCGTCGAATCGCTTTCTTGATGTCCACGACATTGCGATAATCACTAAAAGGACGACATCCTGTCAGCAGCTCAAACAGAAAAATTCCAAAGGAGAAAATATCCACCTGGAACAAAAAAAAGAGGAAACATAACTGATGCATTAAAGAAAGATGTTTTTTCGTCTTGTCACTAGCGTGGGACAAAGAAAAAATTCTGAGTCCTCATGAGGAATCGAACCTCAGCCCTTCAGATTCCGCGCTCAGATGCTCGTAACTAATGCACTTTGACAATTTTACTTGTAGGTAGCACAATATCGCTTAACCTTTCTGCTTTTCTCACTAAGTCTGTGATTTCATTACCTTTTCATCGTAACCGACTCCAGTGCGAATTTCCGGAGCCTGATATCCTGGAGTCCCTTCCTCTCCAGCAACTCCTTGAGGTGTGGCGAAACACGAGATTCCGTAGTCAGATAGTTTGACGTTCAATAAAGCGGACTCATCCATGGACCAAACTAAAACATTGTCGGCTTTCAGATCTCGATAGATAATGTTACAGTCGTGGAGATACCAAAGGGCACTGGCGACCTGAGGCGATAAAAAGAATTAAAAGCGTTGAAAGGAATTGCCAACATGCTGTCTTTTTCTTTTGAGCTTTAGTGCGAAAGCAAAAGCAAAAGCAAACAAGAGGCAACACACGGATGCCTGTTGAGGGGTTCTGACTTTCGTACTTGCTACAGGTCAACTCTTGTTTGTTTGTTTGTTTGTTTGTTGGCTGTATGTTTGTTTTCCTGTCTAAGGAAGGAAGTAAGCGGTTTATGGTAACAAACGGTTTCAAGTCACCGCATACGTAAGAAAACTTACGAGAAAGAAGCAATCACGTGTCAACATCATCACAATCCTAAAGCTAAACCTTGGAGGTACCTTTAGACACCTTCTACTTCCAAGGTAATCCTCTAAGGCGTCTGTTATTTCTCTACACGTGACATATACCTGAAAAGCGATGCTATAGGATAATTCACGCCCAAGAATTGACTCCCTGCTCCTGGAAACTTGGCTGCCTTCGTTCTCTCGAGCTTCACGCTTTGATGAGAGCTCGTCAAGGACTGTAGCTAAACTACCAAAAGGGGCGAGCTCCAAAACAAAGCATAGTGGACGCAGAGAAACGGCAAGAAGTCTGACAACACATGGATGATTCAATCGGCAAAGGACTGCTACCTAAAAACACGATCACAAAGAAAATCCTTGCTACTCTAACAATTTCAAAATTATCAACTAAAGCAAATTAACAACCTAAATCATTACGAAAATAAGTAAAATTAACTGTTCGAAGAACATCTTAATACTCTTTAATCATTTGCTATTTGCCGCATATTTGGGGAATATGGCTGAACTTAGTTTCTTACGAATAATGCCCATCTCTGTCATTTATTCATTATTATTGGTTTGTGGAGGGAGATTGAAGAAGGGCTGGAGGTTCTTACCGGGTGTGTTATAAAACTAAGAAACAATGGTGGTATGTGAGAGCAACAACTTCTCGAGCGTTTACTTGCAAATAAGCGACCCGTTAGTGACGTGTAGTCTGTAATGCAAATGAAAAGCTCTCGGGAGTGAAACGAGGGGATAAGGGTGGCGTAGGGCAGGGTAAGGAAAATATGACACTGTTAGTTACTTTTATTACAAAAGATTAGAAACTGATATTATGTTGCTTTATTATTACCTCTTGACGTAAGTCCCAGAAAGCTTTGACAACCTTAGTCCTTTCCAGTTCCTCCTCCATGTCACGTTCAGTGTTGGCAGCGTACACATCAGATCTCCGGCCACTTGAGCCCTCACTCACATGGGACCTATAACAGGATCCACTTAAAGTCCTGGATCCAGGAGAGGGCCCAGTGTTTCCAAGTCCGCTGTCAAGGAGAGAGCTGCACATCGGAAAGAGTCAAAGAAACCATAAATGTCACGCAAGGGATTTACCACTTCTAATGAATAATATTTAGGATAATATGTATTCCAAACGTGTAATGATAAAGTGCCTGAGTCCTTAGTCACAGAAGCCCAAACCACGATGTCTGAACACCAGTTAGTTGTAAAATCCTTCGACACGCATCAAGCACATGAACATGATCGTTAACAACTCAACTCATAAGAAGAGCATAACAGAAAAGTTACATTTGAATTTCTTAGACATTTACCCAGTTTGGCCTATAGAGTGGAATATTTTCACCGCCACAGTCTCGTTTCGATATGATCCACGATACACTTCACCAGAGCCACCACCGCCAATCTTATGTGATTCTCGCGGGTCGAACTTGAATTGAGTTTGATCCACAAGTAACTGCCGGGGTAGGTCTGCCATTAACAAGTCCGGGATAAGAAGCGATATGGACACCACTCTATCCGGATGGGAAGGACAGCTGATAGTTGAAAAACGCATCGCAGTTGCTGCGCATTCCGGCAGAGTGAAATTGTGCGGATGAAGAGTTTGCAACATAAGAAAATTAGAGGGAAGAGTGGATGGAAACTCCATAGAAACAGATCGTTTCATTGATTTGCGGTGAGTCATCCAGTTGATACAAAGCGGACACGGAATTAAACGACGGACCAATGGCAACCCATACATGTCAGTCTCGTCGAGACCTACAACCAATTATTTTAAAGGTGAGATATCGACTGTGGGTATTTAACAAAGGAGGCTCAACCAAATTAACTCTCAGAGCAAACCAGCCACAGCTACACTGATAACTAGGTGAAGTTATTTTTTCTCTAAACGAGCTGGGCTTACAATATTTTTCCGACTATTTCACGGGTTTCTTTTGTTTTCTTTTTAGAATTACTTCTGTATCGATTCTCAAAAAATAACTTATTTTTCACAGGTATTGTGATTGCTAACCCTAAGCAAATAGCTTCAGTATTTTCATTTACCCGGATACCATTCCGAAATGAGAGCGTCAATCTGATCGACAATGAATCCAATAGCAGCAAAGTCTCGCTGTTCTGACCATACAGTGATAGCGACACCATTGATTTCTTGGAAGACGGCCTTTCCTTGATTTACAGGGATCTTGAAGAAGAAATACAGAGTCAAAAATAGTTAGTTTCAATGGCAAACAAAAACATCATGTAACGTGAACTGACTTTTTTTAATAGCAATCAATGCAACACTTAAGTGTCACAGAAAAGAAGAGTCATGTAACACAAGGATCAAACGATACAAAAAGTCACGCACCAATTCTTGGTATGATTCCACCTTGAAGTAACCTCCCTCATACACGACACCAATCCCCTCCCGCCAGTAAACCAAAGAATAGCTTTCTTCCTTTATTTGCTCAATAGTCCGCCATCTTTGAACGGACACAATAAGCCTGGTAATGAGTCGGCTCCAGAACCCGCTCGGCGTGTAGGCCATCTGGTAATTCCTACACACTGTGTTGATGTTTGAATTGTCTAGTGAGCTGCTGCCACGACTACCGGAAAATCTGCCCTGTTGATCAGTAACATACAAAAGTAAGTCAGAAATATTATAAGAGTGCATACTTTTACTCATGTTCAAGTACTGTGAAGGTGAGGAACGTGAGTAATTTAGCCACACCTGTTCGTTTGACTTTTTTCTCTTGGCCATCAACTTCTGAAGCTTGTGAAGCTGCAGTCCTGGTTTCTCTTTTGGTAGCATTGAAGGAATTAAAAGCTGTTCCTCGTTTATAGAGAGAGCAATCTCGAAACGCTCCATTAGTTGCAGATACTGAAACAAGTAATTATTCAGTCAATAAATCCATCAGACGGCTGATCGGTCAGTGTTGTACAAAATATGACTTTAAGGCTCACCTGTAGTATAAAATTTTGGGGGAATTTGGGGTCTCTCAACACCAACTGCAAATCCTTCTTCTTCATGACACCGTTAACAATAAAAGGATTTCTCTCTCGGACGGTGACAAGAGTCGCAATCAGATCACAGACCCAAGCAGGGTCAATAAAGTAAAGATGATTGAGGCCCCGCAGCTGATCATTGTAGTGAAGTAACACACCATTCTCGTGTAAGAATCTGGTGGCTAAGAGAAGACAGAATACGCCCAGGAAAAATCAGTTTTCTTTAAATACCACAATACGTTCAGCTCACAAGTTACTGGTGGATAGGCATCTAGTTAACTGAATTTCGATATTGCATCTCTCGGACGTCCGTTTCTGTTTTTATTATTATTATTATTATTATTATTATTATTATTATTATTATTATTATTATTGTTCGTTTGTTTCTCCGAAAATGCTAAGACGTGAACCACGTCGGAGAGATCTTAAGAAGTTCGCGAAAGGTTTCTTATCCTCATCACGGTAATTCTTACCCATTACCATAAACTGTAGCAAAAAAACATGCAAAGTTAATCCGAAACGCGACAACGAACCCGAGGTCTGAACAAACAACAACAACAAAAATCACCTTCATTCCCACATATCAGTGGTGAGATAACGCCAGTGACACTTGTAGTCGTGTTCGATGATGGAAGCTCACTTACCTAGTGTTAGCTCTTCAGTATCTAAGATGTCATTCTGTGGACTGCACTTGGCGAGTTGCAAGATTTCATCTTCCAAGAGTACGGGTGGTTCGCCTGTGGTTCTCCGGCGCTCAGCTTCTTGTATAACAGCTTGTTGGAGGTCGATGTAACTTTGTGGTACCTGAAGAGAATTCAGAGAGAAGTAAGAAACAATTAAGTCATCAACCGATTAGCACTCTGACTTTTTCAAGCTGAAAAAAGATGAAGGAGGCAAATGAAATAAAGGAAGAACAATGTTGACGTTCTGTCTATCTCATCATAAATCACGGCTGTTTCGAAAATCAAATAGGAAAGGAAAACAATAAAAACTAATAACCATTCGACCAATGATGTTTTCTCCAAGATCCTTGACTTTTAACGCCTTGCTGTAAATCAGTTCTTTCAACTCCGGAATGTTCTCGCCAGTCGTCGGCGACACAACAATATTGCCGACAATCTTCGGAAATCCTTGGTTGTCAAAATACTTCTGCGCGATGCTATGATTCAGTGCATCCACGCGGGCTTGTCGATTTTTCTTCGGAAGCAAGTCCAGATGTGTTCCGACAATCAAAACTTCGGAAAACGGTGCACGAGCCTGAAAGGAAACACAGGGGAAATTTTTCAGAACCCTAGTTATGTCATGACACCGGAGGTATACCATTTTGGACAATGTGGTTATCACTTTGTATTAGATACACGTCGATCATAGGCGACCTTGGAGCAATTTTTAATTGAGAGGCGAACGTTATCCGGGATTGCGTGGGATTCGCTTCCCTTTGTTTTAAGAATGACCTTAAAGATTCGTGATACTCTCTCAACCAATCACGTCCAAAACAAAAACCAATCGTTATACTTGGCCATGTCCACGCATCAGACTGTTTTTTTACTTGTCTTTTTTTTTAGTTCTCATTGGGGCCTTGTGACATTTACTTTGCACTGATTGATCATTGTGGTTACTTTGGTTGTATTTCTGCCGAACCCAATCGTAAAGCTCTTTATGTAATTTATCCTGAACAGTGAATCTTTCTAATCCATGGGTGAAAATGAAGATTAACTAATGCTACGTGCGTCGCTGACCTGACAAACATTCGAGTCAGGTTTATTCCAGTAAAATGACTACAGCATTTAAATCACCACCTGTATGTTGAGAAGCCAGCGTCTCAGACTCTCCACTCCTTCTTCTCCATGTGTCACGTTCCACACGGCCAGGTACAGAGTATTAGGCGACAAAAACATTTGATGAGCCGCGTAATAAACATTTTGCCCCGCAAGATCCCAAGTGCTGAACGTTATTAATGGTGCGTCACTCTGGTAAAGGAAAAAAGGTCAGAATCTAGAGTATTTCAGTTCAACTTAAGGTTCTAATATTCTAATGAAAATGTTTGATTCATTTACTAACCTGTGTTAATAAGCGCTGTAATGAAAACCTTGAACTGGCCCCGATCTGAACCTGCCATTCGTCAATCACAATTCCCACAGTGGACAGGTTAGGTGGAAGTTTTTGACCTTTTAAAGCAGACAGCAAAGTTGTCTTCCCTCGACCCTTAAAAAGTAGATGTAATTGTAATCAATGGAGGTTGATTGTACGACTTTAATATTAAACCCAGAACCTAGGCCATAATAATTCGTAACTAAGAGGGAAAGTACTTCTTACCTGTAAACCTACCACCATCAGTTTCATGCGGTAATACGGTACAGACTTCCGAAGAGTTGCTCGTAAGTATGCCAGCGTGTCTTTTGGTCGGACACCAATCTCACCTGAAAAGAGCGGAGACAAACGGCATTTATGAATGAGCGCCCAGAGACATAAGACAGGAGAGAGGAAGAACGAGTAAAGAAAATTTAGCAATCGTAGAGTGACTTCGTCCTTTTCCCACCTCCTCTCTCTCGCGACGCTAATTTTCCGTCTTTAAATTGAAATTCATCATTAGAAGTCCAGGTCAACGCCAAGGTCACTTACCAGGTCTGACGTGTTTAGGAATGCCTGAAAGATTTAGTTTGTTCAATCGGAGCTGCCAGCAATCGCGTAAGTTGCCAAGTTCAGGAGGAAGTGTGCGCAGTTCATGGTTACTGCATGAAAACAAAACAACAAAATAAATTACGTAAAAAAATAGCATTAACTTTGGAGAGAATGTGAGTGAAAGTTATCAATCATTCATTTCGAATTAGATTCCAGCTATCTTCTCGTTGCTGTAAACGAGGCTAAGGAAGGAGATACGTGCCAATAACTGGAGCCCTTAATTGCTCGCTTTCACCCAGCGGCAACTTGAATTAAACCTCAACACACCACTATAATCAACCCGTAATTACATTATAAAGGGTAATTAAGGGAAGAAGACAAGAAAGAGATGGGTGAGGGAGAGAATAAGATGGGTGAGGGAGAGAATAAGATGGGTGAGGGAGAGAATAAGATGGGTGAGGGAGAGAATAAGATGGGTGAGGGAGAGAATAAGATGGGTGAGGGAGAGAATAAGATGGGTGAAGGAGAGAATAAGATGGGTGAGGGAGAGAATAAGATGGGTGAAGGAGAGAATAAGATGGGTGAGGGAGAGAATAAGATGGGTGAAGGAGAGAATAAGATGGGTGAGGGAGAGAATAAGATGGGTGAGGGAGAGAATAAGATGGGTGAGGGAGAGAATAAGATGGGTGAGGGAGAGAATAAGATGGGTGAGGGAGAGAATAAGATGGGTGAAGGAGAGAATAAGATGGGTGAGGGAGAGAATAAGATGGGTGAAGGAGAGAATAAGATGGGTGAGGGAGAGAATAAGATGGGTGAAGGAGAGAATAAGATCGTAACTTAGTTCTGCCCTGAAAAATTACTATAATTCTTACTTGCTTAAGTCCAGTTCGATGAGGCTCATCAATCCGCAGATACTTGAGGGTAAGGAATGTAAGTTGTTGTCGTTTACAGAAAGTGTCTCTAGCGTGTGAGAAAATAGTGCTGTTGGAAATTCACAGTCAGTCTTTGTTTCTTGGCCATCTTCTGAGCTGGAGGCTTTGAAAAATTGGAAACGCTTCAGTGTTGAAGAACCCATCTGTGACTCGACAAGTGGTTTGGCGGATAACTGTAGAGAGTAAAATCAAATTCATTCAATTAAGATCGATCACAGATCACAGCCAACCAGGTAGAATAAGAGAAGCGCCTTCCTCCAGATGTTCGTCACTCAGAAAAGCAACAATAATTTTCACTTATTTTAGCCGTTTTACCTTGTTGAAGGAAAGGTTTAGCTTATGCAAAGTGCTGCATGTCCAGAATTCTGGCTTTGGCAACATTCGAATGTTATTGTGACTCATATCTAGATCTTGAAGTCCTGACAACTGACACAAGTTCCAAGAAATGGATCCCAGATGATTGCTTGAAAGATAGAGACGCTTCAGAGAGGTGTCCCACACCATTTCCATGTTACAGGAAAAACTGGTTAACTTATTGTGCGAAAGGTCAAGGATTTCCTTTGAACCAAGAAGACAATAATCGTATTCAATGAGTTTACATATCAATTCTCAAACAGAAACTGTACATATCAATTCTAATAAACAACTGAATACGCAGTGAAACGACAACAACATTCATCTTACCAAGGGGCATTTCCAAGCCATCGGAAAGTCTCGTAGATTATTGTGATCCAGATATAGTTTTGTGAGCCCGACAGCTCCCTGAATACCGTTAGGTAAACTTTTTAGCTGATTGAATGACAATGTTAGAACCTTCAGTGCAGTACAGCCCCATGTGTCGCCATCAGCTTCCTCGCCCTCTTCCAGCTCGCCAAATAAGGAAGAGATATTGTTCCGAGCGAGGTTTAGTTTCTTCATTGTGGGTAATTGAAACAAAGAGACAGGGGCGTGTGTCAGCTGGTTATCAAAAGCTGATAGCTTTTGTATCCTGTTGGATAAAGTGAATGTTATATTTGCGTTCAATGAGGCATTTACACGTAAGAAGACATGCCATTGTGGCTACATCAAATAAACCGGCTTCAGAAATGTGCCTCTTCGCACTAATTTATTTTGAGATGACTCTGTGAGAAAACGTGATTTGTGAGACAGAGTGGCTAATATATAAATTTGCTCGCAGGATGTTGGAGGATTTACGTTCTATATCTGTCATTATGAGGGAAGTTTTATTTTCGAAGATGAATTACGATGAGAAACGGCGTGAGAAGTTGCAACATTTTAATCACTGAGTATGTCCGAAGATGTACCTGGATTTTACAATATCTGATTAATACGGGTAAGTTACAAGGGTTCCTTACAACTAATAAGTTTGTTCATTCCGATCCCGTCGTTACAGTTTTTCAACGTCTCTTTTAAACGTCAGTTTCCTAACCTTAAAATGCAAGATCAAATAGCGCAATTCATTTGCTTGCTCCTCAGAATCGAAGTTACTTTCCCTTCTTTATATCAGTCAATGATTTTCTTGTTGATGCTCAGTACGAGTCAGGCAGAGGATGAATTAGATCTATATCGACTTGCAAAGGGTTCACAGAATCTCGATTCCACGAAAATAGAAATGTGATACTCAGGAACAATAACCAAACACCCTGTCGTTATTTTATAACAGCATTTAACTTAGAGACCGTCATTCCGAGAAAATCCCGTTTCTGGGAAAAAACCGTCATAATCAAGTTACTGTTTAACTCAAAGCCGGAAGCTTCGATTTCACCTATTCTCATAACATCAATGTAGACATGAAAATAAAGTTGGGAAGGTAAAATTAAGTTCTTAATAGGCTGGGGTCCTAGTTTTAACTCTCAAAGGGCACATGTAAATGAGAGTATAAAACTTTCACCTTTTTATGGACAGGGCGTTTTACAATTAACAAATACATTATTTCCATACAGTATGGCGTTATACCTTGTGTAGCTGCTGATAACTTCTGGTAAATATTCCAATTGATTTTTAGACACATCAAGCTCCTCAAGGGCTGGAAGAATATTAAACAGCTCCTCTGGAAGCTCCTTAATGCAGTTATCAGACAGGTCAATACTCACAAGTCTTGCTGACAAGTTAACAAACCAAGCTTTATGAATGGCGTACAAATTTTTTTTACTCCAAGCAGCAGAAAACATTGTCACACTTGGATCAACTTCAAAAGAAAGTGCTGTCTTGCGTTTGTTCCTAGTTTCTTTGGTGTATCTACAGCCAAATTAAAAATACAAATAATGTCACGGCACATCAAGGTTGCCACATGATACCTTGGTTTATCAAATAAATTTTTCTCAGAAATTACATATAAATATTAAATTTCAAAATTTTATTTTCATTATCGAAGTGTGAGAGCCATGCCAACACATGCAAGCTTCCCATGTCCTCCTGTTAGATGCAATATTATTGTCCATGTATGTATCTATTATCTCCTGTGTCTGTCTCCAAGTGCATGAGACAGTGATCAAAGTTTGTTTGTGCTGCCAATCAAACCCAGCAAACTAAATACTCCAAAAGATTTTAGTATCCTACCTCATTAGAGCTTCTCCAATAAGTTCCCAATAATTCTCTACAAGATCACAGGTCACTTTGGCTCCATTTTCAATAAGGTAATTAACAACAGCAGTCTGATGACCTTCACATGCACCTTTGAGAGGACTGCCTGGTGATTCCCTTCCCTGGGAGTCTAACGATGTAGATGGTGGGTTCACATCAACACCTCTCCTGATCAAAAGTCTTGCCAGCTGGACATGCCCAAGTCTGCATGCCTCATAGAGTAGCAATGGTCCATGGGATCCAAGGAGACTGGGCTGCTCAGATAATAAAAATTCCACTACATCATGTTTTCCAGATTTACAGGCAAGTAAAATTGGCGACAAATGACCAAATACAGGATTATGTACAAATGCACCTTCTTTTAACAAATATTTTGCAATGTCTGCATATCCTTTTATACATGCAACACATAAAGGAGTTCCAATTTCTTCAACAGCTTGATTGACATTAGCACCAAAGGCTACAAGTTGACGTACCACTTCCAAATGGCCATTTTCACAGGCCACATGAAGAAAATTTCTGGGCAAAGTTGAGCTAGCTACATCTTCTCCACAAATTAGCTCCTTTACTACATCTTGATTGTGGTAAATGGCTTGTAGTAGTGTGTCAAGATCACCTGTTGTGCAGGCTTCAAACAACTGTTTCCTAACACCTGGAAACAGAAATGATAAATCTGAACTAAGATAACTCTTTTTTATGCATACAGTGTAGAAGCAGTCGTATGTCATGATAGATGTTACTTATCTCTGGATGTAACTAAAAGGGGGATGTCCTTAGCTGTTGGTTAGGGGTTGGGTTAGGGTTAGGAAGGGATGATAAGAAGACAAATCTAAAGTCAAAAACTCCCCCAATACTATACAATAGTTTACAGCTTTAACATGTTTTTACAAATAATTGCTTTTACAACACAAAGTGATCACCATTTCAGGTATGATACCAAAATTATTCCAAGTGCATGCTGTATTTGAAATATAAAAAAAAATAGCTGAGTAAATATGCATTTTATTTTCATAGATGACATAAACGCGATCAACGAACTTCGGTCGTAACTGCAACGGAACGATTTCTCTTTAACACTTGGAAACCCCGTACAATTCAAAAACAAAGCGTAGTCGCCATTGTCTTCTATTAACCAAGAATTGTAGGTATTATTAGAGAAGAATGCCAAAAAGGAACAACTGATTATTTCTTTAATTACAAGACACTCGAAATCTGGTGTACCGACACAAAGAAATGGGCGCCTCAAGGAACAAAATCACTGCGATATCGACACACTTACTGAGGCACAAATTACTTACTGTTACTTAAATGGCTCTCCATATTGCTTCGATCTGGATCGATCGTGAATCCCTCATATATGTAATCAATTGCAATGGAGTGTCAGGAAACGCACACGATAACTAATTCTTACGTTTACGAAAGCAGACAAAGCGCTTCACTTCGAGATTAAAAGGTGGACGCAAAGGAGCATCAAAGATCAGGCCCTAATAAAATCATCAACACTCGAAGGAGACCAAAAACAGCTGTTATTAAGACTTTCAGCATTATATTAGCATGTTTTGTCACGTTTCCGCATTTTCTGCGAAAACTATGTTTACCTTTGCTCATAGCGTATTAATCTATGCACATTTTCCAGGTATCCTTTTTCCCTCTCTGTCTGGGCACAGCTTTCGACTGAAAATGGAAGATCAGCATCATATCATCGGCTATATTATTATGGATTACCCAGAGACACCGTGAATGCTTCTTGTTTCCAAGAAAGATCTGCATATCTTTCCGTAACTTTGTACCTCTAGAGTACTCCAAATATGGAATATTTTTCTATATTTGGGAATACAAAATCCCGTATGCAATAAATACATTTCGCGGGAAATTTCACTAAAATGGCGTCCAAACGGCCAAATTCCAGCCAAAGAGGTTACTTTGATTTGATCAAAAGAGGAAAATCTGCCGCTGCAGGCCAGTCTAATGAAGAAGATGAAAACGCCAGCTTTGTTGATGGTTCGATAGTGCGTGTGAAGATGCGAAATTTTGTGTAAGTATTCAATCTCAAGGAGCGCGTGACTATGTTTTTCAGGTCTGATTATCATGTGTATGTGTGAGTGATGCTTCTTTCGAAGATCATAATTACCTTTGATGTTCTTTAATTTCGTCTTGGATGTTTTAAACACATCCAAGATTTTTCTTAACTTTAAATTTTGTTTTAGGACGTATGCAGATTGTGAGTTTAAGCCGGGTCCACATTTAAATGTGCTTCTTGGACCAAATGGTATGTTCTGACATCCTGCTGTTTTATAAATGAACTATAGCGGGAACCATGGGGGAGGGGGGGGGGGGGAGGATTTAAAGAATAGTAGAGAAATGGAATGAATAAGAGACAGCCAGGACAAATTTAAGATATGTTTGAAGCTAGGAACAAACAAAGAGGAAATGGAGAAAAGAAAAATGGAAGAGATAAGGATGATGAAATAATGTACTATCATCCAGGACTGTTGCTTCATGAATGAATGTGTACATGAATACACTTAGACACAATGATAGGCAGACAGAAATACTAAATACAAAAGTGGTCATAATGTTGTGAAGTGAATGGAGGGCTTCTCTTTTCAACAGGGACTGGCAAATCATCTATAGTCTGCGCAATCTGTCTGGGGCTAGCTGGTTCTACCAAGCTGCTCGGCCGAGCAACAGAGGTAGGTGTGAACCACTAGAAATTTTACATATATATATATATATATATATCTGATGTACATTTAGTGCTCTCTATTCCTGTATGTTTACTCAACAGGGTTGCACCACAATTTGGTTAAATTAATTTTAGAGTTTGTGAAGCTACATGTACATGTTGGTGAACCCTGTATCACTTGTATGATCTTCCACATAGTGTCTATTTGTTTGTGTGGAAAATCTGGTATACACAATATTTACTTTGTCTGGCACTATGTGCGATTAGGGGGTGAAAAATGTTTTAACGTCTTGATTGCCTATGACTGAAATTATTTTTTGAGACTTCTAGAGTACAATTGACAGTCTGTTATTAAGTCTTATTAACTTGCTGATAATAATATCTTCTTAGGTAAGAGACTTCATCAAACATGGAGCATCTCAAGCCATGATAGAGATTGAGCTGTAAGGAGCTTTATTTCCCTTATTAAAATGTGTAGTTACATGATTTTTAACAGTAGTGGAAAATTGACTAATTTCAAGCAGACATCCTATCATTGTAATATATTTAGGTTTGAATTATTTTCTTTTTATTTGTTTATCCATGTATAATCACATCTTGTAGACACAATTCAAATGAAAGGAATCACATTATAACCAGAGAAATGTACAGAAATGAGAATAGATCCAACTGGAAAATTAATGGAAAAGGATCAACAATGAAAGAGGTATGCATACATGTTCAGTGTATTAGACTTGAAAGTAGTCATTGACTCTGTATAAACTGCTTCCTGCTTTGTGCAACTGCATGTATTTTCCCTTCAAAAAAATTAAATCAGAACTGAAAGGCCTATCAAATGGTTTCCATTGTATCAAAGAAACTAAAAAGTATGCTGTTGTAATGTAAAGGTAAGTGTGTTTAGGTACTTCTTTTTTTTTTTTTTTTTTTTTTTTTTTTTTTTTTTTTTTCAGTGAAACATCTATTTCATGCAAAGCTTCAGCTGATTATCCTTGAAAGATAATGAAGTCTTTTGTTTTGCCTGTCCTTAGGTTCAAGAGCTGACTAAAAAGTTAAATGTGCAAGTTGGCAACCTTTGTCAGTTTCTTCCACAGGTACTGAAATGCACGACACACATGACAGTATCAAACACAATCCTCATTTAGTAATTGATTTAACTATCTTTCCTTTTCTCTTCAAAATGCCTTCTCACAGGATAAAGTGCAAGAATTTGCAAAGATGTCTCAGCAGCAGCTTTTGGAGGCCACAGAGAAAGCAGTGAGTGTAACCAGTGTGGCATTTAAGCATTCAACAGAACAGAAGTACTTCTTCTTTAAAGATACATGCAATTTTTGGTAAACAATCATGTAGGAAAATGAGTGTTGCTTATAAGTTTCTTTATTCATAGGTTGGACCACCCAAAATGTTTGATAGCCATCAAAAGCTCATTGAACTCAGGAAACAAGAAAAAGAACTAGAGGTTATTTGAGCCTGGAGTGGTGGATGCAACATAACTGATGAATATAAATCTTTCATGAGTATTCTACACACTTGCTTTTAACCTATGGGTCTTTTGTCCTAAGTAAACAGCTAGAGTGCTTTTCAATTTTTCCACAATTCTGCTATTTTACCTCTTAAGTCCATGGACATGCACTTGTTGAAAATTGCATCATAATTCAAAATTCCATCATTCACCTTCCACATTCAGAATGGATTATGTTTTTTACTCAAAAAATGTTTATTATGTTTGCCTTTATACATGTATGAATAGGTTTCCCTCAGAAACGATAAGGAACATCTGGAAAAATTAGAACAGCAAAATGAACGTCTGGAACATGAGGTTAAAAGGCATCAAGAGAGAGAGCGACATTTACAAAAAGTGCAAATATTGGAAAAGAAAAGACCTTGGGCTGTAAGTCAGAAATTTTATGTAGAGAATGACATTTTTATACAAACCTTTAAACTGTCATTCCTGTTCATTGTTCATAAGAGAGAGAGAGAAAGAGGTAGGGAGTCTTTCTTTCACTGTTTAATTTATGATTTACTAATCTATTTCAGGAATATGAGCATGCCCGAAAGAAGTTTGTAGAAATTAAAGGTGAAAAAGAGGGGGTGAAAAGGAGGCTTGATGAAGTCAGAAAACAAAATGAACCAATGCAGAAACGCCTTGATGAAATAACAAGAAAAGTGAGACACCTTGAAAACTCAACCAGAGAGTTAGTAAGTGAACATTTAAAATGTATAATTTTCACCTTCATTGTAAAGGGTTACTGTTAACTCACTACAATGTCCAGTTGTAAAAATGTATTTCTCAAGTGTTTGCCTGAGAAGGGAAGCATCTTGAAGACTTATCTGGAACAGCTGAACTGAGGACTGGGGAGCTCCATTTTTATGCATGAATGGAATAGATTTTATAAATGGCATGCCTCCAGACCTTGATAGAAGCCTTCACCTGCCTTTCAGTGGCCTCAGCAGAAAATTGTTGTAAAGTTTACCTGTGGGTAACACTCCTGAAACACTCAGCTTAGCTTTGATATCCAAGGCTCTGTCATAAACTGGATGTTTAGGTTAAATTAACAGACTACAAGATGTGCATTTGCATGTGCAGTGTATCTTTGGGCATTTACAAAATAAATTCATAAATAAATCCTTCTGATGTGGACTTTTTGTCAACTTTACACAGATGGAGAAAGGCAGTGAAGTGTTGAAAAGAGCCAAGTCAAAGAGTGAGCAGATTGAAAAGAAAGGAGATAAGGTAACAGCTTCAACCTTATACCTGTCACAGTTTATGGACATGTTTCTATTTTACTTGAGTTAAATATCAAGAACTGTGAGGCTTCTCAGCAAGGAATTTTGACAAACTCTTGGCCTTTAGTCAGTAAACATCACTGACAACACCATTGACAACAGTGTTCAAACATAAATGTCTGTTGCATTGTACACTGTAGATAGAAGAACTACGCACAGAATTAAAAGATCTGAAGGAAGAAGAGAAAAAGAGACAAAAACGGTAATAGCACTTCAGATATGTACTGTTTGTAATAATTATCATTCGTTGATTACTTGTGAGTGTTCAGTTATATGTAGGGTGCATGAAGACTGTGTGTATGCAAATCTAACTCAAACAGGAGATGAAAAACTCTACAGGTTTAGCAATTAAAGAAAATCTTTTAACAGTCATAACTTCATGTACCAAACTTTTGTATAGAATGAATGACTTGGAGAGGGTGATAGATGGACTGAGGAATGAACTAGACAACCTACCAGACCCATATCATTTGCAGGTACCCCCTCCTGGAAAATTTCAATGTTTGTTGGCTTTTTTAATTTAACTTTAACTTTAATTTAAATTTAACTTTATTTTGTCTCCGCCTGGCCTCTCCTACCTTATATGAGGAGTAGCTTACATCCAAATTGTTGTTTAGTCACATGCAGAAATATTACATTATATTTTGGTACACCAAATTCCTCTGGCTCCTGAGATAACTATCTAGTTACAGCAAAATAAGTGAAATACATTTTTACAAGTACATTTTTACAAGTAAGGTGGCGTAATGGGACAGAAAGGATCTGGTGATCAGGTGATCTTTTCACAAACCTAATCTATGCTAGAAAGGGACAAATGAAAGAGAACAAAACAAGGCTGGCAAACTAATCATGTGCTAACAAGCTCTAGACAAATTTATTTTGACTCTACAGCATTGCAGACACATTGTCTATGTCTAAAAGATTGAGAAGCATCTGATATTTACAATATTTCAGACTCAGTATTTTAAACTTTTTACATGATTTTCCTTTCCATGCAAGCCTTGTATTGATGAAATCAATGTTGAAGCTCGACAAAAGAACCGTGAAGTGGTGACCATGCAAGGGCAAGCTCGTAGCATCAGAGATGAGGCAGATAGCTTGAAGGCTCAGGTTCAAGGTGATTTTACAATGGAAGCTTTTACTATTATGCATACCTTGTACTTTCTATGCAGGATAATGATGTGCCTATGCAAGTTATCTTGTAACAATTATGCAGATTTCATTTTCTGATTGCTGGTAAAGTTTATTGAATGTGTTTCAATCTTACACTGTTTTTTCAACACAGACATAAGGAGCAGAATTTCTGAACTTGAAGACATGAAGAATCGTCGATTGGAGCATTTGCGGAATAGATATAAAGATACTTATAATGCTGTACTTTGGTTGCGGGCAAATCAACACAAGTTTCATGCTCCTATCCATGAACCAATTCTTCTTCAGGCAAGTTGTGCTCCCATAGCTTGATCAAGAAGGTCCTTTGCATCATTTACTAAGTACATTGTTCTACAAGGAACTTCATGTCATCCAGGCCTTGTATTCACTTCAGAGATAACTTAGTTCTCCTGTCTCTCCAAACGGATTTTACACCATTGACCCACAATGTACTTAAAGAAAAGGAAACATGTTTATACAAAATCATTATCATTTTTATTGTTTGCTGAAACAAGCAAATTTGCATCAAGTGTGAGGTAAGACTGAGGCCATTTTTCCCCTGATGCAGCCTGCAGGTGGGAAAAGGTGAGTAAATGACAAAGATGAGTTATCAGGTTGAAAGGGGGCTGAAAGGGATGTTACGGAATAAGAGGTAATGAGCAACTAGCAGATGCTTGGTATTATACTGATGTTGGATGGTATCCAGTACCTCACATGAGAAAAGTCTACACATGGAGAACATTTTGCAGGAAAACATTGTGTTATAATCATACTGGTAGATAGAATATGTTGCATTTTGATTATCTCACCCTAGTCTTATCATTCATAAAAATGTATTTTGATTTTACATTGCAGGTTGTCATATCCAGAGTATGAACACAGAGTACCTATCTGTAAACTAATTAATTACACATAATTTATGAGTCTAATGGTGATCTTTTGTTAGGTTGAAATGAAAGATGTGAAGAATGCTAAATTTATTGAAAGTGTTATCAACCAGAATGATCTCCGAGCTTTTGTATGCAGCAACAGAGATGACTTAAGACTATTCCTAGATGAGGTACAGTATAGACAGTATAGAATGAAATTTAATTTTGAAATAGTAAATCTCTCACTATGTGTAATTTGGAGAGTTATTCCAGTATGGGTCACCACTTGAAAGTAAGAATGATAGTGTTCAGGTCACACTTAGAAATTGAAGATTCTTTTTGGATTTATGACTCAGCATAATACTAAATTAAATATATTTTCCATAATTATATAAGTACTCTCTTAAAGCTTAATATATTTTGCAGGTGCGTGACAAACAAGGGCTTAGGGTCAATGGGGTTGCACCACCAGAAGAGGCTTTGGAAAGCTTCATGTCATCACGATCTTTAAAGGATTTAGGGTTTGTGGAAAAAAGATACATTATTTTGCCTCATCCCTCTGAACATTAGGCCACCCCCCTCCTACTTTCTCCCTTCACTCCCACCTCTCCCTCCAAAATTTTTTTGGGTTTGGACCCCTCCTATATGATCAGCCCACAATATTGAGTGTTGATGAAACCAATGTGGCAGTATTTTTGAAGTGAACCATTTGCCAGAACAGGAGGAGTGCAACAACAAACAGCACAAGCACAAGCACAAGCACAAGCACAACAGCTATGTGCTCAACACGACTTTTTTTTTTAATCAGCCCTTAACCCCTTTAACTCCCAAGATCTCATTAGTAATTCTCCTTACTGTCTGCTATATAGTTCTTGTAATGTTAGTTTGGAGAATTTAGTGTTGGATCAAATAATAATCCCCTAATTGAGATTTTTCTTTATTCTCATCACTAGTCTGCTTGATGTTGTATTGATATTGTAAGGAGAAATTCTGTCTTGGTCACTCATGGTAGTTAAAGGGTCAATATACAAACTCACCATACCTTTGTCACGTGATTGCTGACTTTTAATTCACAACTGAAACTTTGCATACTGCACATGATTGTGGAAATCTCTTAAAATCTAAAACTTTTTCAAAGTATGCTTTGTTCAAGTGAACTGATTCATATAGATTGCAGAAAGAAAGTGGGATACTGTTTAGTTTTTTTGTTACTTTCAAATTGAGACTCTAAATTGAATCGGTGAGAATTCCGTAATTATGTACCCGATCCTGTGGCTATTTGAAACCTTTTTTATGTTCATGTTACCGTAGGAAGTGGGGTTTTCACTGTTATCTGAAAGACTTGTTTACTGCTCCTGATGAAGTGATGCGATATCTGTGTCATCAATATCGTCTTCATGAAATTCCTTTAGGGAATGATTGGACAACCAAGAATGCAGATAAGGTGGGTTGATTCCCACAATGAAATTTTGATACATGATGTATTATAATGGTGTATATTTAAACCTAGTAGGATGGTTGTGCTGTAGTAATGTTCAATTGGGGACTTTTTTTCCTCTTAAATGGACCTTTTAATGTTGGGGTAGTTTAAAAACAATGTACTGATAAATGAAATCACATTCTAAACATTTTACTCATATTTTATTTCAGGTGATCAGCGAATCAGGTGTTACAAGTTTTTACACCTTAACTTCAAGGGTAAGCCCACAATTGACAAGACATTCATCTAGAGTTTATTACCAAAAGAAGGTGGTAGATAGTTTTACAAAATTATGGAATCACTTAATTATGGATGCCCCTTAATTACCTTGCTCCTATTACCAAGAAGTGTTACAGTTATCTGGACTGTACATAATTATATGAGTAATGTGTATGGCTTTCTAAATTGGCATAATTGTGTGTTTTTCTCCCTTAGTACACTGTGAAGCGGTCTTTATATGGCAATCGGGAGAGATCAACTGTAGTTGATCATGTAAGGTAGGGAATTTTTTCTTGCCAAACTGACAGTTATTCAACAAATCAATAAAGGAGGTACCTGTTAGTTTCTAAAGGAACTGCAATGCTGCATCATGGGGGGAATTACAAAATAATTGGTTTTATCAACTAAGTTTTTAAATGTAAACTGGCCACCATAAAGAGGTTCTAAAGTTGGCATTTCCAGCATTAGCCTTTTGCTCTGACAAAGATACCCAAACTGCAACTTTAGAAACTCTGACCCAAAACCTCAGCTTTACAAACCCTTAACAGTAGTCAGTTTATATTATCGACTCAGTTGATGAAAACCAAATTATCTTGAAAGTTATTCAGTAATTTGGATACCAGATGATAGGGGTATAGCACATGGGTACAGTACATGGGTACAGTTTGCATTGATCAGTCGATGAAATGCTCCCAATATACACCAATTAGGTGTGTGTTCTACTGGTATTTGTAAAGCTAGAATCACCATTGTGCCATTTTTATTTTCCAGAGATGCCAGGTTGTTTAACATTGCTGTTGATGCAGAGAAGAAAAGACAACTTGAACTGGAACAACAGGTACATTGTGCACTCTTTGACTATTATTTGAGCACTCTCCTTGTTGACTATTATTTTACGCAGTTCTATATAACATAAGTTAATGGTCAATTCCAGGATGTCAGCCACCAAGTGCAGCAAAAAAATGAAGAGTATAAAAGCTTAAGTGAGAGAGAGAACAGCTTACATAAGGAACTGGAAAGTCTGAGAAATAAGAAGGTTTGTGGTCACTTAAAAGACAAGTTCTCTATGTGGTATCTGTGGAATAACTGTTTATCTAACTTCAAAATCGGTCATTTTCACAACATATTTATACAATGTAAGACTAAAGTGAAAACATAAAGTACCAAAATTTGTCACAGATAAACACTCAGGGTATGCACACAAGTAAAAGAACACAAGTCATGTTTTAGGGGCTAGAGTAACTCTGCACAGAAAAGTTTATTGTGAATTTACAGTTTTGAACAGTTTGTCTTAATCATAATCTCCAGCAGGGTCATTGTACTCGCAGGGTATCTGTTGTATATTAGTTCTTGTTAAATGATTGTTGCTAAAGGTAACATTTCATTTTTATGAACACCTTTTTTGCCGTGGAACCATTTTTTCTTTTTGACCATAACAGAAAGAATTAACTTCACAAACACAAAGGAGAAGAAATTTAGAGAACCAGCTGGGAGCCAAGCAAAAGAACCTGGAAACAATGCAGAAAGCAACACCAGACTTAGAAGGAAAGGCAGAAACAATACAGCAACAGATTGTGAGGATTAATCACCAGAGAGCACAACTTGCTATGGAATATAAAGATTTTGTCCGTGTAAGCATCATGCACACTCTTATTATTGATAGCAGGGAAACAGGAGCTTAAAACTTTGTGTAGTATGTATAGGTACAACATTGGGAGCAAGATCATTCTCAGCAGCAGCTACGAAACTCTGGAATGAGCTACCTGTGGAGCTTCGTCAAGCAACATCACTGAACAGTTTTAAATCTCGACTTAAAACCTATCTTTTTAAGAAGTATTTTTTATAGTTTGTAACTTAGTTTATTTTATTCTCACGGTAATGTATTTTCGTTTTCTTTTAAACAGATGATTGTAAAGCGCTATTGATCAGCACATGTAAATACGCGCTATACAGTATTGTGCAAAAGTAATGCAAACACCTGTCGACGAAATTCGGCGAAATTCCTGGCTTTTCGACGAATTCTTGACCGAAACGAAACTTCGACGACATTTCCGCGAATTTTCGAGGCATGTATTGTTTTGAACGGCTCGAACTTTCGGCGACAAATTCCTTGATGGCGTAAATGCGACGCGAAATTTCGAGCGAAAATTCGTTCTATGCGGCGAATTTTCGGGGCGAAAATTCGTTGTATTGTTCATTCTTCTCAAAAAGATTTGGTTGAATTTGTGGTTGGTTACTACACTATGTAATACTCCCATAAAATTTCCCGCTACGATTCCAGTCTCCGCGCGCCCTATATTGTTTGCAACCATGGCAACACAGGTTGTTGTGTCGATGCGTTTGGGATCATTTATGTACTCTACTTTTGATAGTAATCATGGCAAAAGTTTCAAATTATTCCAGAAATAGAATCGAGATCCTTCACAAGCAAGGCCTCAACCCAGCTGAAATACTGAAAGCGTTGAAACACGAAGGGCTGCTAGTGAGTTTTTCCAGTATTACGCGCATCATTAAAAAGTTGCGACTTACCGGTTCCGTGGCAAATTTACCTCGATCAGGAAGACCTCAAAAGCTGTCTACGGAAGCAAAAACTTTCGTAGATCAGCAAATGCGCAGGGATGACGAGACGACCAGCAGTACGATAAAGAAGAAGCTGGAGAGACATGGAATCTGCGTGAGTGCGTCCACTGTTCGTAGAGCACGCAAACAGCAAGGTTGGACTTTGCAGCGGACCGCCTACTGCCAGCTAATCCGTGACGCAAATAAAGTCAAGCGATTAGAGTTCGCACAACGCGTCCTAGAAAGTGGTGACACTTTCAACAACGTGATTTTTAGCGACGAGTGTTCGATTTCCCTTTAGGCGTATCGCCGCACTTGCTTTAGAATGGCAAATGAGCCCACAAAGCGAAAGCCGAAACCTAAGCACCCACTCAAAGTGCATGTCTGGGGAGGGATTAGCAGAAGTGGTGCCACGAAGATTTGTATCTTTGATGGCATCATGGACGCTGATTTGTTTTGCAGCATTTTAGAGACGACGCTGGTTCCTTTTATCGTGTCAGAATTTACGAAAAAATAGAGCAATGTGACTAAACTAATTGTTGTTTTCAGTCGTCGCCAATTAGTATTCAGTGTTTTGTTGTGAAGAATAAATATTTCCGAACAAACATGGTGTTGTGATATCTGGAAAGCATGCTGCAATCAGCGATATGGGTGATGTCTATTTGCGCAGGGTTCGAAAACGAATAAACAAGGAACATTCTTCCCAATAGAAAACGTTTGAAAACACACTAAAGACATTCTCTGCTCCGTCTGGTTAAAAAGCGTTGTACTTAAGTTAATTTTAAAAACTATTGCAATCATTTGAGAGTTTATTTCCATGAAATACATGTCTCTTGGTCGGAATTGCTATTCATCCCGATTTACTTTCATTGTTGTAAACTGATCGAACTCTGAATTGGATATGATGGTTTAGGCCTCTTCAAACGTCAGGAAACTGAAGTTGATGTGACGCTTGGGACAATTTTTCCGATTCACTTTCGTTGTCAAACACAAATCGAGCCCAGAATCGGGCGTGATGCTTTTCGATATTTTGACCTTTTGTCTACTGTGTTTAGCCTCTGCCTCAAATATGAAGTGTCTCCGTCCCAGTGACTGAAAAAGACTGGAAATACGTTTATATGTATATTTCGTGTTGCTTACATGAGTAGTAAACAAACTTGATTACTCGCGAAAGTCTATTGTCAGTTCGAAGCGAAATTTCGAACACTAATGATCGAAAAGATACTTTCCGCCGTGAAGTTTCGCTTTGAGGCGAAAATTCAACGAAAAAGCGCCCTTTGTTCAAACGAAATGTCGCTTAAGAGGCCTCGAACTTTCGATCGAATTTTCGCCCGAACTTTCGACGAAAGATCGTTAGAACAAATAACGAAATTCGTCGAATTCCGTTTGCATTACTTTTGCACAATACTGTATAAATTGGTAAATTATTATTATTATTATTATAGATGACAGTTAGTGACTACTGCATAATGAAACAAAAAGCATTCAATTTTTACACAAATGAGCTGTGAATAATGTTAATGTACATGTAGGTGAAATGGTTACATGTACTATTTTACTGGTAAGAAACTTTTCAAAGAACAGTCTCAATGCTGGGTGAAAAAATTGGCAACTGTTAAACATAGTTTTGCTTCACTTGCTAGGAATGCACCACAGTTTCCAAAGAGAAACTGGTACAGAGTCTTCAACAGGTGCAAACCACTGTTGAGAAATCCAAAGTGGAAGAGATGTTCAGGGAATCATCACAACAGCTGAACATGCTTGAGGTTTGTTTGGACCATATGTGGTTCATCATATGTAAAGAGGATAAGACATGATTTTGGTCATAATGCTGTAATGTTATGAAAATGTGTCAAAACAGATTAGTTGTCCTCTGTAGGTACGTTAAACATTAATTTTGGGGTTTGGCCAAGTCATTATCCTTTCACTGCACACTAGAGTCGATGCTTCTAACTTTGTATGTTTTACCTGTGATTCTTAAGGGAGAATATCTCAGAATAAACAACACCTTAGATGTGCAAAAGAAATTGGCTAAAGACCTGAAAAAGGTTGCTCATGAGAAAACTGGAATTCCTGATGGAGCAGATATACCTGATAAACTTAAAGAGGTAAATGAAGTTAATATCAAATTTATCTGATGGAAGCAATTTCTTTTGCTAGTTAGGTTTCCATCTTTAAATTTCTCAAATTAATATTTTATTTTAATTTTTAAGGCATTTAAGCTGTATCCTGATACACTAGAAGAAATAGATGAGATGATCCATGATGAGAAAGCTAGAATTGAATGCCAATACCAGAGCAACCCACAGGTAGAGTGTAAATACTGTTACATAACTGGCAATCAGTCAAATACCCCTAATGTTGGTGGAAATAGACCTCAGAGTCAGCCAGTCACACATTTATCTGCTCTTAGCATCAACTTACTGCCATGCAAAGAAGATAGTTTGGATGCACTGAACATTTTTATTTTATGTATTTTTTTCAGGTGATTAAAGATTATGAAAGGCGTAAAAAGGAAATAAATGTGCTCAGTGGGAAGGTAATTATGTTTGAGTTAAATGAAAAAAAAAATGCACACAAACTCTTACACATACATGTGGTGCATCCTGTGACTCCCACCTCTAATAATTTGTTAGGGCATTCATTCAAAATATATGGTTAGCATTGTATGTACTACTTTAGGTTCAGGCACAAGAAACAGACCTAGAGACTGAGCAAAGAGAAATAACAAGTCTTAAAGAAAGGTAAAAAGTGCTCAAAACAAAGGCTGGTATTTAATGAAGGTAATGAATGTTGAAAAGAAGCAACATTGTGGCTGGTATAATAATTTGATAAGTTTTACTTAAGTTTGATTTTATTATCATTAACTACATTTTTGACAGCCATTAAAGTATGGCACTCAAATAAAGTGAAGTTTACAAACTACAGATATAGTTATGTAGTTATGTACTGCTAACATTCTTTATCTTTTAAGTTGGCTGACACCTTTGCAAGAACTAGTTTCACAAATTAATGAAAAGTTTGGGGAGTTTTTTAGAATGATGGGCTGTGCAGGAGAAGTTGCTCTTTCAACAGAACAGGTTTGTGTGCTTTGCTGTTCTTTTTTAAGGGTGCGTAGGACTGGTTAAATAGAGAATAATACATGGTGTGCATAGATATGGAATTTCTCTTCGAGTTGAACACGAGAAGAGAAATTCCATATCTACAAGCAAACATGTCTTATTTTGTTTATCATATAAACACAATAGCCCTTTACTGGGAAGAAAAGCTGACTTCATTAATGAATGAAAATAAATGAATCGACAATCCTTGAATAACAATCATAGAGTGTGTTGGCGCTGACTCTTAAGATGAAAAAATGTGTCAGATCATGATTACAAAAACAACAATGGTTGTAATTTTCAATCTACAAAATTCTCATTTATTTACTTTGTCCTTACCAACAGAAGAAGTCTTTCAGGTAAACAGCCAAAATCAGCCAGTGGCAAATCTTCCATTTGTCAATTTTCATTCTCAACCAAGAGAAATGCTAACACCATAGCCACTGAATATGCAACTTTCAGTTTTTCTTTTAGTATATTGATTTTCTTCCCCTTCTAGGAAAGTTTGAACCTCATTGTCTGTCAGTGTCATGGGTTTTTTAGTCTTTGTGTTTTAGTGTTAGTGTTGAGCTGCCATAATTTGAGAAAGTTCCAACAGACAACTTGTACTGATGTACTCATTCATCAACCTGACAGAGTGGTGCCAGAAGGTTGTGATGTGTAAGCAGCTGATTGGCTATATTGACACACATGAAAAAATACGATATTTTTTCACATGTGTTGTTACAGCTTTTCTCGGGGCCAGAAATCCTTGTATAACACCGCAGTTTATGTAATGATTATTAATGCTTCTCATCTCTTTTGTTTATGTGACAGGGTGAAAACAACTTTGATAAATATGGTATCCAGATTAAGGTGAAATTCCGTGCAAAGGACAGTCTCCATGTTCTGACTCCATTCCATCAGAGTGGTGGAGAGAGAAGTGTATCAACCATGTTATATTTAATGGCCCTACAAGAACTTACTAAATGTCCCTTCAGGGTGGTGGATGAAATAAACCAGGTATCAGATATAAATGGTGTCCATCAAAATAATTTGTGCGAAAACACAGTTGATCCTTATGTACAGAGAGGTCTGTATCAGCTGGTCAGCAACCTGAACAATTATTTTATTTTTAAATCACACTCATGTTTTCAAGTGACCATTAGCAATTTTCCAAACTTTGTGCCAAGGATGCACTACATAATTGATTTGAATCAAATAAATCAGCATTAATGAGCACTGCATGTTATTTTTAGGTCCTTTTAATGTTGCATGCCTTCAGATGGTTATAAAAGATGGTCTTATTTTTTAGGGCATGGATCCTAACAATGAGAGGAGAGTTTTTGAACTTGTGGTTGAGACAGCTTGTCGACCTTATACCTCTCAGTATTTCTTAATAACTCCCAAGGTATGGAAAACAACACCTTATGAGAAAATTGACATGCAGGATAAAAACTACTTCTTATATATGTACACTGTATTTGTTTGCTACTCTCTACATACATGTGCATCCACAGGGTACATTTTAACAAAACTTACTCATACACATATCCACAACTGGTACCAGCAAAGTGATCCAGTAGACAATATAATTTTGTAGTCATTACTTCTCTGGAAAGTTGAATTTTTCATCTAGCTGTAAACTCTCTTTCTTTTTCAGCTACTTCCAGACTTGACATACAAAGAAAAGATGACTATCCTCTGTGTTTTCAATGGTCACTATATGGTGCCACATACTGATTGGAATATTGGGAAATTTATTCAAAGGAAAAAGGCACTACAAAGTCAAACCTAGATATCATTGTGTTGGGTTTGATGTAGGGCCACTGAAGATACATCATTCTGCTGTTGACTTTTCAGAGAATTGATATTCACATTGTTACAATTTATCATAGATGTAGCTTGAAATTATTTGTTTTTGTTATTATGAAAGAATAATTGATGCCAAAATCAGAGATGGTTAAAGGTTACAAAATTGTATTGGGTAATGAACCTGCCAGAAAGTGCGAGTGGTTACGCAGAAACTCTCCTTTCCTTTATTTGCATATAAATACACATTTTTTTTTTGTCATTCTTAATGTTAGTTTAGCTTTCATGTTTTCCACAGGAAGGAATCAAAACAAAGAAATTAAAGAGTATTCTGGTGCACTGTTGCTGTAAAGGAGTCAGCAAATGTATCTTACAGCATTAGTTACTCACTTTGCTATGAGGTACAAGTTAAATAGTACCTATGAATAAAGTGTTGGAAATTTATATCAGTTTTGCTGTTCTGAGTTGGGATTTGTACATGGGATTGTTTGTACTTGCACTAATTTCTCTTTTTCCTCACTAGTGATAGTGTTACAGTACTGTAGATGCCTATAGTTTCCTTTGAAAACTGAACTGAACACTGTCATGGTTCTTTCATTGGGATTAGTGGTTATGATTTGTCTCTAGTCTTAGTTTGTCTAAGGTTTATGGACAATATTTTTGATAGCAGATTGAGATATGAACTCAAAAGAAATACAATGTGTTAAATGGTTTATTCACTTTTTGAGGCCTAGATAAAATACAAACAGGAATTCTTGATTAACTAACAAGATTAAAGATACAAATAAGTACTAAAGACTAAGTCTGTCCCATGTCATACACAGCTGCCTGATCCTCTTGACTACATATGCCAATGGATATGATTAATTATACTTAACTTTTTTTTTTTAGTTTGTATTTCTAATACTTTTTTAATTTCTTTTTTTTTTTTAACTGGTAGGACCTTGAAGAACTAGTATGTTTTCTTTATGCTGGACAATTAACCCCACTCAATTTTGCAACAAGAACTTTCCTTAATGTAGTTGTAAGCTGTTCTAGTTCTTGCACCTGCTTTCGCAGTTCTGCATTACTTTTCTCAAGTTCCTCCTCCTGTTGGAATAGATCTTGTTCTTTCTGCCTTCTGGCAGCACGAGCATGTTTTGAAGCAATGTTATTCTTTAATCGTCTCACTGTTTGTTTGTCAAGAGTACTGGAAATGCACATAACTTCATCATAATCACTCTCCTTGTCTAAATTCTCATATTTTACTTTCTTAGATGGTGATTTACAAACATCAGCAGAATTAACTCTCTTTCTTTTCTGATTAGCTTGAACGTGAGCACTGCTTTCTTGACTAACTGTACACACACCACCTACACTTGGCAAACTAACATTGTGTGCATTTCCAAGATCATCAGAAAGAGAAAAAATGTCAGCAATGTCCACAGTCACAGTTGAAATATTTTCAGAGCTACTGGCCACATTCTCAACCAACGATGGAGAAGCAACAGGCACAATGCTAACAGAAGACTGTAACAGCTCTTGAGTGAGAAGAGTCAGTGCATCTGATGTTTGGATGACTGTGATTTCTTCTGCGGCTGTATCAGCCATTTTTTCTCCGTTAGAATCAGAGGTAAGTTGATGAGTACAAGATAGAAGACTTTTGCAATCCTCTTCCAGAGACACAACATCTACTACACTCTCAGGGGAGAGTGCCATGTCAGTCAAGTCTCCAGCAGATGAGAAGACCTCAGAATCACTACCTAGTGAGACAGCATCAATTGCATCACTACCAGGGGAAGCCACATCTGAGTACTCAGTAGTTCCAGCAGTCTCCATCCTCACTACATCTGACTGGCAGATGTCTGAAGTGGAGACTGGTAATATATGCTCCACTCCGAACCCTAGATCCATTGTGTCAAGATGTGGGAGATCTGGAAACAGGTCGTCGATATCAAGGTATTGCTCGAGGAAAGGATTGTCCATACCGCCTGGTGACTCACAAAAGTCCAATAAACTTTCCATTGGATGTTTTGCTGTTTCTGATGGTTTGGCGTTCAACTCATTAAGGAGCTCGAGGGCGATGAACTCGTTATCTTCAGCATCAACCTGATGTAAGCTTCCAGTGTCCTCCAATGTTTCCAATTTATCTAGAAACGAAAAAAGAAAACATTAAGAATTGTTTAACACGAATGAGATAGTAAATTAACTTTACAACTGCGATTAAGTTTTGCTTTCAAGAGGAGTTACGACTTGACTGATGGACAGAGGTATACCGGCAACAAAGAAATTTACAGCTAAACTTCAATACTTTGTCTTTGTTCGAGACTTTTCAGAAGAAATCACTGCCTTTCAAAATAAACCTGTTCAAACCTTACCATTTTGTAGATCATCAAACAGGCCGCATGAATTCAGAGTCCAGGGTTTGTTTCCATTGTTTTCGTGTGTTTCCATTTTCGTTTCCTTCTCGCCGATGTATCGATTTTTTTCCTCTACTTCGATCGAGCCGCTTTCCATGCGGTCGATTTTTTCGAGGTAAGGATCCTTCGGAATGTACCATGACGAAGATTTCTGCGACAGCGAACTTACTAAGCATTGTGAACTTTTCAATGTAGATAGGTTAACCGTCGAAACTGCCGTTGTGTGGCTTAAGCCTGAACTTTGTAGAGAATGTTCTCGAGCGCCGACTCGTCTAAAAGCGGCGCCAACGCTGTCGATCTAACGCAGACCAAACCCAACGAAGACGTAAAATTTCCTCGACGTACCTCACGAGGAAAAACAAAATTGAAGATAAAATATGTGAAGTTGTTGCACTCTTTATTCAGATGGTGGTGCAATCGTTGTGCTATAATTCTTCACTTACGTCAACATGAACCAATCACAGGCCGCGTAAGTTTAGTTTGTGATGTCATTTTTGACCAATCATGTGTTGATTTTATCAACAATGAAAACCAAATAAATTATTTATTTTATTCGACTCGGCCGTTCAAGCCGTTTGTACTCGTCCAAACAGAAGGTGAATAGATCAATATTTACGCCACAGATTCAAGAGGAAGGATAATTCAAGAAATGCAACTAATGTTCATTTTAGTCATTGTTATGAAGTGAGTCTTCAGATGTTTCTTCGCTTTGCGAACAATCAGGCCTTTTTGAAACTTGTGCATTAGAAATTAATCTAAAATAGGAATTTGTTTGGTTACATGATTTTCTTTTTTTTTTTTTTTTTTTTTTTTATTTATTTATTTGGTCTTTGCATGGCGAAAATAAATTTTGTTGAGAAAACCTTTCGTAATGGTGCAACTTTCTATACTCTTTGGACCAAGAGCAATGTGAAGTGAAGGATATGATAACTCACTTATAATTTGTTGTCGAAGTGTGTTTCGCCGCAATTTTTTGTTTCTTAAGTTTAAAAATGGTTGAGTCTTACGAATTTGAAGGTGAGTTTATAACTGGGCTGATTTTGTAGAAATGTGTGGGAAAAAGCTCTGGGTGCTTAGGATCTAGATTGAATGTCCTTCAACTCTGGACAACAAAAACATTCGTCAGCCGTAAGATAGCTTCGCAATGTCCTCTCCAAAGACACCATTCATTCAGTGTTTCCGACTCTCGTAAAATAATCAATCGCAACTTCTGTTTCCTCGATGCCTTCTTCGCTTGGAGAATAACTGGTAGGGTTATAAGCCACCCATATTTGTGAAATAAAGACCTACAAATGTAAATGTAAAATTTGCACATAATATGCGCTGCTAAGCAGCATTTGCAATTGAGATGAGTGTTTTATTTCCCCACCACAAACGTCACATTCAACCGCTGATAATCCTTTTGAGCCGACGGTTTTACGGCCGCTAAAGCGCGAAAAAGGGAACTTCAAATCTAATTTCCTCGTAAATAACAAGAAGTGAACGAAAATGACTACCGATAATTTATCTTAATCCTCTAAAGCTAACTAGAAATGAGTGCCGATAAAATGACAATTTTAAGACTTCATTTCCTCATTAAGAATACATGCAACAGAATAAGATTTGACTGATGATTAATGAGACCTCTTACTTCCTGCTCGTCCCAGTCCATTCCCGTTCAGACACAAGAATACTGTAAGGGTGGGCGAACTTAGGACGAAATCACAAACTTCTGTAGCTAATCCATCCAGACTAGAATACACCCTTTTATCATTACTTTATCTGTATTCATTTCTATTTTGTCAGAAAAAGTAAATATGCCTCTTTTTAGTTTTGCACCAGGGCTCCTAGCTCCACTAAGTAATTCCCTCTCCATTGCGTGATTGGGATGGTAATGATTGCCTAAAGGTGTAGTCTGACACCTGGCATCTGACAGCTGCCGTCGTGTTTTGTTCCGGATGAACCAGAATCACATACAACTTAGGAGCGAACATACATCCCAACAAGCCATACGAGCTCACAAGTGTAGTTACACAAGTCACGATGGTTACACTTTGGCTTTCTAGGCCTGCAAAGTCCACTGGGAAGTAAGCTATGGTGGAAAGAAGGAGAATGTACATTGCAAAACCGATATACCTCGCTTCGTTGAAGTTTTCAGGTAACTTTCTCACTTTGAAAGCATGAATGGTGCAGATAGCAGATATCAAAACGAGGTAGCCGTTGATTGCGATATGCAAGCTGAAGCCCAAAGAAGAACTGTGTGGGCGACAAGTCAGAAAAATGTACTCGCCTCGTTGTATAACTCGTGTCATAAAGGGAGCGTCCAGAAAAAGCCAAAAAGTCAACAGAAAAAATACAACCGAGTTCAACAAAAAAACCAAGGTGGCTTGAACTTTTATCGTCAGAATGTACTGCTTCATTCGTTTGCCGATGAAATCATCACGGAAAGCACTTAGAATACGAAGAGTTTTAATCATGAGTGTCGCAACACACGTACCGAGCGCACTGTAGTTCAAGCAGTAAGCTAAACGGCAAGTTAGAGTAGTAGGTTGCATGATACTTAGGAACGTTTGAGCGAAGAACATGGTGATGGACAACAATAAGATTGCGCTCAGTTCACGGCTTGAAGCTTTCACGAGCGGTGTCTCTCGATGTCTCAATAGAACAAGGGACGAAAATATCGTAATTAGCACACCGAAAACTATAAAACCAGTGACTAGGTAACCTGTAGTGTCTGTCAGTTGGATGTTAACTATCGGCAGATCTTCGCATTCTGTACGATTTTCATTTGACCTCTGACCCGCAGGACATTCTGTGCAATTTCTAGACCCAGAGTCTCGATTAACAGAGCCCAGAGGGCATCTTGCACATTCCCAGCAGCATGCAGTTGTAACAGACTGCACAGTGCCTGGAGGACATATCACGGAACAAGCTGATGTGGGTGGAACACTCGCATTTGAAGACTTCCTACTCCATTTGATCTTATCGACTTCAAGCTGAAGTCTTACTCTGGAACTCCTATTCCAAGATCCGATGATTTGTTTGACATTTTGTGTAACCCCTCCCTCTTCGTGTCTATGAAAGTTAATAACTCCATAGGATGAGGTCACGGGGTCCCCTGACTCATCAAATAGAAATTTTCCCATAATGCCATCAAAAGAAACGTTTCTCAGGTACTGATCAACATCCAGCGGCCTCACTGATGGATGAATTTGAGGACATCTCCCCTCTGGGAGTAGACCATGAGGTTCCCTGCATAAATACATCATGTGGAGAGCATGCGCAACCGCATAAACTGCCTCGATTACATAAGGTAGAAAAGTGTCGTAGAGCTTTTGAACTACATTTTGAGTCAGAGTCGCATTCTCTCCACACGCACGGAGTTCAAGCGATTTTTTTATGGAGCAATTGAACTCTTTCGTCCAAACTTTTTCCCACCATTGAGACGTACGTTTCCTAATCATGTCCTTCGGAGTAATTGTTGCCAAATAAGATTTGAATTCTTCATTGTGATGATAAAATGGCTGAATGCCCAAGGCCCCATCCAGGACACTGAATAGTGATTGAATGTGGTTTGGTTGTTCTGATGCGAGGGCGTCACTTAAAATCCAGGTGCGATCGAGTAAATTCTGGTTCTCCACTTCGTGAATGAAAGTTCGTCCATAGCCGCCAAACAACCAAAGAACAACCACTCTGACATTTGAGCGCCTCTTCAGTTTGCTGACTATGACTTTAATTTTGTTCATGTAGTTTAAACGAGGAATGTATTCAGAGAGAGCTAAGCAAAATGACTTCCTTATGAAGGACTCCTTTTCAAGTGCCCACACTCCATATCTGCCATACGAATCATCAACAGCTACTGTGGCAATGTAACTCCAATCAAAGTATTCAAACAGATCCGCCATTGCACTTGCCTGCTGCTTGTCCGATGGCACTGTTCTATAAAAGTTTTTGTAGAACGGCGAGCTTAGTTCTTCACTCGTAGCAGCATAACTGACAGCTGGTATACCGGCGACTTTAAGCAAGCTTCCAACTAGGACGGAGCTGCCGGAGTCAGCTGGCCCAATCAGAGAAACAATTGGACTCGAAGAATGCGTCGCTGTTTTATTCCTTGCAAGTGCCCTGATGGCTTCCTGTGAGCATGCGTAGTGTGAGTCGCTACCTTTGACAAACTGATAAGTGGATTTCATTGCAAGCGCAGCACTCTCACAGTAGTCATGTATGTCATAGCCTAGTGTTATGTTTGGAAGCAAACTCGAGTCGTTGTTTATCTTTTCTATGGCGAATATCATTGCCTGAGCGTGACCTAATCCAGGGGCATTAAAATCACCGCAGTCCTCATTGTCAGTGCCTTTGTAATGAAGGAAAAACAAGCCACCAAGGGTTACGTTGCTAGTTTCGAAACCTGGTATGCTTGTGCTAGTAATGTGTTGCAACTGTTCCGAAATTGAATGGGATAAAGACAATAAGATACAGCTAAGTAAAAAAAGTGACGATATCATGTTCACCAAATGACAATCCATGGATAACTATCTCTGGCAGGAATTGGGTAAATAGAGCATCTTATCTCTATAGGTTAACACGTTTTGGACATCTTCAAAGATCTTCAAAACAGATGCCTGCAAAGAAATTAAGGTGAGCGCGTGAGATGAAAAGAAATGAGTAGACGAATTTTTACGCATAGCACCCCTTACCATAAATTTACAGTTCATGAATTCATGGAGTAAACGGTTTTAGGATGGTAATGAAAGTGAAAATCAACACGAATCACTGACTTTATCAATTGCCAACATTCTCGACGTTGTCTACAGTGTTGAGAGTTTGAAGTTCATGTAAGAGCGAAGACGTGTAACCACAATTACATATATATTTTGGTAGAAAAAAGCTTTAAAGATGTTATGAGAACATGTTAACTGTAATGCAAACAACTTTATGTCGTATAAAAAGGGATTATTTGGGTCCATAAGTCAGTTGTGCTGGCTCAAGCAAGGAAGCATTGTTTCTCCAGCTCTCATTTATTTTTGCTAATGGCTTAGGTCCTTCTGAGCAAAAAGTTTATTTGCTTATTCGCCCGAACTTCTGACTGAATGCATCAAGGTCCACCTTAATTTATATTTTTTAGTGACCATTCTTATCAAACTTTCCGGTTTTAAGCAAAGTACTTTTATAATGTGACAAGCGACAATAATGTGACAATAAAGCTTGCATGGACCCAAAGTTAATCAAACTACGAAGGGAATAAGGTCAGCGCGATTATTGACTCAGTTACGACACATTTAGTAAATCTCAGGGCGAAAAGATGAACTAAATGATTTGCAGAAGATATTTAGAGATAACACCCGAAACCTTTTCGTTGAGTGTCCCGGCCGTATGCGAGCTGTTCTAGACATAAGCTTCAATTTACGTTTTTGAAAAAGGCTTAAACGACTGTGAATTTAGTGAAGATGCATCCCCGCCAACTTTTCGGCTCGGCTCAAAACAAAGGTGTAATATTTCCTCATTTGATTACACTGAAAAGAAAGGGATTCTGCTTCGTGCGTAGTTGAAAGAACAGCAATGAATACAGTTCTTGGCACGATCGACGTAACGGAACCGAGGTAGACAGCAAACAGAGAAGAAATTAACAAAACTCATGCATTCATGACGATTGAAAGTTCAATATGATGAGATTTTTCTGGCCGGTAAAAAAAGCACTTCCAACTCCATAACTTCTCCATTCGATTTCTTTTTCTTTGAGCTGATATGCCTAAGAACACGTATTTTCAATGATGTTTACTGAGCGAGAATGTTCTATAACTGAATGCAAAAGGGTAGAAGTAAAAATTTGCTCGACTTTATAAATTGTCTCGAAATTAAACAAACTTTACCTCGAAATGTAGTCCTTTTCAACGTTATATTTAGGTATAGGACATGTTGTCGTCTTAATAAAGAAAGGGAAAAAAAGGATGTAATGACTAATCGGTTACGTACCGACCACAACCTTCTGTTACGAGCAGAAATCTCTCACTGAGCCACGCACAATGTAGTAAAACGTTGAGTCATTTGCACCTTACCTCTGCTTGTGTCTTGTCTCCAGTTTTTCAGTTTACCATCGCCCTGGCTTACGGCTTGTTGTTATTTTCAGTTTTTTTCTAAGAATAATTAAAAAAGTTTCGCACCTCAAACAAAATTAATTTGAGGGCAGAAACACTCATGAAAAGATTTCGCACGTTCTCCTGATAATTGTTTGACCATAAGGGTCCATAAGGTGTTAGATCACGAAAAAAATTAAAACAGAGTATGATTTCAAAGCAGATTATTATCATTCCAAAATTATATCTTTAAGTACCTTTTTTTTGACGTGGAGCTTCTATTGATAAAACTGTCATCAATAAATTGATTTAGACACTAACTGTCAACATTAATTCCAGAAAACTCAATTTAGGCCTGTATTTTAACGTTCATGATTAAGATAAGAGAAAAGCCATTAACGTAAACAAAAGCATCGCGAATTGCTTTTGTTAGTTTTCTTTGTAATTATTCAACGAAAGAATCAATATCAAACAGTAACCTAAAGGAATCAATTTCCTGTTCGTGGACGGATCTAACTCAGAATCCACGTTAGACCTGAACATCTGGACAATTGTATTTTACAATCCTTTTTGTGTCAGACGAATGGTACTGAACAATGACGACAATTTCATCAGTTCTTTGCAGAGGCGTCCAAAATCCACGAGCATGAAAATAAAAACACAAAAATATAATGTCGCAAGGAAGAACCGACCATCAAGCACCAAAATTGAAAATTGATTCGTCAATCTGATGCTTTTACTTTTTCCTTGAGGCCTGGTAGAAAGGTTGATAGCACCCGCTCAAAGAGAGTCGAATGAAGATTGTAGGAATGAAGATATTATAATTGGAAAATGACAGCGGTAGTTTCAGTGAAAGACCAGTGAAACGAAAATGAATTACATTGTATTTATTTAAAGACGCGCAGCTCTTTCGTCTCGAAACATTTGGATGCTTAGTTACAGCAGTGAATCCAGGTTCTATAACTATTATTGGCTCAGAATAGGAAAAGAGGTAACTTTCTAAACAAACAAAGTGCGGTGCCGTGTCGGTGGGGGTGATACAAGATAAATTGGTTTTATCCCCTGAGTCGATAGATGCAAATTGGCCTGCATAAGGAGTTTCTGAAACTGAGGTTTCGAAGGATAGCGCGCGAAAGGTAAATAAAGAAAATAACCTCGTTTTGAGGTTTGTAGAAACACGTTATGAAATGGACACTGATACATATTTTTTTAATTTGTGTGTGTCCTGGTACACGATATTTTCCTATAAATTGTTACAGAATTGTCATGATAAAATACTTTTTTGTATGTTATTGTGTTTACGTATAGATTATTCAGACATAGATCATTTGAGGCGCAGGGGTTTGATCAGACAGACGGTAGAAAATTTTTGAGCATACATGTGTTGGTAGTCACTTCAGATAACTGTTGGCAAATGATTAAATGCGTGCTATCAGTGACATGGGTTTAAAGATTGTGAGTGGAATCACTGCTACTTTCCTGGAGCTTCACGCCGCTGTTTTCGGCATGTCATCAGAATGATTATCATCACCGTTATCATTATTGTTATTGTATTTCTCATCTCACCTGAATATTTGCATTTTTCTTGTATTATGCGGTGTACTTCGTATGCATCACTTTTTTGTATTATTCTGGTATGTATCATGAAAATGTTTTCATTCGCTTGAGAGAATTAAATCTTTTATCTAATAAACCGATATAAGTTTCTTTCAAATCAAGACAAACTTCTTATAAAGGGGTCATTGCAGATAATATATAAAGAGCATACTAAGTTATGATGATTTTATACGACTCTTTTGACATCTTTTGACTATGTAAACAATTTTTTTGAGTTGCATCATCTTGTTCGACCAATCATTTTGGATCAGTACTTCGTAAGGGTTAATATCGAACTTCTATTTTTGAGGCCCCGCCCCCACCCCACTTTGATAGCAATCACGGCCTGTCATCAGTGGTCGTTTTGATTGCTCGATAACCCGAATCACAGAAAGCTTAGCGATCAAACTGGGAGAAGGCTGATCTCATTGCGACTGATTATTTCGCTAGCTCAATATTCAATTTTCTCTTTAAATAGGTCCACTGACTGGTTATAGGGTGCCTCTCATGCCATCAAGGAACCATGAACAATCGGTGCTGTCGAGTTGCTGGTTAGCATCTTCTTGAGAACGTCTCCCATCGATGCTCCGCGCAAAACATCGGCGAAAAACAGCTGTTCAATAACTGTGGGCTCAATTTTCCTCAGAGATGACAACATGAGCAATAGCTTGCCAAAGCGAGTGGGTTGACTGGAGTATTGGGTTCTGATGTACTGCTCCAGAGAACTCTGGGAGGTATCTTGGAGGATCTCAATCTGCTGGGGCTGTGTAATTGGTGAACCGTCTAAGGAGACATTGGGTAAAAATTGCTTAATAAGCTCACGAGTCATAATGAGTGATTTGAGAAGAAAATCTTAAAACGGTTACTTAAATTGCCACACTAATACATGAGGTCTTTTTTCATCATAGTTCCACACTTCGTTATCCAGTAGAATCTTCGCTGCTGCCTACAGCAATAAAAAAAAGGGCTCGTAAGAAGAGTTCCAATGGTGAGATGAGGAAACTTTCGTTTGTTGCTTAGTTGTGTCAACGTTTTACATCAATGTACCCTAGGAATGCAATGCAATGTAGTCCAAGGAAACTATATCAACCAACTGAAGAAAATTTAAACTTCCTCACCCGTTCTGAACAAGACGATGCACTTTATGTGAAAATGTTCTGTCAGATCCATTCCAAGCGAGCGGACTTTCTCCATCTGGTCCTGAAACAAGCGGGCATGCTCCATCCGCTTAAGGATATTCTCCATGGACACTTGCCTGGCCTGCATGTTCGCTGTGGCGTACAACTGCTGCATATACAGGTGAATTGGACTGCGGGCACTCTCTAGTACGTACAGGTCGCTCCACGCCATTTTAAGCAGCGTGATTTGATCGCTCTCTACCAGGTTATTAAATGTTGGCAGCTTTCGTGCCCAGTCCACCACAGAGAAGAGCACATGGGCGGCTAACTCATAAACGACTTCAGAAGTTCCCTGTGGTTGTGGGAACATTCCCATATGAATATTTCCCGGATTGGACAGCGCAGGTTGAAGGAATGTAAATGGTAAAAGCCCCGGTGCGTAAAGCCCATTGGGATCTCCAAAATACGGGAAGGAGAAACCAGGAAAAGCGGGTAGCTTGGTTGTTTGTACTGCTGCACAAATGAACAAATTACATTTACTAATTTAGGGTTTGTATCTGGCTAAAAGAAATTCGTAACCCATAAGAATTTGAGAAGTAAAATTTCTGTCGCTGATTCGTTTGTGGTAACTCGGATGTTCTCATGAAGGTCAAAAGCTGAGGGAAATTAAATTCAAGTAACAAGAGATCCTTCTAACAATTATCTGCCAATGACTGCTATCTGATTGGTTGACAGGTTTTGATGACACGACGAAAATTGATCGGGTCAAAGCGAGGTCATAGTGCTGTTAAATGCTGTGGATCAAGAGGTTATTGTACAAAAAATTGAATCAGTTGTACTAATTGAAAGCAGTGCCTTAAAACTATGCGATGGAAGAATTAATAAAAAAAAAACTCATTTAATTCTACCAAAAGAAAATCTATTTGTAACTATATTTGGACATTCAAGTGATTATTGATGCAAACGAAACAAAACTGTTGATGATCCATGGAAATATGAATAGGCTGTTTTTGTTATTATTCTTTAACTTTTAAATTGAATACAAAAAGTTTGGATTTCGATTCATTGTTTAAAAGAATAAACAGTTCAGAGATTTGAAATTTCACAAAAACCTTCGAGATTTAGTTTTGGGTTAGTATTAGTTAGTATGATAGTCAATTAGTAATTAACAATGGAAAGCTCCGTCAAACGTAAAGCAAAATCGGAAAAAAAAATGAAAGAAATTACAAACAGATTACAGATCTGAGAAACCAAGCATCGAAAGCCTTTTTTTAAAACAAAGCATATTATGTTAACACAAAGATAATGAATATGGATATCAAAAACATACGGTTACCTTCTTTCTTCATCCCAGTGCTGAGGCACTTTTGAAATCGGCAAGATGGACAGCGACTTCGATTGTCTCTATCCACTGTACAGTTGTTATTTCCACGGCAAGTGTATGATGTACTGTTTCGGACAGTGCGCTTGAAAAAACTTTTACAACCTTCGCATGTGCTGACTCCATAATGTTTCCCGGTCGACTTGTCTCCACAAACAGCGCAGTCCAGTTTATCTGCTTCTGTTTTTATTTTTGAAAGTTCTGTTATGGTGTTGGTGTCAGTACATGCGGTCATTTTGTGATGAATTTCGGATTCAAATGACTTGCAGTTTTCAGTTCAAATAAACATGCATTAAGGTTTGGTTGAAAGCCGAGTCGTTTCAGTAGCAGCCACAGCTGTATTCAATTTGTCTTGATTATTAATTCAACAATGGCCCGGTCAAGCCACAAGCTCGACTCATGTCAAATATTTATTGTAAAAAGGTCGTTTAGGTTGTGCAATGAAAGGAAAACCTTTTTCACTACCTGCTATTCTACCTGTAACCCCTTTTAGCGTTTTTAACTTTGTGAATAGGTTTTCTCGCCTGGAACTTAGAGAACCGTAAACGCCAATTTCACAAATTATCTATCTCTTAAGGATATATTTCCAGTGTAAAACTGAATACATTCTGTTCGCGAATAGTCTGTTTGCAGTGGAGGCAACTTAAAATAAACTTTGGCTCAGGAAGGACTTAGACTTAACTAAAACATTCATTCATGTGCTAATAAGGGAGTTGAATATCGTTATACTTAAATATTTTAACACGCTAAGCAACGCCGAAAATTGGAATCACATAGCATAATGACTTTTGGCCAAACAAAGATATGAATAGGTGATTCAAAAGGCAAAATACTTCTTGAAGAAACCATAGAGAGGGTGACTCTACTTTTAAGGGACTGGGCTAGAAATAAAATGCTACATGAATGAACGTTTCTGTAAACTACCCCAGTAAGATTGTAAATGATTTACCGATAGAGGGGCCGACCGTTGTGATCAGAGGGCAATTTGTATAGCAAACTTTCAGCAATCCTTTTTTGGGCGTGTCTGTGGGTTCCTACCTTACGATTTAGTGTCATATCACAACGATGACAGGATCATGGCTAAACTAAAGCGAATCAAATATTGCAGAGCGGTTCTGTAAGACTGAGATCTTTTTGCTGTTTATCACATCTTCAAAATGTATTCAAAATCGGCCCGCGGGCACAATATTGTTCGCTGTCCTAAGCTCGTTTCCAAGAAATTCTTTTGTGTTCTGCTCCGGTTTACCAAATATAAAATACATTTCTGGCGCAAACATGCACGTCAGCAAACCATACGAGGTCACAAGAGCTATGGTGCATAATACCACAGCCACGTACCACCCCCCTAAGGAAGTTTGTACAGTAAAGAATGCAATCTACGAAAGAAGAAGAACATAAGTCGCAAAGCCAGTATAACGAGCGTCGTTGAAGTTCTCTGGAAGGGTGCGAGCTTTAAAAGCGTAGAAGGCACAAATACGAGATTATAAAGATCGAATATGTCAGCATAGAAAGTTTCAATGAAAGTCCAATAATTCCTTGTTAAGGACTGCAAGTAATTATAACAAATTCTTTCGTAGAAGGAGAATCAACTTCTTCCCAAATTATCGCCATAAGAACTTCAGCCAGGGTTAATAAAAATAGCGACATAACCTGGCCACTTGTGCTCAGACATATCTTCTTCAAACAGTTTGCAGCAGAAGTAATTTGAAAAGCTTTGATTGGTTTCATTGTCTTTACCAACAGAATGGACACACTTAGTGACAATGCCAGCTAACGTTAGATAAATGGCAAAACGAATCCAGATACAATGCTGGACAGCGAAATAAAACTTAATTGACGATTAGCAGCTTTTGCAAATGGAGTATGGCGATGGCGGATAAAAACAAGAGCTGTGAACTGCCCGTTTCAGTCTTTCGACTACAGTTTTTAGCCTTCTTTCGTAGTTAGTCGGTGTTATGTATTCCACTTGTCCAATGCAGAACGTCTGATGTTGAATAGACAGACACCATGCAGTCCGTAAGAATGTTCCGTTGCTATCAATGCCACGTAGTTCCAATGGAAATATTCGATAAGATCCGCCATAGCCCTTGCTTGAAAACCATTCGCCAAAACTGTTCGTAAGAACTTTTTATAGAAAGACCAGCTGAGTTCGGCACTTCTTGCTGACGGGCTTATAGCCGGAATGTTCACAACTTGGAGCAATCAAGCTACTTGCAATGAGTCTCGGGAGCCATAAGGTCTAATTAATCAAGAAAGGAAGGCCTTTAATATTTCCTCATAAAAAAAACTAATCATTGGTCTAAGTCAACGCCGCGAGATCACCAAACACTCACTAATGCTATTTCTGCTTCGAAAAAACTATTTCCTGCAGAGTGACAGAGCATTTAAAGGAAAAGTGAAGAATGGTTTGAAAATTAAAATGGAATACCTTGTATGTCCTTACAGTTATTCGATCTAAAATGATGTGAAAGCGGGACACTTTTCACCGGGTTAAGAGTCCATTCATTTTAATCATCCGTTTCTCAGTTTTGCTGCTTCTGTAGGTTCTCTATTTCAATATCTATTCTACTAATGAAATAAATTTCACAAACAAGTTTCAGTCAGGTTCACTTATTAAAGGATTGTCAAATGACAAGGTCAGAGGAACTTTAAAATCTTTATTCAAGTATTATTTTAAAAAAAACAAACAAACAAAAACAAGGGAGACACTGCCAAGTGTGGAGTGTTTTAAACAAGCATACGCACTGAAGTAATAAAAGATACAGGAATACTTAAAAGTTTGATACTTTATCAATATATATCATGGGATCAAATCCTTATATTTGCCTCTTCACAGCATCAAATAAATTCATTTTTTCCACCCATCAGGAAAAACCCTATTCGAATGGATGTTCATTACTCATCTATAAATCAAATTCCCTCAGTATGTATCTTAATGAGTGTGTTCAATTTTATCCTTTTCAGTTGAGCAGCCTCGTATCTGACATTGGCGGTCAGTTGGGTCTGTTTGTGGCAATGTCTGTTCTGACAGCAACTGAATCTTTGGAGTTTTGTATCACGTTACTTATGATTCTATTCAACAAACAAAAGACCAAGATTCGTGGTTGTTTGCCTAATTGCTGTCAGCTCGTGCGCGTGCTATCCATTAACACTGATGTAGTCTGTTGTTCTTTAGGCAACTTGGAAATGATTGGTTGGTTGTTATATGTTACATAAAAAATAAACGGGATAAGTGAACTGTAATCAGGGTGTTCCATCGGATGAGTCCTGTTCTAATAGTTAAACTAGATTCTCTGAAGTTTCACTTAACGTAGCATCCAGCTAATAGAAATGTCGTATTTTGGCGCTCCCAAGTAAAGCTGCACATTTCCTCGCGAATTATTGATTCTTGATTCATGTCTTTTATTCTTCTTTGATGAAACGTGAATCAACAAAAGACAACCTTTACGGAGCCCAGTTAGTGCCATCTCGTATTTCTCATCAACTTCAACTTTCCTGCACGACTTCAAATATCCTGATTAACTTCAATTTTGCTGCACGACTTTAATTTTCTGGCACGACATTAATTTTCCGGTACGATTTTTCTGGCACCAATTTTTTCATGGCCCGACCTTCAACTTTTTCCACCAGAACACTCAAGAATCAACGCGGCGGGTCACCGCCGGCCGATCGTAATTTACCTACTGTAACACTGTCGGAAAGTTAAAGTCGTGCCGGAAAGTTAAAGTCGTGCTGGATAGTTGAAGTCGTGCCGGAAAGTTGAAGTCGTGCGAAAAAGTTAAAGTCGAGCAGGAAAGTTGAAATCGTGCCGGAAAGTTGAAGTCGTTCCGGGAAAAACTGAGGTGATGAAAAATAAAGTTGAATTGATGAAAAAAAAGTTGATGAGAAATACGAGATAGCACCAACTGGGCTCCGTAAACCTTAATTTTCTGCATGCGTCACGTAGCGCTTAAGACCCTGCGTACATTACATAAATGTGTACATCGACTATTGTTCTGATTTCTTTTTACACAAAAACATGCAGATGACTCAGTGCAGCTTGTGTCTTTTCCAATTTTCTCTTTGAGTTTCAAATTGATCCCTGGTGGAACTTGATTGGCCCGTGAAAGTAATAGAAAAACTTTGGGAAAAAAAAAAACACTCATTTGCGACCTAATAATATCTATGGACCACGTTCCCTAAAAGAAATGATTTTTGCGACAAATACGGAAGCGAGAATTCATATCTACTTTAAATGTTAATTAATCTCATTTTCGTATCGTCTTGACTCTTTGTGAGTCTGAACAACTCAGACCGACTCTTTCCCTTTAAATATATTGAGCAGAAAAAGTTTCCTTTTTTATGTTTTAGTGAATCGAAATGTTAAACGCAAACAAATTTGATGTTTCACATCAGTAGGTCTCACGGATCCCGAGTAGATTATTTCCTGCCGTCAAAAGTTATTGCATGCTGGCAATTAAAGCGACAATTCTCCCCTTCAAGACAAAAAGCCACGGAAAACAACTGTGTAAATAAATAAAGTTAGTTAGCTTTAAGACAAACATATCTGACCAACGCTAGCTTATTTGACAAACTAAACAAACGAACGCAACTTGATCTTACGAAATAAAATATATAATCTATATCTTCAACCTTCATGAAAACTAACTTATTTCCGGACACCCTATGTCAAAAGAAATGTTCCAATTAAAACCACTCTTAGGTAACGTGCTGCTAATTGGTGCTACATTAAAAGTTTTCATCCTTATTATTATTTGCTAAATGGTGCAGCAAACTACTTTTGAGTCATAGGTACCAATGGTACATTAGATTATAGGAAAAAGCAGGAACTGATTAGACAACAGATAAATCATTACGATCGCGTGTTGACTACAAACGGCTATATTTTATTTACAATACTATTATAAGGTGTGTGAAATTTACAGTTTGAAACGAGGTGTAGTACTAATGTAACATTATTATTCCCATTTGAATAGCACACTAAGGTTACTGAGTCTGGGAATCCTCAGGAGCAAAGTGCTTAGAGCACAATACACTAAAAAAACACATTCTGCGTAAATGCAGGCATCGTAGTGTCCGACTGTCTGACTGCCAATCAGTCTGACTGTCTCACAGTTCGACCAATTGGCTGAAAGACAAATTGAATTTTTAGACCCTCTAATCCTTAAACTCTGTCATAGTCATGACACATAACTTTTCTTTGATCCAACTGCTCACTGCTCTTCTGACCATCAGGTTGATTATCCTGTTTAGTCTCAAGCTCAAATTCCGTCATTATCATCCTGTGATCAGACAAAGTGAACTCCTTGGGCCACTCCTATCAACAAAGAAAGAGGATCTTTGTAAGTAATGTACATCAGCAGCTGAAATGGCAATCGAACCTTCATTATACTAACTCGATTAGAGAACGCCAAAGTAGAAACTAGTATCAGCTTTAAATATCCTTTGATCATTTGATTTCACAATCAAGTACTCTACAGACAAAATGAACTTCACGTGATTTGTTTGGGAACTACAGGTAGGTAGGCCGGCCATATACTGTGTTTACATGTATTTTCATTAAACTTTTCTCACAACCAACTCCTGTAGTATCATAATAATTAAAAACTGAAAGGTTAACAAAGCCCTGAATAGTAGCAAAGTAAACGTTACTTCATCAGTGAATTCTGCCGGCAACACTATGGATTTTATAGGAACAAGTTGAGATTGAGGTGGATTTCTGCAAAAAACAAAGAAAATGAATGTGAAGAAAAACAATTTAGTGGAAAGAGTCAGGTCTGACAGTTTGCTTCTGTCATCTCACAGGCACAACTCATCTTTCAATGCAAATAAATAAAAAAGTAGCTGAAGAGTTTCAAAATACATGTGCTAAAAATTTCACTCAATGTAAAAGGCCATGTATCATTTTCAATGTTATAATCAAAACAAGGCCATCATTAAAAGCCTTGTCATTCTAATTTCAGAACTTAACCACAGTGAAGCTTTTCTAGTGATGTAATTAAAATTTGTTGGGCACACTCTGACCTTCAAATTAAAATCTTAAAATGTGAACTCTCACCTGTAAAATATATAATCTACAAGTATCTCTTCACCGCTATAAAGTCTGTGTGTTACACGAGGTTCTCTGCAGTGCACAGTTTTGTATGATGACACAAAACCATTTTCAATCACAAAGCCATACACCTCATCTTCTGGGCAGCCATTAAAATCTCCTGCTAGCACCACAGGTATGTTTTCTACATTATTTCTGTGAAAATATTCAGACTTAAATGTTAGACATATTAAATCATCATACTTGTGAGTGTAAAAGCTGTTGTTTATCAACTGAAGCTTTAGGTTTCTACAGTAAAATACACTTACTTCTGCTGATATGATTCAATTTCGTTTTTCACTTTCTTTATTTGAGACTGTAAAGAAAATAATCAAACAAAAATTTAAATTCTGACAACATAATAAGCTTCCGTTTACAACCAATTCATAATTTAAGTATGATTATTGCCCACAAATATTCAAATTGAGAAAAGTATGATGGGGTTAAGCTTGACTTCACTAAATGTTTTACCATTCAATCTAGTTAACTATCAAACAAATATTCATAAATTTTTTGTGTGCTCACCATTCGTAGCAATTGGTCAATGAAGTTTGAGCAATATGTCAGATGTGTTGTCATAAGCATAATCTAATGTGATAAGATAATAAAATTGTTACTGTTAAACTAACTCTCAGTGCTTGTTTTTAACCAATAACAGGTTTTAGTGACAACAGATTTAACTGGACATATACTTCAAGATACAGATCATTCACAGAGCACAATACCTCTTGCTCATTTGGCAACAGAAGGTGGACTAGTAAAGCTACTCTGCGATTCATATCATTGAAACGAATAGGACATATAGACAGTATGCTGCAAAAAAAGGAAAAAGAAAGTAAAAAGAAAGAGACAAAAGACAGGAAAAGAAAGAGAAAAAAGTGGAAAATCATTCAGTTTGAAGACATTAACTTGTAGCAAATGTCTCTATGTAACAATCAATATGTATTCAGCCTAAAAATGGAACTCCTTCTATGCTTTGTAACAGTTATACTTTTTCTTGCATCATAAAGAAGCCACATAATAATAAGAGAACTTACCTAATTGAGCGATCAATCAATAATGCGAGGCCATCTGTCTTAAAACCGGTCCTCTTTAGTTTTATTATTCTGTATCTACAACAGCAAAGTAGAATGAATATGGTTACATTAAGCATATTATACATGATTTGAACTCATCTTGACCCAATACCAATGAAAAATGATTTATATCAAATCTAAGCTGGTACACTTTAATAATAATACCTTATGACACATGAACTTTGAGATTCAAAGCCAGGCTCAAACTCACATTTTACCCAGTTGTAACTCATTATGGTTATAGTCACATCTTAATGCTGAAACTTACAAAATAAATGAAAACTATTACATTTAAGTGGGTCTAATTCAGCTTGAAATTTTTTCAGGAGGTTAGCAACAGGACTGCTGTAGAATGCATATTGCATAATGAGTGGTAATCCTCAAGGTTTACATGTTTTAAGGAATGGGGTGACATTATCTTGGACTTGAGTGAAGATCACAGACATGAATTTGTTGGACAACCTATTAGAAACAAATCTTACTTTTCTTCAAACTGTTTATCAAAAAGTTCCATGACATCACCATGAAACCAAAATTCTTGAAGACAAATAATGTCCACACTAGGCTTCTGTTTAGATATAAGATCAATAATGGCACGGAATCTTGGTATGTATAGGTTGGGGTTACTGCTTTCACTGCGATCCCACCAGCCACTGAAATGTTACAAGACAAATAATTATACACTTAACATAATCATAGCAGTCTCCATCATGTGCATTATCTTAAGCTCATAATGTCCCATTTTTCAAAAGCTCTGTGATAAGTGAATTTTCATGCCTGTAAGTCTGTTCACAACAGAATTCCATTTGCTAACCATGATCACACACTAGCCATTTTATTCCAAAGTAAGTAAACAGTATTATTAACACTGCAGGCAGACCACACTATGTGTTCATGGTTCGTTATTGTTGACATGAGACAAACAAAATTTATAAGGGTTACAAATAAAGCTCTGAAATTGCATATCAAAATTACATCTCAGTTTGAATATCTCATTATCATTAAATGAAATTATAATCGATGTATTTGTGGTATTTATTCGCCTTCTTGTGCTGTTTGAAGTGTCTTTTTAAAAAATTACTATAGACGGCCTCCAGCCAAAAGTAATTCCGCAAAAAGACACTTCAAACAGCTCATGAGGGCGCAAAAAATAGCACACAAGCATCGATAAACATTCGATCTGACTTCATAGAGATATTCAGACCGAGATATGAGTTAGATATGCAATATTAAGAGCTTTATTTATAACCTTCTTAGATTTTGTTCCTCTCATGTCAACAATAATTAACCACGAACATAAAGTGTAGTCTTCCTGCGTTAACATATGATGCAGGCGAAGAACTAGTACAAAAGAAACCTTAAATTGTGTTATTCCACGATGTGGGCATTATGTTGCAATAAAAAGATGAGCTTACCTTAACCAATTGTAACACGGAGCTAGGACATTAAAAGTAGCGATGCGTACGGTTTGTTTTGCCACCGATTTGTCGCTCATGATGTGAAAAACTCGACGACACGTTAAAAAGCAAAAATTTCGGAGCATATAGTGGGCATCCCATGCTAAAAAAAGCCAATCACTTCAAGGAAAACGAGAACATGCTCTGACGTAACACCGTCAGCCATGCTTGATTGGTAACAACAAGTGTTTTAGGTCAGCGGAGGAGACAATGATTTAGGTAACTGTGTCATGTATGGGGAATTATTATCCCCTATACATATTATGTCCTATACTTCACACACACATATAACATTCTATACTCTACATTATATAATTCCCTATACATGACGTACCTAAGACGACTGGATTATATGTCTTCCGTTATGATACCTAAGCATTTTTTCACATTGTGACCTCCTGAATAATCTGTGAAAATTAGTTGGTTGTTTCGAAAAAAATTGTAGACTAAATTAGGGCTTTCGTCTTTGATAGTTTCTTGTTGGTCTGTATTTTTACCGTCGACAGGAAGAAGTTAGTGGAAAACAAGATCGGCGTATAAAGTATTTCCCAAAGTTCTTTATGTGAAATCAGATTAAGAAACTGAAAAAACTTGGAAACTCTACAGACGTGTATAAGGAAATTGGGTATTTGTTTTTTCTTAAGTATTAATAGTTCGTAAGCTAACAAGTTAAAACGCATCATGACCACAACACAAAGCCCTATAGGGGCCCCTCAGGGAAGAATTCTTTGTTGTGGTAAAAAGCACATAATTTGTATGCAACATTTATGAGATCGAGCCCATCAACCAGAAACGACACCCTGATGGCGGTAAAAGCTAGGCTTATAGCATTGCTTGGTAAAGCAGTTTTGCTTTTCTCGGTTTACTCTGTTGCTTCAAGTCATTCAGGTAAGTATTAACTCTATTTGACCTGTATGTGTTGCTATCCGCACATAGAACAAGTCCATTATTCCTTTACGTAATTGTCTTATGTTTGTGTGCATCTCAGGAGGAGTTATATTTTCGAAATCAGCAGAACAAGCTAAAACTTCTTACGCGTTTCTGATGGGAAACCGCCTTTTTGACTCAGCTCAAACTGATAAAGGTCTGGGAAATAAAAGCCATGAAAAAAAGAATAGCAGATGTACAACTCTATGAGATCTAGAGTTACAGATGATATTCAAGCAAGCAGTATTATAATTGAATGGAGTAGAGTTGATCATGCAAAACGAGCTTATGCAAAAATTGGGAGCAAAAAGAAAAATACCGCAAATGTGAATTACATCCAATATAATCAGAAGTGATTAAAAGTTTGAAAATCGCAAGGAAATCTGTAAAAATCCGAAAAAAGCATCCGTTAATGCTTCTTGAATATATAGCGACAAAGATGATCTCAGAATCCTAGGCTCGATAGTTAACTTCTTTATTGTGTCTGTGCGTGTTAACTCACGTGTGACTGTCTTGATCTGAAGTAAACAATTTTCAAAAAGCAAGATTACCTCGGATCCACTTTAGTTATGATATTTATATTATAGCATGTAATATCAGAATATAATCTAAATAACAGCACAACTCTGGCCGCAAAATCGTAAGCGGAATAAAATTTCAACCTCCAAGACCTCTTCACAGACATCTTAAATCCCAGCTATGCTCCACTCCAAGATATATTTAGCAGTTAGAAATCTCGTGACCTACTTCATTGTTAAACCAAAGTGTCATGAATGGAGCTTTAGGAATAAGGCTTAGTCGGGTAACTTATGTACCTAAAAACAACAGGTTCTCCAGATTATTATCATGATCATATTGTACCTTCGTTAGGGAGTTTTCTCTGAGCTGACAGCGAGAACTAACAAACGTACCACAGTGCAATATATATATTTTTTTCTTTTTTTGCAGACAGGATTTTTCTGAGAAAATGGTATTTTTCTTAACTCACCCGCTTCTCCTAAATCGTCAACCATACGGTGATATTTGTATTCAGCGAACACCCAAATGAATCTTAATGGTACCTGCTTAATTAGTGACTTTCGCTTTAATCCGTGCCGAGCCTGCGTCTGTCTCATGAAGGTGACCCCTAGAAACACCAAACACTGATATGAACCCTTTTAATCTTCTCTTTATATTTTAGAATCTTTGTGCCCTGAAGGAAAGTTCGCAAATATTGCGCGGATCTGTGTACCAGAATGTGCTACGGGATACTATGGTGATACACTTACGGGAACCTGCCAAAAATGCTCCTCAAATTGTAGAACTTGTTTGAATGGTGATAGAAACGACAGATGTTCCAGTTGCAATCCTTCTTGGTATCTGAAAAGTATGCATACTATTCATACATAATATATGTATGTACATATATATAACGCTCGATTGAATAGATGTGGGAATTTTGTCATGTTTCGGCAGCCTCATCGTATCAGAATTTTCCCTCGTTTGACGACCGACAAGTGGATGAGAGAGCGCACCTTCTTAACCGCGGTCAAGCTTCACCTTAACTTTCTGAATTATTTGATACATCAATTGATTGACAGGGTGATTTTGAATAAGTGACTGACCAACTTTTTAAAGGTATAACTAGTTAGCTGACCGACTAACTGATTAACTGATAGGCAAGTTGACTGATTGGCTGACTAGTTAACTTGCTGACCGACTGGCTGGCTGACTGACTGACAGACTGGCTCCCTGACTGACAGGCTGGCTCCCTGACTGACTGACTGACTGACAGGCCGGCTGACTGACTGACTGACACTCTGGCTGACTGACTGGCTGACTGGCTGGCTGACTGACTGACTGACTGACTGACTGACTGACTGACCGGCTGGCTGGCTGACTGACTGACATGCTGGCTAGCTGACTAACTGACTGGCTGACTGACAGCATAGCTGGCTCACTGATTGACTGACTGGCTGACGTAGAGGCTAGCCGATTGATTGGCTGACTGACTGACTGACTAAAGGATGACTAGGTGACAGACTGCATAACTCACCACCCAACTAACATAATATTTAAGCGATTTCTTAACCGATTTCCCAACGTACCGGCCGACAGCGGTTGCGAGAACAATTGCATGCTGCTCTTCATTTTATATTCAAACGTTAATCTTTATGCTTAATTCTATTTATAGAAGCAACATGTGTCCAGACTTGTGATAATTATCTTACCAAGGGTCCTCCTGAGACAGAGATTAGACTCGTTGGTGGAAGTAGTCATCTTGAAGGCCGCGTTGAAATTAATCACCGTGGGATCTGGGGCACCATTTGTGATGACTTGTGGGATATAAGTGACGCGGATGTTGTTTGCCGTGAACTGTTGCTAGGAAAGGCCCAAGAGGCTGTATCTTTTGGAAGACTGGGTAGAGGACAAGATTCACAGCCGATTTGGCTCTCAAAGGTTTGGTTGATTATTTTTGTTTAATTTGAGTGGCTATATTTTCTTCAGCAGCAAGTACAGTAGTCAATATTTGTGTACAGTAATTATCTCTGTATTACTTTGACACCTGTTAGTCTCACCAGGTGTAAAGGGAGACAGGGGGGGGGGGAAGTGTGGAAATCTATTCCTATCCTCATACCCTGAGAGTATCCTATATTTGATCTCTGAAAGGTTCAGTGTAGTGGAGATGAGACACGCTTGGAGCGATGCCAACACCATGGGTGGGGCAATCACTCATGCAGCCATTTTGAAGATGCTGGTGTCCGATGCAAAGGACCTGATACATCCAGAGAATGCGTCAGCTCCTGTGGAGATGGATATTACCGCAAGAAAGGAAAGAAACAGTGTGGTGTATGCTCTACGAGCTGTCTTACCTGTGAAGGCTCCTCTACAGTCTGTACCAGTTGTGACGCTTTCCGATTTCGTAAAGGTACAGTTTAGGAGAGGGTGTTAGTGGTGCAGTTAATTCGCCTGCTGGTTGATTGAGGACATCAGTGGGCGGCACTTCTCAGAACCCACCGAATATGACAAGGACACAAGAGAATGAGGCTTTTAGAGAAAGAAAGCTACTTATTCAGGGGAGGAGATAGTAGGATTGGAGGGCGGAATTGATCTTAGTAAATGCTATGGATAGATTTTTACTTTGCTTTATTTTTTCTACCTTAAATCTCCAAGCCAAAATTTGGAACAATTATTCTGCAGAAAACGTGAAACTAAAGCTTATAATGAGTGGACCTGGTACCTATCGATTCCAAATATCTTTCATTTAAACAGGTAAAAGCTGCGTTACATCATGTGGACAGGGTTTCTATGGTGATACCTCTGATCGACAATGCAAACCATGTGATCCAGGATGTCGCACATGCGCAGACGGAACCTCGTCCACCGCTTGTACAACTTGCCCAGATGATCGATACTTAAAAGGAGACGAGTGTGTCGTGAGCTGCGCACCTTCGCTTGTCGGTCAAAGACGACGCATGCGCCTAGCAGGGAAAAATTCCACCGAGCTGGAAGGTCGTTTGGAAATTTTTGTAAACGGCGCCTGGAGCACGGTTTGTGACAAGACCTTTAATTTTCCTGAGGCAAGTGTCGTATGTCGGCAGCTTAGGCTTGGATCCGCCGTAAAAGCTGTCAAGAAGACTGTGTACGGACTTGGAAGCGGTCCAATATGGTCCAGAGACGTAAAATGCACTGGAAGAGAACTAAGTCTGTTCGAGTGCAAAACTACGCCTCGCGCACGTTCGGGTTGTTACCATAGCAGCGACGTAGGAGTTGTTTGTTCTGGACCAGTGCGTGACGAGCCACCGATTAACCAGTGCTTGAAGCGATGCAACCCTGGCTGGTACAAGAATGACTTTGATGTCTGTAGTTTGTGTGCATCACAGTGTGCTGAATGTTCAGGCAATAGCTTCCGCTGTACTAAATGTAAGGAACCTAAATTCTTAAAAGACAATACGTGCGTTGATAAATGCAACGATGGAGAATATGGACACATTCCTTCGCGAGAATGCCGAAAGTGTAACACAGAAAAATGTGTGACGTGCGCAGATGGAAACGATGAAAATGACTGTAAGTCATGTACATCTCCAAAAGCGCTGAAGAATGGCACCTGTGCGGAGAGTTGTGGGCCTGACATGTATCATAAGAGTGGAGTCTGTGTCAGTAAATGTGGTGATTTATTTTATGAGTTTGCTGGAAATTATTCTTGTCTCCCCTGTCCACCTGAATGTTTGCAATGCGTATTCAACAGTGTGAAGGGTCTACCTCATTGTACAATATGTGCTCCACCCCTTGTGTTCGACAACAACGTTTGTCATATCAACTGTTCTGGCTCAAAGGTGGCCGTACCAATCAGAGCTCTGAATGATTCATATCCGAATTCAGCGCTGATTCGACTGAGTAACGGTTCCGACTATCTTGAGGGTGTGCTGGAGATATTTCACGATGGAGTTTGGGGAACCGTGTGTGATGATGGATGGGACGCGAAAGAGACCTCAGTAGTATGTAGAGAGCTTGGCCTCGGCAAGGCTGACGCAACGGCATCCCTTGGCCACATCCTAAAACAGCCTAGGGAGGCGCAGGGCAAACTTTGGTTAGATGATGTTTTCTGCACAGGAAACGAGAAAACCTTGCACGAATGTCGACATAGTCCTTGGGGGAAAACGAATTGCAGGCACGACGAAGATGCGGTTCTCCGTTGCACAGGGCCAGGAATACGCAAATGTCAACAGAAGTGTCCTGCCAAATTTTACGAAAAGGGAAAAGTTTGCTTCCCATGCAATATCAACTGCAACTCTTGCGAAGGTGGTCCTAATAAGTGTAAAACCTGCCTGACCGGTTATTTCAAGAAGAATGAAACATGTGTCGCTGATTGTGGTCGAGGCTTCTATCCTGCTGGTATTACATGTTTGAAGTGTAATAAGTCGTGCAGTAGCTGTGAGGGGACACGTAGTAACTGTACATCGTGTCCCAAGTCTAGATACAAGAAAGACTCAAAATGTGTGACTGACTGTGAGCCGGGGTTCAAGCCATCCTCCATACCATTTGTGCGTCTAGTTGGACCGACACCGTTTGAAGGACGCGTTGAGGTATCAGTCTTATTCACATTTCAAGAGCTGCTGGTAATGTAAGTTTCACTGCTGATTGATTTCTTTGCTTACAGATTTACCACGGAGGCAGGTATGGCAGCGTTTGTGATGACTTCTGGGATATAAAAGATGCTAACGTTGTGTGTAGAATGTTAGGGATGGGAAATGCTACAGCTGCTGTAAAACGTGCAAAGTACGGATCATTAGAAGACGGGCCAGTTTGGATGGACGATGTTAATTGCACTGGTAAGAATTGATTATCTTGCTGTCACAATTGTAGACATTATGAATAAACGAGAGAGTTAGCCACATGCAGCAGTTTTAGCACGCATGTCTTCGGTTAAATATCTTTGTTGCTTAAAAAATGTTTTTGTACCATGAAACCAGATTACATTAAAAGGTATCTTGTTCCGGTTTTAGGGAACGAACTTTCTTTGATTGAATGTGGGTTCAATGGATGGGGCATTGAAGATTGTACTCACTCTGAAGATGCAGGAGTTATTTGTCAGCGTCCCGGTAACAATCAAGACTGTTTTTCAAGCTGTAATCTCAGTAACGGATACTTTTTGGACGGAAACAATGGGTGTGGTAAATGTAGCAGTGAATGCAAAACATGCTCGGGTACTCCCGAAAATTGCACCACATGTCCACAAAATACCTTCCTCAATAAGACGGGCAACATGACGTTCAACTGTGCCTCTTCATGCGTAGAGCGTTACTTTGCAGATCCTCTCACTCAACACTGCATGCCATGTGGCATAAATTGTCAAGACTGTGAAGGTCGTAAAGATAACTGTACTGCCTGTGCAGGGAAATTTCTTAAAAACTCAGAATGTGTTGATCAATGTTCAGAGAGCGAGTTGACTGTGAAAGGTGTCTCTGGTATTCGTTTAGCCGGTGCAAACTCAACAGTGGAAGGAAGAGTGGAGGTACTTCATGACGGAATATGGGGAACCATCTGTGACGATTCGTTCGATATGATGGACGCTAAAGTGATTTGCAGGCAGCTAAAACTTGGAAAAGCAGTCGAAGCTCTTGGGAGGGCGAAGTATGGAATGGGAACCGGGCAGATTTGGATTGATGATTTACGATGTGTTGGAACGGAGAGAAATATCCGGCATTGTAAGATGAAAGCTGGTAAGTGCACATGTATCTTAGAGAGGCACATTCCAAATTTTGTTAGAATAAGGACATTCACCTTTCATTTTAGTAACTGATATAAGTACGCTTCCCTTTTCAGAGACTAACAGGGTTATGATTTCCGATTGGGTGGATTCCTCTGGAAAAGAACGAGTCAAACTAAAAAAAACAGTAGTCAGTTTCATGCAAAAAATGGCTTATTAAAATGAAATAACGGTCTTAGTCTCCCTGCAGCTCTGTTCATAGATAGCCTGGCCGTATTTTAGGCGGAACTCTCGTTGAACACTCATTGGTTTCGCCAGCATTTAACTAAAGAAGATTCAAGTATACCTTATTTTGTAATTGTAGTCGTCTCTACGTTGTTGTTTTTCAGGGGGAATTGGAAGTCATAACTGCAGACATACTGAGGACGCAGGAGTCAAGTGCTCAGGTCCAGACATGTCCCAGAAATGTGTGAAATCATGTGGTTCTGGTTTCTTCAAAGGAGAGAAAAAGAAATGCGAGCGATGCGCCATGAAATGTAAAAATTGTTATGGATCAGCCTCATCTTGTACTAGCTGTGATTCTCCGTACTTCTACGCTTCCTCAGATTGTGTCAGAAAATGTCCGCCTGGTTTGTATGGTGACACTAAAGAGCGTTTGTGTAAGCCCTGTGATAAAGTGTGCCAGACGTGCTCAGATGGCGAAACTGGAGATAAATGTCGGTCTTGTCCAAACGGATTGTTCCTCAGTGAGTGCTAAACTACTTGTTAATTCACAAAACTGTAACTTGGTAACCTACCAAAGATATGTGACTTAACAAACTTGTTACGGTATGGCTCCTTTTTGGTAAAGATGGACAAATTGAAGTCTTTTATAAAGCTGACACAGCGTATTGTATTTTTGATTGTCAATCATTTCGACGGGCACGATAAAATCTTATTCAGTCATAGAATTTACGAGGTTAAGACAGCCCCTGCATTGAACAGTCTTCCCTTACAACACACTAACGTCAATCGTTTTGTATTCTCAGATGGCAGTGCCTGTGTCAAGGACTGCGGTGACCTCCATTCCGTGTCATCATTATTCTTGCCAAGGCCACTAGAGCCGGTGGTCAGATTAGTAAATAAAGAAGGAAGTAGGGGGCAGGGGCGAGTAGAAGTGCTGTATGAGGGCGTATGGGGAACTGTCTGCGATGATGGTTGGGACATAAACGACGCTAGCGTTGTTTGTAAAGAGCTTGGCTTTGGGAAGGCGAAAGAAGCTTCGAAACACTCTAGCTTTGGAAAGGGTAAGTCTGTGTTTCACTTCGAAAAACCTGATTTAGACTTTGGTATAAAAACTGCCTTTTTCATGATTTCCTCCACAAAGGAATCGGAATTATCTGGATGGATAACGTGAACTGTCTCGGTTATGAGTCCTCACTTACCCACTGTCGTCACGTTGGCTGGGGTGAAGGTAACTGTGATCCAAACCACGCCGAAGATGCAGGTGTGATCTGTGATAACACGACTGTAGAAGAGCTCAGCAATAACTTTTGTAGGAAGGTCAACGATGGTTCATGTGCTGATCTTCAGGTACTTAACTTTAACCACTGAAGACATAACTTCTAACGGAGCTCACTCATTCCGTTTACAACGACAAGATCTCTTCTTACATTAAAAGCAAACCATTGATTGATGACTGTGATTTCCTTCTTTTTCCTATTCTTCATTGTTAGCTGTGTGACAGTCACGCGGGAGTAACGTGTGTAGACTTGGACCTTTACAACCAAAAAGGAGAGGAAGAGTCCGTGTGTATGAGATGTCCAAATGGTTACACTGGTGACGGACAGAAATGCAGAGGTATTCAGTTCGATCATCATCTTCTTATGTTAGATGTTAATGTTTGTCTTGCATTTGTTCAAAATGTTATTTGACGTGATGATTAGATAACGCAGGTGGGATGGGTGAGGCCATTGTGGTTTGTGCTCTGGTTTTTTTCGAAGGCACGTCATGCAACATTTGAAACTGGTAAACACTGATTCAGACAAACCTTTTAAAATCAATATCTCTTTTTTTGTCATAATTACATTCTAGTTATTGCCTCCAAGCCCCCAATATTTGACAAGAAGCCAAACAAGTTGGAAAACGTGAAATTTCAAGATGCATTTAGCCTACAGTGTTCCTCTTTGCCTCCAGTGGTATATCCGTCCGCGTGGGACTGGAGGAAAGATGGGAAGCCACTCTCCGTCAATGACATAAGATCCAGGAGGATTACTTCTATATCCGGGACTTTGGTAGTGAGATCTGCTGCTGCAGAGGATACTGGAAACTACACATGCGTGTTAGTGAACAGTGCCGGATCAATTGAGAGTGACCCGGTGATGGTTGTCGTAAAAGGTTTGTTCAAATTGTCGGCCATGTTCTTAGAATCACAATCAACTGAAACAAAAATTTAAGCTCAGGTGGGGTTTTGAACAGTATAGAACCCTGACAGAAAATTAAGTAAAGGCGTGTAGGTGACGATAAAAACATGAGGTATTAGGAATACAATAGAAAAGAGGAGTAAAGAAAAGAAAAACATATGTCATTTTTTCCTTCTAGTCCCTCCCCAGATCCCTGGCGTCGTATCAGCCGACGTTGCTAAGGGCGACAGTACAACTCTGGCTTGTTTAGTGTCCAGCTTTCCGCCGTCAAACATCACATGGCGATACAAGGACAAAATCATTGGCTCGGACAACATTAGATACAACGTCAACGATAGAAACTTTTCTATTCAGATAAAAAACGTAAAATTTGAGGACGCTGGGGACTACGAGTGCGAAGTTATGAATGAGTTAGGATCAGCAGTGGCTTATGCAAAACTTGAAGTGGGATGTAAGTGGTATGGTGTGTGTTTAGGTTTCATTGACTGATTGATTAATTGACCTACTGACTATTTGACTGACTGACCATTTCCATGCCAATTGACTGTCTGTTGAATTGATTGATTGACGCATCTGATTGATGTACTAATTGATGATGGCCACATTGCTTTAGCCAATGTCGATAGAAATGACAAGTTTTGTCTCTAATTTTCACCTCTTTTAGTGACACTTCGATACACCAAGTTCGAACCAGAGGCCAAGATAAAAAAAATGGGCCAAGATGTCACACTACCATGCGTTGTAAGCGCTATCCCTACTCCAAATATGGCATGGAAAAAGGATGGAGAACTGGTAACGAATGACGATCGTCATGTGGTCACTCAAACAGATTTGACAATACGTAAACTTACTTCAACGGACATGGGAAGATATTACTGTATAGCTTGGAATAAACGAAGTGTAAAGGCCAGGGATGTTCTCTTGTTTGTAACAGGTAGGGATTTGAACAAAGTAGCTTGCAGCTTGACACTGCAAAATGTTCAGCAAAGTAAGCCTTAGACGTGAGCCGGAGACATTAGGTGGTCATGGCTCGTCACATGATACGCCAAGAGTCGACTGTCATATGATATGAAGCGACTTGGAATATGATATAATGCCCTGAATGGTACTTGTAGGCTAGCTGGCTATTCCCTAGTAACCCCCCTGAAAAGGAACTTTCTGGTACCCCTTAAACTGTTGTTTCAAGAGTGGAGACAAATCGCCAGTATATAAAATTCAAACAATAAACTTTCCGAGGATGACCCGAGAGTTTTTTGTTCGTTCTCTGCGGTTTAACGATTAGTCCAGCTTGTTGTACTTTCCGAATGAGTGGCAATATATTTTATCACTCTTAAACATTGCTATAAGCCTTATTTTTAAAGCAAACATAAATCTAATTTGATTATCCAACTCATTAAAAACTGTTCTAGGGCCTCCAATAATAGACATTTTTCCAGTTGATCAGGATGTTCTCTCCGGAGCCGATGTATCTTTGTACTGTGGAGGATATGGTGATCCTCCTCCGAAGATTATTTGGCGAAAAAATTCCGTGAACGTTGAGACCTCACACAGAATAAAAATTGATCCCGTCCAGGGATCAGGAGAGCTTCAGATTATTTCGGTGACTGTCGAAGATGCGGGAAAGTATGAATGCATTTATAGAAATAGTTTTGGTGAGGCCAGGAGAGAGGCGTCGCTTACGGTGGACGGGCAAACAGGGACAGGTCAGTAGTAAAGTATGTTTATAAAGAAAACATCTCCATGCTATTATAGTTAAGGTGAATAAAATGGCAGCCATAACAACAGCGATTTTACTATTCGGTTAGTGTGTGCATGTGAGGTATGAGAGATTTTGGCAAATTTTAAAATGATGTGGATCATGGGCGAGATGTCTGAAAATGACATGAAATGAAATGAATTTTTGAGACAGAGGGCCTACTGAGCAAGCGTTTCCTGAGTTTACCACAAGTTGATGGGTGAAAGCGGAAGTGCGGCTTGATTAATGCACCAGCAGCGTGTGGTTACTCTCCTATTTGGAAAGGCACCAAAACCATTAACAATTACGTCGTTAAAGAAAGTGTTGTACGCCAATTCTTAGTTGTTGGTCGTGAGAACCAGAAACATTAGAAATGTTTCATAGGCTTTTAAGAAGCAGGGAAGTGTATTCAACAACCTTCTTGTGTTTTATATTCTAGAATCAAAAACGAAGGCATCGAAAGGTCTCAGCACTGGAGCAGTGGTGGGAATCATTGTTCCCCTCGTTCTTGTCAGCCTCCTCGTTGTTGTTGCAGTCATCTTCAAGTGTCGAAAGACTTCGTATTACAGAGGAGACAAACTTATGATGAGCAAACCAACATGGCTCTCTGACTTTAAAACGAGAGTAGCATCATCTTTTGGCAAGGAACCAAAAACAGAGCCCTTAGAGGAGGAAGACATTGATTTATAAAGGGACTAGGAAACTTTACATCAAAAACACTGTGAATTAGAAACTGTTCCTTACAGTAGAGTGATAGAATAACAGCTTATTATAGGCATCAAGTAACGTCTTAGGTTTTTAGAGAATAGAAATGAGCTTCTGGAGTGAACAGTATGCCTAACTTTACATAAAACAATGAAACACGCTCGCGACATTTAAGCCATTTCCGCTTATTTTATGTGAAGTGTCTTCTGATAACTAGGGCTAGCTCATCACCACACCAAAAGGAAAAACTTAGCATACTTGAACAGTTTTCAGCTCGTCTGTAGGATCAAGAGATTGATCAAAGTAGGAGTCTTAACAGCACCAGAGTAAAACATGGGATTCCCTTTATTTTAAACGCCGGAGTACAATCAAGAGTCAAGACAACTTTCATCGGTTAGGCTTCAATTGCATCGCGAGAGACCCAAATAAAATGCTTCTAAACACCTTTTTTACTTAATTGAAAGGGTAAAGGCAAGTTTCTAAAGAGCTTATGGTTCGAAATGAAAGGGAAGGGAGAGATAAGGTAAAAATGTACACAATAAGGTGAGGTGAGGTGCAAGGCAAAAGGAAATACGATCAGAGAGAAAAGATGCAAAATGCGGGGCTTAACTTTTCGACTCCAGATTAATAATCAGTGCCATGTTACTGCTAATGTTAAGTTTAACCACCGGAAAGGAAATTGGTCAGCAACCCTGCTGTAGACAGTATCCAATGGGCGGGAAAGAACTACTGACGACGTTCACTGATACGTGTTTGATGCTGGAAGCCCGGAACAGCCGAGCATATAGTGACTGTTTCAGATAAGCCATGTATACTACACTCATACGTGACCATACTCAAACATATTCATGTACACTCAGTCGGACTGTCCACAGCACATACAAACCATATCACCTACAAAAGATACAGATACCGACACTGCCTCCCGTAGCTACAGCAATCTAGACTCCGTCTACAATAGATAAAGCTATTTACGCTGATTGTGATATATACAGCCATTAAAACAATCTAAAACATTCAGTTATCACAATGAATACAGCCATCTACTCCTTGTACATCAGATACTGCTATCTACACTACACACAGTTATGGTCACAGCCTACGGAAGATACAACTTTCCACACTGCTCGGCTACCTACGCGATGTAAAGCAGATATTTCTTTCTACATATGCGAGATACAGTTATCCACGTTATCTAGAGTAAGTAAAAGAGTCACATACGCTGTCTGTAGCAGATACAGCTGTCTACAATATCTGTACTAGGTATGTTTCGAGCGTTAGCCCTTCGTCAGAGCGAAGCGACCAATCGCTCTGACTAAGGGCTAACGCTCGAAACGTCAGCTTTTTTACCCTTTACGGTGGCTAATTTACGTTTTCAACCCAGTTGTTAACACTAAATTACCTGCTATACTCTCCCACCGACGCAGCACCACAGTTTCTTTAGAAACTTACCCCTGTACTAGGTATTGCTAGTTGTATTTAAGATATATATACAAAGGAGAGAGCAGTGGTGCACAAGGCTGTACCTACTGAAGAACGAGTAGATTAACTATCAACTTTAGACAGGTTGATTGTGGAATATATTAAGTCACAATTTGATCAGATTTGAGCACAGCTTTTAAATGAGGTATCAGATAAAGTGAGTGTTTTCCGTTCTTCTATGAAGTACTATTAATTTTCTTATTTACTAATACTACTTCTGCGACGGTCAGCGGTTTTCCAACTGAAAACAAAAACGACGAGAAATTGCTGAAAGGCGCTATAATTGAATCGGTTGCTTCTTAGTGAAATTCTCCGCGTTGTATGTCACCGTTTTTTCTGATCCCCACAAGAACAACTCATTTTTAAATGAATGATTTCTTAACGCGCTGCAGGGATGATTACCGGGTTGGATTAACACAGAATGTAGGTATCTTAATATATACGGTGTGATGACAACATGAACTCTAACTGTTTGACATGAATGTATTGGGTGATTCGATCATGGTGTTGTCATAACAAATCTCTGCAAATCTAAGTACTTGAACATTGTAAATGACAGGAAAAAGAATGGCTGCGGACGTTTTATTATGATGTGGAAAAATGCATCCGACAAAATGAAAGCGAAGCAGAGTTCGTCGAAGTATGCCTGGCTGTGCTGCGTCAAATCAAAGATTTACGCAGTGTTGGAGATGCAGAAGATTATCCAGACTGGCTTCCTATCAGTCAGCAAGTTGTACCTCTTAATACGCTATTTAGCAATGATGTGTGTGGAGGTTCTTTGTGTAGTCTATTAGCTGAAGAATGTTCAATATCAGGTAAGTGAAATGTACTTCAACTGTATACTAAGGGGAGTGGGGGGGGGGGTAGTTCAACAATGTACAATTGGTGTAAGTCATTCTTTATTTACTGATTAAGACACACTTTAAGTATATGAGTTGTACTTGTCAAGCTACGTAAGTTACTAAAGAACTAAATAACTTTCTATCATCTTATAAATCACCAAAAGTACTGTTAGAGAGCATACTAATCAGTCAATTGATATCCTACAATTGCAGCATATACTTCTCACAGTTTTTGTTTTTGCATGGTGAATGAGAAGGATATATATTGGTGTGTAGTCAGATTAAACTGTCAGTGATGGAAAATGCCTTTGTAATTTTTTTTAACTTGTTTGGGTGGAGACCTATGTTTTTTCCTGTTTAATGACCTACTTATTCTGAAATTCTTGATATTAATATTATGTAATTAGTAATATGTAGAATATGTAATGAGAAATACATATTCTTTATTGCAGAATACAAGTTTGCTTCTAAATTGCCTTTTATTCTCTTGGGATATTTAACCTCACAACCCAAGTCTTTAAAATCCAGAAAAGCTTCAGGCACTTTGTATGTAGAGGACAACTTCACTGCAGTTGTTTGTGAGGTGGGAGTTGTTTTTGGTTTTCTAATTATTGCAGTATTAATGTATATAATCAATATCACATGTCAAAAGTTAACAAATCCTATGCTGATGGCTCCTTCTCATTGACATTTTAATTTGAATTCTTCCAGATAATAAATCCCAGTGAAGATTACCTTGAGAAACTTTTACTCATCCCTCACTGGAACTATGTTCCCTCATCATCTTCATCAGCAGTTAAGGAAGGTGAGGTTTTTCATGAAGCCAATCAGTATGGTCAGATTTATTTACATGTAGCAGATCATGTGTTCTATAGGTGACCTTGGTTTATGTATTGGTCTGTATAATCTATCTTAGCCCATAGTCACTGGAAATAAAATCAGTTGGGGGATAGTCGGTGGATTCATAGTTGATCAGTAGTGATTCAATATTTTGCCAATAGCTGGCACATAGTCAATCGCTGGTTGACAACTAAAATGTAAGCTGACCAATATCTTGATGTTCCTGTAGCTGGCCAAGATGTGGGTTGGGATAGCAGCTGGCTATCAGTTGAGTATTGACTGAGGGTTGATTGACCATCAGTGTACCTGTGTATTCTCTCACTGAACAGCTACAGGCATTAAAAGCAAGAAAAAGTGCATACAGTCAAAACTTGTATTAAAGGGTTACCCACTCGGGATAGTGGAGTGACTGCTTAATACAGGTTCCACAGATTAGGGGTATTATAAGAGACCAATACCACAACTGACCACTTACTGTGCAGAATCAAGCTCAAAAATACAACTTTGAGTTTGAGAGAGAAACATGGATTAAAAATTACTCAAGATTGTTATTAGTTTTGTTTTGAGTGGTTTGGCTTTAAAGGGTATTCAATAGAGGTGGATGGAAATACAAACAGGCCTTTGGGACTTGGTAGAGGATGAATGTGACTGCTTGATATGGATGATTGCTTTATGGAAGTGAAACTTACAGTGATTAATTTGGGACTTCGCCAACCAACTGCCTATTACAGGGTGCTGCATAGGTTCAACTGTATACATACATATAGGCTTTTTGCTTTCAAAAAAATTTGTCACTAATGTGTGGAAATGGTGATTTTAACTCTGCTTTATTCTTGTATGTTCATTTTCAGATGTAAAGAATGGTCATGGTGGTTACCTTGAGATCATCAACACAGGCACACCAATTGTTGTTACTAAAACAAATGTAGCTGATAACAAACTCTCCACAAGTTATGTTTTAAGTGTCAAAGAGTTTCAGGAACAAGGAAGGTACTTTACCATATGGTATATTAGGGTGGCAATTCCTTGATCATTTAGAGAATTTAGACATTTCATCTACTTATTTTATATGGGTGGAGTTGAAATAAGATGTTGATCAAAATGACCATACATGTAGTTAATGATCCATTTGTACATCAGTATTTAATTAAGGAGAACATTTTTAAACTAAGCTAGTAGAATAATGGATGCCCTGATATGAGGTTGTGAAAGGAAGGAGTTGAGCCAAGGTGGACTTTGATTTATTGTGCATCAATTTGTGCAGCAGCTTTTCTTTTTCTCCACAGCTCAACAATCAACTTGAATATACAAGGATCCATTTTTGCACTGAGCCCAATTCACAGGTAATTTTGTCCACACTAGTTCCAGATTGCAATTTTTGTTGGTGTTAAATTGTCAGCAAAAAAGGTGATGAAATAGTGAAGTTGTCTTCTTGGACACTCATCACACTCTTCAATTCTCTATCCACTGACTTGCATTTGATGGTCTGTGATAGTGATTGTTTTCTGTCTTGATAAAATGTAATTTTAATATTGGTTACTAATAATCAATCTTTCCTTACAGCATGAGTGTTGGCAAGCCTTTCTTTTTGGTCAAAATTTTCTGCACTGAGACAAGCCTGACAACTTCCTTGGTGATTCAGGTACTGTGAGCCTTCCTTTTTCTCTTTTCCATGGAGGGAGGGGAGGGGGGAGGCGGAGTTATGCTTGGTAACAAATATTTTATCATTTGATCAACAAATGTGGGTAACTGGTAATTTTTCAGTTTTTTTACTATTAATTTCCTTTATCTTCATTTACACCCAACTATTGATTTTTTTTTGACTGTCTCCTTTCTTTTTCTCCCTTCCCATATTGATATTTAAGATATGATGTAAGCTTTCTTTGCAGACTCGATAAAGAAAGCAGTGAGATGTTCAGAGCTGACTTGGCGAGGAATTTTCTTTTAGGGTGAACAGTTTATGTTGTGGCACAATTTTCTTCAAATCAATGAGCAGTATGTGTTCCATAACCTGAGAGAAACTACAATGAACAAGGTATTTTAAGTACGTTTTTTGTAATACAATGCCAAGGGATTATCAATGATCTTGGAAAAATACTGTTGTAATTGATGCATGTGCGTGAAATTCTCCTTCATTACATAGGAAAGTAGGTTTCAGAAACAGAAGTTTTACGTACATTTACTGTACATTAGTAGAATGTTCACTCCGTGGGCATCCCAGGGACTTTAAAAAGTGCATGTTTGTTTCATGTACATTTAATGTACATCAGAGTAACATTAATTCAGGGGAGATCCGAGGGACTCGAAAAGTGGCCCTTGAACAGATGTGTTCCTTAAATATAGTTAACAAATACAAAGGTTGATGAAGCCACTTTCTCCGATCGGAATTGACATTTTTGCCTCCTAAGTTGCCCTATGAATAGAATTAATAGTAGCGTAGTAATATATTAAAAATGAGAGGTCTCACTAAGAAACGTGATGCCTGATCTGTATGTCTTCTACAGGGAACACGAAACGAAAGAAAGATCCTTGCCACTACACGCCGTTCAGACTTGAGGAAATTCCGACCAAGAAACGTGAAACGAACTCACGAAGACGAACAGGTACTAAAGAACAATCAAACAAGCTTCACTTAAAACTTAATCTGCACAAAATTGTAGAGGTGAAAGTAACTGAATGGCAAGTAAAAAGTAAAAGAAATTATATTTGATTTTAACAGTTGAAAGCTGGTATTCATCCAAACCAATAAACGAAGCTAATGTGAATAATAAACACAAATACGGTAACTTTTCAGAGAGCATCGAAGCGGCCAAGAATCTCAAAGGAAAAAGATGAGGTCCCGAATAACCGTAGAACATTTTCAAGTCATAACGTCGCGATGAGGTCAGCAGAAACCAACCCGGCTGAGGCAAAAAATTCACAGCCAGAAAAACCAAAGATACCGGTCAATATAACGTACACGGCAAGTAGTACCCTGGTGTTGCCCCTTTGAATTTTCTAAGGGAACATTTTTATGGCATTCTTAATTTGTCATTTCTAGTTCTCTTCAAAGGAATATAAGAAGCAGACAAAAGATAAATGGAAAAAGATAAAATGTGTCGGGCAAAATAAGAAAGCTCTTCATTCAAGAAATTTAGATACATATACAGTACTTCATACCCCCTGCAGTTGCATTGAAAAGACGTATTTCCTTTAAGATCTTGTTCAACACTTTTAGGGCGTTATCACAGGATGCATCAACCGTGAAGCTGGAGTTTTTGAACTGGACAATAAAATAAGGTAAAAGGTCTTTTACATAACTTCTTGAAAAGCAACTTGAGTTACAATATTGCGCTCGACAGCTTACCGAGTCCTGTTATCTTTCGTTTCTGTGATGTCCTTGTAATTTCATAAACACCGATACATGTTTATGCGTAATGAAGTTGTAATTTGAGCTAAAATTGTCCTTCGTTTTGTAGGCTGTATATAAGTCACCAGCCTTCTATGAATCTTGGTCGCGGTTTGCGTGTTGGGGCTCACGTGACAGCTTACAATGTACACTTGTGTAAGAAAGGGAAGGTAGGCTATTTCATTTTGCTACGTAACATTTTATTAAATTTGATTACAAAAACTGCAAAGGTTTTTTTTTTATAAAGAGGGAGGTCTCACATTAAAGGGCATCAGTAAACTTTGTTTAAAAAGGTGTAGCTAAGCTGCATTTTCCCTAATTTTCTCATCGTTCCAGAGAACTCTTGGCCTGTGCTGCTGCACACAGAGTACTTTGCGGGTGGTGAAGTTCTCTCCTCTAGCTTCACCTTGGAAGGTACATGTATATATTTAAAGACTGAATTATATATAAGTCGTATATCCCTTCAATTTACCTGAAGACAAAAATATGTTTCAGATCTACTTTCAAATTTCCCGTCTTAAGACCTGAATGGAGGGCAGTTTTCAGGAACAAGATTTTACTTGGGTTGAGAAAATGCGAGCACGAAGAGTGGGGGAGGGGGTAGGGTGGGGTGTGCAGCGTATCGAGTTCTGCAGTTTCCATGCGCAGTATCACAAACTGGAAACTTATAATCCTTTATATTTTATATTTCTTCGTGATATAGCCTTTTAACCCATGTGAGAGTCCCTTGGCTTTACTTGGACAAAATCTCACTCTGGGTGATTATGTGGACCTGCTCGAGATGTGCCAAAAAGTTTTGGATAAATTCTCTCCCCTCTACAGGTAATACTATGTCATATCAAGCGTTAGAGTTTAATGTCCAGCAGTGAAAGGCAAGTGACCAGAGTTCATTGTGATCGCATGCGACGAGACGATATTTCTGAAAGAAATCACGAAGCTAAGATTTAAGAATATAATGCGAGCAAATCTTGTAATAATGTTATCGCCCAGAAAAACGTTAAAATCTTTTGCGTCTCTCTTTGTAGGACTAGGCAGCTTGTCGCTTACTCTGTTAAACAGAGCAGGTAGGTGGATTTTCCATTTTATTTTATACCGTAAGCTGTAAGGACGATATGACTACTATACCAGGGTCATAAAGGATTTTGCGATAAAAGGCAACTTTTTCCCCTAATGTTTGATTGTTTTAGTTATTGCGTGATCTATTTATTGTGTAGCTCACAACTGTAGAATGTAAAGTCGACCTTCGAACTTCAATCGAGAAAGAGTGCACAGACAGCGTTTAAGATGTTTAAAGATTATAATAAAGGATGTATTTTGTATAGGCTACTTCTGTTGCAGAATAATATTTTTGACGATGCTTTTTTCTTTTCTCTGTTATGTAATGCTATATAATTTACAGAAAAGAAAAAGGAGATTTCCCGAAAGAGAGTGTATTGGAATTGTTGCTTTCCTTCGTAAAACGCAACTCGGTTACTTCAAATGCTCCTTCAAGAAACATTTATGATGAGTTCTTTGAGGTGCCGCATGATTGTCACCCAAATCATAGCAGTCTACTAACTTTCCCCTGGCTCCCCACAATCAAAGAGTTCCTAGACACTGTTAGTCAGATAAGCAGTAAGAAGCCTTGGTTGAGTGGATTGCCTGGCAGAACAACATCATCGACACAGGAGAAGGAAGAATGGACGTACAAAATTTTGAGTCAAGAAAGCTTCAGTCGTCCGTTGGTAAGATAACGTTTTGGGAGTGTGTGAGATATCATTTTATATATTTTCCTGGGAATCCTTTCTAACCTGGAATTGAGTTTTGCATCGGCAGCGTCACACAAAGTGTTTATATGTGTTTATTTTTATTTATATTGTTTGATGCTTCGCGTTCTCCACGTTTTTGAACTTATGGAGATGCAGGGCAGTTAGTGAGTGCAGTAAAGATTAAAACTTCAGGCGTTTCTTCAACCGATATTTTCCATTCAGTTTCGCTTGCATTAATTTCCCCTGTGTATTGCAGGGTGCACTTTCCATCTGAAGAGGAAGGTTGCTTTTTTGTCTCTAATGGAGTTCTCTTTTTGTTCGTAGATTCTGGGTGGTTGTCTCGGGTACTCTTCAAAAACTGGCCGGTTGCGCTTGCTTGATCAAACGGGAGAAATCAACTGCATAATTGCATCCAAAGACGAAAAACTCACAGAACATGACTGTGCAAAACACTGTTTCCAGAAATCTATTGTCGACGATCAGTGTTCACGTTGTCCCTATTCACAGATCTGGAGTGTAAATGCAGCGATTCAAATCAATACGTTTGAGGTAGTTATGGAGAAATTTCATTCGAGAGGTCTTGTTCAGGAAGATTTGGGTGAAGATCGAAATCGATTATACGTGCAGTTCTCCTTTGACGATACAGAAACCTTGATTCCTAAAGACAAGGGTAAGGCGAATAGATATTATGGAAAAAGGACAAACACATTTGAAGCTGGCACAAAGGATGCAAGCTTAGAAAGGGAGCTCAACAGAAATCTTGAAAGTAAAAGTGATTGTTTTATATGCAAGGTTATTTTTATGGTTAGGAACTGCGAAGTGGCAGTGCTCCGACGATTGAGAGAGGAAGTTTGCTATCCTTGTGGTGTGGAAATAAAAGTTGTCGCCGTTTGTAAAAGAAGAACTCAAGACATGTCTGAGACAGAAAAAGCCGTTCCCTGCTGTTCAAATTTCACTCAATTTCTCTCGGACTTCAAGCTTCAAAAGAAGACCGCATCTCTAAAACTTGAGAGGAAGAGCTTGTACTTAGCCCACGTTCTTCATCCAGGATGTTTCTACGTCTTGACTGAGACAGTCCTTGACGAAAAACAGTCCCATTTGATACAAAATGGAGACGTAGAAGTACTGATTAGTGTTAGCTCTGATATGCTTTTGGAGAGAATATGCTGGTGTGAAAGTTGTGACTTTAACTCGCCAAAGAAAACAGAAAGCAGCTGTGATATTATCAAGGCACTTAATGGTTTGAAGGAAGATTTCTTGAAGAATGATACTCTGCTTAGTGTGGATTCTGTTCTTGGTGAAGGAACCTTTACGGGAGTGAACGGCAACGAGAAGTCTCTAAAGCAAAGGTATAAGAATGAATTATGCAGCTTAGCTACTGTACTTCGTCTCAGCGCATGCACATCAACTCTGTAAATGTGTTAGTGATTTTCATCAATGGTTTCTCGAATGCTGTTCAACGTGATGGGTTTTTAGACAGGGAACGCCAATTCTATTTTTTCTAGCACTCTGTCTTTCTGTTTCTCTTCATAGCTCTAATGCTCGAAAGATCCGATGTAAAAATCTTCACAGGGGCTAATTTACGTTATCAACTCAGCTGATAATCTCAAATTACCCTATCTCCTTGCAGCACACAAGTGAGTTTCCATGGGCTGATTGTTAGCCGAGATCTGCGCCAGTCAGACTGTCCTAGTCAGCGGCTTCCAAATGATCTGGTGGAACTGCCTAAGTTTGGTCCAGTTAAGATGTCAGCTATAAAAGATCTACAGCTGGGCTTTACTCTGTTAGAAAACAAGATCATACAGCTGAGAGTGCGTGACTTGCGGTCATCAAATACCATATCTGTTTACCTGGACTTCAGACGAACCACTTACGTTGATGGAATTTTACCTGGTAAGTATTGTACACTTGTATTTATAGCAATCGCAACATTTTCGAATCCTGGAAGTTGTCGGCGACATTGCACTATCTTTGGCTTAAAATTAGAAGATCTTTTTTTTTCTTCTTGTTATCATCAGGCGCCGTTGTCCGATTCCGAAGGTTGGTGAGAAAATTCTCCCAAACCAGAAACATGTACTGCACATTTGAGGCTTGTTCTTCAATTTTCGTGGAAAGACGAGCAGCAAATAACTCAGTTACCAGCATCCAGCCGACCCCACATTATTCACTCAACGTTGCAGCATGTGCATCTGGTGAAGCGCGCACCAAAGAACTTCCAAATCAATTTCTTTTCAGACTCATTCAGAGCGAAGCACAAGGGAGGTTTGTTCAGACCATTTCACGTGTATGTTGCCGAGTAATCGCTGTGCAGAGGGCGAGCCTGCGATGGCTTTGTAAACGATGCGGTGAACTGGTAGCTAGAAACGAGTGTGCCGCCTGTTGCTTCAGCTCCTCGGGATCTAGGCTCAGTGCTGAAGCCAGGTAATGTTTCAATCACGTAACGCGTTTAGTCCACCGAAGGACGAGCCAAGATATTAAGAGGATTTCAGTGATTGAAATTCTCACCTTGTTTTTCTTACAGATGTGTTGTAGAAGACGGTACAGGCGAAGCTCAGGTTTACGTGTATGACGACCTGGTGCCCACGTTATTGAAACTTTCCAGTCAGCAGTGGCGTCATCTTCAGGATTTGGCTATGCGCACTGGCGAGTTACTGTACCAGCGACATTGGTATGGTGCACGCAGGCGTGTGAAGGTAAATTAGTTTAATTCGTCGAAAAACTAATTGACAAATTGGAAGAAGGTTAACTCGCGTTGTTTTTCTCAATTTTAAGATCAATGAGGGAAGCTTGTCCAGAGAAGCAGGAGCCAAATTGATCTGGGAGAATCATTGTGTTTCATCTCAAGTCTCACGGCGAGTCGTGCTGTATTGTAAATTGTTTCGCTTTAAGAAGAATGGGGCTAACAACACGGAACAAGGTGAGAAACTCGTGTTGCAATTTGTTCTTAAGGAAAGTTTGCCTAATGCAGTTATTAAGACGTGACATTGGTAAGTGCGGAAAGAGAACAGAACAGCCATGAAATATTCCTGTAAATAATTAGATTTTTTTTTCAAGCGGTGTTGTTATCTGATATGTCTTATTCTTGTTCCAGGTTACGAGTCTCGTAGTATTACTGTGGGTTCCACAGAACACTCTACTCTCGTGTTACCCAAACTGCTCTTAAGAGCTATATCCATTACCGAGGTTTGCGCAACAGAGGAAATTCGACAACTGCTTCAACAGGAAAGAAATGGACTTCGGTGACTTGGTTTCAAAGTGAGCCATTGAGTTCCCGGTAGAAAACAAACCGTAATCTCTCTCTACATGAAGGGATATCAAGTCAACTGAATAACAAACAACAACTTTTAATATTTTAATACGTAAATAATATAATATTCATTTAGCTATGTCCAGTTTCCATCAAATTTAAAAATTCACCTAACTTGGCAATAAATTAATATGAAAATAAGTGTTAATTATTTCCAAGGAGATACTGCTTCAACCGCTGAAAATATTTGTAGAGTTGAATTTACTGTAACATGTTAGGATTCGGTAAACACTTCAGTGTCACGTTGCTGTTAGCTTAGACATATCAAGAGTAAAGCGGTCCACGTTGAACGGTTTGTAGAGTCTGTTTGGTGACAGTAAACTTTCCACGGCTGTTCGTTTATCACAGTGGCCTATAATCCATTGAAGTCTATCCTGAAATATACAAAATATACCAGCTTTAATAAAAGAATTCCTGTGATTTTATTTAACTGTTTTAGCTAAGTAGAGAAGACAGGCTCACAAAGTATTACAGGAGTGATAAAAAATTTGGTGTAATTAGACCTTTTCTCTCTCATCGTTGCCCCAAATGTACGGCGGTAATTCAGTGGAGTTTAAAATTGGAAATACACTGTCCATGTAGACCTCCCTGAAGAATCTTCTCATGTGTGCTTCGTCTCTCTATAGAAAAAGGCAATCAAAGAGGTGGGAATGAATATTGGCCAGGAAATCGGAAATCTGGGAGCATTTGGGATAAACAGGAACCTGTGCACTTCTAAGAGACCAGTGGTCCTGATCCACTTGATCCATAATAACCACGATAACGGTTGAATTGCTTGCTTCAAAGCTTTACTTGATTTGCTTTTGTGCGTCAGTTGAACAAAACGTTACTCTTGCAAGCTTCATAGAGTAAATATAACTAAAGGTACTTGAGTATTTCTTTATAGCGGCGGCGGTAACTCAGTACTTACTCGTTGGGATCGCTTGAGTGCTCGCTTGCTTTTCTCGTCCCAGCAGCGCTATATCGAGAAAATAAATTATTCATTTTATAGTTCAGAGGCATAATTTTAGAGACGAATTTAAACGTGATAAAAGTCTTAAGCTACAACATGCTCAGAAGAAGCGGGAGTTTCGATTGAATCGTGTCTAACTGGTAGTACGTGGGCACTTGTGACGACAAGGAGCAGCGCACCCTAACACTGATTGCTTCCACTCGAACCTGTCAACAAGTAAACCTCACATTGAAGTCCTTTACTTGGGCTGACATCAAGTCTAGGAGGTTGCTTACCTTGAGAGCATCCATCACATCATGAGTATAGAGAATTTTTGGAAATGTTGATATAACAGGATCCATAACAAAACCTGAAACGAATAATGGAAGAAAGGAAAGGAAAGGAAAGGAAAGGAAAGGAAAGGAAAGGAAAGGAAAGGAAAGGAAAGAAAGAAAGTAATACCGTTACTTTTCCCAAAAGAGCTTCTTGCTTTAAAACGTCAGGCGTGGAGGGAACTACAGCAGCTTATGATTTCCATTTCAATTCAAATTAACATTTTTTACTCATAGAAGCCTTATATACTCGGATTAACGTCTTCTCCGTCTGGGAGAGGATGGCAATGAGTTAACGTACAAACAATTCATCACAAGATACCTGCATCTTGACTGTCCCGCAACTCGTACATGATAATCTCAGTCAGCAATTGGCGGTACAAAGAAATGAACTGAGCATATGTGTGACATGTCAATAAAGTGTCTGGTAACATGCTGCAAAGAGATTCAAACCCGAACTGAACATGTGACTGAGTTTGACTAAATCTAGGCATCAACAATTAAGTTATCATTTAACTAAACATTCACGAAATGCTTTGGTATTTGTCCGAGGAAAAAAAAAAAAAAAAAAAAAAAAATTCTTGCTTACTCATATATGTCTCTTCGTTGACTTGGAAAAGAAACGAGTTTCACTGTCAACCTCGGCTGGCGATTGGTTCGGACAACTTGTTGGAAGCGACTGGTGCTGGCTGAAACAATAAATACAAGCAAATAAAGACGAAAGCATAGTTACCACCGGTTATTTCTGCATACTTTTGAGCCAAATGCGCGAAGAACTGCGCCATGTTGCAAAAATATATTTTTATAGCCCATCAGGTTTCATTGATGGATTTTAAAAAAGGTCTATGATGACATCACTGATAAAAACCTAATTGAAGGGATTCTTTTCAGTGTCAGTATGTCTGTTCAGTTCTGACAGGGCTAAAACATACAAAGCAGTAATGAGGGATTTAAAAATGTATTTCAATTGGACTTGTAATGCCTGCCTGTCAGAAACTTTACCTTTCAAACTGACTGAAGGATCCAGGTCGACCCCAATGTCAAACGGTGTTCCACCATTAAGATGGATTTCGTACGTCCTGTAAAAAAGAAAAGAAAAGCACAGGTATTACACTTTGTTGTAACGGAAACTCTCAAAGAGGTAATGGCTACACGTTACGTGAATGGACTGTCTTACTTGTTAGGCACCGGTGCTCCGTTTTCTTCAAACAGTTTAATTGCACACCAACCACATGCCACTTCACCTTTCTCACCAGTGGACTATAACAATAAAATATATCAAACTCACGGTTAAAAGGTCATCTGTTGCGTTTATTCAAATGTGCACCGAACTCAAGCAGATAAACACTTACCGTTCTTCTATAAAGTATGTTCAATTCAAAAAGGATAACTACAAGAAAAGAAATATAATGAGAATCAGAGATGGAAATAGATCAATGTAATGGTAAAAACATTAACATTAATTCAGAGAAGGAAAGTTTCTTGTTTTATTCACTAGCACGTTACAAGACCAACACGGCAGCGTGAACTTACCTTGGGAATCGTCATTGGAATTAATACGAGCCAGAATCTCAGAGTCGTAAACACTGGTAGAACACTGCATGTAAAATCAAATGAAAAGCTTTCATACAGGTTGTGTACGTGACACGGTGCGGGCAGTTGCACAGTCTTAAAGTGAAAAGTGCATGGCGGTCGACATGAGCGCTTAAATAGATGTGCCCACACAGAAATTTTGACTCCGATCATTCATATTAATATATACATTTTCTTTTCCAGTTCATAATCTCTCTTCATTCTAAGCTGATTTTTTTTGGCGCAATGTAATAAAAATATCCATGAAAGCATCGCCTTTGGTTTGAGGAAATATATCCAAGGTTAAATCAGATGGAAAAATAGACCTTCAAACAGTATCGGAAAACTTGAAACACGGTTTGAGAGTGACCTTGTACCAAATGGTGTTTGCCCATATTACCTTTGGGTTAAAGTTCCATGACGCTGGATCTTTTTCCGTCGTAGTTGCGCGGACTGAATGAACATTGCTAAGAGGCTGATGATAAATATCAAAAGTAAGTGAACGGTTTTGGCAGCACCGAGATCAAAATAGCACCATCGCCTGTTTAAGTGCATTTTATACCTGTTTCTTGCTGTTATCCCAAATCACAATCCTCACATGTCGGCTTATAACTTCAACACCTTAGAATCAAGATACCAGAATGGAGGAAAGTTTAGAAGAAGATTCAGTGAGTCACCTTAATGACAACTGAAAAGTTTACTCATTCACTCTTTGAGACAGTTGAATACGTACCACTGAGAAACACTGTTGCAGCTCAAACAAATAGAGCAGCCTTGTACAATTTACAAGTGATGAGGATAACTGAATTTGAGTCCAACCTAAGCAGCCGTACTCTTAGCAGACATATAACATGCATTAGAGGAGACAGTTCCTAGGTTTAAAGAAAAGGGTGGAGAAAGAAATTCAGATTGACCCCCGTCCAAACTTGCAGTTTTTCACTTACGCTTATTATATTAGTTTTTGAATGTAAGAATAAATCTTTTTTTTTTGACATAAATGAGCTAAGTTCTACTGCTGATCTATCATCAAGTCGTCATAGTGGGCCTGGGACTGACCTGATCCTATTGATGGTATCATTCGTGCACTGCACACTTGAAGAACCCTGTTGGTTTTTGCCGTTCGTGGTCGCAGCTGTAAAGGGTAAAAAAATAGCCAGGTTGAATTACTAGTATCGAGGAAGTCAAAACCTTTCCTTCTCTAGAAAAATCAAGAAAACGAAAGAGAGATAACAAGAATCAGATCACCCCATCAAAGTAGCTCCATCTCACCCTCTCGAGAGGGTTCAATAACTCAGCTCCTCGAAGTTGGATAGCGGAGAGGCTATCAGTCAGGAGATATGGGGGTACTTTCTTTACACCACTATCTTTGCATCAATTCCTACGTTTTAGCCGTCTTTCTTCGAAGAGTTACAAGCTTTAACAGAGGAATAGTTACGTTTTCACCTGTTTATTGACGGGATCCCAAGTTATGTCTCTGAATGCTACATTAGACTGGCTTAGTTTTGGCATCACCCAAGAGCTTGTTTGCCAGATTTCTGAGGGATCAAAAGTAAAGTCCTATCTTGTAACTAGAAGTAAAACCATCCACCAGAAAAACATAAAACGCGAGTAAACAACAGTGTAAGTGCTACGTTCGTTTACTTCGTCCTTTATCTGATTCATTCCGACGTTTGTTATAACGTAAGAGATAAAAAAACCCCACAGCCTCAGGTAAGTGCTCCGCTGTGACAAACTAGATACTTTTGACGTGTGCTGCAAAATCGAACAGAAATCAACATTTAAACTCAGGGAATTAATCTTAAAAACAGCTTGCCTTCTTTGGCCAGTTTTCCAAGCGTTGTTGATCGGAAACCACTTGGCATGGCACCCATAGCTTTCAACACGTCTGTGGCACTAGTCTGAGAAGAGGAAATCAAATTCACCACCACATTCATTTTCATGTTTTTTACTTCATACGGGAGGGAGTTTCCGTGCTATATTTTTTCCATTTCCTGCGTGAAGGTCACACACTAGTTACGTTGAGTGTCGATGGGTGTTGAGCTGGAGTGTGGGTTTCAGGGTTTCTCGGTAAGGTATGACATAACGGTCACGCAACGCGACATTTAAAAGAAAGGCCACAAACGTTTTTAAATAAAAAAGAAAGACTCTATGTTGCATGAATCGACTAATTTCTTCAAGTAGAGTCTGTAAAATCTCGTGACTTTGAAAGTCAGCTTGGACAAGATTAATTCTGCATTTTGTTGTTACGAAAACTAGAAAAAAATCAACCAGGAATAATCGTTGGAAATAGCCCTTTCATAGTATAATGAGTTTACACAATTTCATTTTATCCTGCAAGTGTCATCAATGCAGATTAAAATATTTCCATAAATATCGCCATTAGTTTGCAAGATAATTTTGCTAGTTCGATACTCATCGTTTTTTGAGTGATAAATTAACACATTTAAACGAATAACGCTTGAATATAATTGACAGGGAAAGCGACAATTAACAAAGCCTATCTGTGAATACAGAAACATTATTTATATCACCAACCCTGATTTGGAATTCAAAAACTAATCACATCAGTCGCCTGTATTATTTTATTCACCAAGGCCATAGGCAAAATTAGAAAAACACAATATTGTACGACGCATTATTGCAGAGAAAGTTACACGGAGACAACGTAAAGACAACGGGTTGTTTAAATTGGAACTGAAAAAATACTTTGTTTTGTATTTTTAAGGATTAGTAGTTACTTCGGCCCAGGCAAAGCCACTAACACAATTATTTTCCGTATAACGGGACATTTTCTTAGTATGCCTTTAAATAAGATTTGAATTCCGAACTGGGGTCTCACACAGGTTTAACTTCGTTTATTGTTTGTTTTACCGACGTTTTATTCCAGTGGGGCAACCACGAAGACATCTTTTGCTTGAAATATATAAAAGCATTACTTTTATTGGCTGATTGTCGTACTGTCTGCTAACGAATAGAGTATATCCCATTTTGCTGCGAGGACTGCATCGTTTGTCTACTGATCATATTCATAGCAAAAATATAACAACAAACGAAACGAAAATTGCGCTAAATTTTAGAGATATTTAATAGAAAATATCAAGACGATAAGGCCCGGAAGAATAAAAAAAGAGAAAGCGACATCGCCGTCTTCGTAAATAAAGTAAAGCTAAACTCATTTTACTACAATTAGCCAAAGAATCAATCTAGTTCCTCTCGTAAATTTAAATCTTTTACGCTAAAGCAGAGAGGTTGAATTAAGCGGAAGAAAACGCAAAACCAATTCAAAGAGCGTTTAAATACCTCTTCAAACTTATAAATTGTAGCACCATTTGCCATACTTGTAGGAAAAGCCAAGTTTAGCTCCGTAAAAGCAGCCGACGAAAAGAGAGAAGAGAAACAAACCTTTTGTTTTGAAATTGAGCTTAAAAGTGTACGTCACAATTAAACGTGTCGCGCGCACGTTAAACAGAAGCGGAAAGCTGTAATTTCTTTGAACGAGATGGACATGACGTTGAATTAAAAAATCAGCTTTTATTTGAAGTAACATTACGACAATTTCCTAGACGATTGACACATCATTTTAAAGGAAACAAAAATGATCTCTTCTCACTAAAAGAACAACGGAAGCTTTTAAAAAAGTTTGACCTCGTATTTATACAGTTGTAACTGATCAGGACCAGCTGGTATACCAAACAGAGAGATACTGGGAATTGTTTGTCAAGGGAAGACTAAGTAGCACTTATTCTACAAACTGAATCTTGGCGTTACGTGTTCTTAGAGATAGCTAAGATAAAAATGAGTTGAAAAACTAGTTATTCTATCACTCTTATTTTAGCTAACTCTTAAACTAAGAACCAGTTTGAAAATTAAGCGCTCCTTGAGTGTTCGATGTCCAAATATTACATCAGCTAGTGTCATTGTTGTTCGTCTGGTATGAAGCTCGCATGAAGTTGCTCTTTTCAAATAAGCGACTTATTAAGGCCAATTCTCAGAGAACAGACATCAATACTACGATGATCAAAACAAACAGCAAACGAAGATCACGGCTCATATTTTACAGTAAAGGAGGAATAAATACCTGTTGCGTTGAACTTTTGGCTAGACTTTTCCACAAATCCAATCCACTAAAAAATTCCAAAAGAATAAAATTCACGTTGTGTGAAAAACATTAACCTCACTAAGTCTTTACTGGTGTAACTGATTTACATTCAGCCCGTCTTAGGTGTTTTATTAGTAGACTGAGCGCGACAGCAGCGCAAGGCAAAAAAGGACGGAGGATTGGAATTCCTAATTTAAATGAACGCCTGCATGGAAGAGACAAATTTGCAGTCTACGAGGTTGTGTTTTCCGACGAGATCTTTAAAAGCATCGAGGACATTTTAATCAACGAAAATCGTATGATTTATATCAAATTTCGTTAGCAAAATCCTTCTCAGGGCCATAATCATTTCTTCACCTTTTTCTGGTGGAAAGCTCCGGAACTTTATCTGCTGACTCTGCAAACGACGATGGAAAGAAAATATGATCAAACCTGAATTGTTGTTATTCTGGTTTTAACAAGTGCCCCTACAACTAAAAATTGTAAGGATGAATTAAACAAACATTTCTTACAAAATAAAAGGGCAAGGGGTTGAGGAAAAAAACTTGTGTGCAAACACTAGATACTGTGATTGCTTTTGAGGAATAGAAGAACTAAGGTTTTATTGCAAAACCAAACGTACCTTTCTTTATTTCAGCGGATTGCTCATCCCTTTGTTTCACTGGCGAGGTTTCTTCGTTTTCTTCGATAATCTAAAAAAGAGAACTTAATTGAACGAAGCGAAACCTTGTGAAAGACACACAAAAAAAAGAAAATATTCATAAAATAAGACGTGAGTAGATCCACAAGTTCGTGATATTTTCAAATTGGATTTCAGTTTTGATTGTTTACTGTTTAAGCCAATGTTTGTTTTTTATGCATTGTTACCACTACTGATGTTGTTTACTCAGAAAAAGAAAACATTTCATTACCTTGAGAAGGGTTTTAGGGACAACACCTTGTTTGCCGGCAGTGTTTTCTGCTTCCCACCATCCATCTTCACTGACGTTTACAAAAGAGACAAAGATGGAAGCATACGTCATATCAATCACTGAATTTACGCTCAAGTCGAATAAGGAACAATTTGTACTTTTACTCTATCGAGTTTTATGTGCGCATGAAAATCTGATGAAAAGGACAGATTTGTAGCACAATCAGGCCATGGCACCATACACCTCCCTCCCCTGAAGTCTAATGTTCCTCTTGTAAACCTCAGGGCGCATTGAGCGCAACTTATGAGAAGTTCAACTGTACCTTGTTTTTATGACTGTTAGAATCTCTCCCTTCTTAAAACTGAGATCGCCATCCTGCTCCCCTGTAAAATCACTCAAAGCCTCGACCTTGCGGACCTGTGTGAATTGTAGAGAAACAAATTAAGGACAGATGAAATGATACGATTAGATGAGTTTTACCATAACGGTACATTAACTTGATCATCCTCTCACGGGCACAAATCTGTGTGTCCTCCTGACTTTCGAAATGTTATCACAGGCTAATGCCCTTAGGCCGGCATAGATCATGGACTATTCGTGTTTCATAATTTCTTCTCGAAAAAGTGCTGCTTACCATTTCCTGCCAGATAAGGTGATCTAACACTGCTCACCATTACTATGTTGGAGGAAGTGTCCTCTTCACTTTCATCATCTTCATCTTCATCTTCTCCTTCTTCACCTTCATCGTCGTCTTCACTTGAGATTGTGAGAAAAAAAAGGACAATACGGTATAAAAGACGATGTAAACAAGTAGTTAAGTACACATTCCAAATTTCATTACGAAATTGAAATTTGGGTCAAGTCGTTGTTTGAAGATTTTAAAGGGATCCATCCAAGCAGAACATCTCCAAGTGATTCAGTCCGCATTCCACTTTCATGCAGTCGCTGTTGGTCATATTGACAAATATCGCCTTCTAGGCGCATTACAAAATATATTTTATTTTGAGAGTCACCTATCGGGCATGCGCGTGTCATCATCATCAGCTTTATCCGTCAGTAAATCACTGTTGGAGGCACCAACATCACCTTCTTGCATCTTTCTGCGAAGTTGATAACATAAAAATCTTCATCATCATCATTACAATCATCGACACTGGATGAACACCAACAATTTTTTATCTTCCAACAATGACTCGAAAGTTGTTCTAAAAACTTGATTCAAAAAGACCGACAACAATTTTTTCGTAACTCGATTGAACACAAACATTCATCGAGTTATTCAAGGTGAGCGGATTACAATCAAGAACCAATCGCGATTCCGTTAATCCCTTTTAGTGATTTTTCGCGCTTAAGGGAAAGTTGTGTTCTTGAGGCATGCCACAATAAATCATTCTAATTACTTTTCCTATATCACAATGACAATAAACCCTATTCAGCGTTCAAAATGTTAATGACGCGAGTTAGTACGCACATAGCATTTACTTGAATTAGCGGACTACTACAATAATGCCTCAGGAATGATACGGACGGCCAAGCGTAGCTTAAAACTGCTCCAACATGGTTCAACTGACGAAGCATTTCACAAATCCTTATTACGGTCGACTGACTTTAGTTGGCAGGAGGGAATAAAAGAAATAAACATGTGTTTGAATATACTCATTTGCACGTCTAAATCGACATGTTTTCCACACCTGAAATAATCCTCTTCGATTTCATCGGGTTCAAGCTGTTCAGATATTCTGTCCAGTTTGCTCTATGAAACAAAAACAAGAATCAAAATAGTTCAGTTACTTGAAAGACTCATCCGAAGATGTTACACTGTTTTTGGCGGATATCACTCTGGCAGAAGAACAATGAACACATTTCTTAGTAACGCATGACAACTTTGTTGTAAACATCTTTGTTCTATTCGAACTTGCGCCGCTGTGTGTTAATTAGCAATACACCATCAATACATTTATTTCAAATGTTTTCCTTAAGCCGGATTATTTTATGTTTACTAATTAGTATTTTTCTCAGTTTAATTAAACACAAAGGCTAAACAAGGCATAGTAATTATGCAAAGGCCGTGCTAATTTCCGCACTCGTTGGTTTTATGGTAACAACAATAACATACAAATGAAATTTGGTGAAATATTATAATTAAATAAACCCCCCCCACATTTTGAAAGATTTTACTAGACTGGTACGAACCGTATTACAACAGATTATTTTCAACGTGAGATTTTCGCTAAAATATTATATCGAAGTGCACTCGTATTTCTTCAACGAAAACGTAAACGCTAAACAAAGCAGTCACGAAGTTAACTTGAATTAAGAATAAAATAATTCGGACAAAAAACGATAGTGTTTTGGCGGATGCAGGAGTTTGTTGGCGAAAATTTCTATGTTGTTTAGTGAAAGATGTTTGTTGTACCAAATAGAATTAAACTTAACACTTAACGATATGTGAATAAATTAATTGTTTCGAGTTTTTACTTGTCGCAAAATATTCGACGCAGGTTAATCGAAATGCGTAATGCAAGGGGAAAAGGAAACATCATCTCCTCTAGGCATGGAACAAATGCACTTTTAAGTATATCTTGCAAGTCGTTTGAGTTTGCATCTAAAAATGAACACCTTCAAAACAGTGGGATTAATTTTAACACTGAATCTTGCAAACCTCGTAAGTGTGAAACAAAGACTTTTGCATTATCCTTCTTCTAGCAAATATGCCTCACTCCATGTGGTTGTAAGAGCTCCTTAAAATTGAGCTACCGCAGCTGAAAGCTAAGGGATATCACTTGAAAATATTGCTTCTTGCTAAATCCATGCAAACACTTTGATATCAGAAAGGATCTGGAGCTTAGAGTGTTTCTGGCGGAACTAAAAAAAAACATTGGTAAAGACGAATGCAAACAATAAGTGCCACTACCGTCTGGGATGTAAATTGCGATTTGCTCAAGTTGTTGTCTTAGGGATATGCAGCTGTTTTCAAACAAACACTTCAGGAAATTTATTATTGTTAATGACTTTTGATTTATTGAATGTTCGAGTAGTCGAAAGTAACTTAAAATAGCTTTCTTTGTGATATAGGTTATGCTGTGATTGGTCCCGAAAACAAGCGCTTATTTGTCAACCAATCAAATACGACGAAAAAAAACAAAACACTCCCGACTACCTCAAATGTGTTTTCCCGTGCTGATCAAATGACGTTAACGACTACTTTAATTTAAGTTCTAGATGTTTCCTTGAACAGTGACAAAAGATAACAGTTGACTGATATCAAAATGAGTAGAACGCTATGACATCAAGAACAAAATATGATTTGTAAATGAATTAATTACGTTTCTCAATATGAGTCTTTAATTCTTTATTGCTATATCTTAGCCTATATAAATCTTACCTATTTCAATCAAAATCAACAGATTTTTTTTCCTTTGGCAAACATATCAGTAATGTATTCATATGTAAAATTTTATTGTTATCCACATATAAAAAATATAAAATTATAGATTCCATTGTGAATGGATTTTGGCACTTGAAATAAAGATGATTTGTTTTGTGAATGAAAATGCTGTTGGTTTTTTTTTTTTCATGAGTGCTTGATGAAGGAATATCTTAGGCCATATTGCTACTGTGAAGATTGCTTTCATATTCATTTCTTCATCTGCAGTTCACATATATGATTTTCATATATTCACAGTCATTGATTCGGAGGTCATGGGTTCAAATCCTGTACAGGCCTGAATTTTCCTTTTCAGGCCTTATTTTCACTACTGTGTAAGTAGTGTTCATCATGCGGAGATTGCTTTCATATTCAAAGAAACATCTCAACCACATTCAGGGGCATATCATATAATTGTTAAGTATCACAGGTTTAACAAGACCCACCTAGCTTACACTTTATTGTAAGCATAACTTTACAAATACAGTACCCCAAGCTTAATATGATCTGTAATGTTCTGAAAACAATCTTGTTTTTCATTACCTTCAAATGTTCCAACTTTTGCTGTTCTTTCCTTTTCTGTAGATTAAAATCTTGTGAGGAGCCTTCATTATCAGCCTGATAACACAATGATTAAGAGATGATTAGTCAAACTAAACTGATATCAGAAACAAGCCAAGCTTAAAGTAGTCCTCTTTTTTAACTTCTGTCAGGTCTCATTGCACAATACAAGATCATTATGAATAAACAGTCAATAATAAATCCCAGAATTATGGTTGCCCATGATTATGAAACACAACAACAGCAGGACTGAACAGCAGTAACCCAATGGGTGAACATATAGTCCATATGCTGCAATCACAGCTCTTAAAATCAATCAATCAGATCAGGGCACAATAAGATTAAACCATTGAACATCATTCACTAAGAAGGATTAGTTGTGTGTCATCACTCTATTGTAATTCACATCTGAGGTTACAACATGATGAGAAACTGTATTTCGAAGATTTTAGATATATGAAAATTTCACATATTTGCACTGCGGTGGAGAGATGAAATTAGGAGATCCTCGCAGCTAAGAACACTACTGAAACGAGTAATTGTAAATAGGACCTGAAACAAACAATCAAACAAGTGTCCCTGTCAAATAAGCCTCCCCCTCCTCACTCACTTTCTTAGGGAACACCTGTTTCTATTGCCACTTAATTTGTAACGTTTTAAGCTTCAACTCCAACCAGAACAACACAAGAGAGAAATAAGCACTCCCTTTGATTAAGCGCCCTCCTTTTGATAACCACCCCTTTTTTTAACCCTTGATTTGAAATAAGTGCCCATGCACTTATTTGAGGAAATACAGTACATGATAACATTTCATCACAGTGGTATATCTTGAGGGAGAAGGAGACTGGGCCAAAGCTTATCTGTATCTGAATATAATGCATTTGTTAGCCTCAGTTTATTGATGATCTATATTATTATTATTTTTTTAGAGGGCATGGTAACAAATCCTTAAACCTGATTGGTTCTTTACCTGGTCAGAATTTTCCTATCTCTGCCCATGGGCCACAGTAACGCTTTCATGAGTCACTGAGTACATCCCAACTTTTTCTGGCCAGGCAGTATTTTTAAGCAAACATGTTGGTCACTACCTCAAGCCAATAAATAACTTATAAATCCTCTCTTTTCTCTCTCTCAAATCACTTTGGTTGAGAGAAAAATATTGGTTTCAGAATGAATTTGTATAAGCAATAGTGTCATTACATTGGTTGACAAGCGGCCTGAAAACCTTCTGCAATTAATTTAAATCGTTCACAAAAAGTACATAGAAAGTAAAAAAGTGAAGTATTTGGTTACAGTTAAACTGAACAATGGAACTTTCATCCATTTAATACCTGAATTTTCTCAAACAATTTGTTCATAGTGAAAGAGCAAGCCAAGTTTTAATTTAAGTTCTACAACAAATATATGCTCTCAGTGAGTCTTTCCATTCAATTTGGACATTTGTACCATAAATTGCACAACAAAAACTGAAGGAATTTAATGAGAAAAGGCTGCATTAAATCCCTGTGTGTTTTGTTGGAGTGTGCCATTCGAATTGAGTTTTTGTGGAGGAAAGACCAGATTTACACATGCCATTGGAGCAAAGAAATGAACAAACTCTCACAACTTCAAAATAAAAAATTTGAATTTACTCACAATTACTTTCCTTGCCGTTTACTTCATGAACAGAGGTAAATCTTTGTACAATGAATCGTCAATGAGAGTGAATAATACTTCCCATTAGATCATTGACTGTTACTGAAGAAAACATTGTCATGATAGCCTTGCCAAACTAGTTCTGTAGTTTTCAAATCTTCTTGTGCTTTTTTTTTCTTACGTGCTCTCTAATTGACAGGTGTCAGATTGTGACAGATACTTGTAAAAATAATGTTTCAAAGTTTGTTTGGAAGCCTTTTAAATCACCTTTGTCGTTACGGAAATGAAAATGTTTCAGTGAGGCATCTCTCTTTAATTTGCATCACCTCTATTTTAACTACCATTTACTCGCTCAAAAATTGTTCAGCTTATGAAGGGTCTTGCCATATTTACTGCAACTGGTAACCGGTAATCATTAGGGTTCTTTTGGAAAGAATTTTGTCAAGTTTAAAAAAATAATCTTACTTCATACTGATTATTTTTTTAAACTTGGTCGGTCCATATGGTGAAAAACTGTGACCTCAGTCTTGAAATGCTGCCCTCACTCTACAGCCTTGGGCAGTATTTTCAAGACCTCGGTCACAGTTTTTCACCATGCGGACCTCCCAGCCAACAAATAACATATATATCTTGAACCAGTTTAGTTCTTAAAACTGTTGTCTTGGCATAGCAGCAATAGACTTCATGTCAAAGAAAAGATTCAATTAGACTGGTTCAGGATGTTTAAATAATAGTAAAACATACATAGTCATTACCTAACCTCTTCATGTTGCCATATAATAGTGTATAATTACAGTGTAAAGCATTTTGAAAAACCTTTTTTCAGCAACATAAACATGGCAAACATTGCAATAACAAATATATAAATAATAATAATAACAATAACAATAATATAACCAAAGAATTTTTATTCCACACCTTGGAGAGACTGAAGAGCTCATTGGACAGTTGTTCAATTTCATCCTTTAATTTTACACAGCTGACAGAAAATAATTAATGCAAAAATCAGAATTAAATATCATGTTACATAATAGCAAAGTTCATGTATCACACAGAATATCCAAACTTTGAATGTGTACCGGTAGTTTTTAAATTTTCATTTTAGCTGCATAAAAATTGGGTAATGTTAATGAACAATTTCATGGGTTCCTTTATCATTTAGAAATTTCTTTCATATGACAATCTAAACCCTTTTTTGTATCATATCTCAAACAGTAATTTCCATGCACTAACTTTTCCACGAAACTATCAAGAATATCCCACAGTGAAGCTCATGTTACGAAAATGTATAATATCTGCAGTTAGCTTCGATAGGAACTATACCATACTATAAAGAAACGCTAAGTTCAGTTGCTACTTACAGCTCTAAAACTTCTAAGCAATAGCTATTACATACTCGACAAGTGGTTAAGCTGTAAGAGATTTTAATGAAAAATGTCCAAAGTTATGATGAGTTAATTATTTGAAAACCTTGATGTATTACCCACTTGTCATAATTGTCCTTTCTTTCTGGTGCTGTAATTGATGACGAAACATCCAGGCGATCGTAGAAGTCATCAACCTTAAATCAAATCCCCTTAATTAACACATTGTGGATTATATTCTGAACAAGGAAAACAATAAATTATTGCGTTGTAAATTTAGTGTAAGATCGGACCAAGTAAACATCAAAGTCATAATGACCATCACATCTTCTCAAACTTACCCGTCGAGAAATGGAATTCACTCTCTTCTGCACTGATCCAAACCCGCCTGTCTTCGACGATTTTTTTGCTTTATTGCGAGACATTTAAGTCAAATGTTCTTAATTCATCACAAACACAGTAATTTGAACAGAAATCAAGCAATATGCGATCAGTATGAAGTAAGATTCAATTGTCACTCATCTCAATATTGAAGTTTCCGCCATTTTTATTCACACTCAAACCCAGGCACCAAGCTCCAAAAGCATACAAACGAGCAGCCAGGCCTTCTGTTAGCCTGCATTCTCACTATAGCCATTAGAATCCGAAAACATGTAGCACAAAAAATTACGAACGAACTTGAAAGCCATTAAACTTTTTGACCCATTTAAAACTAAGGGCTGAGTTGGTTGTGATCCCCTTGGGACACTTGAATATCCAACAACAAAATGAAACTTGTTATGATGTCAAAAACTGTCTATTTTCTTCAAAAGTTGCAACGATAAATTTTTGCAACAGTTGTATTCTAATACGACATAACTAAAAATACAATATTCTCGACTTGTGAAATTCTCTCTAAACAAGTTCTCCCTAAAACCCTGAGCATTTCTATTACTATGTCATATGTTCAATTAAAGAACAAACGGGATTGTCGGTCGAAAAAATAATCTCTGATGGTATGAACAATGTTAAAGTGCTACAGAATACTTTGTGTATCAGATAATTAATGCTCGTTATGGTGCTGGGCTTGACTTTAAAGGGCAACTACCGCGCGACTTTTAACCCTTTTACTAAAAGGACGGAGGGAAGATAAACCACGAGGAGGCGGACTTTACATCAGTGGAATCTTATCTTTAATTCAAAACTACTCCTCGTAATCAAGGGAATAACTTTCTAAAGAAACTGTGGTGCTGCGTCGGTGGGAGTATATCAAGGTAATATGGTATTATCAACTGAATTGATAATACCAAAATTGGCCACAGTTAGGAGTTTCAAAGCTGACGTTTCGAGCGTTAGCCCATCGTCATTCGCTCTGACGAAGGGCTAACGCTCTAAGCGTCAGCTTTTAAAGTCTTAACTGTGGCCAATTTACGTTATCAACTCTGTTGATAATACCAAATTACCTTGTTATACTCCTTGTAATCGACTTGTTCTCCAGGCTGATCATTAAACGCATTGCTTTCAGTCTCTGAACAAGAAAGCGTTCTTACTCCTCACATAGTAGGTCCTATACGTGTTTCAGGGTGCATTTGGGACACGATACAGAGCAGTTGCGAGAGAGAATACTTAAATATCCGCCATTTGATATTCACCTTACGACAGAGTCGCTCTCAAGCTAAGTTCCGGCTTACATGTATATGAGATTTCAGTACGTCACGGAAGATTTATTGTTACGGCCAACTTGTACAGTGACAATGTAAATTGGTTGCCTGGTGCCATTACAAACAAACAAACAAACAAAAATGATTAATTTTAAATAAGCAGTCAGTAAACCTTTGTAAAATCTCCAAAAATCCCGCGCATATGACATTATCGAGGGGGAAGGAGCATTTGATCTGCGAGTCTCTGAATGAAAATTTATGAATCTTCAACTAAAAGAACAATAGATTAATAACTAGTAACTAGTATCGATAAATCATGATATAATGCGATTATCTGCCTGCCATCGATAACTTGTCCTGATGGGAATCAAGACACCTTTATCCATAAGAAAACCCTCATCCTCGAAGAATAAACGTATATCAGTCTTCACTCTTTACTAGCCGTACCACAGTGATCCCATACCCTGCGATTTCTGTCCTATACACGAGCGACATTGTACCTCTAACTCTTACATCCAACCTTTTCTTCCCAGGGTTCACCCCTTTCCTCACTAGGCCGGTTAAATGTTTGGTCTGCTACCCTGAGCACATAGTAACCTGAATCCTCGTAATATCCATGAGGTGTAGTTTGTAACCCCAAGGATAAAATTTAGTCTATCCCAACTTGGGATAAAACCTGAGGTTGTTCAATTTTACCTCAGGGGGCAAAGAAATCGTAACCTCTAGGGTACATCTTACCATATCCCAAGTATACAATGTATTTGTTAATGTGACCCCTAAATCGGAAACATTTAAGACATTTTACACAAAGTTAATGAACAGGGTTTGATTAACAAGTATTTCATATACAAAGTTGCTTATTGTCATTCTCCATGATGACTGTAAGCACAACTTCAATTCGTAAATATTGTTTGTAAGTCTTCTGGCGTGACAGCTGTCAAACTCTTCCAATTAAATTCATCAGAGTTCGTCCTGGTCCGCAAACGGTCTACTGTCGTCAAAATTAATTTCATCTTGGCTATGATTGTAGTACAGATTGGCAGAGTGGTTCTTTCCCATGGCCTTTTTGACCCGTGAGCGAAGAGATGGTTTCAGATTACTATCATCCACTGAAAACTTGAAGGCCTGATCACGTGCTCGACAGTAGCGATACAACACGATACCAACGATGACAACAAAAACGACAACCAGAATCACCACAATAGCCACTATTGTCCCAGTCGAGATCGGTCGCTTGGATGCTAAAGGCGGCGACACGGATTCTGTTTGAAAAGAAAAAAGATAGGGTAAATTAAGTAAGAAACCCAGTGTCTTCTAGTTTCTTATGACCCTACAACAAACTTTTTCAAGAACCTTTTTTTGGTCACCACTATCTGCACTGTCCACGGTTCCCAAATCAAACCCAACTTACTTTTCTCTGCGGCCTTACCTTACTCTTCCATTCTCCATCGCATCCCAGCCAATTCTATTCTATGCCATCTTTTCCACTTGCCCAGTTCCACCCTCTTCCTCGACTCAATTATCTTCCCACCCTTAAATCTAACCCCTACCCAGCCCGACTCAATTCATTCTACCCCTCAAGTTGTAGACTTACGTTTTCCTGGTGCAATACCATCTACAAAAAGCGAAGCTGATGCGCTGACTTCGCCATTCTTATTTTCATACACGCAGGTGTATATTCCAACATCATGGACAGTAGCACTAAGTACCCAGAGTGCATTTTCCTCCGTTATCAGAACTCTCTTCGACTGCTGAATAGGTTTAGAATCCTTGAGCCACGTTAACGAAGGATTTGGGAAACCCACACCATCACAAAGGAAAGAAGCGTTAGCTCGTGAGAGAATATGAACGTCCTCTGGAGGAATAGTGATAATTGGTGGACCTGAGGATATGCCAAGACAGAAATGTTAAAATAAAAAACAAGTAACCAAGCAGATAACATTACCGGCGCGCGCTTCGAGAATTGTTTGTGAAAATACTGATTCGCACAAGACAAAATACAGTTCACGTTGCAACCTACAGTACGTGGTATAAGCTCGGTAAAGTATCCTTCAGGTATTAACAGCCTTCACTGAATTTCAAAAATTCGAACGGCCTTGCTTAAATCATAGGGTGTTAATAAAATGCTCCAACCTTACCTTACCTTACCTTACCTTACCTTACCTTACCTTCAGTTACGTAATCCTTGCACTTTAAGGGAGGGAGAGTTAAGAAGATTAATGGTGTACATTCTATCTTTTTGATACATGCATATGATTACAGATAATACATTTTGCCAGCACCAACATAAGATACTTACCAGGTAACAAAAGGCTCGCCTTGGTGAGACGAATACCGCCACGATTCCATGATATACAATAATAAATCCCGATGTCTTCCTCGCTCAAGTCCTTTATTAATAACCTGCTTGTGACAGTATTCTTTTCGACCAAGATATCTGTAGTGATGGCGTGTTTACTGTCATTCATTAACAATTCACCATCCTTCTTCCAAGCAATTTGAGGGATGGGAACTCCAGTCACTTTACAATCGAAATTTTCTGTTTCTCCTTTTGCTTTCGCGACAGTGTTTGTTGGAAAGACTTGGAACTCGACAGTCACTACAAAGGATTGAAAATGACCTTAAATCTCCATATTTTTTTAAACAGTCCGTTGAACACTAAGCGATCTATTGGTGAGTGTTCTCAGAAAGATACATGCGAGGATCTACTGACCAGAGAAAAATTCAACTTACTAGAATGCTACCTGCTTCGAGCAGGTTTTGAAAAAACTGTTAAAGGATTATGAAAGGGTGCAAGCCACTTTGTATTTAGTGGGTTTTTCCCACAATACCCATCGAGAGTGAATGATGTTGTATCAGGCTTCCTCGTGTTGCCTTAATGCGTGTACTTAGAAATTACTGCTACGTTTCACTCGCATGCCCATATCAAATCTGTACTCGCTAACGAGCTTTAAAAAGAAGGATTTCTACCCTCTGATGCACTTGTTCACTTCTGCTGGCTGAATAAAAACTGGCATTTAAGAGAGTAAAATCCATCAGAACAATTCAGTGAACACATCAATAATACTTACGCCCCACAGTGAGGGTAGCATTAGCACGGGCTTCTCCTAGTTCATTCATAAGAGAACATTCGTATAAACCAGCATCTTCAAACATCACTTCCTTCACTTTAAGAGTATAGGTGTCATCTAAAAACTCGTATTTATCTGAGGATTCCAGAGTCTTTCCTTTTAACGTCCATGTTATATTGCTTGGAGGAAAACTGGACACAACACAGCCCAATAGCGCATCATCACCCCTTCTGACATCCGTTGACACGACTCCAAGTATTCGCGGTGCCTCTGTTAAGGAGGAACAATATACTAGTTGAAATAAAGAAATCTCTCGCTGAGTGATGAAGAAGAACTCAAAACGAGAAGCCGTTCAAGCGACATCTTTATACTAGGCCAAGAGGGAGAATGCATTCTTTGATTTTACTTCTGCATTCTATTCAAATAAACTGTTTACTGTTTGGACCCAACATATTGACCAGCTACCAGTTGGCTTGTTAGCTCAGTTGGTAGAGCGCTGCACCGGTATCGCAGAGGTCATGGGTTCAAATCCCGTACGGGCCCGAATTTTTTTCAGGTCCTATTTCAACTACTAGTTCAGTAGTGTTCTTAGCTGCGAGGATCTCGTAAATTCGTTTCTTCACTGCAGTGCAAATATATGAATTTCATATATCTAAAATCATTAAACTGTTTACTGTTGTCCTTACAGCACCACGTCATCAATGGACATAAAAGATACGTTCGTCAAAAAATCTCGATCCATAGCAACAGCAAAAAGAAGAAAGAATTATGTTGTATTTACTACCCGTGACGAAAATAGAAACCTTTAGTGTAAACAAACAAATATCAGTCAGTAAAATGAGACTTGCCCTTGACTATGACTTGAGAGCTGTTACTGGTAACATTTCCTGCACTGTTAACAAGACTGCACGTGTAATTTCCACTATCTTCCCTTGTGGCTGATTTAATTAGCAGCTGACCACCACTCGAGGTGATACGATTAGAAGTTGTATCCTCTTCTAGGAGGGGCTTTCCGTCTTTTCGCCAGTCCCGCACGGTTGGATAAACCCGAGGAGGTTTCGAGCGACACGGTAAGCTTATCACATCATCTGCATTGGCTTCTTTCCTACTCGGTGGAAAATCCTCGAATATTGGAGGACTGGACGCGATAGCTAAATGTGGAAGAAAAATACATCACTTACTATTTGCTTGTGCTATTAACGAAAGGGGAGGCGGAAGGATGGAGTGATAAATGAACGGACGGGGATAAGGGTCACGGATGGAGACATGCATGGGTAATGAAGGGAGAAACTGATAACGAAGAGATCGACGTAAGAGAAGGTGACGGAGAGAGGGATGAGGGTAGTAAGTACATTAAGGCATTAAGGGAAAAATGAAGGAAGAGTAGCAGGGATAGAGAGAGAGGAAGGTTTGGTAGGGTAGCAGGAATGGAGGGGAGGGGAAGGGTGGGATGAAAGGATAAGGGAAGAGATGGAGGGGAGGGAAAGGGTGGAATGGAAGGATAAGGGGAGGGATGGAGGGGAGGGAAAGGGTGGGATGGAAGGATAAAGGGAGGGATGGAGGGGAGGGCAAGGGTGGAATGGAATGGAAGGATAAGGGGAGGGATGGAGGGGAGGGAAAGGGTGGGATGGAAGGATAAGGGGAGAGATGGAGGGGAGGGAAAGGGTGAGATGGAAGGATAAGGGGAGGGATGGAGGGGAGGGAAAGGGTGGGATGGAAGGATAAGGGGAGAGATGGAGGGGAGGGAAAGGGTGGGATGGAAGGATAAGGGAAGAGATGGAGGGGAGGGAAAGGGTGGGATGGAAGGATAAGGAGAGGGATGGAGGGAGGGAAAGGGGGGGATGGAAGGATAAGGGGAGAGGAGGGAGGGAAAGGGTGGAATAGAAGGAAAGGGGAGGGAAAGGGTGGGATGGAAGGATAAGGGGAGAGATGGAGGGAGGGAAGGGTGGGATGGAAGGATAAGGGGGGGATGGAAGGGGAAATGGAAGGATAAGGATAAGGGAGATGGAGGAGAGGGAAAGGGTGGGATGGAAGGATAAGGGGAGGGATGGAGGGGAGGGAAAGGGTGGGATGGAAGGATAAGGGGGGGGATGGAGGGGAGGGAAAGGGGAAATGGAAGGATAAGGGGAGAGATGGAGGGGAGGGAAAGGGTGGAATAGAAGGAAAGGGGAGGGAAAGGGTGGGATGGAAGGATAAGGGGAGGGATGGAGGGGAGGGAAAGGGTGGGATGGAAGGATAAGGGGAGGGAAAGGGGGAAATGGAAGGATAAGTGGAGAGATGGAGGGGAGGGAAAGGGTGGGATGGAAGGATAAGGGGAGGGATAGAGGGGAGGGATGGAGGTGAGGAATGGAGGGGAAGACGAGGGAATGCTGCGTACCTCGACATTCTCTACCATCGCCAGCTGTACCATCAGGGCATTGAAGACAAACTGACTCCTCTACACCATTCTGATCGAGAAAATTAAGATTCACGCAAGTAACACCGTTGACCAAATCACACTCCTGGAAGACAGAGAGAATGAACATTTACAATGATTTTGAGTTCATATACATGAACAAGATTAACCCACCGGAAAGTTTTAATGAGAATATTATGAGAATAAGAAATGTCTTGCACCTTTTTATCTTCACACTTTCCGTCGTTGACCCTTCTACAGTAGTTATTGCTAATTTCCTCTACTGTTGTATTATCACATACTACTCCGGCATCTTCTCCGTGGAATGGGTCACAATTGGTCAGACCCCAGCCAATTTGTCTACACTGGGTAAGAGATGTCTCATAACCAAGACAATTCACGTTATCCATCCAGATAATGCCACTTCCTACAAACACAAAATGAGTTATTTTGATTTTCATAAAAATCAAACCACAACCGTCAAAGTACGTAATGCATAAACTGAAAGGTAAGTGTTATTTTCATTCAAATCAATATAAAGCGCCTTTTTAACTCGTGAATTGCGCGCATGCGCAAGAGCGAGTTATTGATACGATCGATTTTAGGCTTTTGAGTGCATTTGATAGTTTTTGGCGAGCAATAAACAAACAAAATGGCGACCTTTGTTGCTAAGAATAGTGGTGGGGTGAAAAAGAAGCCAATGATAATCTTAAAAGAGTTTTTTTTTTTCGTTTTAGTTTCGACAAGCGGCGCCAGCGACTGGCAGGCATGCAAGGATTCACACTGAAATAACAGAAAAACCTTCGTTTTTCATAAAATTGTAATTCACAATCCTTGAACTTGAAAACAATCCGAAGATTAATTGAAAATATCACTTACTGCGAAGCGCACAGAGTTTACAGATGTTCAAAAGCTTTTTCTGTTATAGCGTGAGATTGAGGACAAAATCGATCATTACTTTTCGTATCGTGTGTTTTTCCTGTGTGAAGCAACAGAAGATGCCGGCAACTGACGAAATTACAAATTAACACGAAAATTAAATAACACCTAAACAAACAATTTTAGCTACCGATTTTCAGTGAATTTTTAACGAACAATTTTCTTTTAAGTTTCAAGATAATTTAAAGATTCAAAATACGTATTACGTACTAAAATGTGAAAGTTATACACCACAAAATTGATAAATAGGCCTGAAATGAAATTCTATCTTGTTATTGATTATACGTTGCCTAGCACGTGACAAAAATCTACCCAGGCGGAGATCCAAAATGACGGTGGCAGTCTTGGCTTAGTTATATCACTCAAAACTCGTTCTCGTCTGTCTCATTTGATAAAGAGGGAATCGTTAATGTTTTCATTACGACAGTATTGCCTTGATTTTCTAATTTTTACAATGATAGACAGTAAATTTCACTTTTCACCCACATTTACTTCCAACCTTTTCTTTAGAACCAGTAACAAAAATGATATACGTTTAAAACACATGACATCATCCACCCTTGTCAAATGTAATAGCATGATCATTTCAATTTCAATTACTTTGTTTTTTTGCTACATTAGCGAACACTGAACTACTGCTTGTACTCTAGATACGACAATCAACCACAAAATTCCCTAAACCAGATAACATTAAACATAATCCAAAAAATCATGTGTCAATTCACGAGTTTGCTCATAGAGCACTTTGATTTTCCTCCAGCAAAGGGTTTACCTAGGCTGTAAACAATCCAAAAGAAGGGCGTGGGTCGTAATTGACTTCGTAGTTCGGACAGGGCAAAAACCCCCCTACCAACTTGATGTCATGTTCCACATTGATCAAAAGAGTCTTGCTGAATCTTCTACTCACCTTGCCCGAATTTCGAGTGCTTGGGAGCCTCTTTCGCTTTTCCAAAGCCGAGTTCTTTGCAAACAATGGACGCCTCTTTGAGGTCCCAGTCATCATCGCAAACTGTTCCCCACATGCCGGCGTAAAAAACTTCAACTCTTCCCTCTTGTTTACTACTGCCATCCACCAAACGAACCAAAGGTTTTTTCAGCTTTGGCGGAAACAGGGAAGACACGGGTTTCATTTCACGACAATCCTCCACGCATTGCATTCCCTCTGACGAAAATGGGAACATTATTTTCGTGAACATAGAGTTAATAAGACGACTCTGTGTGAAGGAAAGAGGTCCGTTGCCCGTAAACAGCTTCTTTACATTCGATAAGAAAATCAGTTTAACCCCCTATAGGGATTCTCTCTCTATCCCTAACTTAAATCCTCCAGCAGCTTTTTGTTTTTCTTTTCTTTTCGTTCATCAAGACTAATGGAGCCCTCGGCTCCGCGTTTTTCTTGTTATGAAAAACAGTGATATTATTAACGGTTTCAATACTTACTCAAGAAAAGCCCCTGACGGCAAGACTTGCACAAGTTTTTGGTTTCGCCATCGTAGCACGACTGACACTGTTTGTCGCACGGCTCACACTTCCGATTCTTTGTGTTGCCAAATTTACTAAACGGACATTCCTTCACGCAATCAGAAAACTCCAGGAAATATGGCGGGTTACAGCTGGAGCACCGCCCTGCCTTACCAAGACACTCTTTACACTGTGGAAGACAGCGTTTGCATGTGTTTTTGTCATCATAGAAACCTGGTTCACAATTGGATACACACCTTGTAGACAGATCAGGACCGGAGCATTTCACTCCGGCGTCTTCGCTGTGATAACAGTTGTGAGACCCAAATCCACCTGAAAACAGTTTTGGCGGCGTGTTTACTACAACAAGCACTGTTACAAAAGTACTGGACTATTATGATAATCACGGCAAGATCCATTTTGTTGGAGACCCGCCAGGTGAGGGGGAAGGGGCAGACAAAGTTGAGGTTAACGTCCATTGGATGGGACTCTTATGAAAACTAATTGTTTGCAGATGAAACAGGAAAATACTTTATCCTTGGAGGTATGCTGATCCAACGCGTGTTATCATTCAAATATTTCATTTGATCGACTTATTGATATTTCTCCGGTGGATATATGCACCGTGAAGTTTGGTTGAGTCGGAAGGCGAGTGAAACATTTCGCTTATTTTTAACGCCTTCAAATAAACATCAATCGAATTACTCAATTAGACGTAAATTACAAATTAGCAGAACTACAAATAAACCGTCAGCTGTTCATACTCTTCCATGGCGGCTGATATTCAACCGACTATTAGAGTAATGACATTGTTCTCGAGTTCTCTTGTTCATCTGTGCAAACTGATTCAACCTACCAGTGTCAAAAGGACAATCTTGAAGTTTCCGTTCGTTCCCAGTGCACTGTATATCATCCATTAATATTTTCCCGGTCCCCTGTCCGTATTTTGCAGAGTGGTAGGCGGCAATGGCTTTTCCCAATTTGAGCTGTCGACATATCACCATAGCTTCTTTTAAGTCGAAGTTATCATCACATATTGTTCCCCATTCTCCTTGATAGAACAATTCTACGCGCCCTTCTGTTGAGGAGTTGACACCTACAAGTCTTATGTTTGGGACACCGCTGACAATTTTATTTGCCAGCCGTGTGCAATTCTCCACACATGAATTTTCCAAGAGATGTTTCCCGACTGGGCATTCTGTGCATTTGTTCGGCTCTCCAATGCAGTCCGAACAGGCAGGCAAGCAGTCGCGACAGATTCTAGTAAAGGGGTCTCCAAATTGTCCCCTTTTACAATCAGAGACACAGGAACTCAAGTTTCCAGTTCTATTAAGGAACTTGTCCTCATCGCAGCGCGAGCAGTTTTCTGGCGTTCCAAAGCATTCCTTGCAATTCGGACTACATCGACCGCAACTTTTATCCAGAGGGTTTATGAAATACCCTGAGGAGCAGTTATCTAAGCAATCACGTGAGTGATCAGGACCCTTACAGACAACACCAGCGTCTTCGCTGTGGTCACAATTTTCCTGTCCCCAGCCGAGATGCTTGCAAGCAAGTAACGATGACTCATTCCCTGAAACAGGATCAAAGGATCGAGAGCTAACTCATAACTAACAGGGTTCACCAAACAAAGAGAAAGAGAGACTTGCACGTCTTGATTTAGGACCTGGGCACCGGAAATGATGGCCATTAAAAAGAAATTCAATAGAAGAGGATAACTTACCAAAGCACTGAACTTCATCCAACCATATGCGGCCTTTCCCTGCTCCAAATCCAGCTCGTTCGACCGATCGAGAAGCATTTCCCATGTTTAACATCCTACACACAACGTGAGCATTCTGAATGTCCCAGGCGTCATCACACACTGTACCGTATTTCCCATCATGAAGGATCTGTTACGAAAACCACGCACACGAGTTAAAATAAAAATCAACACCAACAACAAAAACAGTAACTCCGCCGCCCCCCGCCCCCCCATAGTTCTTGCATTGTTTCCAATAGACAATCTGCTTCGGACAGAGGTTTTCCACACCGAAGCTCGAGCAAACTGCAAGCTTCAGAAAATAGATAGATAATATCATTGACATAGACTATCATGTTTACTGTTCTTCAGACATTTTTCAGCATACGGAGAAAAGATCAAAGATCAAAGGGGAACAAAACACAGCAGCTAACATGTAAAAAATTCCTTACGACATGACTGAGTACTTAAAATGATGGTTAAACCTGGCGGAATGTTAGCGGCCTTACCTCAATTGTGCCCTCCAACGGTGTGTTGCCACCAACAAGGCGGATCAGAGGCACTGAGGAGGGCTTAAAGCCATTGGTGCAATTTTTAACACAAGATGATCCCTTCCTAAACAATGGGGGTGCACAAGAAATACAGTTATCTGCTTTTCCTTGGCAGTCGGCACAATTTATGCTGCACTTTTTACAAAAACTGTCCAGGTAATAACCAAGGCCACAATCCTTCACGCAGGAGTCGTTCTTTTTGAAGAAACCCGGTGCACAGGTGAGACACTTATCAGCAGTCTCGTTGCACGTTTTGCACGAGGCATTGCACTGCAAGCACTCGCTTCCCATCGGATAGAAGCCATCTGGGCAACTGCCTTTGCACGTACGCACTCCTGGACCCTTGCAGCGCAAGACGGTGTCCTCTTTGTGTTGACAGTTTGTTTGTCCCCACGGACGATGGCGACAATCATTTAATGATTTCTCCTTTCCAATACAGAAGACATCGTCCAGCCACATCTTACCTGTTCCCTTCGGAATATGGCCTAGAGACACAGAGGTGTCGACGCCTCCAAGATACAACTCTCTGCAGATGACAGTCGACTCAGACACGTCCCAACCATCATCACAAACAGTTCCCCATACGCCCATGTGATAAACTTCCAACAGACCCTCTAAGTAATCTCTGCCGTTGGACAGCCTAACTGTTGGTGTGGTTTTCAACGTGAAATTGACGGAAGGTACAGCGATCCCTGAGGTGCAGTTATGCAGGCATGCTCCCCTTACCTCGTCGAGAACAAGTGGAGGGTGACAGATTGTGCAAATAGCTTTACCTGACCGGAATTCACAAGTGATGCAGTCACTGGGGCAAGGGAGACACGAATAATTACTTGGATTTTTGAACATGGAAATCCCACAATCCTCAACGCAGCGACCACTCTTCTTGTACATATTTGGTCCACAATCGTCTTCACACTTGCCATTTTTGAGCGCTTTTGGCTCTTTGCAAGAGGTACAGTTCTTGTCATCAGATCCATCACTACACGTGACACAGATATCAGTGTTACACTTTCGGCACTCACGTTTCGGTGTATATCCGAACTCATCATCGCCACACTTATCTACACAAGTATTATCTTTCAAAAATTTGGGTGCTGCACACTTGGTGCAGCGCACATTTGTACCTATGCATTCCAAGCATTGAGCTGCACACATTGTGCAAACATCCACGTCATTTTTGAACCAACCCGCATCACACGTTTTTTGGCACCGATTTGTGAGATGCTTTCCAATAGGCCCTGCACACTGCACTCCGACATCATTGCTATGGTAACAACGAGAACTAAAACTTCGCTTGACTAACGGACAATCAAAAATCGTGCTTTCTCGTCCAGTGCAGTTAAGAATGTCCGTCCATATTCGTCCATATCCACGACCATATGCTGATCTCTTCACAGCTTTTAGGGCCGGACCCAGACCGAGCTCGCGACAAATAACAGTCGCCTCTCTGAAATCAAAAGTCTGGTCACATATCGTTACCCAGGCTTCCGCACGGTATACTTCGACACGACCTTCTAGGTCAGTCGGTCTCTTTCCCGCCAAACGCACTCGCCGCTTTTGCCCAACGTGGAGCTCTGCACAACTTCCTACGCAGTCAGTTCCATTAAGGTATCGGTCGTCATGACAACTAGTGCAAACGTCGTGAGGCGTTGCACCTTCGCTTTTGCAAACGTCAGGATAAGTTCCATCGGCGCATGTGCGGCAATTGGAACTGCATAATTTGCACTTTCGGTCTGCGGGATCTCCATAGAAACCATCTCCACAATATGTTGTACAAGTGTTCCCTAAAACGAAGATAAAAATGATCGTTTTATGTGTTCTGGTCGAAAATTCTCTTGAGGTAAAGTTACAAGTTTCTTACGTAGTGCTGCATTTACAGTAACTGAAACGCTTGGTTGATAATAATCTTATCTGATTGGTAGATTCCTTGAAAACTGACGTTTTCATCAAGGAAGCGAGTTATCAGCTTGTCCAATTCAAAGGATAAAATTCTAGAATTAAGGTACCTGGGGTAAATTCATCTTCTCTCAATCAACTTCTTATTAGTCGCCGTCACATTTGAAGGTTTTCACCTGATGCCAAAACGTGTCATTTCACCAACAAAAACATCGCTTTATTTTTAGCTTTGCAATGCTAGCCGCTCGAATTTTTTTTTCTCCAGAGATTCTTTACCTTTCAAGAAGTGGGGTTTATCACAAGATGTACAATTGCTTGCAGATTTGGCACAAGTTAAACAAGAAGCCATGCACACTCCGCATTTATTTTGAAGCCTCATTTTAAAGTACCCGTCTCCACACTGGTCTGTGCATTCCCGTGTAGTATCAGGCCCCGCGCAGCGAACCCCTGCATCTTCAAAGTGACCACAAGAATGCTCGCCCCACCCGGGATGCGGACAATTGTGCAGTCGCGTCTCATTACCAAGGCAATTGACCTGGAAGGGATCATAAAAGAGCGTAAAATATAACATCTATCCTTGAGAGACAACACTGAAGGAGATTTCATTTAAATAAAGTGAAGTCTTCACAATAAACGAGAGAAAACGTTTTTACGACTAAAAAAAAAATTTAACAATCGGCCTTAGTGTAGTGAATGATGACGTCAGCTGCTGTGTTTGAGAACTTATCACCTTCGTTGTCATCCATAAAGGATGAACAACTTTTTTGTGTTCGACTCTACTTTATGTGATTCTCAGGCTTCTGTATATCAATAAGTAAAGTGACGCAAGTAAAAGCTTCTCACGGGAATTATAACCTGTGCAGTTTGTCAATCCATGCCAATAACAAAGACAAACAATCATCAGTTGGGTTTTATGTACAGTTGTATTTTCGAAGTAAGGTTTAATTTCATTTTTTAGTCTCGCGTTAAGTTATGTGGAGTCAAAAAGGGAAGTCCTCTACAGTCATAATATTATGATAATAGATTTACAAGATACATAACCGCTGTGAGGACCCCACAGGATACCTAACCTTTGAAAGCCAGATGGGCTGCTTGCTTGAACCTTTTCCCAGTCTTCCAAATGTGACCGCCACATGAGCGTCACCTAGCAACAGCTCTCTACAGACAACTTTAGCATCGTTGATATCCCATGAATCATCACAAATTGTACCCCAACGGTTGTCATAGAATACCTCTACTCGGCCTTCAAAATGACTATTTCCCCCAACAAGCCTTATTTGGCGATCTGGAGGTCCTTTAGCAACTTGGTCACCACAAGACGGCACACATAAAGTTCCTTAACGGGAAGAAATTATATCAAACGTCACGTCACGAAAAAAGTGGGTTTAACCTCCGACCCGGTCTCAGGTAAATAGGAAGCTGCGCTTCTTACCAGCAATTTTATAACAGTTATGTTAAGTTTCAAAAAATGAATGCAACGATTTTACTCTTTGTTCGCCTTGAACTTTAAGTTGTTAGCAAAAATTAACTATTCCATCAGTCTTGCGTGAGAGGAAAAAAACGTGACTTTCCAATTATAACAGGGAGCACTAAACTTATTAAAATTCTGGCGCTGCACCAGAACAGCCCATTTACTGTGTTACCAAATTAATTTCAACAATAAAAAGGACACTCTAAGATCCTAAGAGTCAATGGTAAAAATTAACCGCGTAAGAACTCATCAACCTTTATTACAGTTCATTAAAGTTCATAGCTACTTCACCTTTGATGTATAGCGGTGGATAACAGCTCGTACATTTTTTTGCTCCGTCGATACATGTTCTACAACTGGCATCGCACTTTTCGCATTTCCCACTCTCGTCGTCGCCATAGTAACCAGAACCACACCACGACACGCAGAGTGAGTTCTTCACAAACCTTCCAGGCTTACACAAAGCTAAAAAAGAATTATTTTGACACAATCATGATAAAAACAAAAAAAGGGCAAACAAAATAAAATACCTCGCCATATTATAATCATATTGCCTGCAAGTTGGGCTTTAACTCCGATTCAGCTTAAGTGAGATTAGTTGATCTCTAAGGCAATGCTATACAAAGACTTAATCTGACAGACATACTGACATACAAAAAGACAGAAAGACAGTTAGACTAACTGATTGAGTGACTAATCGATGGACCGACGGACGGATCGATCGACAAAATGAAAGAGTTCAAACGGATTGAACGACCGACTGCCTTACTGGCAGATGAACAGTCTTGATTGAATGACTAACTTATTGACGGACTGATTGACTGCGGACAGTCAGACAGACTGATCAGTTGATAGAAGAACGAATGGATCGACTGACCGAGCGAACGAAAGAATGAAAAAACGAGTTCAAAAGGATGACTGAAACACTGACTGATTGATTTTAACACGAACAGACCGACAGTTGGACAGAAAGAAGACGAAATGAACTGAGGAAAAAAACACCTGGTGGAAAGACCGACCCATAAACAGACAAAAGGAAATAAAATTGCAGGTAATTACTTCAATATTTTGCCCATAAAAGTTTAACCCCAAATTAGAGACATCTCTCACAAAACACTGCCCGCCTCTTCACATATCCTAAAAAGCTTTCCAGCTTTCATTTTTCTTAGGGTTTTCCTCGGTTTTTTCAATTGGTTCATATTGTCATTTCTTTTTGGGCATAATAATTTCTTCCTTGACACCTTGTCGTAGGAGCAACATCATTATGGGTTTTCAAGCTCATTACAAGGAAAAAAAAAAAAGCTCGTCTGGTTAAAAACGTCTGTGAGAAGAACAAAATACTCCCTTGTACAATAAAATTTTCAGTTCGTGGTTAGATTCCCTCTTGAATTTGCCTGATGATCTGAGGCGAGTTATAGTTCTGTTACATTTGCGAACAGAGTCCTAAACAAACTGCACTATTTACATAATAAACTGTTTGTAATGTCTATACTTCGTAGCCACATTAATTTCTATGTCTCTTTTGATAACGAATCAATCAATCATGTCTCTACAATTGGCTTTAACGGGAAGATATTTATCTTTTTAATTTCACTAAAAAATGAGTAAAGGTATTTTTAACTGACCTTTATTCAGGATTTTGATAACAAAAAAAAAAAACAAACAACCACCACAACCCAACAAGATGTTTTGGTTTATCTATGCCGTAAGATGTTAAAAGAGTTTGGCAACTGATATCGAGTATACATCATGTGAATGTGAAGTTTACTCAGCTGGCAAAAGAAAGCTATTTTCTCTCATAATTAATTTCAAATGATTGCGTCAACACAAAAGATGCATGAAATATATTTTTACCGACGCTAGAGAAAGTTGAATGTGGCTGAAGAAACTGAAACAAAGATGGGGAAAATTATTGCTACATGCACTGTACATACTATTCGATCGACAATGCGTTAACACCAATGTCTTATTTTTGAACGGGAAAGATTAGGTCTTACAACAAAGTATTCAGCAGACAGCACTCGGATACACGCATCAGAGCGCGACAAAACAGAGAGCACGTGCTGGAAAACTTCATCTCAAACTAAAAAAAATAATAATACTGACAAAGAAAAAAACCTTGCACTGTCTTACCGCTTGGAGACCGTCGACTTCTTGACTCCCCATTCGCACAAAATAACCAAACAAGGAAGATTAAGTTGCAGATGTACAAAGAATTCGGAAAAATCCACATTTTGTGTCAGATAAACCCTAAGTTATGTAAGTGGATTGGGGCATTGAAAGAACTAGGTGATTCGTCAACCACAACCGTATGATTTTGTTCTCTGTTCTCGATCTTTGATAAACCAACAAAAGCTTTGCTTAAATGTGAACAAATGCTCTTAAACTTTAAGTCTGTTGACGATGTTAACAAATCGAGTAAGACTCTTATCAGTCAAGAGTGGTAAATACAAAAAACAAAAAACGAAAAACACAACTTATAATAACAATGGTCATGTGACATGAAAGGAACCATGACTAAACCCACGTGGTGCCGCCTACGCAAAAGAAATTTACACATATTTGCTCCATTCTGTTTACTTGTCTCTGGGGCACGTTTAACGCAATAAAAATAATTTATTGAAATGTAAATGTTTACGGTAGTCGCTTTTGTTTTAATACAAAGCAGGCCCACGAGTAAAAGGTATTTCTATTTTTTATAAGCTTTTTACTTTTCTTTTTCTTCCCTCTTCTTTGGTCTGGTCAGTTTGAACAAAAAGAAGAGAAAAAATTTGTGCTTTATACATCCTAGAGACTCGTGTGAAAAAAAAAATTTTCCCCACAAAAAATTGAACCGATCACTAAAAGATAGAAAATCCATAAATTGTTGTAAATTGTTGGTGCTGCTGCATTTACTGTTGGTGGACTTTGATAGTATTGATTCCTTTCCACTTCTATTCAGTTCCAGTATTACAATAATACCTAGCTACGGATAAGGTGGATTATTTCAAGTTTTTATGCGGGCATAAAGTGCTCAATGATTATCTCTTAAATTCTTTCATACAACTGTAAGGTTGTACCAAATGTCTGGGCTTCGTTAGACTGACAAGATTAAACCGTACGATGTCATACAATTTGAGAAAGTGTTGCGTGACATCACGATTCATGGCAACGGGAGAGAAAAGGGAGGATTTTCAAATCGAAAATACGGACTCGTGTGGACTTTTCATTTTTAAACAACATCTTCCTTCTTTTCTGTTTTTGTTACAACGCATATGGCAAGTGGCTTAGTGCTAGGTTTCTCCAGCTACTCTCATGCCATGCGGTTTTTCTGTGGATGAGTTACAGCTCGATGAACCGTTCATTTCAGTTCAGATTTCACACTCTACAAGGCCAGTCTTGAAGTCTCTCGCAGTTTTAATAAAAGATCCTCTTAATCTTAGCTTAATTAGATTAATTTAGAAAGACATGAAAAGCTTGGGCGGTCACCAACCCTAAGCTTGTTGTTCCTTTCTTATCTTGGGTCATCCTCCAGGGTATCACGTAAACATAAATGCTTATTTCATCATACTCGTCCTGTTTTTGATTAAATGAATTGCCCTTTTCGAACTTTGTAGATATCTCCTTCCGGTGTGTAAAGGAAGTATACGACACGAAAACGAGAAAATATGACGAAAAAAGAAGGCACACGGGTTTTTTCGGTTTAGTGTGGTTTCCGCCAAGTTATCAAGTGGTTTGTATTTTGGTGGAAATTATTAGCGACAAAATCAACCTTTTTTCCCTTTCCACGCACTACCATGGCATTTTTCAATTTTCTTATCATCGGTTTGTCCCTATTTAAAGGGACAAATTAACCTCTAGACATCAGCGTAAAATAGACAATGAAACTTCAAATGCTTACCCGACTGACTCAAATACCAACCATTAAACACAATTAACTGTTTGTGAGGTGAGCCGGAAGACAGGATGTGAAAACCATATGTCACCATAGAAATAAAAAATATTGCCATCCTTCGAGAAGGTATTCAACGGAAGGTTTTTGTGTTCGATTCACTTGATCAATCAAGCGTGAGAATTGACAGCTGCTCCTGTTTCAAGCGTAGGCATGATTTCAGCGACTAAAATGGCCTTCTATGCTTCTAAAATTCATTAACAGACTCCACGAGCGAACTTCGTCAGATCTAAGCGGTGGAACACTTGATCAATAAGAAAGGGCCTCACTTAAGGTTAGAATCGGGCGATTCATTCATGGAACTAATGGAATAGCACCACTTAAGATATGACTGAAGTCACATGTTTTATTCTCTTGATTTGCATAAACAGATATGACCCTGTTAAAAATGCTTCCTAATGTCCCACTCCATCGTTAATGCGCGAAGCACACGTACAGCTTTGGAAAGGAAGTAAGAGAGTTCATCATCAGAGAATTATTCCACTTGCCTGACCACAATTAAAGGTTAAATTACACAGCGTTATAATTAATTGTGTTATATTATGTAAGCTTGATTATCCCATGCAACTAGAAACACGGCTTGATCTCTAAACAGCTATACGTTTTACGGCACAGTGATGATACGATTTTTCTTTCCAGCAACGTAGCGCACAAAACATATTCGCACATTGTGCTTCATAAAAAAGTACAGAGAATCGAACGGATCTGTCCGTTTTTCAAAGCGAACACAAGGATAGCAAGTCTGATCTGATCGCCACAACAAGTCCGAACTAATGTCTCTGATGAAATACATCCCGTTATGAGAATGAATCGTAAATTGAAAACTCACCTGTATGACTGGATCCGCGATCCCAAAATATTACCAGTAAAGAACAGAGCAAGGCATGGTGAATGACTGACGCACGTTGCATTTCGCTGTCGATTGCAGTTTAACGGAATTTAAAACTTCATGGGGCAATTTCTCGCGGACTTAGGTCGCTATAGGACAAAATAAATAGCAGCAAACACAACCAGACGTGTAACAGCGTGAACAAGAACACTCAACTCGATCAAATCAGCTAAAACTCAAAATATCAAACTCCACGGATCCCTGATTGCTGGTGAGCGCGAATAGTCAGCAAGAGGTTCGCCGCTGGTCAAAATATCTCCAAATTATGGCGCGAAAATATCACGTAAACACTATATTTCCGACGTACATATCTTTCGAGTGTTTATTTATACGTTGAAATTGGAAGGAAACCCTAAAAAAAACCTTATCATTCTGGTGAACTTCACAATTCTGTTATAATAGGTTAAATAGATTGGCTGAAGCAAGTTCGAAATGTGTTTTACGTGATCGATCAGTGTTCAGCCATTCAACTGAACTGAATTCCCGCCGCCTACGAGGTGAGAACCGCCAATATCCCTTACGAAAGCATTCATTGAGAAATTTTCGTCCGTGAAGTTCAATATCAAGGCGTGTATTGATCAGTTCAACAAGGATTTTATTTGCTTCCTATTAAATGCACAAACAGAAACCGCCAGGTCCTCACGGCACTTAAAATACTGTGCCATATTATGTCCTATCATGCTCTAGCACACCTTCGTTCTACCCGTGTAATGGGAAACCTCAAACGCCCCTTTGAACAATAGGCTAACGTCGCTCATCAACCACAGAACAAATCAATCAATCAATCATTAAATCTAAATTATTACATAAATAGGCGTCAAATGGCTTGAGAGCAGGCAGAGAGTTTGCCGGGGGTGAAACGCAATTCTATCAACTCGATTGCGTGTAAACATTGTCACTCATGATCGTAGAACTTTCAAAGTGTATCACTTCTTCGTGTGCGTGTTAATTAATACTGAATTCAAGCTCGACCCGGCTAGGCACCCGGCAGGGGAGCAGATTACCTTCCCCCTCTCCACCCTCTCCACACCCTCTCGGAAGTTTACCTATCATCAGGGGCGTACCTCTGACGAGCGAAGACTTTGCGCGGCTGTCAAACATGGCGGTTTGAGTGGCTTGCATTTGGTTTTCAGTCCTTTTTTTAAATAAACGGTAAAGCCAGTGAGATCCCGCATTTAATTCTTACACAGCCTTTTCGCTCTATCTTCTATTAAACTATCGAGATTGATAAGCTTACCATAAAATCCATACTACAGTCATCACTAAAAAGTACTTCATCCAGGATCCAAGTAACAATTCATTTCGCTTTTTCTTTGATGTGTGAAGCATCCCGATGCGGCAAAAATCATTTCAAGTCATTTCTTCAACCTGTTCAGAAGCCCCAATTATGAGGCGCAACATATATACACCCACCCTAAGTTAGATGTACAGTGTACAGTTCTGTAAACGTACTATGCAATATCAAAATCAGAGAAGCTTTTTTTCTTATCACCTATGTGAAAATATACGGTGCTAGTATAAAAATAACATTCAAATGAGACAGCCATTTCACCGCAACTCACACCACACATGATTTTACGACGAGTTTTAAATCCATTTTTATCATTTTGTAGGAGCGCTTAAAAAGGCGATCAACATCTAAGTTAAATATTCCAGTTCTTAAGAGTATTTTGATTGACTATTTTCCCACTGTGTAAAGCACATTTTCCTCCATTGTTTTACAGATCGAAGTCTCGTGATTATGCCTTTGTAAAAGGGAAGGCATTGAATAAACATTCCTCTTCAAAGTAAAAGCGTCGATGGCAACCCTGTCACACAGCCTTTCTTATTTGCATCGGGTATTTACGTTGACGAAATGATTACCATTTAAGCATTGACTTGGGCGAAAACAAATATTAATCCCTCGAAATTTCCATCCCTCATGGCTGCCTGCCGGATGTAGTTTTCTATATAAACAGTAAATTACCGGAGACGTTTGGTAAATTTGGCTTGTTTTAAGTTTGAAAGAGCCGCTCTTGATCAATTTAATGGCAACTGAGGAACTATAGAAAGGGCATTACAACGGAGAGGCTCTAGAATTTCGCTCACTTGAACCGAAATAATCGATTTAATTCAGGTGAATGAATGCCGAAATAGATTGATACGCAACCACTTTAAAAGTACCCTCCTGGTAAAGATGGCTTAAACCAATAGCCATAATGGTGAGAACAGCAGAAAAACAGCACAAGAATTGAAACAACTGATTTAAAAATCCACCCTGAATTAGAAATGGCGAGTGGCAGCGATTCTCCATCATCTCAACGAAGCTTAACAATGGAGGCATTCTCTGATGAGGACGAAGAAGACAAACAACCTCCCCAAGACAAACATTGCGTGTCATATCTGGAGGAAACTAAAGCGCCTAGCAAAACATTTCTGCCTCAGAAATTTCGCAAAAAATGGAGTCGTGCAGCTTTTATGGCTTCCATTGCTTCATTATTCGTCACTGTTATATTCAGTGTACTCTCGTTCGTGGCTTCCAAAAGCACTGAAAGTTCATCCATTTTTGCCAGCGCATTAGATGGGATTATGGGGGCTTTCAACTCTCTGGCCGTGGCATGGAGATTTCGAGATGCGTCCAATGGTGAAGTTGCACCAAAGCGAGAGAAAATCGCCGCATTTGGAATCGCAGTAACTTTCATGTTGAGTGGAAGCGCAACCACTTCAATTGCTATTCTACATCTTATGGCAAAAGACTACCCTGAGAAACCCGCCGAACTTATTGCTATTCTAGCTTCCAGTTTCACATGTTATTTCTTTCTTGCTCTCGTTCAGGACTGCATCGCCAAGAAACTCGAGAGTATCTCATTAAAAGCATTCGCTATCGATTCATGGCTTGCGGCAGGCATGTCACTGGGAGTGCTGGTTTCTACGTTCATCTACAGGCAAGTCGGAAAAAGCGTTTGGATGTTGGATCATTCAGTGGCGGTATTTATTGGTTTTATATCCGTCATATATGGCATCCATCTAATAGTCCAAATAGCATTTTGCACGAAACACCCAAAACTTTGTTGAAGAGTGAGAAACCGAGTTTTTTTCCAAAGGTTACTTTTTGAGTGGCCCCCTTTTTTTCCTTATGTGTCAATGAAATGTAATGGGAAATCGCTCCTTTCTGTGGTAAATTGTGATTTCGCGTAAACCTTACATCCAGATACCTAATTAAAATAACCAATGTGAAGTATCTTGTTCTTTTGACGAGAACAGAGGGGGTGACTGCGTTCGCAGGCCTCCGAGTTCAGCTGGTCAATAGAAAGGACTGTTTTGTTTATTTTCGCGCTATCAAATTCTTGAATCAAATCAACATGCCAGTTACTCATTCTATAAAATGAGAGTTGCAAAAGTATTTCAAGGTTAGTTGTTGTGTTTACAGCATCGTCGCTCAAAAAAAAGAATGAAAAGTTAAAAGTACCGTAGTTTTATTGTTGCAATTATGTCTTTCTTGCTTCCATGGCTTGCTAAGGATGTAAATCAGGTCTTATCATGTATCGTATATGCACAATAAATAACGTGTATTTCTTTGTTCTGAGATGTTTGTGGACAAGCGATTCGAAATAAATGGTTAGACTTGAGCACTGTTGCTGGTTTATCGAACTATTACGTTTCCAATTCAACACTAAAATGTAATCTTGTTGGAGTCACAAGTACTACCCAGCGCGGGCGATTCAAAAGTGTTTGTGGGATCCATATCATAGCCTGGAGAAATCTTCACTGAGGCTGGCTTGAAGAAAAGTGATGGCCTAAAGATCTCTCAACCAAAACAGCTGAGTTGCCAAACTCCTAAACTGTCCGGCTTCTTGTTTGCAGCGAAAGAAGTCTGGGCACGAGACTGAATGTGCGTGCAAATTACTCACATGGACTTTCTTAAAATCGCTTTTATTGTTGTTTGGTTGTTTGTTTGTTTGTTTCTTGCACACCTGGACGAGAATAGCACCAAAGCTATGTTCATAGTAGATTTCTTGCCACATAAATCTGTTCACCTCTACCTTCCGAGTTCAGTAGACATCTCAGCATAGGAGGCGAACCTTGTGGTGTGTTAAAACCTGTTTATTGTTAAATGAAGTCTTTGCGTATGTCTTACGGCAAGGCTGTTTCCAGAATAAAAGAAATTGTCACTGTGTGACTTTTTAATGATAATTTAAAACCTGCGTAATGATTTTTGTGAACAGTGGCAAAGATGTACCGATTCCGCATATAAATAAAAGGAAAAAGCGTGATCAGCTTATTTAACTTTTTTAGGCCCTGATTCATACAAACAAAGTTAACATATTCAGTTTCTGACGAATAATTGCTACTTACTTGAATAAGGTAAAAGGCCCCAGAGGGCATTTGTTGCTGGAATTTTTCTATCGTGCAAATTAAATGTAACTTCAATTTTCCCTCCATTGATTGTTGCGGTATCGGCGCCCCGGCATAAAACACGCGATGCGATCATACTTTGCACAGTTTTGTAGTCAAAACTCTGAAAATCTTAACGCACGCCTATGAATAACGTGACAAAAAAATTTTTCTGCTGTAATAAAATGAACATACATCTTCGGCACAACAAGTGAAATATATATGACAATACTTATATCTTGGAATCCATGTGTTAAAGACATGTGATAAAGACGTGATTGTGGAATGTGTGTCCGGCACAATCCACTTATTAACTTACTTGTTCGAATTAAATGCATTAGGAGTATCCGAGTTCAAAAGTCATAAAACATCTATTTGTTTTTCACAAAAGCACCTCTCCCATCGCCGTTCTTAAATTAAGTCAGGTTACTTTTTGATAACAACAGTTTACCTCCGAAGGCAATTCTGAGCTACTTTTTACGAGATATTCGTTGTTGTTTCATTAATATTTCTGAGAGTAGAAAACTTTAACTGACCAAGATTAAAAATATACTTTGATAATTTTATTTAATGCAAATTTTTAACAACTATATCAAAGCTGAACAAACAATCTTAAAATTCTCTCTGGAAAGCTAACATTAATCTTTCCTTTATATTTAACCCAAGTATTTCCACAAATAAACTTATACCGTATATTAAAGACAAAACACCTACTATTGTCGCAACTACATGGTCCAGATACCAAAATTGTTTAAATTTGGTATAAACGTAAGTAGATACCAACAGTCCAACAGACATAAACGCACCTTGGGCTGAATCCACCGCTAGCGCTCTCATGGACTGACTGTTTACCAATTGTGCAACATAGCACTGGAGAAAAGTAAGAATTGCGTACAATAAAGCACCCACACCAAGAACTACCTTCATTTCGTCAGTCTTGGTGGGATGGTCATCAATTTCGAGATTGTGAAGAGCAATAACAATAGTTGCAATTCCACCAAGTATGAATGAAGTCGCTATCACTGTACTGGCTTTCTTCTCTCTCATTGTTCCGATTTCTCCGTTGAGTTCGTCACGAAATCTCCAACAGACAGCTACCACATTTATAGCCGCGAAGAATGCGTCGAAACCTGTTGCAAACACCGCTGAACTTTCAGTTGTTTGTGAAATTATAATCGACGCTATGCTAAATCCAACGGCCGATATAAATGAAACTAGCGCCAGCATTGAAGCGGCTCTAAACCAGCGCTGACGAAACTTCGGAGGCAACTTGCCCGAAGTCTCACGTTCGTCGACTAAATATGAAGTAGCGCACCCCCGAGCCCTTTTGGTCTCTTCATCCTCATCTTCCGATGAGTATACGACCTTGTCACTGTCCAAGAGGCTTTCCTTTGCCATCGACGTCAAGCTTATGTTTGTGAAAACAACTCTATTAAACGACTTCAAGTATAACCTTGCATGATTTCACTCCAGTTTTTCCGCGTTGCTATAATCTTTTCGCCGGACAGCCAATATGCGCTATAGTCATCTCTAATTCGCTTGGAAAGCTTCCGTAAGTTATTCTTTGAATTACCAAACTACGCTGCTCTCAGCCGAGTAACAGAAACACTTGTACCTATATTGATTTTAGAAGACAATAAATATTGGGGTGTCTTTACAATCAGCTTATCAAGATGCACACGGGTAACTTAACTAAACAATATGCGATCCGTGACCGACGGGCGGGATAAAATTAACATACATTTTCGTCATCCAGATAGAAAACTAGCAAGCTTTCCTTCTTAAGTCCCTGTCTCAGAAACTGTTTTATCTCAACAGCGAAAAGTATCACCATCATCATTTCCCCGTGGACATTTTTCTACTTAGCTCTGTAGCTTAAACAGTTTGTTCTTTTCCAAACACGAAGGGCGGCATAAGGTAAAATATTTGGCTCGAGGTCACGAAGTACGAAAAGCGCGACCACAACCAAATCAAACTTCTAAATATATTATGAACATAATTACAAATTTTTCACTATATCACATAAGATCATACAATCCACTAATTCAGTGGCAAAATATGTACAAACTAAAAGCACAGAATGATAAATTTATGACTACTTTCGAACTCCACCGCCTCATCTATAATGTTTCCATAAAGAAGTACAGTGGTTTTTTCTTTTGTTAACCAAATTCTTTAAGCTCACAGTGCTTCCTTACAGAGATGAAAAAAACAAGACAATTATACAAGCTACGAATATTTTATAATACATTACAATACATTAAAATGAATCATCAGAAATTGTTGCATGGTTCAGTTTAAGGAATTCTCTCGGATACTTAAACTCGTTTTTTTACTCTGCTATTTTCACTGGCTTAAGAAACACACCCTATGAAATAACTCTCTTTCAAAAGTTGTTAATTTTACTCCCTTACCTCAGCTGTGATAGAGTTTCAAAGCAACAATGACTAAAATGAAAGCAACATAGAGGTTGAGCTGTAGTCAGAATATAGCCATGGACAAGGCTGTATTGACGCTCATTGCACAAGCTATGATTAGCAAACGGATCAGGTTACTGGAGTGTTTCATAACCGCTGATAAAATAGGTCCACTCGTGGCCTGAAATTTAACGAAGCAAGAATTATTCTCCTTATAAAGGCTGCCATCATTTAACTCTTTGGCGTAGTTGTAAGGTACCACCCCCCCCCCTTTCCTCTATAGAGATTTTCGGCCGGGTAGTGGAACCCTTTTCAGCCATACTACAAGGCTGAGGATTTCGTGAGGTAAAGTCATTCATGTATTTTAAAAGGTCAACCGCTCTTTTTAAAGGAGTGCTCAGAACAGAAGTGAGTACAAATCTCTCAGTTTTGGATAAAACGCGTCTCTTCATCCCTGCTTTTTATGTGCTACAAGTTAAATTGACTAACAAAAGGTTGTTTCTTTTTCTCTCACGGTCCTACGCATTGACGTGTTGACACACGAACGGGAAGAGACTGGGTCGAGACCGCAGAAAAACGTTTTCTTCTTTGCCAGGACACACCCTGTACAGCCCTCATCCCGCGTCATCTTAATCTGTTCCCGCATCAAGCTCTCTCTCCATAACCAGAGGAAAAAACCAGCTAGTAATTGTGTGAACATTTTGAAAGGTATATGTCGGAGAAAGGGGTAAGTAACGATATGAAGCTTTAGGCGTAACATCCTTGTACAAACGTTTGATGAGTGCCCCTTGGTTCGACTTTAGTTATTCATTTTTTTATCTATTTGTTTATTTGTTTACCCATTTGTCGTTTGCTTTAATCTCGTCATGTAAAAGCTTACACAACTTACCTGGCAGAAAACGATCACCACAGTCCACTTTGAATAACCATGAAAAAATCCTAACACACAAAAAGACAGCAAAAAACGTCAATGAGAAGCTTGGACAATAAAAAGCTGGAAGGGAAATAACTAAGTATATGAATTGACAAATCAATTCAAAACTTTCAGTGGTTTTCTCAATATTTCTTAATTGCTTTGAACAAACAATTTTATCATGAAGTAATTATCCAGTTCTGACTTCTGCAACCAAAAAAAATATCTTTCAAAAATTTGGATTCCACTGCTTGTTCTCTCTAAACTATCACTGCCATACTAGTTAACACAGCCCCTGCAAACAACATAAAACTGACCCGCAGATGTGTCATAGATGGTTCCTGCTGAGTGATTTGTTGAAGTGTAAGCCAAAAGATTGAAAATGATTCCATACAAATACATCAAAGTGTTTTGCAAGTGAATAGAAACCTGGCAAAAGATGAAATCATGCTTATAATTAGGAAATATGGAATTTGAAATATGAAATTCGAAATATTGGAAACCAAAACACAAGTAATTTCACTTTTCTAATCTTTTTTTTTAAATTATGATTTTTCAGTTTGAATTATATCCATATACTTAGTAATGACAGGTAGTTTGACACGTAGAATGAAAGTGGCTTTAATATTAAGGTATAGTAAACTTGTATGCAAATAACTTAAGCATCAAACTTACCTTATACTGCCTCTTCAAGATGTATTCTGATAGATAAAGAAAACATTTTGCTATAGGATGTCAGTTGTTACTTGGTACACGCAAAGATCCACACACACTCACTCAAATTGACTGGCCATGATTTGTGAGTTTCACAGTCATTACGCACTTGTATTATGTCCTGAGCATTTTTCAGTCCACCATAACTATGCAAGAAAAAGTACTTATCTCATGAAATATTTAGCACGATTGACTGAGATCACAAGTTTACACCTTTTCTCTTGTAACAGATGATTAACTCAAATTGCATAGGTTACAAGATGAAACCCAAGCTAAAAATAAGATTTACTTGAGGTTTATTAAGCACTAAAGATTCCAGAACTATCTGGCTACTCCAAAATATTATACTGTACAGCTGAATTTTGATGAGCCAACCTATTTTTATTCAAATATAGAGAATATTCTTCTGTTATTTAACACACTCTGCTGCAACCACATTTCTTCATGAAAACCCCATAAAAGTTAAGTAAGGTTTAAGTTAGTTAAAACTGACCTGTTAAAACACCCAGCTAAAGTAATCAGTCCAAGTGCAATCCACTGCTTCTCTGAAATGCTCCTGATAAAAAGTTTCAAATTTTGATTTTACTTTACTTTTTTTTTTCATTTGTTGATGATGAGGAGGACAAACAAGAGCATAATAATAACACTCAAAATATTCCTTAAAAGTTACCTTCTGATAACAAGCCAGTAGAGAATGCCTGTGATTCCTATCTTAAAATTACACAGGACCTAAACCATAACTACAAAATTCAAGAATTTTGGAGATGTTTTTCATCTTCCAACAGGCAAAAAATTATACAATTTATAAACTTGGGCAAATGAGAATTATTGTTCATTTTTACAATTACAATCTCATACTAAATCTTTACTTCAATGAAGAATTTGAGGATTATACTTAAACTATACCTGAAAGCTTGCTGGATCAAGGTAACCTTGCACATGTACTGCTGTGTTGTCACTGATGCAGTACAGAAGAGCAGGGATGGAAAAGAACACAAGGGTTTTTAATGGCAGAAAATGCACAGCACCACGCAGCATCTCTGGAATTAGGAAGGCAACAGAGAAGACAAACTACATGTAGAAAGAGGAAATTTCACAAAATCATAGCTAACATAATTAGCAATGAACATGACAAACATTCATGAATAAAATAGAAAAGAAAATGCTTCTTCAACTGTAACATACAGTTCCATGCAATTAAGTACCTTCATGACTTCACTCAACAAGACCACTGATGCAGAACTGAATGGAATTTTCCCATTTTCATTTTTACACAAGTTGATCAATATAGCATGAGATCCATAGATCAATACTCTGTAAAAAAACAAATAAATTGAGACAAAGATGTTATCGACATTCATAAAGATCACTACACCATTCGCTTTTATGACTATCAAAAAAAGGACACTCTAAAAATGACTCTGTAATTCAGCTGGTTTTCTCCAGCAAGGTTTTTTTCTCAGTTGGAACATTTTCAATTATTTGTTAAACTTATGATCGGGAGTGAGAGACAGAAGAAAAGAATTAAAAAATTAGGAGAATAATTTACAAAGTGAAGGCTGCCTAGAATTTCATTTGTGGATAATACTGTGATCATACCTATACATACATTAATAAATCACTGTTAGATAAAACATACCCTGAAACAATCATGACTTTCCATAGAACTTTCATAAGAGAATTAGAGAACTGCTCTGATCTTGACATAATCATGACCAAAATAAATTGTAGCAATCTAAGAATTACAATGGCATAAATAAAATCAAACTGTGTTTACAGCAAATTGGCTTGTTGAGAAGGTTTCCTTTTAATCCTGGGGTACTAAAACTCACCCTGACCCCCAATGACCTTGCCATATGACTGTTACAGGTCCTTACAATTTTTTTTGATGTGAAGTACAGCACCCCTCCCATTAAGATCTGCTATTCAAAACCCTGAGTAAAATACCTATATTAATCACAGGTTACCAAGGCAATTAAATCTGGGTAATCGCCATTTGTGATTCAAATAGCACGGCCCAAGATGCCATATGTAATCTGATCAATGAATGCACATATCACAGGTCAACATCTCAGTTATAGGGTATATGCACTCTTGAGTGAGGGAAACTTTGCAAATGATTTGATTAAACACTAGAATCTGCATCAAGAGCCCTTCATTAAACTCTTGCCAAGGTCATTGTGCCTTTGTATTTTTAAGGAAAGACACCTTGCTAAGATAGTGCTGCCATGAATGGTGTGTATCATATAGAGTACCAATGACAGCCTGTAAGAGTAGAAGGGAGAGTAATAAACAAAGTGCTTATGACAATGTGTCAAAGTATAGCATGGAGAAAGTTATTGGGAGCAGTTCATGTTTCGAGGATGATTTATAATGGCCCTAATACAGTGTCATTGCAACTAACTGGGGAGTACTAAGGATGAGAACTGGTACAGTAACTGTTAAGAGGGTAACCTGCCATGACATGACTATGACACATGTCAACGGCAACGACAGTAACGGCAAATCGGCCTCTAAGACTTTAACTATATCAGCCAGTCGCCAGCAAGGAAGTCTCCTAATTGTAGTGCTGATAAAATCAATCGTTGGAGGAAAAGGCGATAACATATTTTCGTAATTAACCCGTGGAAAAATTGCCATATATGCAATAATCAACGTCGACATTACATAGAAGCAATTTACTTAAAGCATTTGGCTAGGGATTACTGAGGAATGGGGGAGGCCTTTTACACAAATTCAAGCACACATAACCCTCTGTCTACTCCGAAATGTAATTCCCTCGTGTGACATGCACGAACTATGCTCATTTTTTGCAACGCTTTTGCAAGTATCGGGCGAAAGTCATGGAAGTGCATTGGAACCTCGATTTCTCCCGATTTCCCGCTCTAGAGGGCAGATGAGAGTAAAAACAAAGGTAACTTACTTTCGCAGAAAAACGTCCCGAAAAATGCTCAGAAAAACGTTCGCAATCTAAAGAAGAGCCACACACATGCTCAAGCCAAAGGATAACACCTGTTTCTTTGTCAACCATTCTCATTCTCCTTCCGGTGTAACACTTGTCCCAGATCTTCCTCATCTTATTGGACTGGAACTAACCTTGGTCCCTAGTGGATTCTGCATCCAAGGGGTCAACGACTGAAATTGCGGGTTTCGTTAGATTTTCGGTAGCGATAAGTTATTGAGAATGATTGGGGAGTCGGCAGTAGTAGTTGGATGTAGTTTATACGTGTTTTGCAGTCAGTTTGAGTTGAAACAAAGCGCTGGTTACATCCTATTTCATGTAACAGGTAAGTGTTATACCGAGTGAAAGCAACATTCCCTCATCATCGTCCTGGTATAGTTATTACTGTTTCAGGAGTATCTCGATTGAAGATTAAAGATCATATGAGTAAATATATGGGGAAGCATGATAATCACAAATCTCGTCGTTCTGTTGGCCTATATATATAAAATTTTAATCGCCTCTCACTAAGTCGGAAGAATTTTAACTTTCATATTAATTTCTGATATATGCGTTTAAATGCTCTCCAATGTTTTTGTCTTAGTTTTTTTGGTCGCTTGTATTCCATCGGTGAAGTGGACTGCAGGGATAAGAAAATGGTTTGATTTAAGGTGAGTAACACTCTTGGTTTTTTTATCCAGTATGTGATTGCCTGTCTTGATCATGGATTCAAACTGAATAATTAGATCTTATCTTAATCGCTTATTTTGAGAAGCACTTTGTACAATATTTAGGCCAATTGCTAGAGACGGCATGGAAATTGGTTCACTTCTAGTTCCCATGGTGATCACAAGTCAAATGGCATTTCTCGAGAAATGGGACAGTAAATACATGTATCTCAAAGTCACAGGTAACAACCAAGTTCACCACATACATAATCTGACAGAGTCTTGTCTGTATTATTTTGCAAAGTTACTGATAAATGGTTTTTGTCAAATTTTTTCCCTTAGAGGTGGAAAGATCTTATCTGTTGGCTTCTCAGTTGATGGGCATGTTCACTGCCTCCATTCTGCTGATTATAAATCATGTGAAACCTATGATGTCATCAGTCTTCTTTTTTATGGTCACGGCCTGCATAGCAGCTACAATAGGTGTTCAGCTGGGTATGCACAGTTCAATTTTAGTTTATCCATTATTGAGCATTGAAAAATTAATTTGAGGTATATCCTCTGGTAACCTTTTACAGGAACATTGTAAGTGATGGCAAAAACTTTCTTGTGTTTGAACTTGCTTATGAGGGTTTGGGACACAGATCTAAAGTAACATTAGATTTAGAAGGTAGGATCCAAATGCTAATTGCAGTGTTTTGGTACTGTAAAAGGAAAAATGCAAAGAATGATGGGTCAGGTAAGTAAATGTGTGTTGATGCTATATTGTACACAAGTAATCCCCAAAAGTGGCTGCATTTATTTTGTAATATGAGGTTTATGGCCTTTTTTCATTACAGATGTTGATATTATGTGGGTGTCCATAAGTGTGTTGCTATACTTTGTTGCTCTCTTTGCCATCTTGCGGTGGATACCAGGATGTTTTACCATTGGTGAGGCCATGATTGTGACACAAGCAGTTGTTTTGGTGGCAATTGATTCATATGCAAACCTAGGAATAAAGGTAAACATGCAAGTAAAAGATTAAGTGTCATTAGAAACAGTTTTAGGAATGCTATATGTGTAGGAAGTAAAGTTTTGACCAAAGTTTTTCATTGGAATTTTAGGCTCATACTGAAATTCAGAATTATCTGTTTTCAGTTAGTATACATTTCACCAACCTTCTATAATCTGTTTGGAATTCATGCTGAGGTTGCAAGAGGAACTCATACTTTGTGGATGCAGGTAACATATACCTTATTCATGTTGTGTTTGTTTACTTGGCTCCAAATACTAGTACTAATCAATCCTCATGGCTCAAATTAAATACAGTGGAATCTCCATTCAGGGAAAACTTTTAGGACAAAGGCAAGTTTCCTCTGAATATAGGTTGGGTTGTCTAACCCAACATAAAATTTCTTTCTAGAAAACAGATGATCAGGGGTTGTGTAAAAATCTGAATACAGACAAGTCTACCGATTGTTATCGTGTCCACTGATTACTTTTATGTGTCAATTGTTTACTTAAGAAATCTCTCTATACTCAAAAATCTCTATCTTGACATTCAGCTTTTGTTGGTTGGATCATTGACAACTGGTCTTCTCCTTCTACCAGTGTTTTACTATCTCTCTTTAGTAAGGTGAGTCTTGATATGAGGTAAAATTTGTAACTGGATGTAAAGAAAAGCTTGTGATAGGAACAGCATAGGTTTGCTAAGTTACTTAGGCACATCAAATTAGCCTTCTTACTATACAAAATCTGTTGAATCTGGAAGTACTGTTTCTAGTGCTGAATGGGAAGATAGTCTGTCCAAGGTTATTTTAATTGCTCCCCAACATTGGTATTTATATTCTTCACACTGTTCTGTTGGACAAACAGGAGCCTTTTAACCTGGTGATCATTTCCTTCATTCTCATGACCTTTACATTTGATTTAAGACTGACACAAGGGTTAAGCATCATATTTGTGTGGTTCATTTGAGTTTGCTTCTGAATCTCAAGAATAGAGAGAGAAAAAAAGGTCTTTTGGAACAGAGAAATGTGTCACCCTGATAGTAACTGTCACATATAGATGATTGTCTTTACATAATCTTACTTAGCAGTCAGAGTAAATCATTATCCTTATGGTAGTTCAGGCCTCTGTTTCTGGGGTGAGCTTGATTTTTGATCAGTTATTCACATGTACTGTTTGCTTTCTAGGGACTATTGGGAGAGATTAACTGGTTACATGGCTTTCTATGCTGTATTGTTGTTTACATTCTTTGCTCTCCTGTTGCCATGGTCTGTGCTCATTTTGGGTGGCATCAATCCATTTGTGTGGCTATGGGACTATTTAGACACTGGGAACATTAGGGTAAAGCTGCCTGTTAAACTTCTACAAATTATTTAAATACAATTGTGTCCATCAGTCATTGTATGTGAACTGCAATGAAAAATCTTACAAAGTCTATGCTGTTTTGGACAAACAAAGCATTTTAAATTTGAATTTTTGTTAATCCTAATTAATGATCACTAAATTATTAACAGTGATATGTAATGTGATTCTAATCTCATTGCTGAATGATTAAAATGTAAAATAAAATAAAAATAAAAAAAAGTAAAGGTAAAGAATCCGATCCAACCGACGCGTCGGCCGACGCGTTGGCCACTGTTTATCCTTCTGTTCATCCTCCGTACAAGATGCGTCGGTGGTGCGTCGGTGGTGCGTCGGTGGTGCGTTGGTGGTGCGTCGCTGGTGTGTCGGTGGTGCGTCGGTGGCTTTGTTTGGACCTTATTTATGTAAATCAATGCTAAACCTTCCTTTTACACACTTGTCTGTAATTAATGTATCATTAAAGATTCCCAGACAGATTCACGGTCTCGTTTGTTCGTTGTGTTGTAGGAGAGCAATGAGGCGGGGAATAATCATAAGTTTTAAAAAAGTCTCAAGAAAAACAGGAGTTTCAGTTGCGTTTGCTCTTTTGATCGCTTTGTATCGCAAACTGTCTCCTAATACTGACTTTTCAAACAGACACAGAACAAGGTATTAGCCTCAAACCGTTTTTTCTAAATCGTAAATGCTAAAGTACACGTAGTTTTTCCCGATCTTGTTTATTTCTATTTTTTTAAAAAAATTAAATTCGTGTTTGTATTTCTTGCAGATGCCGCTAGTTCGTTACTGGTTTTGTGTCGTTTTTGTAGCTGTAGGGTTTGTTGCATGGAAAAGTCTGCGACGTCAATCATCGCCAAATGCCTCTGGCACGATAACTCGTAAAGTTTTCCACCTCTTGGCGTTAGCGATCTACATACCAGGCGTGATTTACGAGCCAAACATAACCCATTTAGCTTCATCCGTCGCTGTTGCAGCTTTTCTATTTATAGAGGTAAGTGAAGGAGGATGTTGGTTTGTTGTGCCGTCCTTGATCACCTTTTCCTTGACTTATCCTCGGCTAAGAACCTGTTACGTTCACGTAGAATCCAAAAGAACAGGGCTCAGATAGATAACAGTCACAAAACGGGTAAAAATCTTTCAGTACTTACATGGAGGTAAATCCATTTTTTCTCATTCTAGAGATACTCTCTTGTAAATCTTCTTTGAATAATCTAATGTGGATAATTACTGAACTTACTTGTTGTCTTGTAACATTAATTTCACAAACCTTACTGAGTTTTATCCCAAATTGTGGCTCACAAGTATTGTCACCGCCTCCGCCCCCCTCCATAACAAACTCGAAATAACGTGTGTCAAGGCCAATACGTTGGACGTGAAATATCAGAACATAACCCTGGAAAAAAAAATTGTGAACATGTTTTGAATTTTGTTTCTCAGTACATCCGATTGTACAGAATAGGACCGTTTGGTGAAACAATTCACTCAGCACTTGAGGTGTTCTTAGATGAGAAAGATTCTGGGCCACTCATTCTAACCCACTTGTATTTGTTACTGGGCTTTGCTGTGCCGTTGTGGTTATATCCTGTCGATTACCTGAAGAGTGACTCCACTGGTAAGTTCAGTTTCTCGATAAGATCCATTCCGATAGAGGAAAAAAGAACGGAAGTTCCATTACAGTAAATGGTTTGAACCCGGGGGTAACATGTAATAGTGTAGTTTGATCGTCCGGGTGAGTGTAGTCCTGAGAAGGACTGTTGTCGGTAGTGGTGACTGACGTTTGGACAACCTGAGAAACGTCAGTCATCACTACCGACAACAGTCCTTCTCAGGACTACACTCAACCGGACGATCAAACTACACTATTACATGGAAGTTCCATTAATGCTTGTTAGGGCGCGGTTGGCCTGGGATCTATTCTCGTCAGGTTACTGTGAATTTGTTTGTCCAATCACAGGCTGCAAGCTTGCACTGTATTCTGGGATCCTTTCCCTTGGTATTGGCGACACGATGGCATCCGTTGTTGGGAAAAGATTTGGACGCTGTCGCTGGCCGGGTGAGTATCTTAAAACTTCCTAAAGACGCTAGGATTTGCTTTAAATGCGCCTTTGTTTCTGTTTATGGGCTAAAAATTTGCCTTATTTCACTTAAGGTGGAGTGAAAACTGTGGAAGGAACATTAGCTGGTATCGCATCGCAAATGTTGTTTCTTTGGAGTCTCCATCATAAAGGTTAAACACTATCTATTTCGTATCATATTTCAGACATTAAATTCTTGTATTTTGCTTAATATTTGCCGTTAGAGACGTTTGCGAGGTTTATAAACTTCTCTCTCCCAGCGAATCCTGTCTGATTAAGGCCCCGATCAGACAAGCAATATAAAACTTATGAAGCTCTCCGCAACAATAAGAAGGCAAAACTGAGATTTCTCCACTAGAGCCCTCAAGTTCTTATCGAAAGAAAATGTGAGTGAGCTACCCAAGGTTCCCCACCCCTCTCTCGCCTTCGGGAAATATCAACATTTTCTCTTCTGTATTGAAAATTATGTTTTTTTTTTGTTTTTTTTTCCAGGTTTTCTATTTTTACCAGAAGAACGATGGTTACCAGTATCCATGGCGATAATTTCCGGGTCTGTGCTCGAGGGATGGACAACACAGATTGATAACATCGTACTCTCGCCTTTCTTATGCTCGCTTCTAATGTTCAAATGTAGATAGGACATTGTTTAACCAATGCTGCGGAGAACAGAACGTTGTATGCTGATATTTATAACAAACAGACGCGTTTGTTATATGTGTGTACTTCCCCAACCATCCCCATTCACCATTCACGTGAAATATTCGCTGTCATTTTCGGCAGATGATGCTGAAATTGTGGTAATATCCAAATAGCAGGATGCAAATCAGTTTTTGTGTTTGTTTGTTTGTTTTTTTTTTAATGTAGGTTGGCACTTTCATACAGTATTTCATTTTGACCAAGTGTCCAATTATCTTGTGACTTCATAGATCGATGGTCGATACTCTACAATAGACCATGAGTCAAAATTCTAGGCACCTTGATCCTTTTGTGGTCAGCACATGAAAGTGAAAACAAGTCACAACGGTAAACCATGGAAATATAAAAGATTTAAGTATGCAGACATTCGTTTTTGTATTATGGTTTGCACTGAGTTCAATTAGTCTCTTTTTAATATGCATCATTGGGATCTTTCGTAGAAGCAGTCTCTCAGATCACTTTGTGCGTAGCATTTCACGCTAAGAAGCTTAATCATAACGATTGAAACCAAATTCCCAATACCCTTCAACGTACCATTAGACCTCTGAAATTTGACCATCCGCCACTAATTTATGAAAGTCAGGAAGTTGATTGCCAAAAGGAACAACAAAACATACAAAACACTTATCATGATTACTCAGAATCCGAAACTTCGATACGTATTTCCTTATAAGGGTTAATATTTTACGGAAACTGAAAAATTAAATTTCACCAAGCGTAAAGAGAGACAAATTGTCTTTCATGGAACACTTAGTACAGGCTTCTATTTGTCCAAGAATAAACCTGAAATTGAACGAAAACTTTCTCAGGGGAACCGTCATTTTTACTTCGGAAACTACGAAAGTTATTCAACTACTTCTCGTTCACATACAATTTGTTTACGTATGAAACTGCACGTATGTTATGACGACTTTTCCCCTTTGACGTCATATAGCACTGCACATTTTTAAGCTACCATTCCTTTTATAGATGCAGCATTATTTCAAGAGTTCGTCGGCCGGAAGTTAGCAAGAAAGTCACGTGAGATAAGGCAGCTTTCGAGCTTGTGTCGTCACATCCTCTCGTAGCCATTATGATCACGGAGCTCGGGTGAAACATGTCTAATATTGGAAAACTATTCAAAATTAAAGGAACTAGACCTCCTAGGCCACCGAAGAGGGACTACGATGAGAATAGGAGTTCTAGTGATTGCTCTGAAGACGATGAAAGCTATTCAGACCCGGCCACTGTCCATCCAACGTTATCGCCGAATGAGAGTCCTGTAATGCCCAGTTACCCTCCTCCGAGACCAAATCATTCGCCCGCTAATCGCCGCGTTCACGATGCAGGGAAAAGGGCTTCAGTGCCTGTTACGTTTGGCCAGTCGATTAAACCTACCAGATCACAGAGACCACAAAGTGCAGAGCTTTTGCAGCAGGGAAAAATGCCTGTACCTGGGCCAAGATTCGGCTCGAAGGTACGAAATTATTTTCTGAGTTGTTATTAATATCCGCCCGCAAGGCTTATGTAAGCTTGCTCGTATCATTTTAATTATTTTAATTCCTCGATCTCATCATTTTTTTTTCATTCAAATGTAAATAATTTCCCAGCGAGATTTAATGTAAAGTTTGAACGAAATATTTTAAGAATTGACACCATGTAGTCTACTTTAGTTTGATGAACGAATAGCTGATCATGGAGCAGTTGCGAAATATTCACCTCTTCGCAGACTTCAGCATGCACGCATTCACTTCTTAAATAAGTTAATCCATTAACTTTTTTGTGGGCGATGTGGGGATAAATATCAATTATAAATGTGTACAACGACCTATGATGATTCCACACACGATATAGCTATTAATGGAACATTCCACACAACTCAATGTCACATGCATCTTGGATGTACTTGTCTTCTTGTGTCTGTTTACCAATTTCAGCCGAGGTTGATGTTTATTTTCCATTATTTGATATAATATTATAATTATAATATATTATACACGATAATGATTCTCAAACGGATATGAAAATTTCCACAATATAAAGGTATTTCCACTGACATATTTAGTCATAGACAAATATCAACTAAAAATAACATTTATTTCATTTTTTTATGTTATTTTAAAGCTTTCCAGACTATGTTTTGTAAATGTAAATATGGATGAATTCAGTTTCATTGCATTGTCCTTGCCCCTGAAATACATCAATTTAGGTGTTGATTAGTGGTAGAAATGGTAACTTTCCTGTTTCCTCATTGCTGCAGCATATGAGCTGTGTCAACCGGGCTGATTTGGCATGCAACTTCCTCTCTGACTGCTATTGTCCATGGCTAGCCCAGTTTTAAAGATCTCAGTTTACAACCATGCTATGAATTTTTCCATATGAAAACTCAAGCCCTTGTTGCAAAGGTTTCTCTCTGTTCACCTTAGTTTTTGCCCTAACATTTCATATACTAACTGTAATAATACTGATATCTGCACCACGGACAAAGTTAACCCTGTCATTATTAGGAGTGACAAAATTGGAATTTCTTATTCAAATATCAATGTATTTTCCAGCAGTTAGTGATGAGAAGAAAAAATATGCAACTTGAGGATGCTGTGTGATTTAACCTAAATTTCCCTCCATTTCCTTAATTTGCTATTTTCAAACCCAGAACCATATTTAAATATTTGACTTGCGCTGGTATGTAGTTAATGTTTGATATGAGAGTTGCTTTGAGTTGTTCATACAATTGAGTGAAAAAGTTGAGAATTTTTGCAGAGGTAAATTAAGATAGAGATTCTATTGTCATGCAGGTAACAGCATATTTCTTCCTGAGGGTACCAGAAGAAATAAAAATCTTTCAACAGGAAATTTTTTTTATTTTAATGGTGGACAAATTGATTGTAAAATTTTGTTAGCATAAATTTATTTCAGTTTGACCCAACACAGGCAAAGCAATGACAGGATTCATGAATTATACTCAGTGTATAAGGTTACCTGAGTAGGCTGTGATAAGTCTTTTTGCAAAAGTTTATTAATGTATCAGTCTTTGTGTCAACATGTGTTGCTTTTTCATAAACACATGCTTCACGACACCCAGCTTACATCATACATGTACAGCTGTATGTAGTTTGACAATTGACTCAAACTCTATCGAGTATGATAAATTTACAGACAAATATTGTTCAAGAGACACTGAATATTTGAATAAGCATTTTATAGTTTTTTACCATGGTAGCAAAAATTAATTTCAACTAGGTAGCTTGTTTTACCAATCAAATGTTAATTCTGTTCTTGATAATTTTTTTCCCTTAATGAAACCATACCCTGTATTCAGAAAAAGCCATCAAAAGCTGATAATTTTAGAGATTGAAGATGAATAACTTTGAATTTAGGGGAATTCATTATCATAAAATTTACCTTTAAACCTGAGCTGAAAAAATCTTTGATCATATCATATTTTTACTAAAGCAAGACTTACAAAGTAAACCTCGTGTATTCTGTGGATTTCCTTCCTCCCTTGTCCCTTCTAAACTGCTTGGACTTCATTATTAACTGAGATTATGTGAATTTGACTTTCAGTTTTTCACTAAAAATTTGCATATTTGAAATCAGTCTGTTTTGGTAAATTTGTTCTTTCAGGTGGCACTATTTTTATTTTTAATTACTTATTATGTCAAGCAGTCAGTCATTCAATAAGAAATTCCCAAACCATTTTGTGGTTAAAAGAAATACTTTTTAAGTGCCTGAAGGTTTCTGTAGTTAGATCTGGATCATACCTGAGTTAAAATTTACCAGAGAAAGCAGCAAGCCAGCCTCTGTTGTTAGTAATTGGAATTCAGTTTGAAACCACAACCCTATGTAAATAGCCTGTTATTTAATTGATGGACGTGTTCTCAGAAGAGACAATACATTTTGCCCCCTGGCTGAAGGACAATTGATTCTCGGCTTCTTCATCAGCATGTTCCTTCAAAGATGTAACTGTGTGCGAAGTTGTACATCGGACAGAAATTTCAAGAAAAAGGTAAAAGAATTCTTTATTTAGGTTCTCTGTATGATAATTCTGGTAAAATTGTTTGGGTATTCTGGGCGGTTAAATGGTGATTCACAAGCATTTTGGCAGACATTTTTATTGCAGTTGTAATTTATAATCACAGATGTTTTGTATTCAACCACTGTTGAAAGTATAGGACTAAAAGGCACGTTGGTAATTATTTGGCAAAATTTTCAGAGGCTAATGTCATTTAATTTCTTTCAAAATAATTATTTTTTGAATAAACCTTCCCGTGACAAACAAAATACTTGCAGCTCCATGATATTTTAGTGACAGTTGGCTGCATTTATATTACTTGTATATGATACACTTTTTATCTCTTAAAATGAAATCTCATTCATAAATTTTTCAATTGAGTTTGAGATTTCAATATATTTTTTTCATACACTCATCAGATAAATTATGTTCCTAGTCTTACAAGAGTGAAAAATTTCTACATGTTTCATATTTTCAATCCAGTTCATAAAGGGGCTCTGGTTTCAATTGAACCTAGTGTTTCACAATATTCTGTTTATTGCTTCAAGACCATACATGAAGCTATTATATGCATGCATACATGTTTTATCAGGCAGAGTTCAAATTGTATTTTGTATATTATATTGACTAGTTTATATTTCATCTCTTTGCTCTATACTCTATAGAGTTTGCTACATTTTTTATCTGCTTAGAATGTCTCAAACTAAAATTGATTCATCATGCTTGTGTGATATTTTTTCCATTTAGCCAGACCTTGTTGATCTCAAATATTTGTTTGACTTTTTCCATAATTTTATGTCAAAGAGCTTTGTTCATAATTTGCATACAACATGTGGCACTTTACTCTGATTACTGCTTCCACTCTGACTCCCTTTTAAAATTTAAAAGCACATGGATACTGGTGGATAATTATTTTATAGTTAGGCACATGTTTTACTACTACAGTAGATAGAATTATTGGTTGGAAGCATAGGAATCTTGAAGAAACAATTTTTTTCCTCAAAGGACAACATTGTTTCAGCTATGCAGGTGTTTGTGGCTTTCTTTTTAATGTTTAGGATGAATAACTTGCTACAACAGCACATGTTGTGTTATGCTGTACTTGTGTGTTGTAAAATGGTGTAAAAGAACATAGACTCTATTGGTCATCTTTTACTTTTCTTTCTTTCTTTGTTCATATTTATTTGGTCGGTGAAGAGAGGAAAATCCAAAGTGCTTCACTGAATCACCTGCCTTACCAAAAATCTCCTGTACAAAAGAATCTTTGGGTTGGATGCTTTTCACTAGGCTTTGTAAATCAGAAAATTCTCTGGCTAAATTTATGTGGCCTCAGTTCTAATTTTTTATCCAGATGTGTAGTATGTTCTCCTGTTACTCTAATCTGTTCCTTGCAACAACAGTTCTCAATGAAAATGTTTTTTTGTAGCAAGCCATGTATCCTGAGAAGTTGAAGATTTGTACATTGAAAATTCTATTATGATAATATTTGTTACAACATGATTAATGGTTAACCTACCACTTTTTTTAAATCAAATTTTGCTACTTCCTAGATGCCTGATGACTACTCAGATCCATGGGATGCCAAAAAAGCAATGTCCCCTGGTGGAGACTATTCTGATCCCTGGGATGCTACAAACACCCAACCAGGGGCACTCACTGACCCCACTAAGGCTGGAAGAAAGACTTCAAAAGATGATTATATAGACCCCTGGGATGCAAAGCAGGATGGAAAAACACAGGTGGAAAGGGTAACAGTTGAGAAAGTTAAGCATCAGAGTAATGAAGACTCAGATGAAGAAAGTTATTCTGAACCTTATGACCTTGGCAAAGTCACATTGTTAGATGAGCAAGCTAAGAGAATGTCTCTGAGGGGAATGCGTCCATCGTCTGTTGACGGAACATTTTCTGAACAGGAGGAAAACAGATTCAGAAAACACAGTGATACTGGAGCAAAAAAGTAATAATTTTGATCTGTAACTAATTGTCCTTTTCTAGCATCAGATTATGGTACATTTAATTTTTAATGCAATAAATTCAGCCTGGGTCATTCAGCATTTGTGGCCAGTCATCAGACAAATTTAAAACAAAATGATTTTTTTTTGTCAAGTCCAACTGGACCATAAAACAACTGAACCTAAATTCCTTTTGAACTGTTTTTTTGATTGTCTGAAAGATGTTGACTCTGGTTGAAGTGTTTGCATGGTAAGACTCCTACAGCTAGCTATGTGAATATTTCTTAGATTCACATACTGAACATGTTTTCTTATTTGTGGTCTTGTCAGTTTCATTGCATAATAACAAACATACTTGTGATGACAAACCATGTGAAAATCAGCTACATTCATTTGATTTTGTCACTCAATGCTCATTGCAAATTATTTTTTGCTTTTGTTATAGTTTTGAAAAACTGTAACATGTCAGAATCCTATATTAGCTAAATAGTAAAGTTGAAACAAAAGACTTATTGCCTTTTTTTGAATCAAAGAAACACATTATGTGTACGATTGTACTTAATATCTTATCTTGATCAATATCCATTTTTCAACAGACAACAGTCTCCTAGCAGGGATCAAAGATCAGCAGATGATTATGACTCACCCTGGGAAAGCAAATCTTTTCTGGGAATGCAGCAGAAATCTCCAAACTTACCCCAAGAGAGACCTCAAGTTCCTGTGACTGATACACGCTCATCTGATGATTATGACAAACCATGGGAGTGGAACAAGAATATTAATCTGAATGGCCATACACAAGGGCCAAGACAACAGGAACCTGTTCAGTCACCTAAAATTGACGCTCGGCATCCAGATGATTATGATGCACCCTGGGAGTGGTCAAAATCTGGCCTTACATCAAAGGTGAAGGGTCCAAGGGAAGGAGAGGCACAGGGCATGGCCTTAGTTGCCCCTTCTAAGCCACCAAGAACATTTGTTGAAGATGGATCCCCCATTGACCCTTCTTTGCCACTGGCACGACAGGGGTGAGTTATATAATTGAATTGTTATTCCATATGTACAAGAAAAGTAACCCCAGGTTGTGAATGTTGTGTTTGCTATGACATGTAGATGTAGATGACATCCCCAAATTTTGACTTGACTCTTTAATTTCTATCACACAGTAAGGTCATAAGAATAAAGGAATTGATCACCAAGTTAAGAAGCTCTTGATTGTTAAAGAAAGCATGGGCTTTGAGCCTAGAAGAAGTGCAAGTTTTGAGGGTTGTTTGTACTGTATCTGTCCTGATCATTAATTTTCATATTTAAATCTTGAAATACAGCTGGTATCATGGACCTTTAAAGCGACTGGAAGCAGAGAGACTCCTACAATCTGCTGAAGACTGCAGCTTCTTACTGCGACAATCTGAGAGTAGTAAAAATGACTTCTCTCTGTCTGTCAAGTAAGGATTTGTTATATCAATTATTGCCTATTTGTTATTTTCAGTACAACTTTATCCATTCAATACACCATAAGAATTCACTTTGCTTCACACTAACTGAAAATTTACTGTTCTTATTCTTAAAGTTAATATCATTTTTAAAGTCATTATTTCAAGAGGAACATGAGAGAATTCTAAACAAGTTTGTTAATTTGATTTACCCCAAGTGTAAGCTCTTTGCCCTCTTCATCATTTTTTAATATTTTTCTGTTTTATTTTTGTTTAGAAATAACAACTCCTTCATGCATTTAAAGATTGTTTGCCAAGGCAATAGATACATCTTGGGACAATTTAGTAAGCCATTCAACACTGTACCAGAAATGATTCACTACTATTCCTTAAACAAGCTCAACATTCGAGGAGCTGAACACAAAAAACTCTTACACCCAGTGGTACCTCCCCCTGAGTATTTTACACTGGAGCCAGGTGGATATCCCACAGCAAGCTGAGAGTCACATTCCTGCATCATATCATGAAGGCCCTTATGGGTGGAAAAGCTCTCCTGACAAGCCTTGGAAAGTCAAAGTGCAGAGATCACTGTATTGAAATAGTGAATTTAAAATAATCTAATTAATTTTAAATTTTTTTGTAATCATCAGTGACAAATGTTAAGGGAATGGTATTTTAATTTCATTTAAATTCTGTTATATGAATAGTTGGCATTAAAAAAAAAATGAAACAAGCAGGATCATGAGTAGAGTTAGTCTTTTCACACAAGTATTATAGTTTTAAGTGTTTGCCAACACATGTGGAATTATTGTTCGATTTTTATTTCAGTTGACTTTGAAGTAATCCTTGATAGTAGTGTTCATAATAGAACACTTTTCAGTTGTAGCAAGCTCATTTCTAGATTTTTCTCAAGCCTCAATTATTATCTTGATAGTGTTTTACCTTTTGAAGGAGCAATCTTTTTTTGCTATTTTAGTTGTTTTTAGTGTTGCATGTTGCCCATTGTGGGTAAAAGATAACTTTGACTGATTTACCATTTAGTTAAATCTTGTTTTACCATCAGACCATCAGACCATCAGGGAGAATGTACAAAAAAGGAAAGTCTGTATTATAATAGTGTCAATAGGAGTAGTCTTAGAGCTCCATGTAGTTGTGGAGAAATAATTTGGTATTGAAACTGTTACTTTTAACCTTTGAGTTTTGTTTTAATGAATGAAATTTACCATTTTAAAGAAAGGGTGAAATGCTTTAGAAAAGAATTGAAATGAATGGCCTGAAATATATCACTTGTGCGAGTGTCTGTGTTCTGCAGTACACTGTGCAGTTGGTTCATTTGAAATATAAATGAAAATTTTGATGTAGAATTGTTTCTCAAATCAAGGATCAAGTAGCAGTGGTAATCTTTTGACACTGACTCTTGGAATGTTACCAGCAATCATTTAAGGTCATTTTAGTAGCTAGTAATAATAACACAATTTACCCCTTGAAAGTCGTCTGAAACATACCAGATCCAGGAATTTCAATAAAATCCAGAATTCTCAAATATAATTAATGTAATGTGGACTCTATATGATACTATGCAACATATAAAAATAAGCAATAATGTAAAAATCATGCTTGAAATAGTGAGAAGTCTTTAAACACCGGGTTTTAGATAGCTGTAGGAATTTATTTACATGTAATCATCACTAGTCATTCTTCTCTCGACATTTGATCACCTCTATTTCTAGTTAAGATTTCATTCTCGAGATAATTTCACCAATCTGGCTTCTCGTCTTCGAAAGTCCCGAATTCATTAGGAATATTGATAAAGCTAAATAAGTATATTTTGAAACTTGGAATATTAAAACTTGAACTAACTGTTGGACTTCGATAGATTTCTTGATGTTTATGTAATTCAAATTTTAGAGATACCACAACATCACACCAGCTAGAAAATCAACGCACATTTTCCAAAATTAAAACTACCGCCATCAATTGGGGAACAGATCCAGAAAGACTGCGACTTCTAGAGCAAGTGGAAGACAGATGTCCCGGATAACAGCGATTTCACTTAATTCTGTATTACAGCATCTGTCTTTCTAGTGGCTTTTAATCCATCTCTGCCATATCTATTAAACTTTAGTTGATAGTTTTTTCTTTACTATCATGCTATGAGGTCAAAGTAGGGTTAAAGCTGTAATGATCGCTTTTTTCCATGCAAGACTTAACAAGAGAAGCATCACAAAAGCTAGGCTGTGTAGAGGATGTAGATCGCATTTTGTCGATAAAGGGCCTTTGCAAATGATGACGACGAGAACACGGATGTCGACTTGATTGTCCGGTGGAGGCCTGGGATGCAATCAAAATTCAGCAATAAAGGAAAGGTAGCTTTTGACGAAAAACGTAATTTTAGCGTATTTTGTTGGAACTTAATCATGATAATGTAAAATTCCTTTCTGTACCTCTGATTTTTTACGCAGATTACATGAAAAAGCGTAAGGTATTGACTCATCATTTGATGGGGATTTGATTTCCAGTTGGCTTTGAAATTGAAAAAAAAAAACATCATCTTATGAGTTACCAGAAGATATTCTCAAATACTGGACTTGAATAACGAAAAATAACATTTTCTTCACCTGCTATTAGACTAATATCGGATTTATATTTTACAACTTCACTCAACGCACAACTTTGCGATCTAGTTCTGCTCTAACCTTACTTTCCTTTGAGGTATTGACTCTTTTCAAAATGACTTTCTACCTTAAATGGCTTGCATTTTCAGTTTAGTTCAGGTAAAACAAACACAAGATTGGTGATATAAAGACTATAGTGAACTTATTGACAGAATAAGAATCATACCGAAAAAGATATTTAAACGGATATCTAGCCTTTGGAGACTGTTAAATAACAACAGAATGAAAAGAGAATTTGGAAAAGAAAGAGCGTACGTACCCAAGGTACCGCCCCTCAAAGAGCTACGTGCTGTTCGTTTAATTTACCTGATAACAAATTTAGTGCGGAGGATAAATGGTATAAGTTAGAGTCACCTTAAAAGAAAGAGGTGTTGGACGTGCTGAATAAAAAATTAAGAATTTTTATCCTGATTAGGAAATTGACATGCGGTTAACCTAAAAACGACCTTGAAGGGAATCGAAAATACAATCAAAGACTCTACGAGCAAAGTCGTGAATGTGGTATAATTTACTAGACGGGCGAGTGTCAGCGAAAATTTTAACTGTTAGCTGAGAATATGAAATTTGTGAGGATGAATTGGTGTGAAATCATATTCTGACTAACGCACCAGGGTCGGGGTTTTTTTATGAGATCAGTTCTTTGTATATTTAGGTGTTTGGCGGGAAATTTATAGGTTACCATGGGTCGGTCACTCTTCGTCCATGTTTATAAAATTTGTTTAGCTATTTAGTTGCATCGTTTTCTCGGGGCCTCGTGCTGCTGTATTAGATGAGAAATAAATTTCTACATGTCATTCTTGTCTTTTGATAAGAAAGCTAAAAAAAAATTGAATTGAGGGACCAAAATAATTAGGTAAAAGGGCAGCATATTTAGAGACGGAAAAGCTAAAATTTCGTTGTTAAGGTTACTTCCCACCTTCGTGGGTGTCCTTCGGGAAAAGATTCGTAAGCGCTGGTTTCACTAGAATCCTAGCAAACTATGTATCAGAAGAAAGCTTATTGACTGCAGTTTATGATAAAAATAAAATTTAAGCGACATTTCTTTTAAGAAAGTGTCAGGAGCCGGGAAGGCGTGAAACGACGCCGCAACACGAGCAAAATGGCTGCCAGTCTTATTCACAAGGCATCAATCAACGAAAGTGCGTCGCGCTTTCTCGGTATTCTGATCAGTTGTCTAGATATGGGTATCTAAAGTTGGAGTAGCTAAAAATATGCGAGGTGTGTTGCGAAAATAAACGCCACAGGAAAAATATTTCAAATATCAAAATTTCCCGACACAATTTCGTTTGCCATTATTCCTAGAATGTTTCAGCGAAATGTGAAAAAATCGGTCAAATCTATATATCCTATAAATTCGCTCAAAGTAGTTGTATTCCTCCCAAAGAGAAATGCGAGATTTTACCTCATAAAGGTTCGCAAACAATAGCGCCACGCCAGGAGATTATCTCGCCTCCTGAAACCGCAAACCAAGAGGACAACAGAACCTCTTGGCGCCAATGACGATGGATCAAGATTTCCTGGGAAAAGTAACTATAGCAGACACGTTTATTGTTTTATCTCGATCGCTCAAAGAACGTTGAGGAGGACGACACAATAATGAGCAAAGTTGCCAAAAGCAAAGGAAAAACCCGCGGCAAAAATGGTAAAACCGGAAAATGTGTTGAGAGGCGAGACAACGAATCGCCATACAGCTTTCAAAAATCACAATTCGAGGTGATTGTTAAAGATTTTGTTTCAAGGCTGGTACTTGCATACAGAAGAGGAAACCTCATTTTAAACATCATGTATGGCAAGTTTTGGTTTGACGGCGACTTCTTTGTTCGAAATCTGGACCCCAGCGTGGAGCTCCGTCAGTACCAGTCACTTTTACAAAGAAATTTTTTCTTTTCTTGACAGAATGGTACTTTCTTTCTTTTTTGGGCCTGTTTTTTTTCTTTCTCTTTGTATCATGGACTTTCTTCCCCTTTCGATCTCCATGAGCAAAGATTTTTCCATGAGCAAAGATTCCACGTGTGAATTTTGCAAAGTGCGTGATGTAAACAAAGTATGGAAATAACATGAAAAACGTGCCCAAACAGGAGCGGTTGCTGCGAAAATTCTCTTAGGGGGATTCGCCCAGGTCCGATGGCACCCTTCAGATTGATTACCTTTTATTTGAAAATACGTTTTTCTAAATAACTCGGACGCTTTTAAAGACTTCTGAAAAATTTTGTATGGGAAACCTTAGGTTGAATGTTTGAATTCAGTCTAGTCAAATAGAAGAAAAATCTATTCTTTCGGTAGCCTACGTGTAGGTTTCACCTTGCGGGGGAGGGTACGGCTACACGTAAGCTACTCTTTCGGCCTCCGAAGGTGGAAATTAACCTTAAGGCAAATCAAACTGTTTAATCGTTTGTCTCACGAGGTAGTCACTTGAGAGGTAGATCGCGACGTTTCAACTGCTTACTGTTAGTCTTCATCAGACGATGGGGTCGACTGCTCGCGCGTTACCATTTGAATCACGGCGATCTAATGCGATTGGCGGATTTCGATCCCCCTTGTTCCGGTGAGTTCTGGTTTTCCGAGAGGTCTGACTCCAAGTTGTTCCCTCGGCGGTTTGCTGTCGTACCGGTCTCCCGTTGTGTTTCTTGATCGTTGGTATCCGTGCTTCAGGAATATCGATTCTGTTATCCTTGTTAATGTTATCAGGGTGAAGTCTTATGTGGATAACTTCCATGACTCTTTTGGTTTACCAGTGTGAGTCTCGATCAATAAACTTTACTTCGTTCCAAAGTGGGTGGTGACCGATCTTGTTGGCGTGCTCAGGAGTGGCATATCAGGATGTGTCTCTCTGAAAATCTGCATAGACAGGTCAGAGCCACCTTAATTTTTGATAAGTTAAGGTGGCTCTGAACCGTATATACACATTTTTTCAAAATTTGACAGAACGATGAACATCGATAAGCTGAATGCAATTCAATGACAGAAAAAATGGAGGGTTTGACACCGTGGGGAGTAACACGCGTCACCCATAAAGAGTTGTGCTCAGCTGTGATTGGATGGAATTCCACGGCTAAGGGAACCTTCCGAAGATGCGCCAACCACAGACATGGAATTCCATGCAATCTATAAGTGACGTGTGCTCAATGGACCTCATCGCCTGAAGAAGACCAGCAGTATGCATTCGAAATGTCGTGATCCATTTTCGAAGTGACCACATCGCGAGACAAACGATTATACTTTTCTTTTGAAAGTGATATTAAATTGTGGATCGCAGCAGACCAGCAAGATGTAAAGAGTTTGTGGATTTGTGATCGTTTCTTGTCCAACCATGAGCTAGCGAAATTTCTGTGGTAACAATTTGGTGTAATGTTTACCTTGAAGTAGAAATAGTTCATGAAACGATAAACTTAATTTTTGAAATGTTGTTTTGCTTTGTTTGCTGAGAGTTAAAGAGACGAAGATGACAGGGCAGCTGGCGAAATGAAAGAAAGCTAAACGTTGGTGGCTGTCGCTTTATTACTGATTTCTGTTCGTTAGCTCAGAGTTTTGCAAAGAAACAAATATATGTTTTTTTGAGGCACGCAAGATACTCACAAATAAAAAAATAAATTCCTCTACAAGCTACCCTAAATTTCTTGCTGAACTGACTACAGCGATTGACGCTGTCGAGTTTTAGTAAAAGTACGACTGTTAAGTTTCTGCGGAAACCTTTTATTACTTTCATCAGAATTCTACATAACAACTGCACTGTGTAACTAAGGCCTGGGAAATATGTAAATGCAGAGTCATTTATTATTTTTCAAACATGCTGATTCTTCAAGAAATAGATTCAAATTTGTCACCCGCCGGGCCTTGAAAACAAAGGAGACGACAAAAACCAATAGTCTATTTTCAATTTTTCATAGTACCTCTGGTCCTTGACAGGTTGTCAAAGTTATAAAGCGAACACTAGAGGCAAACAGTTTTATTAAACTCTCGAGTCCTCCATGCTCCAGTTTACTTTCCACCATCATGTTAAGTAAGATAACGTTGTTTTTCATTTTAGTGTCCCAGACAAAAACTTCTAATACTGTCGACAAAGGAGCTCTCGAAGACTCGGGTAAGACGAGAATTTGATTTTTTTTTTTCAATAACGGAAAAACATATTGTATCAAATTTTATACTTAGTTAAGCATATGAAAACCAACCCAAACACAACAATCTCGGATCATGATTTGTAGTTTTAGGACGAGTCAAAACAGAACGTGCTACTTCGCTTTTGTAATTGATCATATTTCATGATGCCTTGTGTTCAAAACCCGTTTTGACGCATTTCTCCTTACTTGTCTTCCAATCGTTTAGTGAATGGCTGAAAGCCTGTCATTTTCAAATGTATATCTAGTCATACTTATACCAAAAATCATTCTCGGGAACTCGGCTACTTTTGGTCGCCTTTCAAGAAGTCACGCTTAAGTTATTTATTGCGTGCATTACCAGTTTTCAGAAGCGGGTTTCATGTTAGTGTTCACGGTAGGGGAAGAAAATCAAACTAAACAGATTCTTCAGTCGAAGACTGTGCGTGAGTCCCACTCGATATCATTCGAGTCATAATGACCCACAATGAGTTTTATGCGCAACAGGCAAGGGTCGAACTCGTGCTCCTCTAGAAAGGTTGAGAGTCTCTACGACTTAGCTGTGTAAGACTCGAGATACCTCGGCAATCAAACCTGCCGTCTCTATTTATTTCATTGCGCAAAACATAACTATTTATTCTCTTTTACAACGTTGCCAAGAACCCAACGAGCCGCCGCTATTCAATTAAAACATAGAACCTAACACAAAAAGCAAAACAAACGACCTAGGAAGTTACCAAAAGTCCGCTATAACATGTTAATTTCCATAAAACCGCACGATTTAATTTTTCAAAGATAGTAACAGTGAAAAACACCGACTTTGTCTCTGTCCGAAATTGTTTGCATTATCAACGGTTTGGAAATAACAGTTGGTCAAAGAAAACTAAGAAATGATATTTTATTAGATTATTTCATGCTGGATGCATCTGTTCACTGTAAATAATATTCCTTGGGTACACGTCTACCTTAACTGCGACCAACGTGACCTTTTGTCCCATCATTTCCACCCTCAGTTTGAAAGATACTTGTTTTGAATTTTCGTGACTGCTTCCTACTTCATGAAACTTTCTCCAATGTCACCTGCAATCACGTAAAAAGAGCATGCAACGATAGCCGGCTCTTTGGATTTTGATAAATTCTACCGTTACGATTCCAAGCAGAAGAATCAATTACTAAGCATATTATCTCAACACAGAACAATGGCACGTTTATCCAAATTTGTAAAAAAATTAAAAAAGCAATACAATACTTTTAAGGCAAACATTGAAAATTTCAGGTTTTCGCACAGTTTACTTAGATTTTTTCCTTCTAGGTTTCCTTAGTGAATTTTTAGTGCCTTGGCAGAGATTCGATAAGAAAAAATTACTTGAATAAACATCAGTTACCTGTTCTCTAGTATAACAAGCCGCCTTATATCATCTGTCGGCAAGTGGACAATTTCACTGAAACAGTTCTGCAAAATGTTTGTGGGTGTTCATTATCTTCTTCAAGAAGAACGTTTAACAGTATACCCCGAGAGAATTTGCCGCAATCCTCTCCAAGACCTGAGGTAATTTGACATAGCCTGCGAATGGAAATGTAACTTGAATCAGACCGCTCTTTCTTCTAATTGGGGAAAATTCAGTGCGTCAACTTTAACTTCATGAATGTTTCGGAAAGGACATCAGTTTCATTTTCATAATTTGCATTGACATCAAAATCAGAATAAATTTTTACTAAATTTTTAATTCGTGGGTAAGGCCACTTCGCCATTGTTATCTTAGTTGACTATCGACACATTGTTCCGTCAGTGGAACATAAAAATATTAATCCAGGTCCGAAAATGGTGAACTTTCAAATTGACCGATTCTGTAATTAGTAGACAACTTTTTTGGATTAAAAAAAGGCAGGGGTTCTTGAGCTATTTACACAATTGTATCCGGTTAATTTTGATGAAATTCATGAGCTCTTTTCACCATCTTAAATTATTTTTCAAATGGCAACTGCTGAAAAGTGAAGAGGCTTAGGTTTTTTTGAAGCTCTTCTGGCCAAAAATAGCCAGTGCACCTCATTAAGCCCATAATTTCTTTCGTTTTAACCCTAAGTGTAACACGTCGTATATTCTCACAAATAATGCAAAGTGGTAGAATAGAGACATTGTCGCTTACTGTTCCTGTGTAATCTTACATTTTTACAAGGCTGTCAAGAATTGTAAACAGTTAAAAGCAGTAGCTTAAACTTCCGCTGACAAACAGGAAATCTTTTCCGTTTACTTTAGAGCCACAATTATTCCAAAGTGAAGGCTGCTACGGAGCAAAGTCAATACAAGATGCTGGTGTTAATCTTGGACGCTTTAGTTCTTCTGATATCGGTGAATGCGCTGAGCTTGCCTTAAAAAAGGGTTTCGCCGAGTTTGGTCTTTTACATGGAGGTCTGTGTAAAGGCGGTGACAATCTGCAAGGGAAAGTTTCTGAAACTTCTGTAACCTGCAGAGATGGTGTGGGAGGAGAGGATTCTGTGGAACTGTACTCGCTTAAGCCGTCAGGTCAGAATTCAGTTTGTTTTCCTATACGAAGTTAAAAGCGCCTTCTGATTAGGTGTCAATAAACAAAATAATAATAATCGCAAGAAGGGGTCCGATAACCACGCTCTTAAAACAAAGATAACTGATAACCCTCAAGACTGGCTAAAGCGTAAGAAAACTCGCGAGACCAAATTGCGATGCCTTCAGTTGGCATCTGACTGGTTAAGAAATGACGCCAGTCATCCAGATCAATCATGTGACAACTTAAATAAAACCAATACTGTTCCAACTGACGTTTGGAAACTGCCGTTGGTGAAATTGAATTGTTGTATTGAAACGAGTTTGTTTGAGCCTTTTCTCTCAAGGCTCGAGTTCAATGTGGGATTTATGGTTATCCTGAGATATGTCAATATGATTGTTAAACAGGAAGAAAGTGGTGGAATGGAACTGAAAAGTGATTAGGAACGACGTTATATTGCTTGTCTTAGTATGAAGGAATATAAAAAATTTAGATCGAAAAACTGAAATGTCTAGGCCTAACTTACCTTGGTTAACTATGTAATTCTGTGGGAAATGGCCTCTGAATTGATGGAAGATCCAAAGTCAAGTTAGATTCAGTGCTCCTTATCATAGCTAGATCATGGCTATACAAACATTTCATTGTAAGGAAAAAGGGTTGAGCAACGAATATTTTTAAGGAACAACTGAAACACGTTCCTCTAAATAATAAAGAACTTGGTCCATAAAATTCTCGAAACTGATATTTCCTCCCTTACAGCCATTGCCTGTCCAATCGAGTCTTCCGACAAGGCCAGTAAAAAATGCCAGTCCCAGAGACAACAAGAAACAGCTAAAACCAGAGAAGACTACGAGCTCAACAAAGGCAGTGACACCCTACCGATTCCACGCATTAGCAAGAAACCAAGGGAAGTGTTCCTCTTGCTGAAAAAAGACCCCCTGGATAATCACTGGATTTCATTATACAACCAAACTATTTACAAAAACTTCGGCCTCTTCGCCATTCTCGCTAATTTAACTAGAGGAAAAGATATTGACTACAACAAAGTATACAAGTTCTTCGTTGCAGGTCAACGACACCCACGCTTTGTTCTTCCGGTATGGATCACTCTAAGCGACAGTTTTAAACATTTAGATAATGCTTCTCTATTTAAATCGAGTTTTGATAGTTTAAACCACCCGCAGTTACCTGTGTATTGGGCCTCGTGTAGCTGACTTTTAAAATTCCCCAAAGGGAGTAAGTTGTGTCATGTTGTTGAGGAGTTGCTCCCCTAGCTTAAATTTGTTGTCAATTATGACTGTCATAGTTTCATTACGTTAATTACGTCTACATATACTTTCTTCAGCAATTTTGTCTTGGTGTCTAATGAGCTTATTTCCTTTTTCTGCAGGAAGACCAAAAATTTTTTCGTTTTGCCTTTGAAGACACAACCAGCCCATTCAAAAATGTATCTGATCTGTCTCTTTGGAGAGATGATGATGTCTTTACTGATCAGCGATTGGCTGGCATGAATCCAATGGCCATTCAGAGGGTTTCGTGGGATTCAGGTGACCAGGCCTGTGTGATAACTTACAATGTGCACTCATAGAGATTATAGCATTAATCATCTCCTTTTGGAGGCTTTTCATCGTTGCAGATATTCCTTTTCATTTGAACCTTTCAGGCAGGCGAGGAGGAGTAAGCTGGAGAACACTGCGTAGAAAGTTAAATCAAACATTCGACTGGAAAGGAGCGATACAAGACGTGCTTGGGAAGAGCATTTCAATTTATTGGGTACGTGCACCAGTTTAGGACATTATTTATGGGCTCTGAAGTTTTCGTCTCTCTTTATAGCTTTGTTTCGCAGGGAATGGGGTTGGGTTTGGACGTGGTTAGTGAACGAATCCTGTTTTCGCGGCTTACATTTCCTAGGGGTGCCCGCTAAACTAAACCTTAATGTGCTTTCCCTTGATTGTGTCATCTCTCTAAAATTCAGTGCTTGGGACGAGATTGAGTGCGCATGATGATGCACGCGTCACGACCTAAGCTTCGTTAGAAGTTAAATCACTCCCATTTTCAACCGCTAAAGCTGAAAATGTCCTCCTCGACATTCAATAAATTAGAAACGGTGGTATCTGGCCGCCTAATCCCGGAAATAATGAGTTAATTCCCCCAATGGGGAAAGAGAACGCCTCGTACGATGAATGTATGAATCCAGAGAAATGCGCGCTAAAATTTTGTTCAAAATGTTTTGTCTCAAATATGCCAGCCACAAAGATTAATTAAAAGCTTTTGCACCTTGAATAGGCAATACGCGGAGGTTATATCTATGTGGTACACTATCCTTTATACGACGGACTGAATCCGATAACTGACGATCCCTTTGGAGAACTGATGGAGGCAAACTCACCCATCGCCATATTTGCATCTAAACCCAGTCATCGACGGCTCCCAAATAGACTAAAACCAGTGGCCATTCAGATAAACAGTTCTCCAGGTATCATATCTACAGAGTTTTATATTTGCATAGTTACTACATTACCACGCAATTATTGTGAAAAACTTTCGAACAACAGATCACAACAAAGATGCAGGATAGATTTCACACTTTACTAAAGCATATGCAAAAAAAAATTCTTGTCTTATTCTTTGTTCCAATCATAAAGACCATAATTTACTATTCTTTGTTCCAAATAATGATGGTCGTTAATTCAACACATGACAAGATTTCTTATGACACCACTGAACGCGGAAATAGGGAAAACCCTCAGCAAGCTGTGTTCTGTTACATTGCTGAAATCAGGCATGCAAAAATTGCCTATCACTTCTTAATTGTATTGCCTCTAGACTCTCCAGTTTATACCCCAGAAGATAGCCAGTTATGGCAGATGGCTAAACATGTGCTCCAAGTTGCAGACTACGCTCAAACTCAAATCGTAGAGCATCTATTCAAGATTCATTTGTATATGGAACCCATTTGTGTCTGCATGCATCGGCGCCTGTCGAAATTGCACCCTCTTCATCAGCTATTAAAGCACCATTGTAGGGGGTTGCTTGGAACGAACGCGCTTGGATATCCATTTTTGATGGCACCGGGTAATGGTTCCATCGATAAGCTCATGTTAATTGGTCGACAAGGGGCTATGACAATGATGAGAAGAGCCTATAATGACCTTTCGTGGGAAAAAACAGACTTTTTAGCCAATATCAAGGTTAGTGCTGAATTATCTATGTGCTGCTTTAATTAGAATTTTGTTCCTTAAAACGTAATAGTAACAAAGAAACCAAATCGGTTGTAGTGGATAACTACAGAAAGTGTAAAAAGCACTTACGGCAAAAAAAAAAACAAAAGAAAAAATAGAGAATTAAAATATAGTGAAAGACGGGAGACATTTTCTAATAAAGGGAACTAGAAAGCAAATCTAACAAGACTGCACCAAACTCCTCTGAAAAAAGTTTTTATTTTTCAAAGAAACGAGGCCTATGGGACAAGGAGAAATTGCCTTACTTTCCCTACAGAGATGATGGACTACTGATTTATGATTCGCTGTCGAATATGGTCAAAGAATTCGTTGGGAAGTAAGTTTTTAAGGGTTATTTCATCCCTGGAAAAGGTAAAAGGTAGGAAAAAAAACCCTTCTATCTCTAAACGTTACCTCCAGAAGTTACTACGAAGGTTTAGTATGAGTTTCAAGTACAAAAGTCTGTGTCACTGCTAATGTTTAGGACTGAACATTCAAATGCAATTTTAAGGTCCTTGTACCGTGATGTTTTTGGCAATCAATAATTCGCTATTTTTTTTCATAACTGAACTTGATTTTCGAGGGTTAAAATTCTAACGAAAGGAAATTGCAGTTTTATTGGCAGTGTGATGGAAAAGCTATAATTGCATCTGAGATCTAACAAACGAAATACCAAGTGCCAGCACCATGCTATAGAAACTATCAAATTGGGGATTTTCAACTATTAGTTTTGGGGTTTCTGCGTACAGAAACAATTTGCAATCGAAGTAGGTCAATCTGGATTATTTCCTAGTTTTATTCCATCGATCTCTAACATTCGTGGTGTGGTTGAAGGTATTACAGATCCAATAGAGAAGTTATGATCGACAAAGAGCTGCAAGATTTCGCACGTGATGTCTCAGTTGGATCTGGAAAGGTATTGTCACGTGACTGGAGAGAAGGAATAGCAAAAGGAAATAGAGGAGGAAATGAAAAAAATTGTCTGAAAGTTATTCAATGAATTCACGATCTTTCTTCTCCGTTCTTGTCGTCAGTTCTAAAATTTCCATTGACAACAAATCCTTCAACAACATTTCCAAGGACCTCGAAGGGCGTCAAAGATATTCTCGTGTGTCTTTTCATGTTTAGGTCTTCCCTTAATGTTTGGAACTAGTACAAAACCTTTGTGAATGTATATCATATCTTCTCAAGAGTTAAAGGAAAAGATCATCGCTTGATTCACTTCAACTCGCATAATATACGCACGTATCATAAGTTAAACCATCGAATTAGGTGTATATATTTGTTTCATACAGAGGTATTGTGACTCTTGGTTTTTCCTACAAATTATTGTATTCTACTTTCTGTACAAATTTACCGCAGGTGAAGGGCTTTCCAACAAAAATTACTTCCAAGTTTTGTCTAGCAAGTCACTTAGTTCGCATTATGTGGATGACAAGTGCACAACATAGTGTGATCAATTATCCCGTGAATCATTACGGTGCTTTGACGTTTAACTCGCCGACAAAACTGTACAAAGATAAGATGACAGCCATGGGTCATTACGGCTTCACTAACCTCCCTAGGAGTTTCACTTGTATGGTGAGTGTTTCTTACATAAGTCGCCTACTTGTATACCAAAGACAACGCTGGACACTCGTGTCCTTGCAGTGTGCTCCTTTCCGATTCATTCGCCCAGCTACTGAGCGCCTCTACTCAGGATTTAAGAGCGTTACTGACTCTGTGATCACCATTTTTAAAATTTTTTTTGTCCACAGACTCAATCAGCCCTATCCATGACTCTGGCGGCAATGCATTACGACCGTCTCTTAGACTTCGTACCAAAATTCCCGGAGGAAAAAGGAAAATCTGTCCTTCAGAAATACCACGACTACCTGGACGGTGAAGTCACCTGTAAAATAACCCAAAGGAATAAGCAGAGATTTAAGGACGGTCACCTGCCTTATCCTTATCTCCTGCCAGCTTGGATAGCTAATAGCATTCATACTTAGGCCGCATGGACTTCAGGAGATTGGGAGAGACTTGGTTTAATTAGCTAGAGAGTTTTTTTCGTATGACACTTAAAACCTTCCTGTCTCTCTCAAATAATATGATTCTAAATATAATTTGCTTTTCTCTAAGGTAAATCACTATATTTATTCTTAGCTATATAGATGGGTCATTGTCTCATCTAACTCTAACCCACGGATGAGTGTGCTGCCGTAGGGCGTCTCCCCACAGGCCATGCTTCTCGCTAGCTGGAGGTAATTTACCCCTCCCTTTAGCGAGCTTGAAAAAAGTGACATTAAAAGTTAAACATACCGAGTAGAACTAAATTAAAAGTTATGAAAGAGAAAAAAACTGATGGCAAATGATGTTTGTCTCACCTCTTCCGCTATGGCTCGAACACGATAAGGCTCAAATCCACGGCAGGCTCCAATGTACCTGATTCCCATGTCATACGCCTCACGAGCGTACTTCTGTACGTCCCAGCGGCTCATTAGGCGAGATTCAAGAGCTAGGTAGCAAGGGAATGAAGAAAGATGTTTTGATATCATATATAGGTATCAGTAGCATACGAAAGTGTAGAGAAGTGAGTAAAGAGGAGGGAAAAGCGAGCGCACTGCAAAACCAGAGCTGAACTCGGCTTAGCATGGCATTAATTAACAAGGCATGATACTACTCTTTGAGACCTTTGAATCTCCATTGACCACCCAATATATTTTTGAGATGCCTTGACATTTCAAGCTGGCGAAACCAGTAATACAGGGCTTAAATCCGTAAAAAAAAGCGCGATAACCATGGGCCAACGCCTTTCTTGAGATGTGGCATTCGATTATTCACCTCATAGCTATCTCGACTATCAATTTTTTGGAAACTATACCATACCAAATGGGAACTCAGGCAGACCAGACAATCCTATGCGGTCATATGTCAGCTCAGGGGTGTGATAACAAACACTACCAGATGGCGTTGAAGACCTTCTTTTTCCAAAGCAGTCTTCATTTCTTTCATGACAGCTAAACAAATGCTGGGATTTTACCAGCACGTGCTACTCTAACAGCGCATTCCCCAGGCAGAATACCAGTGATATCGCCGGCTAAACTGATGGACAGACACACAACGACTGGTTTCCCTCTGGCCTTTATCACTTCTGTTGCCCATTCGGCTTGCTCAACATACCTATACATAAACAGTTGATAAATGAAACAATGAACCACAACAAGTTAAACTGTTAACAAAATTGAAATATACTCATTCCTGTGCGACCAAGAGAGTCAACTGAAAAAGAGAAGAGAAAAACTCAACGCTTTGGAAACTATTTCTCCTTATCAGTTGAAATGGAGAGATGTTGTTCTGATGTGATCTCACCTTCCCCTTCCCTACCCTTCTCCATGAGAACAACAACAAAATAACAAAAATAAAATAGTGAGATACTACAAAAAATAACGTAGTTGTAATTGTCTATGGCGATTACATAGTGCCAAAATAAGAAATTCTTGGCTCTGCGTACACATCGATTGGGAATAATAGTTGGAAGTTTTAGTTGTATACCTCCCCTATCAAGAAATCGACGTCATTCTGGACAAAAATATCCGTTTGTCTTCTTTCTGCACTACCTCCTTTCCAGGCCCGCTTAGATAATCCGGCACCTGTGAGATGTTCCCCGCCACCAGAGCATCTCCTTTGCTGGCCACATCCCTTGCCAGTACGCACGCAGATTGGTTTATGGCTTCATACTATAAATCAAATAGATATATAGAGTACAGAGTCAAGAGGTGTTTGGCTGTTTCGGTTCTTTCACTATGTGCTAGTCATGTCTGAAGTGTTTAGTTTGGGTTCAAGCTCTTTCAAAGTTCCTAAAAGTCTTTCTTAAATTTTTAGGTCCAAGATTAAAACTTAGCCCACTGTTCTTTACTTCTTAAATTTTATTACCTTATCTATTGACATGTTCATTTATCTATGTATTTATTTTGTTTTTGGCGTGAACGGTTTGATCTTATGGGGAAGGCGGATCGTCGGGCTTAGAACCAGTTGACAATGGAATAATCACACAACTGCATGAATTAGGTTTTTAAAGCGTTACACCCTTTTTTTAACCCCGATCTGTCCAGCTGAATGGCTGCGATTTTCCAGCTTGTCTTTACTGGCATAAAATGTAAATGTTTGCATTACATTAGCTCCGGCTCTCAGAAATTCACTGTGAAGCTGTCGAACTGCAACAAATTAGAGATTCATGCTGTCAGTGAAATGTTTGGTCACGCATTCCCCCAGATCAATTACTCGTCGTCTATCGGGGCAAGAGATTACATTCAAGAGAGTATCAACAGCTGATATTCTCTTGTTCTATTACAATCTCTTGATCGGGGTCATGACTGAACGATTCGATAGAAATTTGCATTTGTGAAATTATTGGAAGACAAGGGCAATACACGAGGGTTTTTCATTCGTACAATGACGTCAAAACAAAGATTAACAGTCTAAAGAGGAGAAATATATTGTCTGCTGATCCGATGATTAGAGAGGCAGCAGGGGCCGTAACACCTTCGCCTCTTGTTGAAGGTGATGAGGTCATTTGCATCTTAATCAAACCTCAAGCTTCAAGGCTCGACGGCAGGGTAACATTTGACTTATTTCCCTTTACTTACCAGCTTCTGGGTGTTCTACAGTAGCCTCTGGTGTCCAGGCGCCTGCTTTAACATAACCACGCCGCTCCATGCAGTAAAGGAAGCCGCCATCCCCAATGACAACCTCGACAGTGTCTAATCTCTTCAGAACTCCACGCTTCTGCGGGGTGGATTATTAGATAAGAAGCTAGATAAATCTTAGTGTGAAAACAAGCGCCACAAGAAAATTTACTTTAAGGTAGGCGAATCTTCTCAGCTGACATGTTTTATTCAAGGTGTTTGACCTTCTGATGATTCGGTGAATATTTTCGTGCATGCAAGACGGACGGTTTGCGCACTCCGTTTGCGCTGCATTGCGGTAGCGTTCTTTTTTCAATGTGGCAGTGAAAGCGACGGAAATCGGCAGAGTTTGACTTGACGGTAAAAGTTATGCTGTTCCTTTTTCCTTTCACCATAGTTACAAGAAATTTGATTGATTCTGAATGTGTAGAAGTATTTTTTGCACGTATTTGTCGCGTATTCAATAATTCTCAAGGACAAACGCAATCACGGTTTTTTACTCTGTAACTTAAAACCCGTTTTCGAGCGTTCGATGAACGTCATAGTTTGAAGCCTTTCAAAGATTAGAAATGTAATGCGTTTTAAACTCGCGCCTAGGTATGAATTTGTTGTTATTCACACAGCCATCGGCTGTGAGTGTAACTGCAGCCATTTGTGTAGATTCTTAGGCAAGACTGCAGTTTCGATTCTTTCTCAATCTCGTCAGTTGCCTCCTAAAAACGAATTCGTCAAGGAGGAATGACAGGGATAGCACAGGCCCGTAAACACTTTAAACTTTCGAAGAAACGGCAACAAACAGTGAATCCCCATTACATCCACTTATATTCACGCTACTTCGCAGCCACCAAGAATGTTCACTCGACCGTGACAGGATGCAAATAACTCACTATTTGTGTTACGACCATGATGTAACGCAATCAGAGTGCGCAAACTGAAAAAATACGCTGTGTTTTGCAATTCCAATAAGAGAGATAGATTATTTGCAAGGCCAATGAGTATTTTTTTTCGACTCAGTGGCTCATAATTTTCCTTGTTTAGCTATCATCATATACCAGTGGCTGGTAAAAAATGAAACCTCTCGTTTTTCAGTTTAAACCTTGAATGTGTAAAATAAGCCCAAAAGAGATTGTGATAAAGATCAACCAAAATGAACAAAACAGCTTCAAATCACGCGAACAATAATCTTGAAGCCTGGATTTGAATGAGGGCATACGTTCGTGGTACAGATTTTGAACAGTCAACGCCTGACGAAATGGTTAATTTTCTGATTTCATCTTACTCGTTATAACGACTACTCGTCGTGATTTGCCTCTTATTTCATTTTCTCCTGAGTCCTTCCGCTCCCTAATCCAATACTCTCTTGTGCAACTTTGCTATTTGTTCTTGAAAGGCTGCTCAGTTCATTTTTTGCTTCCTGCGTTTATTTCCGTACTTCTGAATAGGATAAATATGCCTGTGTAAAATCACTGTACAGATAGCCGTATTTTTCTAAGACTCTCGTGGGCAAACCTTGCTGGTTAATTTTTGTCGGTTGATTTATGCTCAATTGTACGTGTTTGTCCGGTTTCCACTCCTGCTTTTCTTTGTCTTGTTTAGCGCGTTTTTGAGGTTTCTCGTTTAAGCGATGCTTTCATTGGTTGATGCTCTAGAAATCCCTCATGATTGGTCAATCTGTGATGAATGACGGTATTTAATCCAATCAAGTACTACACTGGCTAAAAACTTGCTCTACGGAAACAGAGCAGAGGATGTAAATATGGCGAGCGTACTCAATGCTGGTAATTTACTGCGTGGAATATTTCGAAGTAGTTGCGCTGAAATCAGTTTAAGGCGATGTGCTTACCTATCTTCTATTTCGCGACGCCGTGGAAGCTCAGATTCAAGGTAGATAATTCGTTCTTTCAAAACTTCGCGGAGGCGAAAATTGCTACAGGCATCGTAGAGAGTCTCTGATCACCGGTCACGTCAATGTCATACATTTCCATGTCTTTCTATTAATTTACGAAAATTGTCGTCAAACCTTCTAGATCGATTCGATTACGAAATATTTACACGATGACCATCGCATCTAAGAGTGAAACGTTTCAATAAAAATTTTGTATTTTATTGCACATTATTATTGAATGAACACCTACACGAAGTAAAATGTTTCTAAAAGTTTGAGAAGATTTCACAAAAGAAGTGCAGCATACAAAACTTGCGATCGCCTCAGCTAAATGTGGATTAATAGAATTTTTCTTTCCTTGATTAAAAGTTTGGTAGGCATATTGCTATCTGACATTCTAGCTTCACTAAAATTGGAAAAAAATTAAATTGCATTAAAAAAAAAAAGGGATATCTATTTTAATGTGTTGTGCAGTACTTTAATTTTAATTTTTCCATTTAAGCTCTTCTAAACTGAGTAAACGTTTGAAGGAAGATGCAGAAGTTGTTATCATTGGGGGTGGTGTTCTGGGCACCAGTATTGCATACCATTTGGCCAAACAAGGCATGAAGGATGTTGTGCTCTTAGAAAAATCAGAATTAACAGCAGGATCGACATGGCATGCAGTAAGTAGATTGCATATTTGTGCAAGAGTAAATTATTGCATGTTGAACTGTAATTACACATTGGGTAGCAAAAAATTTGATGTACATGGACTTGAGTATAGGGAATCTAGCCATAGTATACCATCATTCTTCAGTTTATGCTCCTGGCATGGCTGAGCCTTCTTGCACACTGGAGGCATTATCTCAGTGAGAGGTCCTTTGTAGCTCAATGGGACAGCATCTGACTGCAAAATCGGAACATGTTAGGTTTGAATCCTCAGGGGAACTCATGCTTGAGATTGAATAACATCTTTCTGTTTTCATATCTGTTAACAGGCTGGGCTGACAACATATTTCAACCCTGGAATAAATGTCAAACATCTTCACTATTACAGCATTCAGCTTTACTCAAAATTAGAAGAAGAAACAGGGCAGGTAATTAAGATTTAACTATAAATGTTTGGTCAACATTATCACATTTCAGTTTTTTTGGTCAAGAGGTTGGTAATTAAAGTATTTATATAATAAGCTCAGTTATGCACGCATTCTGATTGGTTCTCACTTATGATCTATTGAAGGACAGACATATAGATGACATCATCTTTATTATATAAAACAAATAGATTCCAAGTTGCCGTGCGTCTGTTCAGTAATAGATCACAGAGGGCGTCAAAATGTGGTAAGAACATTAGTGACACACTCGGCTGCGCTTTGTGTGCTACTTTTTTGTTCTTACCACATTTTAATGTCATCTGTGATCTATTACTGAACCGAAGCATGGCAACTTGGAATCTATTTGGTAATATATACTTTTTGGTTAGTTGTTTGAATAAAATTGTCCCTACCCTTTGATCTCTATAAAAGACAAGCTTGTAATTACTCCTTACAGTTTCACTGCTGAATCACACCTTGAGGTCACAAGAATAATAAGAATGATCATCTAGTGAAGAGGCTCTGGATTATCAAACAAATTCTCTCTATCACCACCTTAGTAATTACATAGAGAACAGTATGGGGAAAAAGGCTTACTTAATGAAATGGGTTTTTGAAAATATTGATGAAAGGTTGGAAATGTTGAAAATCTTAGCTCTTGTGAACACAGCAAGTAATAAGTTTATGTTTGTATTTCTCATAGAATGTAGGATTCCATACTCCAGGCAGTTTGCGGCTGTGTACAACACCTGAACGCATGGATGAAGCAAAATACCAGATGCAGAGACAAGGATGGCATAAGGCACCCCAGTGGTTGGTTACTCCTGATGAAATTGCAAAGATGCATCCACTCCTTAAAATGGATGATGTTTTGGGTGGCTTATTTAATCCTGGTTAGTTTTACTGTAGTGACTACAGTATATCTGAAAATTATTTGCTGTGGAACCCTGTATTTAACAGCGCTTTTCAAAGTTCAGATATATTTACCCATTAATTACTGTAATTTTCACTTTAATTAAGCAGTTATGGTCACCATTTGCGGAGTCCCAACTGGCTTTTTGTATTGTCCTCCACATGTATTGAAGAGCCAATCAAAGGGAACCACTAAAAAAGAACTAAGACTTATCTTTCAAGCAAAATTTAATCCAAGTTTTTTATCTCCCAAAATCAACATCTGTAGTGGTAAATTATGGCATAAAATGATGTTTTTAATCATGTTTTTTTATATTACCCCTATTCTATGGAACCTTTATTGAGCATTCATCCTGTATTAAGGGGTCACCATGCCATTTCTTGTGGGTGATAACTTAATACAGGTTTGACTGTATTTAACTTGGCAGATAAGCATGCTCAATTGCTTTATTACATTTATTTAGATCTGGTGATAGTTAGGTGTGTCAGGCTAGATATAAAGGCTGTAATTTTATAGTAGTGTAACATTAATTTATATTAAAATTCTTCAGATGATGGCCACATTGATCCTTACTCACTGACACAAGCCCTGGCAATTGGAGCAAGAAATTATGGAGCCAGTCTTTACCTGCCAGCACCTGTCACAGGGCTGAACCATAGAACTGATGGCAGCTGGGATGTTCACACTGAACATGGAACCATCAAAGCCAAGCAAGTGGTTAATGCTGCAGGTAATGAAAATGAAAATAGAAATGTCTGCAAGTCATGTACATGAAATTACATTTTCTCATTTTCCTTCAGAGTACTCAACATCTGCAATTGTTGTTTTAACCCTTTGACTCTTGAGAGTGACCACTGTCTTATTTCTCAACACAACATATCATCCCTGAATCAAACATACGGTTGTAAGAATAAAGGAAATGATCACCAAATAAAATAGTTCTTGATTGTTAAACAAATTCTCCTTGTCAGCACCTTAGGAAATGTATAGAGAACAGTATGGAGAATATGCATTCTGATGTTAAAGTGTTGATGGTTAGGGTGGCTCACACGTGCAAAAATTAGTAGTATGCGAGAAATGCCTAATCTCTGCATAAAATTTACATCTCAAGTTGCTTGATAAGACATTTCGTTATGATGGTCAGCTGATATATTGTCTGTCAAAACAATATTGTCGACACAATTTGTCGAATTTAATAACGTTAGATCTGCCCCACAGGGGATTCCCTGTGGGGTGCCTCAAGGTTCTATTCTTGGTCCCTTATTTTTTATCCTGTATGTTAATGATTTGAACAATGCTTCCCTGCTTGATGCAATCTTGTTTGCTGATGATACAAACTTATTTATCTCCCATAATGATCCTGTTTAACTAATTAACACATTAAATAGAGAATTAAACAAATTGTCAACTTGGTTTGCAGCAAACCGGCTCTCCTTGAATTTAGCCAAGACTAATTTTATGGTATTCGAGCCTTGGCAAAAGAAGCAATCCTTTGAATTTCAAGTTTTCATAAATGAGCAGCCTATTCTTCGTGTTTCTGAGACCATGTTTTTGGGTGTTTTATTAGATGACAATTTGACCTGGAAATCGCATATATCCTTAACAGCAAATAAATTATCCAAATCTATAGGTATTATTCATAAATCTAGGTTTTTTCTCTCTACTCACTCCCTTCGTACTTTATACAATTCTATGATCCTTCCATATTTGTATTATTGCAATTTAGCTTGGGCTGGTACCTATAAGTCAAACCTTCAAAGAATTGTAACCTTACAGAAACGTGCGTTAAGAATAGTAAGCAATTCTACATACATTGCCCATACTGGCCCTATTTTTAAGGAACTTAAACTCTTAAAATTTCATGATATCCATTTGTTTCAATTAGGTACTTTTATGTTTTCATTCGAGAACTCTACACTCCCTTCCAAATTCAATAACTTTTTTTTACTGAATAGTCAAATCCACAATTATAATACTAGGAATGCTCAGTCCTTCCGTTTGCCACTGTGCAGAACGAACACCAGGAAGTTTTCAATTTACTTTCAAGGTCCAAACTTTTATAATTCGCTAAATTCTGACATAACTTATTCTCCCTCCTCCGCTTCTTTTAAAAGAAAGCTTAAGGAATTTCTTCTCTCTAGGTATTAACTTCTGTAAGACAGTAATTCTTAACTAACTTACTTAACATGTGTGTGCGTGTGTGTGTGTGTGTGTATGTGTGCGCGGTCAAAGTTAATTACCATAAGTCCATATTGTAATTCTAATATAAGATTAGTTATTTTAAGTGAGAAAGCCTGACTTGTTATAAGCCTCGTGGTTTCTTTCAGGTTTTCTCGCCATTTATTTTCTGTCATCAATTTTCTTCATTTTTTTTTTTCCATCTGTAAATGTCGTATATGGCAAATAAATATTGTATTGTAAATAAATATTGTAATATTAATTATTTTCTCAGTGTAAGTATTTTAGGGTGCAGAGCCACTTTAATTTGGTGAGGTCTGAGGTCACAATGCATGCAATTTGGAATGTAATTCATTTACAGCATGATAGTAAACACCATCAAGTGGTTACCTAATTTTATTTTTGTTATTCTATTTTATGCTACTTATAATTTTATTGTTGTTGCATGTAGGATTCTGGGGTCGCGAAGTTGGTCGAATGGCAGGACATGAGCTTCCAATGGTTGCCATTCACCATCAATACATTGTCACATCTACCATTCCTGAAGTTGCAGCTCTAGAACATGAAGTACCTGTTATAAGAGATCTTGAAGGATCTTACTACTGTCGACAAGAGAGAAAAGGCTTGTTATTTGGACCATATGAAAATGCAGACCTGATGAAGTTGCAAGATGAATGGTATCCTATTTATACTTAAATTGCTCAACTCTTGCAAAGCAATATGATTTTATGTCATAAAATTTTCAGATTTAATTTAACATCAGTATCTCAGCAAGTGTGCACCTACCCCTCCCCTAACCCAACAAAGATTAATATATAACAGGTGGGGTTAATGTTGAGCTAGGGGAGGGGTGGGTACACTGTGGCCCAGATACAGACATTAATCCAACTTTTCCTTGATGAACATTATTTATATTCCATTCAAAGTTACATGAATGAAGTCATCAAACCAAAAACATTATGTTCTTCTTCACCATAATGAAGAACCACAGCTTTTTCACAACTTGCATCAATTTTTTAATGAGTGGTAATATCAACATCAGAAAAATTAAATGATTATCTACATTTTTATCAGGTGGGATGGTGTGACACCAGGATTTGGAAAGGAACTGTTTGAAAGTGACCTGGACAGAATTAGTGATAATGTTGCTATGGCAATGGAACGCATTCCAGTTCTGGCAGATGCCAATATTGCAAGTGTTGTGTCTGGTCCTATAAGTTACAGTCCTGATGTCAGTGCTGTAATAGGGCCTGCATTTGATCTGCCCAATATGTGGCTGGCTATTGGCACTGGTTATGGCATTATCCATGCAGGTATGTGCATGCTTATATGTGCAACATGAGCATTGCTATAAGTTTCCTAGATATTTTGCCTGGTCACCACATGTTTACTCACTTAGTTGAACTCACAAGTCTCTTGGCTCTTACTCTTGAAAATTTAGTTGAAACACATGAGCTCTTGTGTACTTTTAAGCCTGGTTAAAAAAATGGTAAAGTCTTTACTCAAGGCAAGTGGCCCTGCACTCAGCTGGACCTTATTCCAGTTTCCTTAGCATGAGGCAACTAGGAGTATCACTGCTCTGTCCTGAATGGGAGACTACTCCATCTGCTGCTCTAACAGGCTTCCCTTCCCATTCACCAGTACCCATTTATACTCCTGGGTGGAGATAGGCTCTGTGACACTATTGACTTTTGCCCAAGAACACAACACAATGACCTGGCAGGTTCTCAAACCTGGACTTTTTAACCTTGAGTCCAGTGCACTAACCAATGGGCCGGTGCGTCTTCATCTCAGCTTAATAGCACCCCTGAATTAATAAAGTTACATGAACCTCAAACCAACGCATTGGATTTTTTTATATAAGGTGGCATTGGTAAATACATTGCGGACTGGATGATAGATGGAGAGCCACCTTATGATTTGACTGAACTAGATCAGGGTCGCTATGGCAACTGGACATCAAAGGAGTATGTGATGGCTAAAACGAGGGAATCGTATGGCTTAAATAACCAAATTGGTCATCCTAAACTAGAAAGGCCTGCAGGACGACCAGTCAGAAAGAATGGTATTTTTGAGGTAAGGTCTGTCTTTAGATCTAAAAAACTGACTCGACTTGAAGCCAATCAGAGTAAAAGAAGTCATCACGAGGAACCAGTAAGAACACAGATTAAAACAAGAAAATTGCCTGAAACACGGGAAATGTAGCTGTTTAAGTATTTTAGACGTATTAGGCTACTGAAGCAAAAGTGTTTATATCCCAGATTCCTTTTGATGCTCATTTGTTTGTTGCTCGATAGTATCCAAGTATTGTGTTAAGACGAGATTTCTCGTATCTTCAATTTTTCGGGTTGATAAACAGTGCACAAACCAATAAATAATTTTATACCTTTCAAACTTTTAAGAACCCTTTATTTATTTGCAGCGTCTTGTAGAACGAGGAGCAGAAATGGGATTCCATGTGGGTTGGGAGCAGCCAAACTGGTTTGCTCTGTCAGGTGATGATGGTGGTTATGAGCCGAGCTTTAGGAGGACAAACTGGTTTGAACCAGTTGGACGAGAATACGAATTAGTTCTCAACAAAGTTGGTGTTATCGATCTGACACCATTTGGAAAGTTTGAAGTGAAAGGAAAAGATGCTACAAAATTCATGGATATAATGGTGGCTAATGTTTTACCCAAGGTAAAGGATTAGAGGTGTTGTTGTCTTTTAACAGAACAAAAAACATGCCAATTTCACGTGAAACAAATCTATAAACTTAAGTTTGAGTTTATGAACGAGCAAATTCCGTAAGCATTTTCTAAGGTCTGTCTTTGGGCAATAGAGAACTTGGAAAACACAGCGAATGAGTTGCGATGAGGAACAAACTGTAAAAAAGGTTTATGTTTTTTTGCTCCTTTCAGGTCGGCTGCACCAACATCAGCCACATGCTAAGTCCAAGAGGCCGAGTATATGCTGAGCTGACTGTTTCCACTGTGTCACCTGAGCATTATTTCTTGTTGACAGGAAGTTCTTCAGAGTTTCATGATCTCAGGTTAGTGCGACGCTTTAAGTTGCTCTAACTGCTGTACATTGTGTACATAACACATCTGCATTTATCAACCAAAAAAACTGTGTAACGTAATTATCAATTTATTATTCTGAAACAACTTAATGAATGGATACAGTGTACGCGTACGTTGCTGAGGGAATCCACCTCAACTGTGCACCAACGATTACCTGTGTTGTGGTTCTATTTCGTAGTTCTTTTTCTGACTGAAACACGGATGTTACGTCACTTCCAATGCTAAATTTTCTTTTCCTTCCTTTATACAAATGTCGAGTCTTTTTTCAAATGGTGATTTCACAAAACTTCCGTTTTATGCCAAGCAAGCTAACCAGCAAGAGGGGACGCCATCTTAATTTTGCAAATTACGCTCAATTCCAAAAGTTATGATGCGCGAAGTACAGGATGCACAGTGCGGTATTTTGTGACGCGCCCCTTTGACTCTCATAAAAAAAAGACTTTAATCAAATTTACCTGCAACAGTTTGACATGTTGTAGAGGTTCTACATTCGTTATCATTCACCACTCCCTCCTCACTAATGCTTACCTTTCTTTTTTAATAAACAGAAATTGTAATCTGCGCTCTTTCCACTGCGGTAGGAGAGAGACGGGATGTTCGTTAAAAATGCTATTTTTTTGTTCTCCAATTCTTTGTAGATGGTTAAAAGACCATGCCAGCAAGGGGAATTTTGATGTCACTATTGAAAATGTAACAGATGATATATCAGTGTTGGGTATAGCAGGGCCATACTCCCGCAGCGTCCTGTCCAAACTTACTCCCACGGATATGAGCAACAGCCAATTTAAATTCTTGACTTTTAAGGACATTGAACTAGCTGGTCTTCCTGTGCGTGCTATGCGAATTTCGTACTCTGGTGAGTAGAACTTTGGGTAGTGGAAATCTGGTCTTGATTTCTTGGCCATAAATTTTTTTGAGTATTTCCAGGTTCGACCTCTTTGATCACTTTGCATTATTTAGAAAATGACAGGTGTTCCTGATAATTTCATTGGGTTGTAGGTGAACTCGGTTGGGAGTTATACCACAAGAATGAACACACAGCTGAGCTGTACGAAGCTCTGTTGAGAGCTGGGGAGGAGTTTGGTATTGGAGACTTTGGTACTTATGCCATGACGGCGCTGAGAATTGAAAAAGGATTTAGGGCCTGGGGACAAGAGGTAAAGTGTGTCTTTCAATTCAATCTCTCACAAGCCGAGTATCCTCAGGTCAAGCTATATATATGAGGCGTAATTAAGTTGTTCTGATTCCTTGTTGTTCGTTTGGTAGTTTTTTGTAGAGTGGTCCTCGCATAGTTTGAGATCTCTGTGGCTTCCTCTTTACGTCCTATGAAAAAGACTTGACTGAAAATGGGATCGCATAGCGGCGAGAAGAGAGAGAGTAATAGGAGGAGGACTAAGACCAACTACCATTTTTTATTCGCCCACCTGTCCGTATCCGCTAACTGACAGACCGGCACAGGGTAGAAACTAAATAGCTACATTATATTTGAGTGAGGAAAAAATATATTCATTATCTCACTTTTCAATAGATGAATATGGACACCACCCCTCTGGAGGCTGGCTTGGATTATTTCATCAAATTTGAGAAGGTAAACTAAACACTGACATAGCTAAACGCTATATTACATTTGGTGACTGAACTCAAGCTTAAAAAGCAACGCTCTATTTGTTCGTAGGGCGTGGACTTCATTGGGCGACAAAGTTTACTTAAACACAAGGAGAATGGAATCAAAAAGAAACTCTGCATGTTAACGGTGGACACAACTGATGTGGATCCTGAAGGAAATGAAACTATTTGGTTTGGAGGAAAAGTATGTTACTTGTTATCTGCTTTTGTTTTCGTTTCCTTTTTCCACCCTCCAAAATTGTTTATGAAACTCATCTTTCTATAGATTTCACGACTCATGATCACACGAGTTTAAGTTACAGCAGCACCTTATTAATTCAGGACCAGCGGTTAAAGTTTATTGAATCAAGAAAAAAGGAATCTTAAGACTTCAACATTTTTATAAGTCACAGAACAGCCGAAAAATTTTGAAAATCTGATTCACCGCGTTGCCTCATGGTCTGTCTGACAAGCTTTCTACCGGCTTCCTCGTCTTTTGTTCGTTTTCCTATCAGCCATCCCAGGCTCCATTTTTCCCTTCTCCACCATCCCAAAACCCAGAGTCCATGTTACTTGTTCACCACCCTATCCGTTCTCTGACCGTATATTACCAATCTTATTCCTTGGAATCGTACCTCTGTGAACTTCACACTAAAGCAAACCTCTTTGGCAGGTTGTTGGTAACACGACATCTGGAGCGTACAGTTACAGACTTAAGGAGAGCATCGCAATGGCTTACTTACCTCTTGAACTGACGGAACTTGGATCCCGGGTTGAAGTGGAGCTTTTGGGAGCCAAATGCCCCGCAACGGTAGTAAAAGAACCACTGTTCGATACAGAACCTGTGCGCACAAGACGGCAACTAAAAGCTGCCAAATTAATCAAAGGAAAGGCTGCTTTATAATGTATAAGAAGACAACAAAGCACTATCATCTTCCCCCTCCCCTCTCATTAGACATTCCCTTTCCTATTCATTAGTTCTAAGAAATAACTCATTACGTTTACACGGCTCTTTATCTTCGCAAGAGGAAGCTAAAGATTGAATACAGCAACACACCCCTCCGATTAGAAGCCTTCCTTAGAGGATTTAATCCTGACAGATAGAACACGCTTTGTGCCTTCCTTCTCATGTCTATACATCGAAACCCATAACGGTTTGGATGACCTAATACGTTCATATTCTGTACAGTGTGTGATTTTGAGTTCGCATTGATCAGAACTCATTCCTATGGGGTTTTTTCTAAGATACATACTAAAAATGTGATGTTGTGATGTTAAAAGAACATTGTAATAGTTTTCAACCTGCCTCAGGGCTTGTGAATAGATAAATCTTTCGAGCAAAAGAAAGGTGTCAGCGTTTATTATGCATCCTATTGACTTTTACAGCTCACGTTCATACGTTTTAATTTAATTTTCTGATATCAACACATTGGCTGACCCGCAAACAACCACAGCGAGCCGAAGGCGGGTCGGTTGCTAAGACACCACCATCATTATTTATGCTAAGTTAGTTTATGAAGAAGTCCATTGGGGTAGTTCCTAATTGAATTATCTATAACCAGAAACGCTAAGGATCAAATGCAAAATTATGACAAACTCTTTTTAGTGCAGAGCGATTGACAACGAAAAATCCACAATTAACAAAAAAAATTTTAACAAGTCGTTTGATACCTCCAAGCTTAAGACAAATATCTTATCACTCAATGTGTCATTAAATGTCCCTTGAAAACGTATCTAGACGGATGACTTAGCGAGAGAATTCAAGACTTGAAAAGGAAGACTTCGGAAAAGCCGAAATTAATGCAAACAGAGTACAAAACACTCAAGTTTCATGGTTCAGTGAGTCTCTGCGTATGCAGCAAGCTTATGCAGTTCCTCGTCAGTAGTCAGAGTCTTTTGTTGAATCATGTTTTTGTCTGCCACCTTAAGATTTCCCCACTGTGAATCCAGCTCACGTAAAGCGCTACTGAATGGCCGACCACTAGTGGGCTGCAAGTTCTCCCAATGAGATCGGCGAGCCCTGAAAATCATTAACAGTAAAAAAAGTTTTTTGGAACTTCGGCATATTTTAAATTTTTTTGTATCAGTTGCACTTGCCAGAACTTATTTGGCTTTAAAGACTAAAATGTTACCTTTCTTGGATCAGCATTTGCGAACAAATTATCAAAGGCATCACTTATTTAGCTTTAGTTACTTTACCCCTGGGATATCATTTTTTTATTTCGATCCTTAACCCTCGGGTTTAGTTTTGCTGCGGGATTGCGAGTGCCTATAAACCAAGCTTGTCATCAGAGGTACTATACGTTTCCTTTGTCAGATCCCAGGGGTAATATCTCATTTGGCCCTAAATTACGGCGAATGTGCTGCCGAAAGGCCTCTCCTCATAGGCTATGCCTTTCATCACAACTAACCTTTGTTTAGTTTAATCCCTGAGGGGTTCTCTTACCTGGCTCTAACCCAAGGATAGGTGTGCTGCCGTAGGGCGTCTCCCCATGGGGCATGCTTCTCGCTAGCTGGAGGTAATTTACCACGTTCTTTTGCAAGCTGGTAACAGCAACAATAAAAAAAAAGATATGTCGAGCTTTGATTGTAGTTTGAATATCTCTTCTTTCTTATTTGTCAAAAACATGCACGAATCCACAACAAAGATAGAAAGAAAGCTTGCAAACCCTAAGCATTTTCATGCACGGTTTCATTCATTTTGTTCGCTGATGCATTTTGTATTTTCTCTGCAAAAATGTTCAAGTAGATACATTGTGGGACGACGGATTTTACTTTAATTTATCTTAGTTACTCATGACATGAAACTAGAGACCTCTTCAGCTATGGCTCTAACGTGATAAGGCTCCATTCCACAGCATGCTCCAATGTATCGAATGCCCATATCATAAGCTTTACGAGCGTACTTGTGCATGTCAAACCGAGTGAGCAAACGAGTCTCCATAGCTAAAAGAAAAGGGAAAATAAAGAGTGGTTGCGCCAATAGAACTTGTCAAACGGGGAAATATCCCGGAAATAATAGTTCTCAGGTAAGTGAGTTAGATTACATTACATTACATTACTTAGGAGAATTAGAATTACATTACTTGGGAGCAGTGAAGTGGCACTTTCAAGGTTAACAAGGTGGTTCTAGGCTTCACAGTTTGTTAATAAATCGAAAAAAAAAAATAAGAGAGCAAAGTAAAGCAGAACCACGCGCATTCCAAATCACTCTCGACAGTCAATTAAAAATTGCAGTATCTTAACTATCACACCATAAGGAAACTCCGCTAGTCCTGTAATCCCCATTCGTCTGGCTGGGTTAGTGTGGTCGAGACACTCCGGTGTCTTGTAACCCATTGGCTGAACAATCAGATGACGTTTGAGTCCTTCCTTTTCCAGGGCCTGTTTCATAATCTTCATGGTTTCCAAGCATACGTCCGGATCATAGTAACAATTCACACCGATCATGTCGGCACCTGCCGAAAAATAAGAAAAACAAAAAAATTGTATCATTTTGTAATTCATGGTAGTTTTTTCTTCCTTTCATTTGGCTAAGAGCCTAGAATGTGGTCTGCAGATAACTGCATATACATGCATGATACCGTTTATTGTGTCTTGTTGCTCCAGACGTAATGCGTATAATATTTTGCTCATTCACGCTTGAGCCCGTGATCGTGTGCGGAAAAAGCCAGCGTGATTTCCTCGGCTGTTAGAGAAGAAAATCTCGTTCCAGACTCAGACGCAGATTCATTCAACTAAATTGAGAAACTCATGCCTTAGTATAGCTCCCATGAGGTTACAGTCGAAAACACTTGAGACAAACCCAGTCTTTGGGCGGGTTTAAAGCATCGAAGTAGTAAGGCATCGAAGGAAGGCTAGCAGAGCTTCAGACAACTGTTACCTGCTTTAGCGATTCTCACAGCACACTCTTCAACAGACACTCCTTCCAAATCTCCGGCAGAACAGATGTTAAGGCACATGGCAATTGGTTTTCCTGTGGCTTTCATCACTTCAAGGGCCCATTCTGCCTCCTCTACATAGAAAAACAACTAACAAAGACAATTTAATCAGTTCACATTCCTTATTTTAACTAGAGTTCATGAAACAAGCCATATGCTGCACATAGGATAATTCATGTCCGATGTGGAAAGCTGTGAAAAGGGTAAACCAAAGTTATTTCAAAATTACTATGAACAGAAACTCTTGTGTTGCTTAGTTACTGGGAATTACGGTACTGATTATGTTCAAGTAATGCAAAGCGTAGGAAGATGTAACGTTACCTCTCCGATCAGAAAATCCACGTCATTCTTGACAAAAATGTCGATTTGTTCCTGAAACTCTCTCTGAACAACTTCTTTACCAAGTCCTGACATGTATGAGGGCGTTTGGCAGATGTTACCTGCTACGAGGGCGTCGCCCTCGTTGGCCACTTGACGCGCGAGATCACACGCAGCTTGATTGATGCGCTTGCACTTAAACAGAACGAAGACAAACAACTCGATCAAAGTTTATTTTTAAATCACTACCCTAAATCGATTTGAAAGAAACTTCAACTGAGTTGTTCATACCCCAATCTTCTCGGAAGCCGTGTTACCACGATTGCGTAACTTGTCATCACTGGCGTAGAAAGTAAACGTCTGCATCACATCGGCGCCTGCCCGAAGAAACTCTCGATGCAGTTGCAAGACTAAACAAAACAGAAGTAAGAAACATTTATTTTCTTCCTTTAACCATTGGAACAAAAAAGACTCTCGGTTTCCATCCATCTCATTTTTTATGGCCCGTAATTCATCCCTTACGTCTTATCTTTTATGTCTTTCCTCCTCTTTTAAATTTTTATTCGTATTTGACATTCGACATTTTGAATTTTCCATGCCAATACATACTTTCCGGTCCTTATTCTTTATTTTCTGTTTCCTATTTTATTTTCAATTCAGCCTTTTCCATTGCACATTCTCTGCGCAGCATTTCCGCTTCGTCATTCCCCATTCTACATTTCCCAACCTCCAATAGGGATTTTTCCTTCTGTAGTCTCGACATTGTATTCCTCTTTCTCGCTCCAACTTCTTCTCACACGCTCTCCATTTCTCGTTTTCTAAATTTTGATCGCCCCTCTATAATTGACATTATCACAGATGCCATTTTTTTCAACGATTTTCCATTTACCCCCTGCCATTCCCTTCCCCGTTCCTTCCTTTACGCTCTTTGTACTCCAATTCTTGCTCCCGACCCTCATATCCCGTTCTCCGAACACCGTTCTTCTTTCTCCTTCGCCCGTTCCCCAGGTTCCTCAGTTACTCGGTTCTACAGTTCATCGGTTCTCTCTTTCCATATGATAACATGGTGTAGTTGAACAGACTTATCTTGAAAATCCGGTTGAACAAGTTTTTTGATGCTCTTACAAAAGAATATTCAGGAATTACATTTATCTGCGTCATTACGCTCGCGCCAATGTAAACAACTAGCAGGTAATTTAGTGTTAACAACGGGGTTGAAAACGTAAATTAACCACCGTAAAGGGTAAAAAAGCTGACGTTTCGAGCGTTAGCCCTTCGTCAGAGCGATTGAACGCAGCACCACAGTTTCTTTAGAAACTTACCCCTTTATTCAATGTAAACAACTACATGCATTATGCAACTAGTGGGGCCATTCACACTTTTTGTCCCTTCAGTTTAAATTCATCCACTGATGAATTGCCTGACAAGATGGGGCCGCTAAGTTATTCCTGAGGATTTAAGAGGTACCACGTAACATCACAAAGAGAGGAGTTAAATTTCCGAAACAAATTCGGGAGATCCATGTTATTTAGACAGGGTTCGAATTATCAGTTACTATATTTAAGGACCCTCTCCCTCTACTTAAAAGGTCACTTTAGGCCAGACCTTTGATGTTTCTTATTTTTTCGCAAGTGATTATGTTTTTCACCTCCTATACTCACTGCAACGCACTCCTGATTGTATGTGGTGATGAAATGTGGTGTCTGGTGTCTGGTGTCTGGTGTCTGGTCGCATTTTAAAGTTAGGTTTCCACTATACATATGCAAATAGGGCATTGTGTTGAAATAGATTCGACACATACGATGAATCCTCGAAAACAGAAGGAATAGATCTTACCTGCTTCTGGATGCTCTACTGTAGCTTCTGGTGTCCACACTCCCGCTTTGACATAGCCCCTTCTCTCCATACAGAACAAAAAGCCCCCATCTCCTACAATAACCTCGCCGGAGTCAAGACGCTCTAAAATCCCTCGCTTTGATGAAGACATTGCATAAACTGAACTGTTACTTCGGAAAACGTGTTTTTACGCTTCAAGTAAACAAGCGCAACTAGTTTGACCAGATGTAAACCAGATTGTTTGCTGCATCTTTAACATTTGCACCAAAAATATTGATAGTGATTTCAAAACGTTGATAAGCGAGTAAAACTCAAACATATTCAGAGAACTTCTTCGCTCTGAGCCGCCTTGCCTGAAGGCATCATAACTTTGGAGACACCATACTTTTAGAAAGGAAAGAAACCACAAAAATAAAAGTAAAACTTAATAATAATGGCTAAATGTTTTTTACGCCTTTGTGTCTTTTCTGTGTCACGCACCAGTCAACACGTAACAGTGCAAATCATAAAAATTTGGAAGCTGGAACAAGGAAGGATCTCCATGTTTAGTTCAGAGAAGGATTTGGTCATGAAACTTAACACGAAGCGCAACGCAGCAACCTGAGTCAATTGAAAAAAAATGTTCAGATTTCCAAAATTTAATTAGTAATATTAAAAATGAACTGTTAATCAATGTGAACAAACATGTTATAGTCCCTATGATTTATTTGATTTAAAGGAAAATGATGGTTTATTGCGTTGAAACATTTATCTCATCAGTAGTTAGTGAACGTGCAACGGTAAAATCGATAACATGAAAGGATCAAGCTTTCACCCCTTTGAAATAATCTTCTCCTCCCTCCTTCGCGTCGGCGCTATTTGACCATACTTAGTGGGCTATCATTTACGCGAAACCCACTTCAATCTTGTTTAGCATGAGAGGTACACTTTCCTATCTTCCAGCTAAGCATAAAATCGTTATCATTCGAAAATACCATTATGTTCCTCCACGAGAGCGTTAAGTATCGGAAGAGGTGACCCTATTCGACGGAATGACAAAGTGGTGGAGTATCATATAACGCGGAATGACAGGCATCAGAGAAAATATCTATTTAGTATAAAACTAGACCCTGTGTGCAGGGTAACTGGGATACCTGGATGGTACTGGATCCGTGGAATCAAGTGTAGTGATACTACGCGTGTCGGACTAGTATACTGAAATAGTGAGCTTGTATGCATGCAAGAGTTATTTTTTTCTAGGGTGGGTGGATTACTTGAAACATTGTAAGTGGTCTACATTCTTACAAAAGGAAAGAAGATTATTAACGCGGGAAAGAATGAAAATGTCGAATTACCTCACACACAGGTATTTTGTGGTAGATTATGTGTGTTGTGCGAATAAATGTAACCAAAAATAAACTGTATTTGTGCCACGGATACCTTTTAGTACAAAATGTAGACAGCAGACTGTAGACCGGATACAAAATATAGACTGCAGAGTGGGTAAAAAATGCAGACTGAGAATCTGAAGAGTTTTTACGTCTGGTATATAATAACATGTCATCTTACAGCTTACCGAGCGTCACGCAATCGCTTTTCCTGCGATCAGCCTTCACGATTATTTGCACTATTGTGGAAAATTCCTGGCCCATTTCTTGATGAAAATTGATTGTAATATAATTTCAAGCCTTCAACATAGTCTTCTTACTTTGCGCGCGAGTTGGTTGGTGTGATGTCTGTACAGATTTTACCAATGTAATAAAAGTAGATGACGTGAATAATAGTGATGGTAAAGCAAGCTTAAAACGGCAACAATCGCCAGAAACTACAACGGATACACAGGGTATGAGTAAGTTTTATTGATTTTTCGAGAAAAATCTTCATATTTCGAAATATTTATCGTTGTAAATCGACCATATTTCGTTCCCTATACTATTCCTTATAACGTGTTCAAATTTTCAACGGTTCCTAGAATAACTTACTCTGAGTCACACAACGCGTGACGCGTTCGTGAATTAATCGTTGGCTCTTTCTCGAAACGTGACCTTGGGTCGCCTGTGACAAGACAATTGCGTAAACAATACTTGACATAATAACATTATACACAAAAAACACGGGATTTTGGATCATGTATTTATTAAAAAAGAATATCCATACAACTACAATGAAAACAAACATAAGATTCACCTTTCTGATCGTGAAATTAATACCATTCGCACTGTTATCGTAGCTACGTTCCCTGGCATCAAGTGAATCCAACATGGCGTCTTTCTTCACTAGCAGTTTGCATCCATTTGAATTTTGTTCTTCAGTCTCACGGTAGTAGTGTTGTTCAATAGATTGCATAGAGTATATGCAGTTTGGTTTCAGATTTCAGATTTTGCTTTTTACAACGAGTTTACGTTTTCAACTAAGACATTGGCATACTTGGCATACAAGACATACAAGGCATTCAATGCTTTCATGGCTTTCAAGCGTTCGCGATTCTGTCCGATCCAAAATTACTGCTCAATAACATCTTTTTGTGTGGATTGGCCGCGAACAATACGACTTGTGTATGCGTCTATAAGTATTTTGAGCGTTTGCCCCATAATGCTCCAGATGATCGTAATCCAATTACGTTGAAATACAAAACGACTGACAAAATAGTTTTATGGGCAAAAATCTCGTGTTCGTCATGTGACCCGGCCCTGTCCGTGCATGACAACGTCAATCATCATCAAGATAGCACGCGTGATCAGCATGTGAACACCTCATTGGATCACAGTTAGTTGTCATGGTGTTGAGGGCCCAATGACCTCTGGGTACTATTGCGCAATTTTTCCATTTTGTGGCGGAGGAAAAAAACAAAAAAAAAACAAAAAAAAAACAAACTAGACCCTGTGAGCAGGGTAACTGGGATACCTGGATGGTACTGGATCCTTGGAATCAAGTGTAGTGATACAACGGGTGTCGGACTAGTATACTGAAATAGTGCGCTCAAGTCTGGCCAAGGGCATACACCTATTTCAAAACATAGACATGCTATGCATGCAAGAGTTACTTTTTTGTAGGGTGGGTGGATTACTTGAAACATTGTGAGTGATGTCTATATTCTTACAAAAGGAGAGAAGAATATTAATGTAGGAAAGAACGAAAATGTCAAATTACCTCACTCACAGGTATTTTGTGGTAGATTACGTGTGTTTTGCGAATAAATGTGACCAAAAATAAACTGTATTGGTGTCACAGATACCTGTTAGTACAAAATGCAGACAGCAGACTGCAGACCGGATACAAAATATCGACTGCAGACTGCAGAGTGGGTACAAAATGCAGACTAAGAATCTGAAGAGTTTTTACGTCTGGTATATAATAACATGTCATCTTACAGCTTACCGAGCGTCACGCAATCGCTTTTCTGCGATCCGCCTTCACGATTATTTGCAGTATTGAGGAATATTCCTGGCCCATTTCTTGATGAAAATCGATCGCAATATTATTTCAAGCCTTCAATATAGTCTTATTACTTTGCGCGCGAGTTGGTTGGTGTGATGTCTGTACAGATTTTATCAACGTAATAAAAGTAGATGATGTGAACAACAGTGATGGTAAAGCAAGCTTAAAACGGCAGAAATCGGCAGAAAATACAACGGATACACAGGGTATGAGTAATTTTTATTGACTTTACGAGAAAAATGTTCATAATTCGAAATATGTATCGTTGTAAATCGACCATACTTCGTTCCCTGTACTATTCCTTATAACGTGCAGTTCCTCTCGTAACTTAACACCGAGTCACACAACGCGTGACGCGTTCATAAATTAATCGTTGGCTTTTTCTCGAGACGTGAGCTTGGGCCGCTTGTGACAAGACAATTGCGTAAACAATATTTAACATAACAACATTATACACAAAAAAACACAGGGTTTTGGATCACGTATTTATTAAAAAAGAATATCCATACAACTACAATGAAAACAAACGTAAGATTCACCTTTCTGATCGTGAAATTAATACCATTCGTACTGTTATCGTAGCTACTTTCCTTGCCATCAAGTGAATCCAACATGTCGTCTTTCTTCACAAGCAGTTTGCATCCCTTATAGCTATGTTCTTCAGTCTCACGGTAGTAGCGTTGTTCAATAGATTGCATAGAATATATGCAGTTTGGTTTCAGATTTCAGATTTTGCTTTTTACAACAAGTGAACATTTTTCAACTAAGACATTGGCATACTTAGCATACAAGGCATTCAAGGCTTTCATGGCTTTCAAGCGTTCGCGACTCAATCCGTTCCAAAATTACCGCTCAATAACATCTTTCAGTGTGGATTAGCCGCGATTAATACGACTTGTATATGCGTCTGTAAGTATTTTGCGCGTTTGCGCTATAATGCTCCAGGAGATCGCAATCCAAATACGTTGAAATACAAAACAACTGACCTAAGAGTTTTATAAGCAAATTCTCGTGTTTGTCATGTGACCCGGCCCTGTCTGTGCATGACAACGTCAATCATCATCAAGATAACACGCGTGATCAGCATGTGAACACCTCATTGGATCACAGTTAGTTGTCATGGAGTTGAGGGATAACACGCGTGATCAGTATGTGAACACCTCATTGGATCACAGTTAGTTGTCATGATATTGAGGGCCCAATGACCTCTGGGTAATATTGCGCAATTTTTCCATTTTGAGGGGGAGGAAAAAAAAAAAAAAAAAAAAAACTAGACCCTGTGAGCAGGGTAACTGGGATACCTGGATGGTACTGGATCCTTGGAATTAAGTGTAGTGATACTACGGGTGTCGGACTAGCATACTGAAATAGTGCGCTCAAGTCTGGCCAAGGGCATACACCTATTTCAAAACATAGACATGCTATGCATGCAAGAGTTACTTTTTTGTAGGGTGGGTGGATTACTTGAAACATTGTGAGTGATGTCTACATTCTTACAAAAGGAGAGAAGAATATTAATGTGGGAAAGAACGAAAATGTCGAATTACCTCACTCACAGGTATTTTGTGGTAGATAATGTGTGTTTTGCGAGTAAATGTAACCAAAAATAAACTGTATTGGAGCCACAGATACCTGTTAGTACAAAATGCAGAAAGCAGACTGCAGACCGGATACAAAATATAGACTGCACACTAGGTACAAAATGCAGACTAAGAATCTGAAGAGTTTTTACGTCTGGTATATAATAACATGTCATCTTACAGCTTACCGAGCGTCACGCAATCACTTTTCTGCGATCCGCCTTCACGATTATTTGCACCATTGTGGAATATTCCTGGCCCATTTCT